AGCAGCTATGCCATGTCATTAGATCTGATTATTGCTCTGCATGGTCATATAACAGCCAGTATATGAGACTCTTTTATAGGCCCAGGTGGTGCAGACACTGTTCACTAAGCATGATCCTGTTTTCCAGGTCCTGATGCACCCATAAATACTGCTAAACAAATCAAAGAGTTGTCTCATGAACACTATTAAAAACAAGGTCCTTGCATGGCCTCCCTTGTAACCGGGTTTAAACATCATAGAACCTTTATGAGACCAAGAGCAGACAGAGTGGGATTGCATATGTCTTATCCACCAAAGAACAGGAGGATTTCATCTGCCTCTTTCAAAAGAGAGAGCATACTTTTCTTTTATTATCTGTTGCTTTTATTGTCTCGTTCATTCCCTCAGGACTTGGTATGAACCTCAATAGACTTTAACCAGGGACATACTGCTATTCAAGAGGGTGTGTCCCAGTGTTTACATTTCATAACTTTTTACACTTTAATATATACATAAATTGACAAATATTGTTGTAATAATAATAAAAATAATAGCGTTAATGACACAAAGTGAAAAAACTAAAACTGACGTGTTGAATTATATAGCTCCTTTTTTTGCAACAACACTCCACAACAGCACTTTAGTGAAGTATTGTTACACCACTGTATACTTTAACTGTAAGCCACAGTGTGTGTGATTTAGTGTTATAGTATCATAAAAGCAAATGGGCACAAACTGCAACTAAACTGCATGAGCTTCATATTTACTAACAGACACACACACAAACCACACAGTTCCATCTAGAGGGCTCTACATTTACACAGAAGGTGTTGAACCTCTTTTACACCAATGTTTCTATAGCATGGTTAAACACCTCCCCCTCGCCATTCAACCATTATGCCTTTTACACAGATAGTGAGGAGTCATCCCTACAATTATACGTTTAGTTGAGCAGACAATTCTAGTTTAAATGGTCTCATAATCTTTAATTAAATATCAAATTAAAACATAACTAAGTTTCATGTCTTTGTGTTTTGGAGAGTTTCCAGATGACTTAATCTAAAACTGGCTCATTTGTTTTTAGACCTGTCATGTGACTAGAGCAGATGAATACTTAAAGGGGTCTCTATCAAGACAATAAAACACAAGTGGTTGCCGCGACATGTTAAATTGTTCTTGAGGACTTCAGACTTTCTTTAAACCCTTGTCTCAACATTACTCAGCAAAGCATTATGGGTAACATCTTTTTGCAAAGACAGCAGCATTGCAGACTTATATAAGAGGACTCAAACATTTATGGCAGGGCCATCAACCACTTATCGTTTTCACATAAGACGCAGCAGAGCCTAGGGGCTTATTGGGAACGCAGGTCTCTGAGGGCAGACATTGGGACCGGGCCAAGGAGTCAATGGTAGGTTCAGTTTCCTGTCCTCAGAACATCAAAGCTGAGTCTGGATATGCACTTGAAGTGACATGATGACATTATGGGTATCCATGGCTCATAGTAATAGCAGTCATGAAGTACCAAGAAAACAATAGTATTATCATTTTATGAGCTCTTTTCGGGAGCTTTAAAACATGCTGTTCTCGTATCAGTGCTTTAAACAAGTAGCCCTGAAATGACATCATCCAGTAGAACAAGGAGCAAAGAAACAGGTAGTAGTGTTGTGAGACTGGCCCAAGCATTTGCTTAGCTAATGAAAACCATGTTGGCTGGAGAGCTGGTCTTCCATCCACCCTTGGCGGATGAATTAGGAGACTTTTGAGGGTGGTTACTGGGTTGTAGACAAGACGAGGCTAATGATGGATGAGTTTGGGCTCCAGTCACAGTCTAATGTCTCATCGGAGCCAGATTTCTCTACACCAAATTTCACCTCATGCAAATAGTTACACTGTCCAGTGGTCTGAGTACCGCAATAAGAAGTCAGAGAAATTTATAGCCGGTCCTATTCTCCTGTGATCATTTTGGCTGTTTCTTGCTGCCTTCACCTTTGTTTATTAATCCCATTCAGACTACCGATTCAAATTTTCCACAATACATCATTTTGATTTCTTTAAATTTTTCTTCTCTCTGAAAAAAAAAAAAAAAAAAGTTTTAGGAAATAACTTGTTCCTTTCAGTTTTCTCACCTTTCAGCAAGCCAGAGCAGAGCTACAGGTAATGACTGTCGGTTTGTCAGTGCCACCTAAAATCTGCAGACTGTCCACTTTACTGTGAACCCTTTTGGCTGAAGTCTTCATAGACCTTTTTTATTTCCCCAGTGCCCCACTCTCTGCTCATACTCCTGTAATATTTGGCCCCAGTGCTGAAAATAAACACCTTTGGTTTTTCCTCAGCACTGCTGCATGAGCAAAGGCGTCATAATCCAAGCTTACCTGCGCTAATTAGCAAGCCAAAATATTCCACCCTGTTTTACTGATGGCCACTAAAATGACTATTAACATTTTCAGATTCAGTAGGTATCATTTGGGAATGGGGGATGAGCAGTAGCATGTTAGCGCTACTATCTGCTATGCCTTTGTTAAGGATAAATGGGATATTTAATGCAGTGATCTTATATTGTCTGGTGCAGATAATAAGCATTAAAAACACAAAAAAAATGTGATAGAATGAAGTACAGAATTTAAAAAAAATGTACAAAAGGGTCAACATGTTCACATATATAGATTACATATCAACGAAAACACCTCAAAGATCACCACAGGACTGATGCCTGACAAGTCTTTGTTTTGTTGTGATAATATGCGAAAGTTCTTAGCACACAACCAGAGAACTGGGTCACTTAGCTCAGATTTCTTTGTACTGGCTTTACTTGTTCTTCAGTGATTTTACTTCAGTTTCTCCCGCTGAGATCCAGATTCTGACAAAATGCAGCAGCATTTTTTTCCACCTTCATTTACCACGTTTTCACGCCACAGTGCTCTCCCCTGTGCTCCCACAGCATGCCTTACATGAGTCGGTTTTTAAAAGTGAGAAATCAGAACAAGTGGCCTCTGTTATACATCAGTCCAGTCTAGACAGTAACTCACATGACTGTAAGCTAAACTGCCAGGAGCATTATCACTGGCACAATAAAGCAATGGAGCCAAGGTGAAAGAAAGTCGAAGGAAAGCAGATCAATCATATTTTTATTCTTGCAATTTGCCAATTGGCGAAATTCAACGGTGGCTCAAGGCTTGACTTCAACTTTAAAACATTGATGCTGTTAAGCAAGGATCCAATATCCAACTTATTCACAAACATAAACTTTCTTAATCAAGTAAATACACGAACAAAAGTTGGACATTATATTTTCAGGTGTATCTTACCAACACTGAAAGCTTTTTTTTCGCCCCCATCAGATTAGAGATGATATCCAACAGCCCAAACATAAACCCAGCAACACTTGCATTTAGAGCGAGAATCCATTTATAATGATCTTTAAAACTGCAGTTTTGAAACTCAACCTGAAACAGTCTGCCAAATACCTGTCTGGAACACAGAGGTTTTTATGAAAGGACAATAACAGGCTTTATAACTGATAATTGAGAAATGGTTTTGAACTATTTGCACGGTACATAAAAAGTAATGTTCCACTTCTACCGCGCTATTTTGGAAAAAGTCCAGCACTTTGTAGGCAGGCTACATTAAAAGTTTTCTCAATAAGCCCCGAAACCCAGGGGAAATGATGAACAGCTGCATTGTTTGGACACAAAAAAAAAGTTTATTTCAGGAACTGGTCCTCATCAGAGAGAGCAAGAAGAAGGATGTTGATGTCTGGGTCTATTTTTACTATTTATAAAAAGTTGAAAGGCTGTGTTATGTGTAAAAAGATATGTTTTTAACTCCATGTAAACCCTGGATTTTATTGAAAATAGTGCAAAGACAACATATCAAATGTTAAATCGTATGATTGTCATTTTGAACTTGATGCCATTAACATGTCTGATGAAGTTGGGAAAGACATGTTCAACATTGCGTGGCATCACTATTTCTTTTACAACACTCTTATCATATTGCCCTGTTCTTGCCTGACATAGGAATTCAGCTGCTTAAAAGTCTGGGATCTCTTTTATCATATTACTTGTTTTATGATATCCCAAATTTTGTTTCAGTGGGTGACAAGTTGGAGCAGTTTAGCACTTCAAGTCTTCTTCCACAGAGCCATGCTTTTGCAGTGTGTGCAGAGTTGGGTTTGGCATTGTCCTGCTGTAGACCGGGTATCCATAGTTATCAAAAAGAAAGTCAGAATTTGATTTGTTCGACCACAGATTTTTACTCTCACCATCTTACAGGAGGGTCTGGGCCCAGAGAAGTCACCAGTAAATCTAAACCATATTTATGGTTTCCCTTTTAAATGGGACGGTTATGAGCTGTATTTGTGGCTACGTCGACAAACTGTGGTCACAGACGGTGGTTTTTGGAAGTGATTTTGAGCTCATGCAGTGATTTCCACTCTTGAGTCAAAACGTTATTCTGAAACTGTTGAATCATTTGCTGACATAGTCTCACAGAGTGGTGAACCTCTTTCCATCTCTATGTCAGAGAGACTCAGCCTCTCTGGAGCAGCCTAATAAGTTGGGAGATGTTCACCCAAGTTTTTCAAATATCATATTTCATAAAGTATGTATGTATGTGTATGTATGTATGTATGTATGTATTTATTGTAATAATAATGAATGATAATAACAATAATGAATGATAATAATAATAATTATAATATAAAACATTATTATTATTATTATTGTTTATTTTTTATTATTTTTTATATAGTATATGTTATCATATATATATATATATATAAACTTTTTTTAATACATTTTTAATAATTTTGCCACTGTTTACAAATATGTTAATAGTGGTATCAAACCGATAAAAACTTTTTTTTCTGTCTTTGAGATATATACAATTTTTCATTACAACATTTGCCATAAGTTTTTTTTCACAATTTTCAAAGTATTTTCATTATAATTAAATGATCTTTTATGATTTTTGAGGTATCATGAATCGTTTTAGTCAATTGATTCAGCACCATAACTCTTGACATGGGGTTTTAGAGGGTTTAAATTGAAGGGGCACATTGTTTACTGCCTTGTTCAGGCTGCTATTACAGCTAAGGGACTATCATATTTGGGGTAGCTGTAAAAACATATTTTGAACGGACAAAGCAAAGGCAGATCATTTTATTATGTCGATCTGCCGCTCATCTGTTGTCTGTGACGACCATTTATCTCCTGTTACTCGCGTTAGCGGTGGCATTGTGGTGACGGTGCCCGGGCAGGCAAGAGCTCGGATGGAGGCAGCTCAGCCTGCACAGCTGACCGTCGCTCCACCGTCGGCCTGCTGATGATTACGGAATACATTCACAGCGAGAGCTGGCGAATCCATTTTCACAGGCGGAGAAAAGCAGCCTCGTAGAAATACAAATTAGAAAACCAGCGTATATCGCAGTTCTTTATGGCTTCTGGCTCCGGAGATGAAGAGGGAAGCACGGACGGCGCTACATGGAGACTCATAGGCCCGACCACGGTGCTTTCCAAGCAGCGGTGCCGTCTGATGTACTCCTCCCTCGGCTACGACTCTGATGTCTGCCTCTTTTATGTGAAGGGGGAGTTTTTCGCTATGGATGCTCGCTGTTCACATTCCGGTATAGCCTCAAACAATCCATCCTCCATTCACTCAGATGTTTATGATGGCACCATACTGCACAATAGCTCATTTTTGTAAACATGTAACAATTACAGGCGAGTATTTACCGAAATGCACTGAACTGTATCTGGAATGGGGCAAACTGATTCATTCATCCATCATCTTGAATGAACCTTAGCTTGACTTGAAATACAAGCTGACATTATCATTGAATCAAGACAGTACAGATATTTTATTATAATTATGATAGTCATGTATTTTGGGGTGAGGTATTTGTAACATTTGCTTTGTCTCCCAGGCGGCCCTCTGTGTGAGGGGGACATTGAGGAGGCTGATGGGGTCCTGCAGGTCTTCTGCCCCTGGCATGATTACGACTTTGACCTCAGAACAGGGAAGTCAGGGACCTCCTTACAGGTCAGTAATGAAATGGCTGTATGAAGTTATTTTTGCTCAGCATGATAGATAAAAGTCTTCTTGTACCCTCAAGAAAAAACAGACACGTAACATTGATGAAATCTCCTCCCAAGGATGATAAATTAGTTGAAATGTATGAAAACTGAAATCATGAGCACCTCAAATGTAGCCCATCAGAGGGAGTTACCAAATACTGCCAGCAGTAAGTGAATAAATCATCCACGCCTATTAAATGCTGGACTTTGGACTAATTGACAAGGCATGATAAATCATCGCTCATCAGTCAGAGTAAAGATTGTGTTCCCCTCTTTTGTTCTAATAAACATTTGTCTTCTTCTGTTCTGTTGTCCAGATACATGTGCCAGTGATCAGTCTAAACAAGGGCTTAACTTTCAATAAACATCTCATCTTCTTTTCCATTTATCATTATTATACACTTTTGTTTTGCTCTCTAATCACTTTGAAGTTTACTGTGAGGAAGGGGGATTAGAATAACTATTTTTCTAATGTCAGTGAGTTTATGTACTGACGAAAACTTGCTTGATGTTTAATCCATACATTATGATATTAACTGTAGGCTGACTTGTACTTGTGAGGTTCTGTGCAAGCACTTCCTGCCTCCACGGTAGCTTGTGAAGATGTGAGTTCAATTTTTTTCGACTCTTGTCCCTCTTTATCTCTTTCTCTTCAGCAACAAGTGTACGAAGTCAAGCTGGAGGATGGTAACGTGTACGTGAAACACGCCAGCAGACTTTCACTTCAGCCTTTTCCTGCCGATCAGAAGAGCTGATTGAACGTCCTCAGTGAGACTATCCCACCCCTGAGTCCGCTGTAAGCCCACTCTGGCTATTTTTAAGACTTGTTCCACAAACCCAAGCCATCTGAAACATTCCTGAGCCTTATCGTCCGTTTTCACAGACCATTTCTCCTTTGATTGCTGTGAACTCCAGAGGATATCAAAAGGATTGTCCGGAGAAGACATGACTTCATTAAATTGTTTCAGAGTTTTTCTTACTGGCGTTCCACATAGAGAGACTCATTAACATTGAGAGCTATGGGCAAATATGCAACATAAAGGGTAAAGAATAATTTATGCTAGCATAAAATTAGTTTGCAAATGTCATTGTTTGCAAGATAAAAGCAATTTTCCCAATCCTTATTATTTGAATTTATGCATCCCTCTGAATCATTTGCTGATAAATTTATACCAGTGTTATCAAAATATGTTGAAAGTTCTGCATTACATAGAATTAAATCTGCACCAGTCTTTGCATCTTTGGTTGTAAGCAGCCAAAATATAATCAGTATTTGAGTGAGCTGGTCGGCCCTCACAAGCAAATTGTGTCTCAAACCGCCCCAAAAATGTTAGACATTCTTTGAAATACAAACAGTGTAATTTAAAAACAGTCAAACCACAACTTAAATCAGAGGATGAATTAAACATGCAACCATATTGAATCTTGAAGCCTTCATCCTGGGACATATTAGAGGTATCAGGATTCATCACATTGTGCAAAATGCAATGCTTACCCAGTGATGCAGGACTTGTGCAAAATTAATGACAAAGATCTTTTTTTTTCTCTCGTTTCTTTCTTTTGTTTTTCTTGACTAAACTTTTTACTTCGAGTTATTAGTTGGGGAATTTTGTGAAAATCCAAGTTCACACCATCGGCATATGAGGTGGAATAAGCAGAGAACCTTTTTATGAGTGTTAAGTTCCACTTATTTTCAATGGAAGAATTTGTAATAAGAGAAGTGTTATGCAGGTCTCGTTCAGCAGCTAATTTCTGATTAATGTAAATGGTCTCGTGTTCATTAATAAGCCATCCATGTCTCTAATGAGGCCCTAAATTGTGAAACTTTTCATCCTCATTGCTGAGTTACGGCCTTTGGAAAGCTCTGGGCATTTCTTCCAGTGATGTCACTCAACAGAAAAGCCCTTTCAGTATTCGTATATCTGGACTGTTTTAACCCAAATAAAGTTCCAGCAAGCAGAACACACATGGAGGGCACCGCAATTACGATTGGTGGCAGGCCCGGCAGTAAGACGTCTCCATCAGCGTTTCCCTCCATCCCTGGCCTGTTTTCAGACAGGTTTGTCTGTTACTGACGCAATGGGACTCAAAAGAAACGGTTAGTGAGGCGCCGGGGTAAGGTTCACGACCTGAAATGCACCATTGACGGAGGAAAAATGTGTTTTTCTACTTTTATGTGTGTGTATGTGTGTGTGCACCGATCCGTGAGTGTGTGTTTTTTGTATTTCTCAGTGGAGAGAGCAGTCACTTAGTATATTTTCTGTCAGCTCTACTTTCTGGCAGAGGCACAGAGTCCAGTCCTGGAGGTGTCAGTGACAGTGTGGCTCAACACTCTCATTTTCCTTCCTGCTGTGCCCCCTGTTGTGCAACTTTATTACAATAATATTTCCATTGGCTAAAATGTCCGTTGGGTTCACCGGGGCTCTTGCTGTCTGGAGTATAACTCATCACCTGGAGGGTAATGGTTTTACACAGTGGAGATGAGCTATTTCACGTAGGTAGAAAGCAAATATTGTTCAGAATTTTGCACAGTCTCTTAATCTATACAGCATTCTTGTCAGGCATTTGCCAGATGTCTCCATATTTTTATATGCTTGTTTAATTTTAATGTATCGTTACCTGAACGCTGTACTTTGCCAATGTGCAAGAAACCCTTTTTAAAGCATTTACTTGTATTCTTTTGTTTTCAGCTGCCATTATTTTGCTTTTGATTAAACTGTATTTGTTGTTATTTATGCGAACTTGAACATTTTCTTGTTTTGTTTGGTTCATTAATTAAATTGATAACTGTACTGTAAGCAAGAGTCTGTTATTTTTGTCAAATTGACAATTAAGCTTGTTTTTTTTATCTTCAGAAATAGGAAGCTGTAAAATTGAGGTAAATCCTGCAGTGGATCTGCACATAATACACAACTCAGGATTAATATGAATCAAGAAGTTTACACAAAATCATTTATTTACAGTTTCTTGTTTCTACAATATTAGTAGATTTCGTACAATACACAATTTACACATACCAACGTAAATCATAGAGAAACATACAATTAGCACCATGCAATTTCAAAGCGGTAACAGAAATAAGTAGGATTTCATTAATTTCATTGTTTTCTCTGGGAGTTCAGGTGCCCTTCTAAAAGACAAACATCCACCCTGTAAACATTACTTTGGATGAAAAGTGGAGGAAATTTGTTGAAGGAGATATGGTTTTGTTGTGACCAGTTGTACACCGCAATAGCCAAAAAAAGGATGTATCTGTTTGTGCTCAAGTTTTTGTTGGAGGTTAGGTGGTTACATATAAAGTGTGCGCCCCTCTACTAAAAAGTGAAATAAGACAGTAATTATGAACCCTCTGAAGTTTATCTGGTAGATTTTTGGGTATGAATTGCTTGGCACTTCAAAAAAGTACAAGTAATCAAGGAATGGTAGAGCATTGTGGAAATGCTTGCTCTTTGGTGTCTTGGGCTGAGCATATATCTTACAGTCGTATTACATCATGGTGGAAAATGAACTCACACTGTGCAAGTAAATTTTGTGACACAAAAACAAAGCTCACTATTTATGTGTTCACACTGCGCAACCTGATTGCTCACAAAGGATGAAGCTTTGACCATTGTCAACATAATCCTGCGCATCAACATTGAAGTCAGAGACTTTGACTTTGATCATAAAGGTAAAAAGTAGTCATCACCTTTCTGACATGACACTCAAACAAGAAATGTTAAGGCTTTGTAAAAGGAAAAGAAAAAGTGGTAGATTTTCGTTACTTTATCAAACTAGACTGGTGTTATAGTGTTTACATCATGCAATCATTTTGCAGAATTGCTTTCAGCAAAACAAAGCTATGAAGTTGGGGCACCAGCATGTAGCCCTGCCTTCAATGAGCAAGAGGATGCAGTTGACCATCTTAAATTTCTAAAATGTTAGAAAACCTGATCAGAAAATCAGTTGTACACCTTAAAAATTGGGCACAGCATATGCCCAGCCTTGGGTGACTTTGTACAGGATATCAACACCACCTATAGATCTATCTGTACGGTAGGCAAGCTAGGTTAGTAGCTAATTAGACCTTGTAAAGTAACAAGTTGTAATTTTAGGGGGTTGTGAGTCAGCTTTATTATGGTAACAATGCTACAAGCATGGGTGGCTTCGCTCTGCCATGCTAGCAAGTCTTCCTGAAAGACCCTGACAAGTTCTTCTGCTTCTCTGATCTTAACGCTAAGGCAGGCCTGGCACTGACTGTGGGGATGAATTTCACTGACAGAAATTATAGGGTTGCTGACCTGTTTATCATTTTCTTTGCATGGTAGTCAATGAAATGTCAAATTATTTTATCAAAAGTTTAAAACAACAAAGCATCTACCTTCATTGAGCCAGGTGACATTAGCATTGAAGCCTAATGCAACAGTTGTTCCTCAGACTGACATACCATTCAATAAGAATGAGATAAACATTTCCTTTCCACTGAAGTTTTCAGTTTTAAACTGTATTTTATTGTAAACATTTTTTTCACAAGTCATTAGACTAAACATTGCAGAGGATGTTTAATCTTCTTTGAAGTTCCCCACAAGACAAAGTAACTCTTTGAGAGCCAAGCTTACTTTCCCATGCAGAGCCTTACATAATGGCTTACTCGGCCTGTTATTGTTACCTTGTCCTTCAAACCCCCCTGATGGCTTCTCCTCATGAATAAGCCAATTCTCCTGTCAAAGCATTCTCCTCTAAAACCTACATTCTTCCATGTGCAACCACTTTTGAAGCCTGATGTTTTCGAAGTGATTGACTGTGAGGCCAAAGACCACTAATATTTTCCCTTCCTTTTTTCCCCTTTTACCAAACAGTACCCCAAAAATGATTAAACCCATCACTGGATAATCCCCTCCTCCCTTCTGTCTCTTGAAGTCTCTGTCTAACATTTCCTCCAGTTGCTCTACAGCTGTCGGTCCTCCTCAGCTGACCTCACACACCATCGCATTTTTATAGGGCTTATCTCTTCCCTCACCTGGATTCAATCATCATCTTTCTTATAGGGTGGATACTACATCTGCTGCGGGGCGATGTTTGTTTTCATCTGGAGATCCGGACTATTCTGTTGCGGATGGCCTACAGGCCTGTGATTAGAGAGTTTAGTGGTAATGGTGAAAGTTCGATGTGTTGTCAACCCATATTACTTTGTTTTGACTGTTTTCAGGAGTGTGCCTCTCCAAGTCATAATTTAGCAGAAATTGTTTTTTGAAGTGGGGTAATATCTGGTTTTCATTTGCACTTCTCACCGTTCAGAGACAACAAAAATAAATATTTTGCACATGAGGGAAAAACGTGTTAATATATGGCTTAAAAGGACAGAGTGGAAAATACTGTCTAAAGATACCTTAAAACTTTTGAGCTAAATGGTTGATCAACTTTGTGTCCTTGAAATTTACTTTGTCAAAGTTGGCCTAACTTCCCAGACCTCATGGGAGCATGTGATTTATTTTCCTATTAACAGATGGCTTATATTTATTTCTCAGCCTCCCCTAGTTTCTTCATGGTCTCCCTCATTTGGTTTTGGATTAGTTCAGCTTGACAAGCCTCTCCCGTGGGTCTGTTATTGCCTGTTATGCATATACACAAGTCTGGAGCTTTTATCAGTGTCTCTCTGTTGCTGAGTTCAATAATTAAAATGAAAACTATTTTGATTTCAAAAGTCTATCTTGTCTCATTATGTACTGGGGTACAAACTTCATCCATATTGACACACTGACAGTCAGTGACAGTAGTGTCAATGAAATTTGGCTGTGTAAGTCTTCAGGGTCCTCATGAAGCTGTGGGTTTTGCTAATAAAGAGAACTGTCCATGAAGAATATTAACTTTTTCTAGGGTTGAAAATACTACTGTTGTGTACACACTGTAAAATCAACACAGCCATGCAGCAAAGAAAACAGTTTTATACACTTGATGCAGTTAAGAGAACTGAAAATTGATTACAGAGTAGTTAAATTATTCGCAAAAAAAAAAAATAATACTCAAAATGAATCTTATTCAAAATCTTGTACAAACATCTACCACAGGCACTTGAAGGACTTCTTACTTCAATCACCAGTAGCATTTTCTGTGTACTTCTATATTTGTCTCACATGCTTCTCTAAGAATTCCCAAGTTAAATTACAAAGTTATTGCACTTTTAGATACAAAGGCTGCTCACAAAAACATTACCCAACAATTAGACACTGAATGAGTCGCTGCAACAGTTACTGTGACTGCTATTTGGGGGAACACGGTTCATCTTTATGTTCGATAAATTTGGAATTTGGAATGTTGACAAAAGTCCTTCCTGAAATAAAACATCAACTGCTCTCATTTTAGACCGCCGTTTCCTGCAATGAGATCCATGCTTGTCTTGGAGAAGGTTTTGGTCTTGCACATTTTAAGTAGGTGTGGAAGGACATGTGGCTGTTTTGCAGCTTGGCAATAGGGCGTGCATGCAAAAGAAAACTTCAACAAGCATGACTGAAAACATCCTCTGTTCCCTGGGTGGCATGCCTCCCCCCCTACTGCACCTACTTTGTCTCTTTTGATGCCACGCCTTCATGGAGAGAGGTTCCAAGTTGTTAAGTGTTTCCAGGTTTGTAAAAGGACTCAGTGTCTACTGGCTGGAAACAAGTTCCTTTTCAATCTTAAAGAGCATTTCACTGGAAAGCAATGACCAATTATGAAGTGTTTGAGGGACTGACGTAATATTTACAGTTTTTTGAGGTTTGTTTCAATTCAAGTGTTGACAGATGTCAGCAAAACACCACAAGTATAATTCCACAAATTAAAGCTATAAAAATTGCATTCCAAAACAATTCATATTCCTTGAAAAAAGTTCGACCACAACTAATCAAATAAATGACAGTCACTGCATTCTTCAAAACAAATGGTGCAAGTCTTTTAGGAGAGAGAAAATTTATATACCAACCCTTCAAGTAAGTAAAAGTCTGATGAATATCTTCAATTCATTGTTTTTTCTGAAATCGTGTCTGTCGTGGCTTTGGGGTGTCCATGGTCAGGAGGAGTTCACACTCATCAATAGATGGGCAACTTGTACTTCCTCAACCTGATGCCATCAAAGCAGTCTTTACTGAAGTCCTAAAATGAAAAAATACGTATAAATGAGTCTGTCAATGTCATCACACATTCATTATAAAATCACAGCTTACCTGCTGGCACATCTACTGGCGTTGCTGTGTGCGCATGGACACTCTCCTCCTTGTCGTGGAGCTGACTCTGCGACTCTCAGTCCGCTGCTCTGAAGGATAGGCCACCACTCGGGTGCTTGATCTCTGTACCTGCAGCCCCTCTGATTCTCGCATGTCCCTCGCCATTTGAGATAGTGTCTGACCCGGGTTGGTTTGCAGACGTTGGAAGAGGCTTTCTCTGCTAATTTTCCTCTCAGGGCAGCTGAATGTCAGCGCCACTCCAGAATCTGACTTCATCTCTCTGGAGAAACCGTCTGAGGTACCGTCAAAGCAGCGGCCTATAGCGATTTCCTTGGCCAACCTGGGATTCTGATCTGTGACTGTATAAATGCCATAGTTGTGTCCTAAAGGATCAACAGGAGCTAGCATTGTGAATGCATGGGAATCGTTGTTTTGAGCTACTGGTGGATGTTTGATGAGATACTCTTGTAGGAGGTTGTTGGTGCCTATTTTGCGACAGTTCCCCTGGGGAAGGATCGATATAAGGGATCTATCAACCTCAGCCTGATCAAACAACATGCCACTGCATTTAAACTCCACACAGGCTGCTGAAGTGTTGGCTTCTCGCATGTCCCTGGTGCTGCGAATGTCTCTTATGCCATAAAGTTTTCCTTTTGTTTCCTTGTGAGATCCTCCAAGATTCCTTGACCTGACCATCACTTCCTTCTGTCCTTGAATCCGGACCTTGATGAAGCAAGCTCTGAACTCCTGGGGATTTGGCCACCAGGAAAGGTAGTCCCCTGTCCAGGTTGTCAAATCATTCTCCTCGAAGGGGACAACGTTGTATTCATACTTGTCCTTTTCCACTCTGAAGAATCTGAAGTGATTAGCATCAACAGGGGCATTTTCACAAGCTATCAAACTCTGATATGGATAGATTGGACCATTAGTTTCATCAAGGTTATTTTGATTTGGTTTCGCCAGGTTGATTCTGAATGCTGTTTTCTTAAGAGCTGGGTCTTCATGGTCAGAGCGCTGATAGTCTATTTTGTCTAGATATGGCTGAGACACTCCAATGATGTTTGGGTTCATCTTGGGGGAGGATGGGGCTGCTTCCAGTTCCTCTCCACCCATCATTGCTGTAACATAAGCTGTGTAAGCATCAGGCCTTTGGGCATCACAGAATGCAGGTAAACAGGCTCCATTGGATCCAGTTATGACACTGTCAAAGCGCCCCCATGCCCTAGGATTGGAAGAGTACCCAGGTTTTGGCTCCAAGTTTATCAAACTTATCACAACACCCTCCAGCTGTTCAGTAGGTAGGAACTTGTCGCTCATGTAGGCACGGACTTTGACATAGCAGCGTCTGTTTTCAGGCACGTCTAAATTGAAGAGCCGACGTTCTCTGATCTCCATGTTGCCAATGAGAAATGTGCGCTCCTCTCGTTTGCTCCGCCCATGACCACCAGAGGTAGTAGTGGTATAGGAAAAGTCACTCTCCTCCTCCCAGACTCCTGTGTCTGGATTTAGAGACCATAGCTTCATTTTTGGGATGTGCTCTTCCATTTTGACGTGCTGTGTGTCGAGGAGGACTTGGACAGCTCCGGCTCCAAGAACGTCCTTATTGGTCTCATCTCTGAAATCTACAGAGAACATGCCATAGGTCCTCAAAGGGAGCATATCACCCTCATTATCCACAAAGTTGAGATCACCAGGGGCTGCAGCTGCTGTGGTAATATTTCTTGGGTCAATGAATGTCACGCTGGCTTTCACAGTTCCCTCATAGATTTCACCATTGTCCTTATGGAAAGAGTTTGGGGGTATCACCAACTGACCAATAGGGTCTTCCCCTTCTATGTCACCCAGGCTAATAGAGTTGGTCTCTGCTGCATCAATATCAATTGGTTTCTGCTTTCTCATGACCTTCACATCATGGTAGATGGCACCACTTTTCTTATCAAAAATGAACACCTTTGGAGTGTCAAGAAACTTTTCAGTGGGGTCCACAAAGTTTACCACTAACCTCTTTGTGTCAGGAGGAATCTTTAAGGTGAAACTTCCTTGGTATCCAGTGGTACCCACCCTCTCTTTACCAATGTAGATGTGCCCAAAACGCAAAGGTTCATTATTGTCAGCTGTGACCACCCTGCCACGAACCAATATCGTCGGCTGGACACACTTCTGACAGCTGCACTGCGTCACAGCCCGAATGGGAAGACTGTAGCTCCCGCAGTCAATTGTACGGCTTTCCATACTTTGGACCCCACAGCAGAAACCATCCCCATCTCTGCAGCGCATATCAAAGTCCAGGGAGCCAGCACATTTGTTATGAGGGCAGCGGCCAGCGTTGTAGTAGCTGGAGTCTGTCCCAGGTTGAACGCAATCCATCGGTAGCCTGATCAGGTGAGCCTCAGGAGTTGAGTTGCATGCTGGTGTTCCTTTAGCTGCAAATGAAAAATAAAAAAAAGATGACATTTAAATAGTGTTGATGTGACACAATTGTTGGATGGGTTAGCATGCTTTTATGAATATTACATGGAAAACTTTTCATGAATGCAAGAGGACTGCAGTGGTTAAGAACATATTGGTCACTCTCTTTGGAAAATGGGGCAGCAAACTCACTATCCCATTATGATAGACACCTATTTAGAGGAGTATTGGTGGGGGCCAGGCCTGACTGACTAATGTGGAAAAACACAACGTTATAACCAACACAACCATTATTGTGAAATGTTTTTGGAGGTACAGCCAGCTGTGCTAAAGCCACTGTATTTAATTATGATGAGTTAATTACATCGATACTATTAGCAGCCTCTGCCAGCTGTCAGGCTCTGGACAGTGTGTACATTAGGCATTGAGCCAAATTAGCCCTAATTAGTGATATAAATGTTATTCACTGTCATTGGGATATGCCAATTTCTCATCTGAACATTTTTTTAAATCAACAATTAGTATTGTGGAGTTTCAATAAAGTCTAACTGTTCACATCATTTATAAATACTGAGCTCCCCTAGACACCTGGAGATCTTCTTGTCATGTCTTGATTTCCAACATTTTTCTTTTTGCATGTGTTGTCTGTGTTTGTGCATTGTTTATAGTTTTTTTTCATCATGCTTACTGTTTATGGACTTTGAGCTCTTTGCAGCATGTTTTTTATTTACAGCAGAGTTTGCGGTTTTGAACTTTTGAATGTGTTGATGATTGTGTGTAATTTCTGAGCTTGAAGCATGCTGCTCCTGGTGAAGATCCTTTGGACCACTGCAGTACAGCTGGCTTTGTTGGCCTCTGTAAACTTTCTATTTGAACACTAAGCCTGTTCTCTAAAGCCTGTCAAGTGTATCAGTTTTTTAGTCTAAGACTGCAGAGTACTGGGCAATTGTGACTCAATGCATGAGTGAAATAGAATAAGTGGAACGTTAATACACTGGCCTTTATAAATTCAGCAATTAAAACATTATTTATGCCCAAGAAGTTTATAAATGAATGCATACATACATACAATGTATGCTGCATGCTCTGAGAGTACCTGTATGTGGCCAAAACGAGAATAAAATTGTCAAGTGTAATAGAATGTTTATTGACCAGCTATGAGAGCTGGAAATAAGTGGAGTGACCTCTGCAAGCTGGTTCAGGCAGGCAACCTGAGCTGTACTGATCTCACGTTTTCCATGTGTCATGCCTCGCAATCACCTCACAGGTATATCCTTTGAATTAGGTGGTCTATATGATATCCACTCTCTAGCCCTGTTTTGTCAATGCCACTTCTGACTTGTCTATGTCAATGTCAATGTCAATTTTATTTGTATAGCACATTTAAACAGCCAGTGGCCTTCTAAAGTGCTTTACAATAACGAAGCAGTAGCAATAAAAGCAAGTCATACACAACAAACAGCAGCAACAAAAGACATGTAACATATAAATGTAAATAAAAACAATACAAGTATCATACTCCGTCAAAAGCTAAGGTGAACAAGTGCGTTGTAACAGTGTTTCAGCCCTACCACCATCCTAGCATGAACCTACGAGCTCTGACTAGGGGGTTTATCATTTTCTCTAACGGCTTCTTAGTTTTAGCGTGTAAAGTTCATCTGCTAAGAGTTCGGAGGTCAAACAATTGTGCTGCTGCAAAAAAGTTTTGACCGATTCAGCGTGGGTTGACTGACTAAGAAATGTGTTGGTCACATAGACACTGGCAGGATAATTTTATGTAGATGACATGATCTAGCTTAAAGGCAAGTATCACCATTTCCTGAGTTAGTCAATAATTACAGACAAACAAGTTTTGCAGTGTTTATGAGTTGTCATTACAGCACCGCTGATGGCTTTACCAACAGGGATTTCAGTTTCCATATTGTAAATTATATGACTTTTTATTTGATCAGTTGTGGTGTAGCCTTATTCCTTGCATATTGACAAATTTGAGAAGAAACTGCTGACTTAAAGGATTGAGGCAACTTTTTTTTGTCCTGCTCTTTGACTGAGGTGTTTGCATGCACAATGTGTCCACTGACATAACAACTTTTGGAGTGAGAGGATTGGCACGTGACCTCAGATAGAAAATCCATGAAAACCCTGTTTGTTAATATGTGTCTTGGCTAACAAGCCCCTGAAGGATATAAGCAATCTGTAGTCCTCCCACACGGATGTGGCAAAGCATACTTGTCTGACTAGGAGAGAAAAAAAAACAGGATTTATTGACAAACTTGGATTTCACCTCAGTACTGGGTGTTCTGAAGAAACAGGGTTTGAGGTTTTACAGTGTCCAGATCCATCTCAGACAATAAAGAATCCCAGTTTAGAGAGCTGGAACTCCAACCAAAGTAAACATAATAAAAACTAACTTCCCCAAGAGCAACCAGATTATGTGAGCCCTGATAGATTTTAATTTTCCTACTTGCTTTGAAGGTAATTTTTTTCTTTTTTCCTAATGACAGCCTCTTAACTGGCTTTTCTCCCTCTTTGGGTTGTAGTACACTGTGGTTTTGTTTGAATCCTCTTAATGCACTGCCATGTCTCATGGATGACTAAGTTTGAGCTCAGCGCTGACATTCCTTATAAAGTGTGTATTCGATGTCTGAGGCAGCAGCTCTTTACACAGTCAGATGAATTGTGGTTGTTTGCTTTTAGATGGTGGTTTAACTTGAGCCTGTACGGGACTTTGACTCAATACGTCATTGTCAAGTGAGCTGGGATAGCAGCCATTCGAAGCAATAATCCCTGTTTTCTGCTTGCTGTTATCATGGTTAATTAGTTTTTCTAGCGGCTGATGATGATGAATTACAGTTTAAATTACATCACCGCGACATTGACTTGAGGCTAGTTTTTTTGTATCTTCCTGACTGTGAGAACACAGTCTCAGCAAAGAGATGGATGTTTTTTTACTCTTTAATACTGAGTGCTGAATAAACCAGTTTTTCTTTATTGGTCTAGTTTGTTCATCTTTACTTCCAAAACCCAACCAAGTGTTGCAAGACTTAATATTAAGGTCTTTGTGTTTCAAAAGCAATAATAAATGTGTTAGTTAGGCTTTTAAAAACACTCATAGAACTTTATAAATGTCTAGAAGTTTCCTATGAAGTCTTACAAGTAGATGATTAATGATGAGTTAATGCTTATTACAAAGACCTTAATGTAGAGTGTTACCACATCTTTTATTATTTATTTAGTGGAGCACTGCCCAGGATGAACCCTGAATCCACCCAGTGCCAGCTGGGCGAACTCTGATGCATGGGTATGCTTGTCTTGAGAGATCTGACTCCATACATACCGATCACAGTGAGTAAGGCTGGAGAGGATTTGATGCTGCCTGCAGGGCTGCTGGTTTTGCAGTAGTACTGCCCTGACTGCTCTAGCTTCAAGTCCCGCAACACAAGGTCCTCTTCATACTTGTACACCTTCCTGTCCAGCAGAGTCCCATTGTGGTACCTTCAAAATTAGACAGAAAAACAAGAAAGTACATAGTTTACTTACTGCATGCTGGTAAATGCAATTTTTAAATAAAGATAAGACGTTTGAATGGTAAAAATTCTAATTAGCAGGTGGATTACAAGTACTTTTGAGGGAGATATCTGCAGCAACAACGATAAGTGCATGTACCCATCAAGAAAATATTGGCTTTCAATAAAACCTCAGTAATAAAACAACTCATCCCCACCCCACTGCGCAAATCACCCCAAATCAACAGGCACGCCTGCCGGGCCACAATTCAACTCACTAACACAAAACAGTCTGCAGCTCCTGAGGATGGATTGTTATCTATTGAGCAGATGGTGTGAGCTGAGTTCACTCTGACTTGGGGATTCTTGGGCCATTGTCCTACACACTAGACAGCTGGTCAGCGCTGTATCCGGTCTGAAAATGACCATATATGTTTGGCAAGAGGCAGAGATGATGTACGAGCAGAGATGAGGTCATTCCAACCAACAGAATATCTCAGTTTTGTTTGGCTACACATACAAACTGAGATAAATGTATGTTTAATCCCAGTGTTTTTTGTCACTGTGGATTATTAAATTGATGAATCAGTGGGGTATTTCTCAACCACATCATAGGATTCTGTATCTTTCCAACATGTTGTTGTTTTCCTACGGCATCATCCTTACAGGCCAGAGACATGCAATTGCAAAATGGCCGCCTGAATGGTTTGACTGTGCACATCTTTAAAAAATTACACAATGTGGAATCAAGCTGCAGTATGCTTATGAACAGTAGGGGTATTGTAAAGGCAGAGGAGATGTGACGGTCGACACAACAGCAGAAAGTTTGAAAGACAGGCAGTTATTCACATCTGCACAGAGTGTCATTACCTCTGCAAAGCATCAAACATGCCTGTCAAATTAACTGGTCAGAGGTAAGGTCACTTCTATTGGTCCATGCAGAAACCTACAGAACTAAACTGGCTTAAGTCCAAGACATGTTGGAAAAACTGAAGGTAAGCGGTGCTGATCGTGTGCTCTCCCTCCAGCAGTCATCAGTCGCCTGAGCGGGCTAAAACATTTGTCCCTCATCAGTTCACTGAGAGCCAGACTTAATATTACAATAACCTCTGTGAGATCTGCCGTATCTTGTTACAGCTTAGTCTCATCAGCACTGTTCTTTTACTGCAGCAGCCTGATGTTGGCAGCAAGAGACCTTTAAGATACTTTATGTCCACTACCTGCCAAGAACCTAATGGCAAGAGGGTGTAGAGTGAATGTAGTTGTTGAATTTGCAGCCACTTAAAATCTCTTGCCAAAGGATCAGTTGGAGCCCAAGTAGAGGTCCAAAAATGCTTCCATTATCTCAGTTCACTGCACGTAAAATCAGAACTTTTAGGGCCCCTGATAGGAAAAGAAATCTGACATGAATACTGAGATGCTAGCTGTTCCTTCGTGTTGTAGTGTCATTGATAAAGCGCCAGCACCATCAGTCATCTCACCAGTAGTATTTATCAGGTGATGGTGATCCAGTTGCCTTGCAGCACAGCAGCACCCGTCCCCCCTCGTAACGCACTTTGTCCTCTGGGTGCTTCACAATGTACGGCTTTTCTGTAAAAAGCAGAGAGGAGTGAGACTTAAAGACCGAACTTTGAGTAATGTTAATGGCTGCTGCAGAGTTTTGAGACCTAATAAAACTCAGTCAAACATTTCATTCTATCCTCACATTGGTCTGTGGGCTTATGAAATACGGTTGTTGGGAGATTTTTACTCTGTCAAAAGTAGCAGATGCCTGTTTTTATTTGGTCTCAATGCAATAAAGTAGGAAAGTGGCTCAGACAGTGTGAAGTCTTTCAATAGGCCAGACTGTTTATGCTGTAATATTATCAATCTCCTGTTTTTTCACAGCCTAAGCATCAGAAACTGGAAAATTTACTTGTGTTTTAATATAATGTAAATGGGATTGAGGTAACTTTGATAATGAAAACAGCTTGTTAGAGGAACCACAAGTAGTATCCTAAGTTTATGCTAAATCCTTGTGCCTGCAGCAATAAAGACAGGAACTTGTATATTTTTAATACACATATAAAATGCATGTATAATTGGATGGTAAATGTGGTTTTAATGAAGAGAAGGTCGACTTACCAGCAGATTTGAGTACAGCATGTACCCATGACAACCCTGTGCTGTTGCTGGTGGTGGACACAGTGACAGGAGCAAACTTCTCTTTCCTGACGGATATCAACGTAGAGGTGGAGGAGCAAATTCCCGGGATCCTGAACTGACCTTTGGCATCTGTACGTGCTCGGATCACCTTAGGCTGACTGGCCAGAGCCACCCAAGCTCCAGCCACGGGCACATTAGTCACTGTAAAGACTTCTCCATGCAGCACATGACCTTGACAAACACATCTGCTACAGTCCTCGCTGGGTCGACCCTCAGTGCACACCAGCTGACATTTGGCTGTGGGGATGAGGACACAGAATGTTGGAACAGACAGGTGTAGATGTAGACTAGCAAAAAACAGTGTAAGTTAAACACCACACACTTAAAATACCTGGGCATGGACCCTTCCCACATTTCTGCATTTCCACAGGCCGTCCGGTACAATAAACTGTCTCTGAGTTTCGTATGCAGGTTCTCCGTCGTATTCGACGACCCCCTCCACAGGTCACTGAACACGTTCCCCAGCGACCCCATGGACTCCACTTGGCTGATCACAAAGAGAGAGACAGATTCGACAATGGTTTCCAACAAGCACTGCACGCTAGTTTTTTTCTCATTCCTGTAATTCAAACTCTACAGAGAATAACTTGAATCTGTTCAGGGATTAACAGTCTCATGTATTATTACAGTGTGCAGGTCATAAATCATACAAACCTTGATAGTTTGACTAATTGTGGCCATTTCACAGCTCACTGTATGATAAGCAGCGACACAGAAAATAAACAGTAAAAACACAGATGAGCGATTGGGCCATATTTTGATCAAATATGTCCGTCAACTGGATTTGACAGCCCATCTGTTAAAATCAAATCACAGCCAAGGTTAGCATTCAGCTACTCCCTAATAGACAAATATACTTAAAAACCATGCATGTGGGAGGGGGGAGGGAAAGGCTTGCACAGGAATTGTAATCATTTTACAGATAGTAGTTTGGAAGTGCTGATGTTTATGTTAGTCTCTATTTAAGTAGTGTATGGGCAGCATAGACTGTATATACTATGTACAACTTGGTTGTCCATACTGGATTCTTCCAGTATACAGATTTAAAGCCGAAAAGCTCTCTGTATTTCTGCATTTTTTCTCCACTTCCTGAAACCAACATTGCGCAGTGGCATTGTACACACTCCACCACTTGCGCAGTAGCATTCGGCTGGAGAGTTGGTGAGAGTCGCTGTGATGACGCTCGGCTCAAACAGCATATCCGCCGGATGAGATACGCAATGTTCTGACGCCCATAGGCTGTATCAAGTGTCAATCATAGAAAACAAGAACCTCCAAATAACTTTTAAAAATGGAGCTGTACAGAAAAAAAGGGGACTTGAGCACAAACCAGTCTTACTGTAACTACATGTCAACATCACAAGCAGGGGGGAGAAAAATGTATATTCTGTGTAATTAATTTCTAAAGTTTGTCCACAGCTCCATAAAGATTGATGGAGGAGGCGGGATCTATGACCTATACTGCAGCCCGTCACCAGAGGGTGCTATTCTCGGGGTGGCTTCACTCAACGAGGAGGCAGATGTCGTCAATTCTATGTACAGTCTATGATGGGCAGACTGTTTTGTAAGCTACAAAACATGTTAACTGGGGACTTTTAGTTCAGTACAAAAGTAAGCCACACAAGTGCTGACTAAAACTGACGAGATCAGCAACCAGTGGTTTGTAGTCAATATTTTCCTTTTTGTTTCTTTGTTCCTGTTGCTTTCAGTCTTTAAAAGACAGCTTTAAACAAGGAAGTATCCTGCTGTGTCTCATGGCTAAGCAGATAATAAAGTTGCCCGTCACCAGATAAGCATCGCTTAGATATCCCTGGACTGACAATGATTTAGATTCTGCGGGCAAGGACCAGTTTCTTCAGGCTTCTGCTGTAGCCGGTAGATATTTAGATAACAGATAGATATCTGGGTGAAGACTTATCCCACCATGTGTTTACAGGACAATTAGAATTTGAGAGAGAAGTGTTGGAGCTGGGATGTGTTTATGGAAAATGCTGTGTTGTACAAGACATTTAGAAAAGACTAAAACATTCTCACAGGATAGCTGCTGAGTCTAAATAAAGCCTCTTAATTATGATTGTTTCCCTGCATGCAACTAAATGGAACCACTGGAACTACAAATGGACTACAAATGGAGGCGCAAAGTGACCCGAAGATTTTCGATGTGTGTCGCTACACTTTTGCTTCCATTACCACAGCAGATTTTTATTTCACATGCAATTATTTCATGACCAAGAGTTTTAGCACAAGCTGAGATCTGGTAAGTATCACCTGTACATGGAGGGTTGGAACACGCCCTCCTTTCTGAATGATGCCCCAGACACGCCGGTACTAACAGGAGAGGCATGGGCTGGGTGTTCACACATTTCCTCTGACGGACCTGGATGCCAACGTCATCACAAACGGTGGTTGAACAGGGACCCCACTTGCTCCAGTCGGTCCAGAAGCTCTGCACTAAAGCCACGTTGAAGAACAAAATGTTACAGGCTAAAATCAGGCTAAAGCAGACAAATAACAAGCCTGAATCCTGTACAATAAAAAAATGTAAATGCTCTTTCAATCATGTGATAGTTGAATGTTTACGTCTTTGAAATAACAGTGTGTTCTGTCCTGAGCTGCTATCTGAAGAGCTACCTGGGGGACACTGAAAGCGGACGTGATAGTTGGAGCAGATGCGGCCCTGAGGCTGTTCCTTGTTGATACACCAGAAGCCCTTCTCCAGACTGGAGTGAACCACTTCACCCGTGTCTGCCGCTGCCACCCAATCCGTGGTGCGGGCCTCCATTGCTGTGGGCCGCGCACAGACCCTCTCCCTGTAATAGAAACGAATTGCTTCCAAGCGCTCATAATCCCCATTCCCCCCAGGATGATCGATGTTGAACCAAGACGTCCACTCTGTCACGCCTGAGAGCAAAAAGTCAGACAGAGAGAAAACAATTCAGCTTTGGATCCAGAAATGAAGGAGGGGAGTTTGGGGGGCTGTTACCTAGTTTTACATGAAGGGGAGACATGGGTCAGAACCAAGAAAAAACAAGATGCAGGAAAACTGCTGGGATGGGTTACAAACTTTAAGAGGAGGTCTGCTACCACCATTCGAAACTGACTTAATGTCTCCAGGGAGCTCTGCAATGTCCTGGTTCTTTCCAGACCTCCTGGCCTGAATGATGAGACATGTTGTCTCGGTTTTTAGTCAGCTGCATGTTCCGAAATCTGAGCGCATCCTCAGAGAGCGTTTGAGGGATTGAAAACAAATGAATGGATAAGTAAACTGATGAGATCTTTTGCTCTAGAGGTGATGAATTCCTCCTTTGGTAAACAAAAGTTTTCAGCAGTGATTCAGCGTGCACTGATGGGAGAGGATGGACAAAAGCATGTGTGAAGGCATATGTTTGTGTCGTGTACCTGTTTATTTAATGTGGAAAGGTGATTGTCAAACCTAATTCACAATACACCTATATCAATTTGTCTGTAGCTTTTGCACCAAAGTCAACACATGTATGCCAATTCAATAAAATGGCTAACTGCTGGCAGCTGTAAGTGTGACCAATCAGCAGATAAGACTTTAATCAACTTTTAAAAAACTTTTTATTGCTTTGGGATTAAACAGAGATATAAACTCTACTTTTTTTAAACCGCATTGTTCTTTATTTTCCCCTCTTCTTTCACTCAGACCCTCACTGTCCTTTCTTCCCCCTTTTTTAAAACCCATCCACAAAGTCAGCTTTGGTAGAGTCAATACCTGTTGATCCTGTGTCAGTGAAACCATTGATGGCTGCTCTCCTGCTTCTGTCTAACTGGTTCCTGGTCCTCACAAGTCCTGTAAAAAAAGAGAAGAAACATCAGAATACAAAGTAGTACAACAGAGAGTCCATCCTTTGACTTGTTTCCTTTGCTATTTTTTTATTTATTATATCTTTATTTTTTTTTATTTTATACTCCAAAACCCTAGAGTTTCACTCTGCTACATGAACACTTATATTCATTTTAAAATAAGAAAAAAAAAGTCTGGATCGTGTCAAACAGCCTGCAAATCCAATTCATTGTTGTTTTTTTTTTTTTTTTTAAACACAGAGAGGAAAAAAAGGACTCTCTCCATCCTATAAGAGGTTTTGGCTCTTCTTATTACACGCCTCTCCTTTGCCCTTTTCATTTTATTCCCTACATTTTTCACTTAATTCGTTTTCGCCACAGGCCCCTCTGCCCTTTTTTATGAGCTGAAACAATGACTGGACTTCTGGGGCTACTAAAGGGAGAAAACTGTTAGCTTCTTTGTCCGTTTTTCTGTCCGTTTTTCCCTTTCCTCTGAGATGTATGTCAGCTGTTGAATAACGCCACATCTACTCTGTGCCCTTTCTCTCTTTTCACTTTGCTCCCGCTCTATCTGCTCCTTTCAATCTTTTTCAATCTCTCACTTTGGCGGCAACACCCTGCGCTCTTCAATCCAAACTGTGGAACATCCTCTCCATCCATCTTGTCCCGTCAAGCTCTTTGTCATGTCTCTTCATCCCCCAGCTGATTGCCTCCCCCGTCCTCCCTGCCTGTCCTCCCCTCTCCTCCTGATCTATCAACAAGCCGCCGCTGCTGAGGATGCTAATCAAGCTCCAGCTGTGACAAATCAGCGCATGCCGAGTCATCTGTTAGCGTGCAGCTGAGCCAGAAAACTTCACATAAACTTGCTCCATCACCTCTCACAGAGCGCACACATGCACAAACACACACACACACACACACACACTTTCATGCATCAATTCTTTGCAGATTTTATTTTTCTTATGGATTAATGACATGATGCACACACACACAGCATGCCTGTCTCACTGAGTCATTCTTACATCATCCTCAGACATGTGTGATGACTTGATGAAAGGACTTATTAGACGAGGAACTCAACATTCATTGTGAATTTGGCTCAACGTCATGTTTTCCCTCAGGCTTTGAAGTCTAATGATTCACTTTCCTTCAGAACAAAATTGTCATGTTTTCAAAAAAACGTCACTTGTTTGCTTGACATTTCATCTCCGGGATGTCACATAGGCCGCACGGAAAACATAAGTGTCATGGCGCATGCATGGAAGAAACAAAAAGAAACTTGCGCAAACTTAGCGTGCATGTGTGTGCGTGCGATACGTGCAAACACTTAGCACTTTGGGAGAGACGCTGCCGATTTTACGAGCAGACAGTCCCAGCACAGAGGCCAGTATCAATCCCAGTCCACACTGGTTTTACGGCTCACTTCAAGTCTTTCTTGTCATGCCAGCACATTTCTTTTCATCCTCTAAAGTTTTTTGATAGATTTAGCAAAGAAGGGCAGTAGCTCAATAGAACAAAGATAGACTGTCCAAAAATGTATTACATAAGTTTTCAGGTCAGATACAGACAGTCGTCTGACCTTTACGATGCTTTATTGTGCCTCTGGCTTTCTGAAAGCATTGATAGGTTTCCACATAGGCTTTGTCTCTCTGATACACTGGAATCACTGGATAAACAGAAGCAAATGCTTTCACACTGATCTGCCAGGCAGATGTGGCTCTGCTTTCAGGTTTAGTTTAGTAAATCAAATTGAATAGTTTTTCCACCCTACTTCTTTTGTCCTCTGGATTCTGTGCCCGTTTTGAGGCTGGTAGCATTTCTAAAAGAGTTTTTTTTTTTTACTTACTCTGTACTGAATATCTGTTAATACAACATGCAATCACTGATTTTAAAAGCATTTTCAAGTTGCATGCTCAGACGTTAGCTCTGAGAACTTTTAATAACTTTTCTAAGGAAAAGCATGTGGTAAAATGGAAAAAAAACGAGCTTTTAGTTTAATTTGATTGAATTTCACTTCCAAACATGTGGCTAATTAATTACCCTTCATGCTCTAAAGTGGAAACATTTGTTGCCAAGAATATATCAAATGGTTTTTTTTCTGCTCTTGTTGCGCAACAGTCTGTTTTCTCATTCACACCTAAACAAAGAGAATTCACTGCAGAACCATTTCACTCCTGATTATCACTTCAAGATGTTTGCAAATGAAAGCTAAATAGGCGAATGATTCCTTGTTTCGAGTTTTATGAGGTGCCTAATGGTTTTCGAAAGTTAAAAGAGGAAACCCGGATTAGCTCAAGCAGAAGGCAATTGTTGGGGTAGTGACCTAAGTTATGGCAGATATAAGCTGGCCCGAGTCCTGAGACGGACTCACAGAGCTTATTGTGCTTTTTGACTAGCATGTTAACACTTTATGAATGTTAAAAGCAGTGAGGTTTTATGGGGGTATGCTTCATATGGCTGGTATGTGAGGACATTTACCTCATGAAGGAGAAAATAACACATTTTTTAAGCCAGAGGGGGCAAGGTTAGAGCTTATGATTTCCTCTTCAGCGCTACAAAAGTCCACTCTCAACTAAACCTGCAAATGCCGCTATGTGTGCTCCTGTTTTACTGAGTTTTTCTCTTTTTGAGCAGTAATTAACAATTTTGGATGGGTCACAAAAGTATCTATAAAACCTTCTGCCAATATGCTCATTGGGAAAAGACGGAGTTTGTCTTTTAGTTTATGGACTGTTTGTTAAATTGGTTAACCTTTGGTGTCACAGAATCATGTCAGAAAGGCAACTACTGGGGTCCAAACATTTGACAGTAAAAAACTGAATACAGAACCAGTGTTGGCGCTTCCATACGGATATAAACACTTTGGCTTTTTGATATAGTTGACTGTCATTGATTGAATCCTCATTTTCATCAGCAAAGGGATTGTTTGGAACATCTTTATGATTTTAATAAAATCAAATCAATCTGCTGAAGCAAGTCCAGCACATTTCACGTCTGTCTCTTGACACTTTGTTTTTGTATCTGTTGGCTTTCTGAGTCAATAAATGTGGAAAAATAAAAAGTTTCTGTCTCGAATTGGTCTTCAGAGTGAGGAAATAATGAAGATATGACAGCAGCCTAAGGAGCCACTGGGCCTGAGCCATCTCTGGTAGGGAAAAGTGGAGCAACATTTTATCCTGCAATCCAGGGAATGGCAGATATCTTTGTGGGAGTCTTGTTCACCTCGCTCAATGTTCAACGTCTCACTTCATGCCAGGGTTCTGCTCGCCTCATTGGACTTTTATTTTGCGTGACCACCAATTTACCATACATTATCCCTCACCTTACACCTCTCAAGTAATTTATTCCTGAACCGATGGTCTTAATGAGAGCTTTCTCACTGAAAATGGACAGATTATGTTGATTTGTTTGCTTTCTGGACTGTTTTTTGTTGATTTATATCTTTGCGTTTCGGAATTTATGCTTTGCTCAAACATGTTTTGGAACGTACATAAGGATATATCACTCTTCTCTTGCAGTTTCACCTTTGACACGGACCCCCACATGTGCTGGTTATTATAAACCTTAGCCAACCTCACTGTGACCCCCATAAACCATGAACATGGTAACAAGATACATAACTGGTGCTTGAATATATTAACGGAGAAGTAAATCTGCAAAAGTTTGAAGACTTGGTTCCAGTTATAGACATGCTCCGAGCACCTGAATTCCTGACTATGTTAGTAACATGTCTGAAACATAGCTACTGGATTACAGTTGAAGCCGTACGGCCCCCCATTGTGGTTTTTAACCCTCTTTGAGTCTGCTGTGACAACTGCAACTCTTATTTTAGAGCACTATGTTTGGATTTAAGGACAAACGTCACAGTGGAAGCTTCTGATCTACAGCAGGTCTTCTTATAGCCAGGCAACACAAAGACACATCCTCTATTAATAATCGCCAGCACTTTTACAAGTGGCAGCTTCCCTGTAGTCCAGTTTCTGAGTAAGAGTTTTCAGATTCCACCAGAGCCTAATAAAAAGCTGCTGAGGAAGGGAAGATGCTGGGAGTTTGTGAAATTGCACCACAAAGGTTTTTGAGCTGTGGCTTTGACAGATGCATGTTGGCAAACAGACGGGTCTGGATTCATTTTATAATAAACCAGATCCTTACAAGAAGTAAACGATGTGAAGACACCCATCCTCCTAAAGTTGTGCAAACTTTTGGACAGAGTTAAGCTCCCTAAGAAAACAAAGCTGTTCAGAATTTGTTGTTGAAGTGTTGGCCTGTTTGAATTGATAAAAAAGGAGGTGTTCAGTGATGTCCGAGATTATATGTTTGGCTTGTTTTTTCACTGAGGTGTATGTTGTCTGCTTCTTCTCCTTGAACCTATCTCTGTCTTTTTAAACCTTATGTTCCTTGTTATTATAAATCCAAGTCTGATTTCTTAAACATCTGCGGCTCATTAAAATTCTTGAAACAACAATTTCGTCCTCGACATTAACTAATGATGCAAATAAACCGCAAGATTCGGGGATTTACAAAGGCTTTCTGTTTTCTCCAGGATGCTATTAAAAACACAGTCGGCCTGTATTTCTGAATATCTGCATGAAAAATATGTGGAAGTCCTCAGATGAACCTCTGCACCTGTGCACAGGTACACAGCCCGGAGCAAGAAATTGCTCAATTGAAAGCAGCAGAGTAGCCCTGCAATAAATAACATCTTGGTCCATCCACACATGCACGACACATAAATTCACAGGGGAAATGAAATATGTTGTGCGGTTTTGAGGTTGTCATTAATGGGAATTTGTGCCTTTTCATTTAATCCCCAGTAATTTCTGTCTCAGTCATTAAAGTCAGCTGGCCAGACAGCTCAGTTTTTTAGAGCAGACAGTGGTCAGCATCTGGAGAAGTAGCCCTCCAGCTGCTAAAACACACACACGCACACACACACCACCTAGTTTTGCTTGACAATCACGCAAGAGGAGACTTCAGTTCCTCTGGTTGGTTAGACAGGCCTGAATACAGTAAGAGTACAGTAAGTGAAGAGCTGAAAACAGGACTTGTGCTAAGAGTTGGTAATGCTGCTGTTACAGTAGGTATTCAGCTACAGCTGCCACCTTCAAATGAGCAAACAGCTCATAAATCCTGTGAGCTCTGAGGTGTATGGAGAGAGTGACAGAGAACAAGGCGAAGAGAGAGCGTTTGATGGAATAAAGCGGGGTAAAAAAAAAAAAATAAAACTTGTGGAAAGGCAGAAATAGGGAGTGTGAAGGAATACCTGTGGGAAACAGGTTGGAAATAATAAGTGAGCAAATGAAGACAAGCAGACGGATGGAGACACACAGGCGTCGCTTTGATGGTGAAAGAAACGCAGTGAGAGGGTTGAGACGGCCATCAAGAAGGAGAAAGGAAAGAGTGACATGCTGGCCAGTGGACGGTAAAGTCATTTTACCTGTGCACTCTACCCCTCCTTTTATTCCACTCTCTCATTTAACCAAGCACAAACGCAGCAGGTGGGAAAATGAGCCACTTGGTTTGTGATTATTGCTTCTTGCTACCAAGGTGACCAGGTTTATATCTTTAGGGGCCAGTGGCACCACTTCCTGGGGTTAAATGAGGACAAAAATGCACCAGCTCACTGCAAGATGGGGATGTAATGCTAAAGGAGCTCGGCCCAGGGTGTAAAATTTTACAGTCCATTTTAAGGTCGGCGTTCAGTTGCAGCTGTGGCACACTTTTCCGTCCAGTTCAAGTCAATGTGATTCACCACTTTTGCGCTAACCTCCTTTTTGCTTCTACCAAACTGTCATTGATAAACTCATCAGTAAATGGCGCAGAGCCTCTGGGAGACTTTTACGACTCCGCGGCCTCCAGGCCAACAAGATATGGAGACTATTAAGGTGTATTTACAGTCATTTGCTTTTATGAACTGCCAGCTCCTGTTAATGGAGAGCAGCTGTAAGGCGGACAGAATGGGACAGCTTTGGAAAAAAAAGTGCTACTACTGGTGTCATTAATGGAGAGTGCTTCCAAATGATGATAAGAGAAAATAAGGGAGGGGGATTTTTTTCGATTTGGAAAAAAAGAGAAGCATCATCTGATCTGTCCAAGACAAGATGCAGAAGTTTAAAACAAGAATTTAGTATCCAAAGTTTGAATTCCTTTTTTTGGGATCATAAAGTTGGCACACCATGGCTCTGGTTTCCCCAAAAGGCAGCTGCAGTTTGTCGTTAGATTACAATAAAAGGTGGTACCACCAGTGCCCTAGTGTCGCCAACACCATAGCCTGCTTTTTTATCTTCATACCAGAGCACATGGGCACCAAATGAGGGTTTTCACTCCACAGATTTCCTCCTCCCCTTAACCTCCTTTTCCATCGCCACATGTTGTTGATTAGCCCGGTGCTGAAATGTGCTGGTGTCTGAGCATCACGGATTAAGAGCTACTGAGATGGTCTATAAATTAACACACGGTAATACCCATGCACACTCTTATCACATGAGCTCATCACGGGACATTTTCCTGAGAGTCCGTCTGCGCTGACATCCAAAAGGAAATGTCGTCAACACGGAGGAGTCTACAGGTTGTGCACATGTGCTCTGGCCTCTCACTCACACAGTTTGTGATTACTAATAATGACAAGGTGAAAAATAGCTACAACTCCAAACATAATTCATTATACACTTGGTTGTGTTTGAATCATTCCCTGTGAAAATTATGTAATTCTTTGTAAAGAAAAATTGAGTTTGTAGTTTGACTCACCTTGGCCCAGAGCCACTGAAGCCAGGACAGACAGCAGGAGTGCCACCTTTTTTAATCCCAACATGGTCCCACACCTTCAACTGCAGATGATTTCTCTCTCCCTCTGATCCCTAAACAAATAGACTTAATTTAAGAAAGAAAAAAAAGAGGGATTTTTCTAGCTAAATAAGTAGCCGCCTCAGTCTCTCAGGTGTGTGATGCTGCCAGTGGAGCAGAGTAGAGCTGCCGCCGTGAGTTGAGTTGCTGAGTTGGAGGACAGAAGCTGAGCCGTTTTTAAAAGAAGGGGCATTGGGAGTGCACACCAATCCAGCCCCTCTCTGCTCACCATTGGCCAGTGAAATGTAACATCTGGGTCCCCCATATCATCTTCCAAAAAAAGGTAAGGGTATGGTGGGGGTAGAGAGAAAGAGAAAGAGAGTGAGACTGACAGAGAGGGAGTGTGTGAGCATGTGGAGGCTGTTGCTGAAAATAAAAAAGGTGTTTTCCTGTCCGTCCATGCAAGAGCTTCAGAGTTTTTACTGCTACTGCAACTTTCATTTCATAGTTCTTTCATTTGTTATGCTATCTTGCCTCTGTGTAGTTGAACTTATCCAAAGAGCAGGCGTGACTAGAAAATGCAGAAATGTAACTTTTGTTCTGTTAAACACACGAGTTTCTCATTTTACGCGCATTTTTATGTTATATATTTCTTGCTCTGGCTTTTTTGACATTCAAAACATTAAAAAATGATGAATATTTAAAGTGTTTTATCTTGTTAAAAGTTGTGTCCTACATCAGTCTGTTTTTGGGTCTCTGGTTTTTATCTGTCTAGCTACCAGACACAGCAGTGCCAGATGCTGCTCCCCCTCTGATTCGGCTTCTGGTTCAGTTTTGTAACTTTCTAAGAGTCACTGATTGTGGGATGATGCAATGCCAAAGAGTGGAAGTGGCGTCATGTGGCACGCCATTGAGGAAAAAACTCGGAACGCAGACACAAGAAGTGCTTATGAGGTGCAATGTACCCTGGCTCATTTGCAGCGTTTGAATTGTTGCAATCTAGCAACGGCACTTGTAAAACATCCATGGAAATTAAAAAGTTATGCATGTTTGAGTTTTTTTATATAAATCCCTCCAGGTGAGAGAAAAGAAGGTGTTGAACAGCGACCTTTGAAGGATTTTTTCGTAATAGGTAAAGCACCTCTTAAAAAAGTTTTTCTCATTACATAAGTCACACATTATGCCAGTCTAGATCAAGGTTGGTGTACAATGAGAAGGATGGCAAAGTAATGGTTCTTATTGTTTATTGCCAGGAAAGTTTAACTATGAGAGCATTTGTTAACACTTATTTATTTTTTTCAGTTAAGCACCACACACAGTTCATCACAGTCTAGATACAATGAGTTATTCGCTGTACCAGTAATGACAATTTCTCTCATAAATTCTCTAATGGTTTCTTCTGAAAAATCGTTTCAGAGAAAAATTCTGTAATTTTACAAAGCAACAAAATATAAACTGTATGTGTTACTTTAAAGATTCCTCTCATCTCTTGTCCTTTATTTGATGGCCATGACTGAGAAATAAAATAAGAAAAGTAGTTCAAACCAAAGGCTGATATAATGGTAAAATTCTGCACACACTTCACTGCATCAAAATGATGTAATAAATATTACAATACCCATTAATCAGTGCTGTATAGTTCTCAACTCAAGGTCCCAGACTCCAGTTCAACTCCAGTCCAGACTTTCAGAATTTATGACTTGACATGGACGCTGAACTCAGACTCAAGTACTTATTGCATTCAGACCCAGAAAATAGTGAGTGAGGACTTGGACTTGTTTCTTATTACAAATGGTTTTATATCATTTGTTTGTATGTTTGATTACTTTGACCATAATAACTTATTTTTGCTTGGAGCATGTTTGTTTTCACCTGCATGTGTGTTCGCATACCGCCTTGTTTGGCAACAGTTCTTGCCAGGACGCCCAAAATGCTACCATAAAAACCTTATTTTGATTTCGTTGATTTTACTGTAAATGATTTTACAGAGCAATGCATGCAACCATCAAGGTGAAGACTCTGGAAACTTCAAGCATCAACAAACGTCTGTCACAATGCAGAAAAGAAAGTGAATCAGCAAAGTTACTTTGATTGTTGACTGAGCCAATGTTAGAGTTAGCCTCTAAAGTGACTAAAGTGACTAGGTCCATGTTGTGATATGTTATGTTAAAAGTAGGTGAACAACAGATAAATCATTTAACAGTGATACCACCACACCAGAAATGTGTGAATTAAGGTATGATGCACAGCACTATAACAAGTCGGAATCAGTCAGAATCCAATGTTAGTAAATGAAATGTGATTTCTACACATCAGTGAAAGAGACAGCTTTGGCTCAGTGGTAAAGTCGGTCGTCTCCCAAATGGAAGGTCAGGGGTTTGATCTCAGGGCTGTCCTTGGGCAAGACACTTGACCCTATCTGCCTCCGCTGGCTGCATCCAGTAGAGTACGGATGAAACAAGTCAAAAAAACTGATGGGCTCTATAGCATCCTCTTCTACCAGTGTGTGAATGTGGTGCAAATTGGTAGATGTTACATATGTTGTAAAAGACTAGAGAAAACGCTAAATAAATATAGTCCATTAACTTGACTCTGATTTAAACACTAAGTAATGAAGACTCCACTTGGACTTAAGAACACTGCCAGAACTCTTACCTTTTGGTACTTCTATTTCTATCATTATTTTGCTCCTACGAGTTCTCGAAAAAACAGCACAAGTGTTGCTCACGTCATTAAAAACGCTTAAACAGACCGAACTTCTCAGTGACTGAAAGCACTAATGTATTCAAGTCCTTTTTAGGAGTCATCTTAACCAGTCATGATCATCTTTGGCAGCAAGAGGCAGCCGTGGTAGAAAGTAGTGTGAGTAACTCACTTGTTTTGGTGGAACATTTGCACATAATGAGGCAAGGCCTGGCATGAAAACCACCAAGTTCTTTCAAAAGAAAATGTCACACAAACATTACAAGATGTGTGCCAGTGAGGATAGGAGGCTGTTTACAGCATCAGAGAGGAGGCTGGTAGTCCTGAGGTTGTTAGTTCACAAAGCAATACGCAAACTTAGAGGAAAGGACAGAGAGTTCGATGTGACACCGTCTGGTTAAGGAAGGTAATACAAACTATTTCTATAAGAGGAGTTTGGCTTTCTTTTGACAGACAATTTTCTGAGTGGTTCAATTAGTGAAATAACTACAGAGCCCAGAACTCATCATATTGAAGCTCCTCAAAGAAGTTTTTAGATAGTCGTAACATACCAAAATTGATACTGATGCTTCTTTATGACCTACAAAATCAGCCAAAACCATCAACAACAAAACTGACAATTTCTACATCATGAAATTTAGTGCCTGAAACAGCTGTGAAAGTAGCTGTCAGTTTAGGAAACTAGTCTTATTTTGCATTTTTAACAGAAAGTGTTCAAAATGCTTCCAAAATCAACAAAACCCCAATTTTTGTCAGTATAGCATAAGAGCTGTCATGTTCAAACAGCTTCCAGAGAAGAATCAGGCATACTGTACATGATGCTTTTTCTGTGTTTTGCCTTGTTTTGTGTGTTTCCTTTCAGAGTTGTGTGTTGCCATATATGGTGTCCAATGAGCAACAGCCTATGTGGAAAAGACAACAAGCCAACAGAGAGGACCAAAAGAGGTAAAGATGAGGACCAGCGCACTCCTCCACCATTGAGCCTTAAGGATAAACTAAGGGATCATGAAATGTGATTTGCAAATAGTGATTTCACAACCCCGACGATAAAATCTGAAACAGGGCCGGTACATCACTCAAGTATGTTTCTGATTTATGAAACATGCATTGATTGTTGGTTTTTGAAACAAATATTTATCACATTGAAAGAGAACTGGAATCCTTTGAGCAATTTAGAAAATGCTTTGTAAACTGTTCAATTGCTTTTGTGTATTGTTCAACATAAGCACAGGATTAATCTTTCTGCCTCGCCGTGCACACCATGTAAGACGATCTTATGGGAATATTGCGACAAGTACCACTGTCAGTTATGATTGTTCAATTCTGCGGGCCACCGACATCTCCAGAGCTCATTACTCGACGGCTTTCATGAAAAGCATAAAGGACAGAGTGGTGACAAGACTTTGTATCCTGATGGGGATTGGACAGGCATGAAAGACAGGACCGCTGAGTGCTCAGACATATTTCTACAGCCCTTGTCAGTTTGCCTCTGACAGATTTAATACCACCGAGCGAAAAAACTGATCCACATTCCTTTTCCCTGACTTTCTACACCCACTCACACATGTGCACACACATGGGGTATTAATGCATTAGTATTCAGGAGAAGCTCCTGTGCTTCATATAAATACACATTACCTCATCCATAAACAGCACAGCAGTCTCACTTAGTCATTCTCACTGAAGCCTGCAGCCCTCAGCTCGATAATGAGAGGCCTCCCTCCACAGCTGATTATAGCTCCATCACACCTGTTTATGGCTTTCCTTACTAAATCAAATCCAGTTGGGGACCAATAAACAAAAGTTAACAGTGTGCGCCAATCTAGACAGGGCAGCACTAATTGCATGTTATGTATATGCATACAGCTAGGTGGCCTGATGAGAAGGCACTGTCATTTCACAGATGTGTTTGTAAGCAGCTACCCAGCTAAAGTGTCCTTGACTGAAGGGTGTTTAAATTTTTTGACTGAGGGGGCCCAATTAGAGCACAGACTCATACTGGGTGGGGCATGAATTGTATGCAAATCACTTATTTACCTTCTCTGTTTCCATAAATCGAAGCTACTTTCAGAATCAGAATCGCCTATATTGTCATTGTACACAGTACAACGAAACTTGAGCGCCACTCCCTTTGGTGCATAGCGAAAGTAATAAATAAGTACTAAAAAAAAAAGCCATGTTAAAACAAGATAAGGTAAGAATAAGAAGAAACAAAAGTGAAAAGGCAGTAATGTATATATCTGTACATTATAAAATACAAACAAACAGGAATGAATGATCTAAATGATATGAAACCCGATAATTGCAGAAGTGAAGCCCAGTGTTATTGCACGGATAAAGATACATTTTATTGCACTTAGATAAATGTGATCAGTAATATACGATGGTTGAGGGGGACAGATTCAACTGGACTTGTTGTTGTTGACTGCAGTGATAGCTCTCGGGAAGAAGCTATCCCTGAGTCTGTTGGTCCTTGTTTTGTGTGACCTGTACCTTCGGCCCAACGGTAACAGGTCAAACAGGTGGTTTCCGGGGTGGCATGAGTCCTTGATGAGCAAGCTCTGCTCAGGTAGCGAGAGCTGGCAATGTCCTCCAGGCTGGGCAACGAACACAAAAGTATCAGTGATGTTAAACTTTGAAAAGTTGGAGAATTCTTTCAGGACTCAAAAAAAAAAAAAAAAACATGCATATCTACAAGCACAATTTAAAGACCCAGTCCGATCTTAGTAGCTCCAGTAGATCATTAGCAATTCGCCTCTGAGTCGTGCGTGGAGACAGCGCTGCTCTGCACACTCGTCTTCACGTTAGCTTGTACTCCAACATTGCCTGTGCAGCAGAAGTGGCAGGTAACATAGGAGCTATGCAGCTCTCACACACTAATGTCTTTAGGGACATGATTAAAGCTAATATCATAATTAGCTTTCTTACGAGCATTGCAATCCGCTAACGCACACACTTTTTGTGCAATCATCCTCTCTACTTTTCTGAGTGTGGCCGTCATAGCGAGGCTCTAGGGGCGGAGCTTAGATTTGCTACATAGGAAATCTCACTGAATCTGAGCCTGTCGTTTGAGTCAGTGAGAAGTTTACAGCATTTTAAAGAAGAAATACTCAGAAATGCAATTTCACACTTACTTTTCTCATGATATGTACGGCAGCATCAGAAAAACATCATATAAGTATGTAGACAACAAGCAAAACACGATTTTCATCAGAGTGGGTCTATAATGTTCTTTTAAAATTGTAAACAAACTTTTGCAAACAACTGTTATGGTTAAATTGATTAAAAGTGTTTTGGACCAAAATGTTGCCAACAAATGTATTCAGCACATGGACAGCATAAAGGTGTTTGTTTCAATTTCAGGCGAATCCCTTTTCAACGTACATACCTCAAAGAAAGATGGGCAAAGAACTGCAACCCCACGCTGTAAAATATGCATTAAATGTATTGATTCATGATAGGGATAGCAACCTTTATTGGGGATAGCTGTTTTAATCCTGCTATTTTTACTGTGGTTCAACTGGCCACCACTCGCAAGTTCATGGTCAGGTCAGCGTGGCCAAGCTTGTGTGTATGTTTGTTTTAACATTTCATTTCGAAAACTTGAAATCTTTGAAGTGTATTATATTGTGGCTAACTTAACATCAGCCCTTGTTGTGCCATTTCCTTGTCGGCATTTGCCTTAAAGCTTGAAGTAAGTTGGCACCTCCAATTTAGTGTGGGTTGTTAACTAGCCCCCAAAGCTACAGTAATGTTAGGGCTTACATTGCATTTTTTTTCCAATGCATGAAGATAAATATGAATAATTTTAAGTTTAATGCAAAGCTGATTATTCAGTACCCGGTCTTCAGGCATCATGAAAATAGCGCCAGTTCAGTTGAGGAGTAAAGCCTCAGACCGTAAATGTGTAGATGTAAATAGGAGCTGTGTGAATGTGCTCGAGTACTGTTCCTCACAGATGTAGGTGACACAATGATTGTGCTACACTAAACTGAAATTGAGTTGTAAAATTGAATCAGAGTTGTGCAAACTGAAATAGATTTTGTCCTTTTTTAAATTTAAGGAAAAAAGAGAGTTGAAGTTTCAAGTAGATTTAATATAATTTCTAGGCAGATAAACTCCAGTTTCAAAACATGAATTTTAATTCCAAAACGTGTTTTTCAAATTCAATATAATTATTCAATTTCAGTTTTTTGTGGCACAAATCTCAGCCCATACACTATCCTCCTTTCCAGGATCCATAAACTAACTGCACACCATAATTTTAGTGTGGGGTGCAAATTTATCAGGCCTTTACTGGAAGTGATGAAAAGTTGACTTTACTTCCATCACACAACAGAGACAGAGTGAATTTAGAGAGGATAAAATGTTTTGAAATCTCTTATCATCCAGCTTCACTTTTATTCATGTCCTCCTTTTAATTCATTTAGGTGTCACCAAGACAAACTTTAACATAGTGAGGACAGGACAAGAGCAGTGGGAGCTGGTACACCAGTTCATCACAGCAGAGGGTTAGATTTAAAGCTAGAAGCACGACACGCCAGACGTCTGCCAGCCCAGTTAGGGCTGACGTGGCTCAGTTGGTGAGTTGGTAGATTCTTGATCAGAAGGTTGGGGGTTCCATTTTTGGGAAGCCCTGTCCACATGCAAATGTCCTTGGGTGAGGCATTTGATCACTAACTGTCCCCAGTGGCTGTGCTCAATGTGGAATGGAAATCACTGGAATAAATACTAATGGGCGCTTAACATAGCAGCCTCTGCTAACACGGTATGAATGAAATGTCAATGTGACATGTAATGTCAAAGCACTTTGAGAGGTCAGATGACTGAAAGAATTGTTATATCAGCGCAGTCCATTTAATCAGAGCTGATGTTTTTTTTTTAACACATCCAGGGAAAGTATTTAAAACTTTGTGTTTTTTACACCGTCTGAATTTGAGTCTTTTGTTTTTCTCCTTTTTTGTGCTTCATCAATCAACTAGAATATTTGTAGTCAAAAAGGAAATACTGTTTCTTTGGTAAACCTACCCCTCGTAGTAGTTACAGGTATAAAAAAAATCACAATATAGAAAATGTCAATCTTGTGGTCAGTGGTTTCATTACAAAGACCCCTCACAGGTTGTTACCAATTCAAACTTCACAAAGTGGCTTTAAAGCCAAAGTTTGAATTTGATCTCCTGAAAAAAAATGTTTCTGAATTCTTGCCTTAGTTTACCAGATAGTTACTAACTTTGTCAAACTGTTGAGATTTCTGGGTTTGTAATTCTTGTAGGGTTTTTCGCTATAGAGACCAAATCCCAGGTTACACGTAGTTATTGCTGATATTAAATCAGTGCAGCTGCAGACCAAAGATAACAAAGCACACAAACCAGACCATCCCTTTAAAAGTAACTTCTTTATTCAACAACTAGGACTGCTGGGCCCATTTGTAACAGCTATTGGAGTCACTCAAACAAAGGCAATGCAGAATTTCAGGCTGACAAGGCAAACCAAAATAAACACACAGAAAAATCAAGACTTGACAGCCTACATTAATTCATCTCAGTAGAACATTTTAAAAGGAAATTTCACTGAGGAACATAAAAGCAGCAGAACATGAACATTAAAAGTAAGTTTTGAGGGGGGAAAAAAAGATTCCAGTGGCTGATGTCCAAGAAAATTCATCTTTTCTTGCTGGCTGTAGAAAAAGAAATGTCTGTCTTTTGCAAAGTAATCAGAAAACAGTGTAATGCTACAGCTTTTACGAGTAGATTTGCACAAAAGACTCCCCCATGCCATTTCCCCATTAGACATGACAGAAACCACAGTTTCTAAGATTATCCTTCTACTGTAGCTCAACAGCACATTTTGCTAATGTGGCGCTTGATCTACATAACAGAGATGTTAACATTTAATCACATTAACAATCTATAAAATACAAAACAAGATAATAGATCAAACATACGGTTTTGAAAATGAGGAGGGGCCACAATGGCTCTTATGTTTCCCATGTGTTACAATTCTATGAGACAGTCTGTGCCAGGGTAGTCTGGGAGGTTAAGCTCGTATTTTTTCTGGATGTCATAGGGCAGGAAGCGTCCGGCCAAGAAATGCTTCCCCGAGAAACTCATGGCACACTTTTTTGGAGCTGTAAGTGAGATGAGAACATCGGGGTTAATCCCGTCTTGACTTGGTTCTTCAGCATCCCAACCTGAGAGAGGGACAGAGAAAGAGAGGGCAGGGAAGAGAAGAGGCATTTGAGGAGAGGGGGACTGTGGTATTTCTTTGCCTGTTGGACTCAATCTCAGCAGGTAGTGTATTTGGGGTATGATGAGCTCACACTGAGCTGACCGTAGCATAAGATTTATCCTCCACGTGTGCCTCCAGACTTGGAAAACTCCTGCCTGGGAGCCAAAGCTCCTAGGGAGCTGCCTAGAGGCCCATCTATCATGTTGTGTTTTTTTGAAGCCTCCACCCTGATGTCTACACTTGGTGTGAAAACTTACCTGAGGGTATATCCACACTGGTAATGGGGGTCTTGATTTGCTTCAGGGTGACCAAGATACCAGAATAGGGCTCTTTAATGTTGGCACAGTCTGTCTCTGGGCCTAGCATGGCATCAATCACTAGGTTGTATGCATCATTGATGAGCTGCACCTGAGCACAACAAGATAGCATGAATTAATGAGCAATCCCAGTCAACACCTTAAACCACCGCTGACTCATTAGGCGAATTTAAGGAGTGGAAAAGTGAATAACAGCCTTGGAGAGCAAACTTCATGACCAGGTAGATATTTCACTTCATTCACAGGCGCCAGAGCCAAAAAGCAATTTCTTACTCTTTTCAATGGTGGCAAAAAAAAGAGCTGCACTCTATAATACACTTTTTATAGACTTTTTTTTCTGTGACTGAAGGCTAAATCTCACTTCAGTAAATTTAAGCTAAAAGGAGTTTTATAAAGCAGTGAGGCTAGAAAACTTTGGAAACAAAAAGAAAGGAGGACATTTCAGACTACATGATATGATACAAGACAATACCTCACCATATCAAACCAAACCAAACCATATATATGAGATATGTTAAGATTCAACAATGGTGTCAAATCATACAACATGATATGATATATTAAATTGGTCATAAGATATGACACGATTCGTTATGATATGTTACAATGAATTATGATTTGATGGTACAATGGTACAAAGCAACATTTTATTAGATAGTTACTTGTGAATGAGGGTTACATGTAGCCTGGCCGGGCCATCCTGTTGCGTGAATCACTTGATGTTTCTTCCCACAACAGTCTGGACTTCGGCCCATAGAGAGCGTGTATTCCCGATCAGAAAATAACCGGGCCAATCAGAGACCATGTTTCCACTGTAAATCGTTTATATCCGTATATATCTGCATATATAAACGATTTCTGCCGACTTTGCAGAGTCATCTGCAGAATTAACGGCGTTCTGAATGAACGGGGCTTTGAAAAGTCCCGCAGCATGTGTTAGACATCACCACTACACATGGACCAATCAGGGGCTGCATTTCCCTGTTGTCCGGGTAACAGTGGAAACACGGTCTCTGATTGGCCCAGTTATTTTCTGATCGGGAATACACGCTCTCTATGGGCCGAAGTCCAGACTGTTGTGGGAAGGAACATCAAGTGACTCACGCAACAGGATGGCCCGGCCAGGCTAGGTTACATGTACAAAAAGGTTGAAGTTTTTATATCTTGTTGCAATATAGTATGATGCTTGAGTTAGGATACGATACAATACAATTCAATTCAATACGATACGACACGACACGGCTGATGTGTCGACATGACACATCAGCATAACATTCACTATGATACATCACATTATTGGTCCTGAATGGACACTTGTGTTTACCCTGATAGCTGCACATATTCAACTGCATCCCGATAGAACTATACTGCTAATTTATCAAAAAGCAACATAATTTACAGAGCCTTTTCAAGTTCCCCTAAATGACATGCTACATTCATCGGTTGTCTGGTGTAATGTGTTTGCTACATTGTACGATACCAGCCTATTCTATAATAATCAACTTCCTATCAAATTCCTAGATCACTCACAGAAGTTTAAGGTCAAAACAAAAAATAGAGTTCGGGATTTGGACTTGACAGAATTTGGTGCAGGTAGTTCAGCCATTGGACGGAGTTAGGCTAGCAGTTTCCCTCTTTCTCTGGCCTCGTTTACATGATGACTTTACAGATTTGAAAGTTTATCAATTTTTCTCTTGAGCTGTGTACAGGGAAATCAAAGGAAATTTCACAAATCACTGAACCACTCTTTAAAACCAAGCTGTCACTGTAAAAAACTGATCGACAGTTCCTGCTGTGAAGGAATAGATGGATTTTTAATGTATAAACTTTTGGTTACACTTCATTAACATTTTCAAAAAAAAGGGCTGCAGACCTCTGTGGGGAGATAGGAGAGGAATGGGATGTCCATCTTCTCGCACTGAACTGTAAAGTCCTGGTGTAGACTTTGAGAGGAGCGTTTAGGGTGGTAGATGGTGGGCTCATATTCCTGTGTGAGATGAGTAACAGAGAAAAAGCATAGAAGAGTTAGGGGGTTGGGACGAGATGAGGCAACAGAGAAAACAGCAGGGAGGGAGGGGTACAAAAGTGGAGGGAAGAAAAAAGTAGAATATGTTACGTAATATCATCCCTATAGCTTGCAATTTCAGCAAAATCTGACATGATTGAGTGCATGACAAAAAAATGTACAGTTGGCCTTTTGCTCACAACACGTGACAACACATTTGATGCGTGAGCAGGGGCTGTGATTTTCTTCAGTCTGCTTCCTGAAAGAACAGTGTCCACATAAAGTGGAAACAAAGAGGAGTAGAAATCCAGACAGCTGCAGTCTGAGAGGTCTGATAGTCAGAGGGAAGTCCATGTGATGTGGGACTTCTACCTAATTCTACAGATAAAGCCTGAGAATTAGTGTCCGTTTATATGTTTGTTCGAAACAAAAGTTTAGGTAATCTGAACCCCGGAACCTGTAAACAGAAGATTTACTTAAAAAAAAAAAAAACTTGATCATTAAATCTTTTAATTCGTTCCACATTTCTTACATGGTTTGAAGCCATGTTGTTAGTGTTTTCTTTTGCATATTCATCCAACATTCCAAAACAATGAAACCAAAAGGAAACCATGAGTAACACTCACCCAGAACAATGTGCAACTAGTCTGGGTAATCCCAAATGGAACACTTTAATTATTTATTTGGCTTAATCAGGGTTCCTGTCACTTAAGAGAAACTAAGAAAACATTCTGACGCACAAACAAAAAGTTTTTAAGCCAGCCAGAGCAGGGTTGGCAATGCTGTTCTGTCAGTCTGGCACGTTGGTAGTTACTGAAATGTCTGACCAACTTTTGAATGGATTTCCCTGATACATCAAGCCGACATTCATCCTAGATAAAGTCTGCTTAGGACTGTAATCATGTCCTCGTTTGTCCTCCTACAACTGTGAGACTCATAAACATTGGCTTTTGTTAATTCGTGTAAAGTTTGTAAAGTTTGTATTTGTATTTATTTAACACAGATTAAGTTCCACTCCCGTCTGGGTAGTAAAGGCTCAGGGTGCAAACAACAAAGTTATTAGGACATAGACAGGTTATAGATATACAATGAGTAGAGAAAGGTCAAAACATATACAAATTGTCATAAATAGAACATAGACTAATCATCAATCAGCCCAACCAAAAAGAGAAATTATAAGCAAACATACCATAAAAAAAAGAAACATGAACATAACAGATGATGCCGTGTTTAAGACATGATTAGATATGATTTCAGTGATACATGAAGTTGACCCTGTTATTCAGAACAGATGCTAATTGTAAAATCTGTGACGATCCTCTGACTTTTCATCTATCTCCATGTTATGTCTAAGGCCCACTCATGATGTGATCATTGTCTTGTTTGTTACTGACAGACCCAAAGATAATTCAATAACATCCTTTGTAAATCAGTGTTTTTTTCTAATAAGTAGAATGAAATAATAACCGATAGGATGCCAAAAATAGGATTTCACTTTTTTGTATTTTTATATCTAAAGCATCCTCAAACTGGATTTTTTTTTTATTTGATTCATTCATCAGTTATTGGCTGCCAACAGATTTAATACTTAGCTGCTCTAAAATATGTGATATTAAATCATGTAGACATTCAGACATTTGCTTGGGAATTCTCCTCACTGGACCACTTTGGATGTTTTCAGTGACCCCTGGTGTAGAGGTTTGATCTCTAAAAGCAAGGTAGCCAACCTTACTGCCATTAAAATTACCCATGTGAGATAAACAGAACTGTTGACCTTTTATACCTGTTATAAAAAAATAGAACATGAGAGTTGCCACTAATGGTCTCACCTTCTCTTTCACATGGGTGAACGGACAAAGGTATGAAAACAGCTCTTTTAAATATGATCAAGCACCTACACAGGAAGTTATTTATCAGATCAGACAGACTTCTGTCTCCTGGGAATCCTAAACCAATAAATTCTGTCATAGACATGAATTCTCAGACATCATCAATACTATGACCTCCATCGAGCACAGATGCAGGAACTCAGTAGAATACAATCTGTACTGAGTCTATATGTGTTTGCGTGTGAGTGTCCCTCAGGGGGGTTAGGCAGTGGCCCCTGCATGCCCTCAAACCTCATTAGCAGTTCCACCATCACACCGTGTGAAACTGAGGAAGAGCTCAAAGGACTCCCTGTGTCACTGAGCATGAACAGAAATGAGCCGCAGAAAACAAAAACAAGCAAAAGGACAAAGCACAGAACATTTCCAGCTCAAGCTCACACTTTACCGGATATCACTTTGTCTCTCTCTCTGTGGGATAGAAGTGTGTGGTTGTATTTTGTTCTTGTACACAGCACGCTGAAATGACGCGACAAGGCTTGTAGCAAACAGAAAACTGGAAAAACAATTCAACATGTGGGAAGTTTTGAACACAAGTCTACTTTAGCGGATGTTTTACTTGATCACAAGAACAACTTGATTCTGATTGGTCAGTATTCCACAGCAATAGTCTGTTATTTCTAGATGGTACACTGTCAATGTGATAACACATTGGATTGAAAATTAACCAGTATCATTAATTTTTTTCTTCTAATCGCCAAAGCTCTTCATTGTCAGGCAAGTCCAAACATACAGGCCTGCTAATCATACCTAAAGTCTTAAAAGGTGGTCTGGGTGGTAGAGCTCTCAGTTATCAGGCCCTCTTGAATCATTTCCTCTTTGATAAAGCTTACAGTTCAGGCGGGTTCAGGCCTGGGCCAGCTCTTAGTTATGCTACTAAAGGTTCAGACTACGAGAGATCCTGGCACATTGAGCACCTTTCCCCCCCTTCTCCATCCTCTCTTTGTCTGATTCATCAACTTTGAATCATCATGTCCCATTAGAGTCAGTCTAATGCACTTCTCTGGGAGTCCCTGAGCTCCATCATGTCATGGCTTCCTCTGGATCGCTCTCCTCTGTCCATCTCTCTCTTTTTAACCCCAATGCAGTCTCAGTAGGTAAATGTCTTACTGTCTCCACACACCAGGTGCGAGTAAAATCATTCGCGTCTAGTCAATGCAAAGACGCAATTAGACACTCCTACTACCTTGGCAGCACTAATGATGCGAATTAGCGAGAGCTGAAAATGTCCCAACTTGAGCGGATATTCGCATTGCGATAACTGATCGGCACTAAGGTTGCAGTGTAACGTATGAAAACGGGCGGTTGATCACTGGTATCTAAAATAGAAGACAAGCTGATCGTATCAGAGTTTGGGTGCCCTGAATTATGATATCTTTTTTTTCAACTACCGAAACCGGAATAAAAAGGAGCTTGCTGGGAGGCAAGTTAGTGGAGATCGGATTACCTGGTGAGTTGTAAAAAACATTTCTCTATCACTTAATCCCGCCGGTTGAATTGGCAGGGACTACCATTGAAATAACAATTGACGCGCAACTGAGGCGAGTAAATACTATTCATTCACGTGTCCAGATTCGTGTGAATTCAGCAAGTAGATGGTTTTACTCGCGCTTGGTGTGAATGCCCCATTACATGAGTCTGGTTCTAATCCACAGTACCAAACCTCTACTAAAGAATATTATGCATTATATATGAGTCTATTATGTGACCTAGATCAGCAATGGGAACCTCTCAGTGCAGTGATTTCTTTTAAAGCCCAGTGTAGTAGGCCAAACATAACCTCATGTCCAACAACACGCTGGAACTAATGCACTTAAGACTTGCTTTTTTATTCTGATCCAGCATTAAATTTGATCAAGAAATATGTCTGTCTTCTGGTATGAGGCTCTGTGTATTTCGCCATGACCTAACAGTTGAAACATCAATGATGCATGACAGGATCCGAAACAACTTGCGATGTGTGTCTGTGAACACGGACATTGGAGTGATGTGAGGAGCAAGCTGGCCTGATCTTTTCTGTCTGTGCTGTCTAATCACATTCACAGCTCCGCATCAGGAACTCAAGGCTGTGTGTGTGTGTGTGTGTGTCTGTGTGTCTAAGTGTGTTTATGCCTGTGTCTCACGTGTATGCTTGCATGTCTTCCTGCTGACAGGGATCACATCGCACCGTGAAAAACATAAACTCTAACACTGAGAGAGAGCGATTCACAATCCAAAGTCAGTCAGTACTCAAGTTTCTGGAGTTAGAGCAAACCCAGACGAGTGAGGTTCCAAGTGTTGGGTGCAGTCACTTTGAAAATATTGATGATAAAACTTAATTTGAATAACACGTTTTAAGACGGAGGTGAATGTGTCAGTGATGCTGGCAAACTCAAAGGACAAAAATGAGCTGAACACATCAAAAAGGAATCTGGATTTTGAGTCTGATCGTTGGAATTTTCTCCATATTTTTGCGAAGGGTGAAACACATTTTGTTCTGCTCTGACCTCTGACACTATCCTTGGCCTTGAGAGAAAAGAGACATTGAGTGGGTGGCTAGGGAAGAGAGAAAGACTCCACTGAGAGCCATCAGGTTGCTGCATGAGTCGATCTTACATGGTTTTAATCAGAACTATCAATGCGCTGTAAATCAAGCATGTCGGACACATATGGTAGAAAGTAAAGATGCATTCCTCTCTGAACCGAAGATCCCAAAAACACATATCCGATATAACCCCTCCAATAAAGTCGTGGGCTGAGGCAGAGCAGCAGCACAGAGCGCTTTAATCCACTGAGCTGTCAGGAGAGAAAGTCTGTCAGCTCCACTCATGATCTGCGATGTGATGGAGAGGGTGGATCATGCCTCCAAAAACAATTAGTTTTGAGATGTCAGTCAGTTTGTGGCCTGCAGGGGCAGATATCACGGTCATGACATCATATCAAAGAAGCAGACAGCTTTAACGAGAGTAACAATTCGATGATATCATGACTGTCTGAGTGCCCTTGCAGGGAGGGTAATAGGATAACTGCTTGGAGTCGTTTACAGGAGCTGAAATGAAATTTTGTGAAGTGGAGAGAGCCGAGGGGATTCGTTCGCCTGTACGCCAGAGACCAGAAAAGTTTTCTATGGTGAAATCATTAAAATGACTCACACGACTTTATTAACGATGGCTAATTTGTTGTGTTGTTGAACCCATGATGGAATTACTCTGCTGGAAAGAAAGTTGTTTTCTGGAACTCCACTTACGAACATGCGCAGGTGCCGGGCACACACCAGACCAATTGAGCCGTTTTGATCCGGACCACAGATCACCAGCACTGTTGGCTGCTTCTTCGCTAGAGTGCTGAGAGGGTAGGCCTAGAGGGGGAGACAGAATGAAAGGTTGGCGGTTAGAAACAGGAGGTGATGACTGAATGACAGGAAAACATATGATATATATGTGCAGAGGTGAAAATAGACTGAGTCACTGACAGAAAACAATAGAAAGATGAATATCCAGCAGTGTTTGTTTTTATCCCTTAGATTCAGACCTCTTATTCAGAACAGGTCATCTGATCCGTGTGTTTGCCTCTCTGCAATATTCAGTGTCAGACTGCAACATGCCAAGCATGCCAGACGAGGGTGGAAATGGCACCAGCTTCATTGTCTTTTCCATCTACGAGAAAAGACCTGGGCTGTATCATGGAAAATATGCCAGCGTCCTCGCCTTGGGATGCTTTTGTATGTGTAGCACACTTTCCATGTCGTCTCCGGCAGCACCGGGCTGCTGGCATCTTTACTGGCCGCACTTTACCTTGTAAATCAGCCTGCACCTTCTTAAACAGGACAGGTATGAGTCTGCGGAACTGTCAGCCTAAGCAGCTAATCTTCCATCTCCAACACCTAAACAGTAGCGCAGTGTGTGTGTTAGTGTGTGTTAGTGTGTACACTCGGTCATGATTTTTAATGAAAGCCCCAGAGGTGTTTGCCTTCATTTTCCACAGATTTGTCGAGGCAAAGACCCTGGATGTCACATTAAGGATTCAGCCAAAGCTTTAAAGATGTGTTTTTCAGACACTAAAATATCACATCATGGCAGATACAGTGTTTATCATGGTAAAGGTCACAGTATAGTTACAGTTTGATGTAAGGTTGAACTGAGAGAGACTACTCAAACTTTAAGCTCAGTGAAAAGTGCGTAACAAAGCATTAAGCCTTGTTTATGACCTCTATCCAGAGTCTATGTTTGGCCTGTAGTTTAATGAATTTGTGTAGTGGGGAACATTAATAGAATAAGTCATAAAATAACTGGGTAAAAATGTTGTGTTTGTTGGCAACTTAACTGAGTCTATATGTTCCTGCTAAAGATTTATGTTCATTCAGGCAGTACAGTTATGTAGTTTTGGCTAAAGTAAGGAATAAAAGGAGTTCAACTTTGTATGTAATAATAAATGCACCTTTATTTACAGGCTGGCTACACTTTTTAACATATACTGTCATTATTTTAATTTCCTGCCCTATGTTTTATGAACTACTCGTGAAAAGTAAAAGTCATGGGAAATTTCCACCATTTCCTCAATTCTATATATCTTTAATATATTTCATACCTTGTTATTCTAAAGGTTGTAATACTATCAATTACAGGTTCAAACACTGTATTACAAGGCAAAAGGTGTCCTACCCTAACCCCAAATGCTTTATTACATCCCAAAATATGATCAAAGAATACAACACGCTGTAAGACAAAGTGTTACGTAATGCAAACTAAAACTCTTCACACCTCCAAATTTCGTGGACGAGCTTGAAATGGAGACCTATTCTGCTCGTGTACATTCAATCAATTTACTCCTACTTCCACTAATGTATTCTGTAGAGGAGAAGGTTCATGTAGAGAATAGGCCCCCATGCACAGTGAATAATTGGATATAACAAGACTCAAAGTACATTAAGTGGAGCGATGAATCCGAGAGATGAGACAGCAGCCGTTATCTCCATCATAACTGCTCAGCTGAGAAATCATCACACACACTTAATAAGTTGGAGGAGGGGAGTTTTATGAGGAGAGAGGAGCAGGGGAAAAAGAGAGACGGAGCCTTTGAGTGCAGGACAGAAAATCAGGACAGTGTCTTTTATTTTCACATCTGATGAGACAGAAGCTCTTAGCAAGTTTCCTGCTGCGTAACCTGATGTTAATGACACACCACGCTGACTTAAATTACAATGGGACCCTCTGTTGATACGTGAATACGAATGTGTGTGCGTGCATGTGTGGACTGATGTGGAGCTTCATTGCTGACTCGCCCCCTGGAGGGAAACACAAACTGTAATTACTATAATCAGATGTGAAAGACAAACTATCTCCAACACCCACAAGGAGCTCACCTATAGGTGCTATCAGAATAGACTAAAACATTAACAGATTAAAGAAACAGAGGGTTGGACTCAGGGGGCTAAACTTATAACTTTTAAAGTCAATCACATGATCCCAGGAGTGATCGCCAGTCTGATTAAACATGTGTCTAATGGGTTATATAAATGAATGAAGTTAGTGTCAGATAGTCGGCAAACATTTTCAGTTTTCGATTGTTGATATTTTTTAATGCTGCTAATGTAGGGAGTTGTTATATAACCTAAATTTGTTTGGAGAACACAGACGCTGCTCTGATGGAATGCTAATATCTGCTGGATGTGAAAATAGACTCATTTACCAACCTGGAAGCTGTAAAACTTAATAAGGTGATAAATAAAGTGTCAGTGTTATGTTTACTGCTTGCTTCACTGTCCTCAAGTGGTCGAAATTGAAAAAGTGCTTTACAATAAACACATAGAGTAGCTGCAGTGAATAGAACTTGATTTAACAGAGTTTGCTCGCTTCTCTTGCATTCGTACTCCCTCTTTCTATCTGTCTCATGCTTCCCCTGATGTTTTCAACATACAAAAATCAGCATCATAACTTTTAATGGCCTTTTTAAATATGCTAACTACCATCAGGAGGATCAGTAATATCAGCGCTGGAGCCGTTTCGTGCTGCTGGAGAAACCATTACAGACACTCACTGTTGACGGTAAGTTGCTATGAAGGGAGCCAGTCACGCAGCACCAGCTGTTGCTTTAAGAACTTGTTTCAACTGACTTCACTTCAAAACATAACTATGTGGTCAGGTTATTTCGTCTGATATGACCCTGAGATGTCAGACTAAATAGGTGACTGCCAGTGGCAAGGAATTAGAAGGAGGTACGGTGGCCTTCAAGGGCAAAGGTACAAACCATCTCTACAGGGAGAAAAATGGGCTGAAGGTTTAGGAAAGTCACCATGATCCAAAACAAATCTAAAAACAGAGATGTGATGGAAATAAAAATCTATATTTTTAAATATACTGCCACAAGCAAGACGTCACAATACACGTGCTGCAGGCTTACATTTTGTCTTGATTTTTTTATTATTTTTTTTTTTTCAACTGTTTTGGAGAGAGTTATGGAGTCCCAATACAAATGTAAGTATCTGCCCACACCGATCCCTGTATTAAGAACATGAGTACGTTTACATGCACAGCCACAGCAGTTGGTAATTGAACTGAACTTTCCCAGTTTACATGCACAAAAATCATATTATTGACAAAAGCACTTCCACCTCTGCTTGTTCCTATCAGACTAAAAGGTCAAGAGATATTTTTCAAAGTCCAGTTTCAGTCAGATTAAGGCAATAAATCTATTTTTCTGAACATGTTAACATACTGTTTTATAGATTTGTTTCTAAAGTGTTGGTGTTAATAATGTTGTTGTTTTTTTATTGCTTCTTGCTCCTGAATGGGCTTTTCTGTTTGACGCCCTCTGTCGATAAATTTGCACCTCTTATCTCTTGCAGTTTACAATTAAATTGTGTTTTCTGACCAGAAAAAAGGGGCAAGTCCTGCATGCCTCAAGTCAACAGTCAAACATTTCATTTCTTGTAAATATCTACTTTGAAAAAAAGTATATGGGCTTTTTCTTCAGTGTGCTGTAAGTCGTCTGGTCAAACAATCAATCAATAAAGAACCATGGGGGTAGCCAAAGTGCTGTACATTAAGACATAAAAACAAATAAAATAAGCAAAGAACACAATAGAGAGAGCAAAAATACATAAACGCAATAAATAAATAGATCTATAAATAAGCAGGCTCACAACAAGTGCTAAGGTGATAACAAACAAAATAACACTAAAATGTACTAAAAGCCAAGGAATAAAAGTGTGTTTTTAAAAACGCCTACCTCCTTTGCTGTGGTTACAGGCACTGAAAACTATATTATAGAAACTGTTGATGCTGATGGTCTCATTTACTCTTCTTGCTCACACTGAAGAATTGTTTTTATTTTATATTTTTTCATCCAGCTTGGTAGCTCTCTATGACTGAATTTTAATGTTGCTTGAGTGTTATTTGTTCATTAGAGGCTTCTTGGCAGTACGTTCTGATTTTCTGGGTATCTATGTGTAATGCACACTAATGGATTTGCAGAATGGCCAACAGAGAGCTCAGGTGATATACTGTTTAAAAAAGTGATGATAGCTTTACCTCTTTTACATGAGATTAAATATTTTGATTGAAGCCAATAGTGCTGTGTATTCCAAAGACAGCATAATACAGCACGCCTAATGTTGACACTACCTTGGCGAAAAAATAAAACAAAAATAAAAAAATCAGGTCATGACAATATTTTTTAATATATTATTGTACGGTCTCAGTTTTGGGCTTGTAAACTTGTTGAAATGTTTTCCAGCGTCTGAGATATTTATGATATTTTTGATGTGAAGACGGTTTACAAGTGCGGACAGATGGTCCATTGCATCTGCTCAACAGGTTTACGATGTTAGATGCTTCTTATTCTCTGTTCTTCTGTACAACTTCTGACATTTTATGACTTTGCTGTGGACATGATATCGAAGTCATAAAGAGAGGTTTCCACATATCTTTAGTTCAAAATAAAAATGAGTTATATTGATGAGAGCATGGTCGAAGTATTTTTAAACTTTTCTTTTGCAAAACAACAATAACTTTCAGGAGGGGGGCCGCTTCAGGAAGAGGCCAGATTTAAAAAGGCAGGAACAGTGTGGGGTCTCGTACAGATCACTGCAAGGATCCCCTTTACAGTCTCTCTCACACACACACACTATCTTTCTCACACACACACCTTGAAAATATGCCTGTCTTGATTATAATAAGGTCTCCAAGGGAATAACCTCTTTGAAACAAATGTTAAAGGCACATGTTCTTTCACCTCCAATCAACCTGAAACACACACGCAGCCTGAAAAAACATTATCAGGCTCCTAAAAACACAAACACCCCCACACATGCAGAAAAACTGTGCCTTTTATATTTGTACTAGGAGTCCAAAGTGAAGTCCAGGGGCTCGTGTAAACTACAGACTAATTTATTGCTGTGGGGTAACAAAAACGTCTCCTGTCTCCGCTCAGGTGTTGAAAAGCCTCAGACTGATACAGAAACACACAAATAGTCTGGACCTGGAGGCTGTGGCTGCTGCTGTTGGAAGGATTACTTACAGAAAACCTATAATCTATCTGGCAAACAGAGGTGTGTGTGAGTGTGTGGGTGTCTGTGTGAGTCCGAGCGCATGCTTGTTTGTGTGGTACACTTGGAAGCCAGTAGCAGTAGGCCAGCAGTGAAATCAGCGAAATAAAGACTGTCTGCATCGCCTTCTACTGTAATTTTCTTTAAATAGCAGTGATGTCATGTTAGCAGTGGGGTGCTGCTGGCGGCTGTGGGCAGCAGCCATCCGCAGTGTCCTGGCCGTGTTTGTCTAGTAAGGCTATGCTGTTTGGGGCTGCTGGTGGAGGGCCGGGCATGAGGCCAGCGGTGCCTGATGATAATAGAGGGGAAGTGGATGTGGTGGGTTTAATCACACACTCTGAGGGGAGAAAACAAAGTCCCCCGTCCCGTCTGATGCTGCCGCTCGGACCGTTGAAGCTTTTTACTGCTTCTCTTTTTTCCCTCATGTTCCTGGTTTTCCATTTCACTTTCTCTGCCGTTTTGTCGGCCTCCTTCTCACTCTCCAAGAATGTAACGGCTTTAATACGTTAAACAATACAGAGTTGCATCACTCGAACATTTGTGGTTATTAACAAGAACTCCAATAAAATCAGAGCAATTAAAGAGTGATATCAGCTGCAAGCCTGAGCAGTGCAACGATTACAATTTCACCCTCAAGCAAACACTTGTTAAAAATGCATTATTTGTGTTGTTTTTGTTACCTCGGGGATGCAAAAGCTGTAAACACAACAATGAATTATTATCACCTCATAAAGCTGATACGCATGCATCAGCCAACAGTAACTTATTCACACATTCACAGACATACTGCTACATCACCTTTTATTTAAAGTTTGACACCTTGCAAATGCAACTCCAATATTTGCTCATGTTCAGCTCCCTTTTTCTTCTCAAACAATTCCTGAGGGAACCGTCTGACTTTTTAGCCTCTAAATGCCTCTAAATGCTCAATTACTGATTGGTGAGGTTTGTCCGCCTGCCATTTGGTGCTGGGAAGATTGTGTTCTGCTTGTTTTTAGTGTTTTTCCACACTAAAAACTTTTTCAAAGGCAGCTGGGAATGGGTTTGGTGAGCACAGGAACAAAAAAAAAATGGCTAAAAACAGAATATTTGTGGTCCCTCAGATCACAAACAATGAGCTGATGAGAGATGCGGCAAAAGCTTTGTGAGGCCCAAGAGATCCGCAAGGTTGTCTCAATATTTCTCTTGTAAAAGCACGTTTTCATTTACTTTCATTCATCCTCAGACAAGCAATTACAATTCAATTTATGAGATAAAGTTTTCAACTTCCAGTCTTAGGTTATGGATGAGGAGAGAGAGCAATGAGGCACTGCTGGAGGGAATCTGCTTATATTTCCTTTGGGAGTGAGCATAGCATTAGCAACACTGCATAACAAGTCAGGATTGTTCAGGTGGACATCCCTCTCTGACATTATGATAGTATAATGTCACACCATGAGATGAACAGCCGCAGATGAGAGAGCTGCATATTATCTTCAAGAATGTCAAAGTGACCTTTGCAAAGTGACACTATTAAACTTAACAGTTTATGCACAATAGTCCGAGAGAATATTGCAATGAAAATGTCTCTGAGTGCCTCGGATGACAGGAGCACAACCTTTTCTTTTACTGTTCATCTTGAATCCTTGCTTTTAACTTATCCGGCAGGTACAAGAAAAAGGGGTTCAAAATCTGAAGACTCATGTCCTGCCGGATTTATTGGCCATTAAGACGCCCTGATTTATGATGAAATTGCGGAGGCAGTTAAAAGAAAAACAAGCTATCATAAAAACAGATGACAGAGTGGTTTAAGGCCACTGAAACCATAAACAATGAAAGTGCTCCGGAATAAAACCTTAACGGAGGTTAAATAGGTGAATAATTTCATGAAGGAAAGGGAACATAAAATTAATAAAAAGGAACACTTATGTGAAACAAACTCAGATGTTGGGAAATACACAATGTAATATCTTAAATTATCCAAATGGTAAAAAAAAGCCCTGTCTGTAAAGTGTAGCTGTCACTTCTTCTAGGTGTTGAAATGCAGACAAACTCAAGCAGTCAAACATTAACATCTGTGCTGCATATTTGTTTTATTGTGCAGTTTTCACCACTGTTATTGCACACACTTGTGTTATATTGTTGTATTTTATATTTATGTGTTTTTTTTATCTTGTTTTGTTGTATAATTTTACATCCCCTGACAGTTGGTCTGCTGCTACTCTCCCAACTTTTGCCTCATATTCTAATTTTAGCACAGAAAAAAACAAAAACAAAACAAAATTCAGAGACAAATCCATTGTTGTGTGTAGGACTTTGCTGAACCTGAAGACAAAAGTCATTAAATCTGATTATCTGTCTTATAATCAGTCTTAATGTCTCAGATGTACAACTGCTGTGTCTTCACTGGAGAGCTCTTATGTCTTGCAACTATAAGGAGGGATGAATACTAGGGTGATCATATGTCCTGTTTGATTCTGATATGTCCTCGTTTTGGGGGGCTGTCCAGTCTTGTCTGGCTTTGTCTGGGGAAGTTTATGAAATCCTTTAAATGTCTGGGGTTTTGTATGGAAGTTTCTTATTTGTGTTACATGGGCTTACTGAATTAGAAGAGCATAAAAGACACTTGATCCGACCCCAAAAAACTCTTAAAGTTAACTTTGTGTGACTCTTTGTCCTTTTTTGGGGATTCAGAATATGGTCACCCTATGAATACACCCCTGTAACATCTCATCTAGCAGGTGGAATTTTAGGGGGAAGTTGCTCTACCAACGACTTCCTACTCCCCCCTTCTAAGAGGAGAGAAGTCTTATAGAGGCGGAGCAGGCAGGGCAGAACAGTGCTGTGTGTGTTTGAGTGAGTGCAGCTGTCGGGGCTGTGATATTGTTCAGGTGAATAGACTGACTTTTTTCAATACTTTTTATATCACAGTTGTGTTTAAGGTAGGATTGTTGATATTGTGTGCCAGCAAGTTGTTTTATTGGTTACATCAGAGTCAAAGTACTCTTTTTTTTTGCATGTATATTCAATCTGCACATTGCGTTTTTCCATTTCGTCTGTTATGTTCTTGTCTCTTTTTTGGTTATTCACAGAAGAGATATTAAAAGTGTCTTTGTTGTTATCACTTTTTCCCTATAAAACATTGCTCTGTGTTTTTGCTTCTGCCTTTCCTCATCGTTGTTTTTGTCTCTTCATCTTTCCTTCAACACACGGTTTTATGTGTCTTTTAGCCCAGACTCTTATTCATCACAGCCTGCTGAAGAGCCCGTTGAGGAAACCAGTGTCGGCATTCACCCAAGCCGATGGTCTAGTCAAAGGGAATCACATGTGTTCCCAGCAGGACACACACACATATGCACGTACACACAGCTCAACACAGTCCAGATCATGGAGAAGAGGCGTTGTGGTTTCTAGCCTGTGGATGAGGATCACTGCCACAGAGTGAGCTCAGGTGTTCGGGCCTTAGGTGAGCAGCTCCAAATGTTTGGAGGTTAATGTCAAAGAAAGTTCCTCAAAATAATAATCAGACATTTGAATGGAAGTTCATGCAAATAAGGAAAGCAAAAGTAGCAGCAGCTGTGACTTTTCACCCTCTTACTCGGTCTTAGAGTCACAGCAGGAGGTTCACAGTGATTACTGAGGTTACAAGTGGCTGAACAGAGAGTTTTTTTTTCCACTCTAAGGGATGAATTTGTGACCTTTAAAAACAGAGCTCAGAGTGAAGCCCAGCACAGGCTGTTAGAGAGGCCTGCACAGGAGTGGGCTGGTTGATGCCACAGTTTATTTTTATTTGGATTAAATTGTTCACAGTGGTTCTGGTTTGGATGTCTTCATGCAGAAATGAACGCAAATTGGAGAAAAAAAAATTATTCACTTATTCCTTTGATTTGACTATTTTCCCAAACCGTTTGATAAAAAGCGCATGCTCGCTTGAAGAAAAGGATTAAAATTATATTTTATCATCACAGCTATGAAATCTTTTGAAGACCAAAAAAGAAAAAAAAAGAAAAGAGAACTGTGAAATTTTAGTGTTAACTTTTCTGTGCCAGTGTTTTAGAAACTGATCTGGCTTTAAAACAACTTGAATTATGGTGTTTTATGTTGCAAAGCTTTTGCTTGAGCGGCAGACACCTCTGTTCTTAAGATTCATTCAAGTATCTTCCAGTTTGCTTTCCAATAACTTATCACCTGTAATATACTGTTCATAAGTCTGTTCCTTATTTGTTCCTTAAGTGTTGCTTAGAAACTGCACACATTAAGTCTTCCCTTTATGTGAAATCTGTCACCGTCTCTGAACGAGAAAAAAAAAAAAAAGGTTTTAGTTTTACAGCCCAGCTGTGCAGACTAAACACAAACACATACCCAATGAATTGCAAATACTGCTCATTTTTTGTAGCTACTGGTTTAATGGTCCAAAGAACAGGGCTTTGAAAGCATAACAGGATGTTCAAGCACAGGCTGATTACATAACAGAAAATAGAAAACGGCAATAAAAACATTCTGGGATATGCTTTTTCCACTTCTCTCTATGGATGAAGGTATGGATAAATGAGGATTAGAGCCAGAATCAAAAGCCAGAAACATATCAGGTCCTGTGTTGTGTTGTGATTCATATTTGTACATTAAAGCAAACAGAAAAGACAGAGAAGACAAAATATGAAAATTCGGTATAAATACAATTGAGAATCAGGAATAGGCTCACCTTAGTGATGGCGAGAGCGCACGCTTGTCCCCAAATTTCTATCAGCTGCTGCTGACCGAACCTGTAGTCCTTCAGTAGCTCTGTCTCGATGGCTGCCGCTTCATCTTTACTGTGAGATGCAGATTAACAAGTGATTAGAGAAAGGGGTTTGCAACATCATGAGCATCACCATTGAAAAATTAAAAAAAAATAAAAGGCTAAAATTTGTTAGTAAATTTGCAATATAGGTGGTGTAGCTTGGGTGACTTTTCCAGAATGCTTAATGCCTGTATCAAGGTTGACTGAAAGTTAGGGGTGAGTCAGCATTTCCACTGAGGTGGCTGCCATCAACCGGCGTCGTGACACCTCCTCAGAAACCAAAAGGGTCATTAATATTCAGAGCATTCCTGCTGCTGCTGAGGGTTTCTAATGAACTATAGTTTGTAAGAAACATGAAGGTAATCTCAGTAAAGTCTATCAGTCTCCACATGTGAACTATAACCTAGCTCACCAAGAAACATGCTTTTAATTTAAGTTACATGAATCTTTCTTTTTCCATTAAAATACTGTATAATCATGGAGTACTGACAGAAACAGCAACACTTCAAGATGCATTTGCAAGCTAACGGTGGGGTTTTATATAACATGGAAAAGACACACATTTACATAGATGTGTGAGGTATGTCGTCATCCACAGAGCGAAAAAAAAAACAGCTATTTATAACCCTGCTAAATTGGTCTGCTTACAAGCATACATACTCATTTGACTGTCACTCATGTCTTAATGCTTAAAGGACATTCATGAGGCCTCAGCTGGTTTTTAAGGCCTTCTGTGTGTCAACTACCACTCATAACTAACCTGAACTGCTTCTGGGAAGTATGGCAATGAAACTAAAAATAGGCCATTGGCCTTGGCAGCAGTTAAACCAGGTTGTTTGTTAAAATTGAAATGTTTTGTGCATCAATCAGTGTATTTGCAATTTAATGTAAGCTCTGTTGAGCTCTGAGATGATAACAGCAACTCTGCTTTATCTGGCTGCTCTCTGCGTGACTAAAGCTCCTGTATGAGAGCCTGCTGGTGCTGTTATTACTGTGAGCGTGTGTGTGTGTCGTGTGTCGAGTGTGTGTGCGCTTGTGACAATTGGACAGCACAGCAGTGGGCCGGTGACAAGGCCGCAGCCACAGAGGTGATCCTTGTCACGAATAGAAGAGCAGGACCAGGAAAGCAGGACGTGGAAATCATAAAAACTCTTGCCTTTCTCACCTGGGGGCTGTTTCATAATGTAATACATTCCTTTAACTCTACAGACCCCTGGTGGTCTTTATCAGAACTGCAGCTAATCAGAACACCAGGTAATCTGAAACGCGGATCTCTGCATGAAGAGAGATGTTGCAAAGAGCCTTGAAGTGAAGAGGTTATTCAGATGGGATTCAGTGTTTGTGTATGATTACAGTGCAGATCATCAGCCTATTGAATACCAATGAGACAAGATGAGAAAGGGATCAATGAGCAAAATCGATGCTGTGCCTCTAATCAGCACTGACTCAACAGGGGTCGCTCTACTGTGTTTCAACCTCTCGAAATAGATCAAGAGCTGTTTTTGTGAGAGTGTGTGCGCATGCATGTGTGCACATTATTTTTCCGAAGGTGGCCCTGATTGTGCTTTCCGTGTGTCAGCATAAAAAACAGGTTTAAATTATTAAAGATGTGTTTACAGTCGAAGAGGTCACCCAAATGAAGGAACGCTATAACAGTGGATTAGTTTGTATGTTTTATGGAGCAGAAAATCCTGTCATGTGCAACTGTTTTGCAATTGTCATGCAGCATTATCTATTTACCAGGAAAAAAAAAACACAATCACCACTTCTATTGTTGTTGAAGAAACAGCCAATAAAGGGGTTTCTGTGTGTGTGTGTGTGTGTGTGTGTGTGTGTGTGTGTGTGTGTGTGTGTGTGTGTGTGTGTGTGTGTGTGTGTGTGTGTGTGTGTGTGTATAAATGCATTCATTCAGTGTCATTTGTCCCTATTCACCAGTGGCCGCTTGACTAATGCCTAGCGTGCTTGTGCTCCTTTTATAGGCCCTTAAAGACATGCCTTTGTGTGTGTGTGTATATGGCCGTATGTGTGGTGTGTGTGTGTGTGTTTATGTTTTAGCGAGCTGGTGTATCCAAGTGGGGCTTCTGGCATTTACCTGAGCAAGTGGAGAGGCAGCAGCTGTCACCCACAGCTCACCTCAGGGATGTTTCCTGAAGCACTGAGACAAATGATCTTTGAAAAGTTCAGCCTGGCCCACAGGGTTTAGAGCTTTTTTAAGACTTTTGATTCGGCAGAATTGATTTAAGATAAGGGTGAATCATTTTATCGCCTTTCCTAGAGAAGTCCAGTTTTTATAAGAAAGCTGGGCAGTTGTTGTTGTTGGATGGTGGATAACCCTGAGCACCGGACTGATACTATCACATTTACAGTTCTGCTGCTGCTGAACAGCTTGTTACTATTGATCCTTAACAGTTCTGACAGAACAAAGTGTTGTGGGTGTACAGCTCTCAACAGCAGCAGAGAGGCTCTTTAACAAAAGAGAAGCTCAGAGCATTCAGGACAGACTCAGGCCTTATATGTATCTGTCCGACAGCCCCAGTGGTGCTAAATATGATTATTAATCAGCATTAGATCACTAAAAATACTAAACGGTGTTAAAGACTGTAGAGATGGACAATTATCAAATCATCTCTCTTCCTTTCCCCCCTCTTTTATTCCTAGTTTGCTGATGGCTGCCTCCCAATTAGCCTGATTTTACCATGGATTTATGCCCATTTCAAAAAACTGTCCAGATTTTTACCGCCTACTTTAAATGCTGATCTGAACTATGTGAAACTGATGTGGAATTTAAAAAATAATGGTAACACTTTACTCTATGCCTATCTCTATCACGCATTATAAACATATGTAATATGCGTCATAGAGACATTATAGCACTGTATAACTATAGATATAAACACTCATAAATGATCATAATGCTTTATAGCAATAATCATAACACATTATAAAGCATATCATCATGACTTATGATATTTAACTAGTCATTAGGATTGTAGCAATATATGACGGTAATATATAATAGACTGATACTGCACTGAAAATAAGCATACTGTGATACCATGAGTTCATTGTAGTTGTCCTTTCTGCTGGTTACCACACGTCGTACACATCAACATAGAGAAGACGTGAAGAGGAAGTAGCAGACTGCTAGTAAGTGACCTGTAGCGTACTGGGGTATGACATGGCACTTTTTAAACTAGCATTAAGATTTATTGTGAATCTAACAACAATACTGGAGATTGTAACTGACCAATCGGATAACACTTTATAACATTGTTTGACTATAGTTATAAACACTCATAAATGATCATAATGCTTTATAGTAATAATAATAATACACTATAAAGCATTTTATCATGACTTACAAGGTCAGGTATTACCATGTGTTATTCTTATTGTTGTAAAGCCTTATGATAATTAATGAGTGTTATAATGATAGTAATATAAGTTTATAAGCAAATTATAACACATCATAACTATATGTATAATGCATTATCTATGTGGGCATTGTCAGTGAGTTGTTAACAGTTATTACACATTATAGTACCTGACCTAGTAAGTCATGATAAAATGCTTTATAATGTGTTATAATTATTGCTTTAGCATTATAATCATTTATGAGTGTTTAAAACTAACGTTATACAGTGATATAAAGTCACTGTAATGCATTATACATATATTTATAATGCGTTATAGAGATGGGCATCAAGTAGAGTCTTACTGTTTCATTCAGCTCTGTCAGATACAGTCTACCTGAGATAGTATACTTCAAAATAAAAGCATTGCAATCGTTTACGAGGTCGTCTCTTCTCTAAAGAAGTTTCTGTCACAGTGCTGGTGTGAAAGCCAATTAACTGATGAGGAGTGCTTTTCTTTTTTGTACTTTTTGCACTTTATTTTACTTAATCTTTACGAAAGATTTGCTATGCAGTTGTTCATTTAGGCGCTGTGTCATTGTGTGTACGGAAACATGTGTTATGCAGCTGTGGAGCCTTATTAGTATCACTGCTCCACTGTTACACCTGTAGCCACAGCTTTGCAACAGCCAGCAGCCTCTCCCCAGAGAGAGAGCTGATTTCCCCATGCTGAGCGTGATGTGCTCCTGTGGCGTGTCACCTACACTGTATCGCTGCTCCACTGTGATCCCAACCTGCTTAATGAGTCTGTTTATCTTCCACATGAGATAAGGTAAAATGAAACTTTAATGGTCCCTGTGGGAATATGGGGACACTGCGAGAGCAAATGGTCCGAGCATATACGGAGAGATTTAAAAAAGAATAGGAATAGAAAAGAAAAGGAGGGGGTTGGTCATTTTGAGTGTCTTGATGTAATGGTTTGGCGAACATAATCAAAACAATCTCATTAGTTCTAATGTTATTTTACCAGCGTGTTGATAGCCTAAAATGACCCGATATACCGCGAGTTTAAAGCCATCATGAGCAATCATTGAATGACTTAATAAAAAAATAAAAAACAAAGTGTTTCATAAGTGCAATTAGTGAACACGGACCGATTTCTCACAGGTAGTATTATCTAATGCAAGCAGTATTAATTCACCTGCAATGCTCCCTTGTAAAACATTCATATTCATGTGTTACTGTGTTTAGGCTGTGGGCAAAAAGCATTATTGTTTTATATAAAAGATGAATACTCCAGTGAAAATGAGAGAGGCTTCTATTCTATTTCTCTAACCCTGGAGACAGGAATAGTCACATTTCCCACCCCCTTCATCTCACTTTGCCTAATTTCACCTCACCAGTGTGATTGCATGGTGAGATAAGAAGGCTGATTGAAATAAAACACATTCCCGCCTGCCTTGGAGAGGACAGAGAGAATAAAACATTGTATTTTTCAGTTTCTCAGGCCTCGTCTTTGTCCTCTTTTCTGCTCATCGTTGCTCCCATTCTCAGTCCATCTGTCTATCTCACACTTCAGAGTTGTTAGTGACACTTTGGGCCTTTTATACACAAATAAAACAGCAAATCCAATTTTGTGTAAATGAGAAGAAGGTCATTTATTTTCTGCTCTTTTTCTGCTCTTTTTCCTGCTTTACATTTAATTTTGTGATATTGCCATTAGCTTCTATGTTGCTGTAGTTTAATTTACTTAAAAGAACATGTCATTGATTAGGTCTCAGTGCAATATAGTAAAAGCTTTTGTGCTACATTGAATGACGAGACAAAGAGCTGCATAATTTTTGTGCAAAAAAACATTTTCTTTGTGATGCTTCATAAAACCGATGTCTTAATGGTGAAAATCCAAATTTCCATCCAGCCTTTCATCTGAAAATTGCAGCCACACGTATTGTTCGTTATAAGTATGTCACTCATGTATCCAACCATATACATATAAAACATGCTTTCTTAAAACAAGTATAATGAAAGCTTTTAAGGGTAGCTGACCACTGCTGTAAAGAAAGCAGCTGAATTGGTTTAATCCTTTTGTAAAGCATGAGATAGGCTGTGACTGCTGTGTGTAATAGCTCTCCATATTTCTTTGATTTGCAAAGCAGCCAGCGGGGGGTTGAGTTAGACTCAGTGGGTGGATGGATTTGAAGTTGTGTTCACACTGATGCAAAAACAAATACCTTCCACAAAGATCATCCACTAAGCACCATCATGTCTGGGGTTTTTCTACCTGTGTGCAGGGACACTCAGGAAGAGTAAAAAAGAGGCTTCAATCTGTTGTACCGAAGCAGAGAGTGCCCAAATAGGCTAATTTTCTTGTGACTGGGTTGAAGAAAACCTTTTCTTCTGATCCATACTTTAACACATACATGATATGTTACAATGCTAGATGTCCATACTAAAAATAGCAGCAAAGTTTCACAACGTGAGATACACAGACGGTGATATAATCTTCTGTTGTGTTTGCACACTCATTGAACAGCTCATTTCAAGACATGGCCTTAACCCAACAGTTACGCCATCCTATTACAACAATGCTAAATGACAGGCTCACCAAGAAAGACGCTTTCACAGCTCGGCCCTTTCTACACTTTGTTAATTCAGTATGTCGCCAAAAGCTACTTGTAAGGTCCTGTGCACACCAGCCTTGTACCCTGGAGCATTTACCTCCTTGGTGCGGTTCGTTTTGGTTTGTGTGAACACTGGCCTTGAGCTCTGGTACGGACCAGTCAACCGCTCTCAAAACCGTTATCGAGTGAACTCTAGAGTGGTTCACTTCTGGTGTGAACCCCATCTGCACCAATCGCAGGAAGCACGCTGTTTTAGACGTCGTACCCTGTTTTGGTCAAAGGCAAAGTTAGCAACGTGCAGCTAATGTCTGGCAGGGGACAAACATGGACTTAAGAATTATTGCCTGTTTTCTTCTGTGATATGACCGTATAATTGCAGAGCATCTCCTGCAACATGCATGTATTAATACATTATTTAATTGCCGCAGTCTTTCCAACCACTCATAAGTCCAACATAGAAATGAGCAGACAATGCTCTATGATGAACAGTAAAAATTGCAAGGGGTTTGTCGTCTACCCGCCTAAACTGCATAAGCAATCACTGAACAGCTTTTGCTGCCACGTGACAATTTTTGGACCGTTTGAGTTTGGCCTTTGTGAACGCAAACTGGACCAGTTGAGAAATTGCAACGCTGTATCATCAGTGCATCATCCTCGCTTTGGCTCGTATCAGAAAACTGACCTTTTGGTGTTAACACAATCTAAGTTTCCTGTTTGTTTTAAAGGAAAGCTGCCTGACAAAGACATCAGAAAACAGTAGCAAGTTTTCATTTTCGTCTGAGAACCACAAGTTATAAGTAATTTTATAAGAGTAGATCTGTAGCAATCGCTAATGTATGCTAATGGGGCTAAACTGGGAGCTAATATAGGTCCATTAAGGCTAATAGGCATTTTCTGCAAAGGTATAACTTTCTGCTTGTTTTGTGACAACAGAACTGTGTAAAAAGTCCACTCTCATGCTGTGATTAACTTTATGTTACTGAGGAAAACAGCCAAAACAAAGTGTTTCTGGCAGAGACTGGATAGTGCTGCGACAAGGGTTTAAAAAAAATGAACTGCAAATCATCCTCTGCTCTGCAAAGCTACTCAATAGGAGTCTTGAGATGACAAAATGAAATGAGTATAATAGGTTTCCTTGAAATAAACAAGTAAAAAGGATGAAAGAAAAACAACATGGTGAAAAATCTTAATTTGTTCTACATCCCCACCGGAGGTCAACAAAACAATGATTTTGGCTTGCTTTATTTTTCTGAGTAATTTGCTGTTTTTTAAGTGTTTATTTAGAGACAGGATAGTAAACAGAGTCGGACACAAGAGAGAAAATGAGAAGGGCCAGAGCAAAAGGTTGGGGATGAACCTTGGTCCTCCACTTAATTGGACTTTGTGTGATTCAACTGCGAAAACCGAAGCAGCATCATGGATTGAGACTTTGTGTTTTTGCATCCCGTGCAAATGCAAAACTTAATTTCAAGTGTTTCAATAAGTCCACTGATTTTGTATGTATGTGAATTGCTAAGACAAAGGAATGGCTTTGCTCCCGTCTGAAGGGATTAACAGAAAATGGTCACCACTGTCAACATGAAAAAAATCTTGGTAACACTTGACTTGATGCCGATCTCTATAAAGCATAATAAATGTATGTACAATGTGTTATAATCACGTTATAGCACTGTATAACTATAGTTATAAACCCTCATAAATGATCATAATGCTTTATAGCAATAATCATGACACATTATAAAGCATTTTATCATGACTTACAAGGTTAGGTATTATAATGTGTTATGCTTATTGATATAAAGCCTTATGATAATTAAGTGTTCATAATGATAGTTATACAAGTTTATAAGCAAAGTAAAACATCAAAAATATATGTATATTGCATTATCTATGTGGGCCTTGTCAGTGAGTTATTAACAGTTATAACACATTACCTGATCTATTAAGTCATGATGAAATGCTTATAATGTGTTATGATTATTGCTATAAAGCATTATGAACATTTATGAGTGTTTATAACTATAGTTATACAGTGCTATAATGTGATTATAACTCATTATACATATATATATATATATATATATATAATGTGTTATAGACATAGGCTTCAAGTAAAGTGTTACCAAAATCTTATTTATGACCACGATCATCATAAAAAGAAGCCTCAGCTGTGATGCAGAAATATCTCTGCTGGGCGGTCTGATGTGACATACTGTGGTACAAACATGCAGCATCACTGCTCTGCCCTTTGATCCCAAACTTTGCTGATCTTGCTTTATCATTCAACTCAGCAAACCATTTTCCATTTTCTTCTCCCTTTGACGCGCTCACACTCCAATTTCTCGTCCTATCACTACTACTGGGGGATGACAACAAGAGACACTCAGTCAGGGAGAAAAAACAGACAATGAGCGGACACATGGGAGATGACTCATCCTGGTTTATTTAATCCGGTGAGTTTTGGGGTGTTTTGTTTTTCAATACATGGGTTTTGATATGAGAAATGTCCTTTAGTGAAAAACCACAGGATGTAAATGTGGCTGTATAACATCATCAGCCACTTCTATCATTTTATGCTTCACTTTACATCATTACCCCGAGAAAATCCTGTTGTTATGGATATTCAGCCTTGTTCCAGCTAAGAGGTTTTAGTCCTGATTCCTGATGGATAGCCATGTTTTTGAGCTTCTATGCTGCATAAAGATGGCTCCCCTGCCAATTTAACAAGGTTTCCAGTGGGCTTTCCACTTCTGTACAACATGTGTCACCTCAGGACACCGTCGAGGAGAGGTGATGTAAGGACACAAAATCAAGGGGGAGAGGGCGACGGTGAAACGCAGGACGGTTCAGACTGGATTGCTCAAATAAAAGAGAACAGAGGCGTTTTTTCTTTGGGCAAAATTGAGATTGAAATTGAAAAATAACTTCAATGGGATTCCCTGCAGAGTGAAGGAGACACAGTGAAGAAGAGGGGGTTTTCTGATAAGAAATTCATGCAGGGGTGAGGGAGAAAAACTGCGCAATAACTTCAACAAAACAAAACAAGAAACAAGTGATCCCATAAGCATATTTCATATGAAAAACCAAAGCCTTCCTTGTGAAACTCTGCGACTATGTAGAAAATGAAGTTTGTGTGATGTATTTTTGGAGGAGTCTCGCTGGAAGTACAGCAGCGTCATTTCGTTATCCCAATACAAGTGAGCCGAATTATTACGAGGTATTTTAAGGCGTCTGAATGCATTCAAGCACACATTTTTAGCCTGCAGGAAGTATAAAGACAGCTATTACATTTCCCCGGCCCTAATTGGATGATGGGCAGGAGGATCAGGTGGTACAGCATGAGGAGCGTCTCATGAACAGGCTCAGCTGGCAGATAGGAGCTGGCCCTGTGCCTCCATATGCTCCCATTCTAGCTGCTCAGCGTGAGCCTCCCCATGCTGCTCATTTCTTATCAAATCAGGATGGCATGATTCACTTTGTTTCAAGTCTCCTAAGGCTATGATTACAGGCTGTCTGTATAAAGTGTGTGTGTGTGTGTGTGTGAGAGAGAGAGAGAGAGGGACCCATTCAGATCCATACAATAGTCTCCAGGAGCATCATTCTTCCAAATCAGGCCTAATCAGTTTAGCTGTTCGCTCATGTTCCTCATTTCTGGTACACCAAGGCAGTCATTCTTTAGATAATCCCAATCAGCGGCTCCCAAATTTTGTTCTCATAACTGATGTTATCCCGAACAGCCATGCATGCACCTGGAGGCATTATTAAAAGAGAGCATGGATCAGTTTAGCTGGAGCCACAGGTGTTTCCAAGCATATCTACTTGGCGTGTGTTCTTTGTGGGCTAAAAATGTCCAGCATGAGTCAGGTCTGGTCATTTTTCAGCTTGAGTTGTCACATAAGCACAAGGAAAAGGGATTTTTTTTTTATAATTGATTTTCTATAAAGACTGAGTGTTGCATCTTAGTATAATGACATGCACAAAATATATTAGCCCAAGCAATAACACATGCTCACAGGTTACACCATCATCTTTCTCTCTCAATGGCTTTTCCTTCTTTCGTCTATTATCCAGAGCATCCATTTATAACCTCCACCTCTATCTTTACACCTAGCAGCACCACACATTATGAGGCATATGTTGTCACATTCAATTTATTTCATTTGAGACAGGGTCCTGTCCTCCAGGTACTGCAGGCAGAGCAAAATGGCTAACACAATTTAAAAAACTGCTGGCTGGCATGAGCTCCCGTCTGTGTTGCCGTGTGACCTGAAACTTAATTAGAACAATCTCTCAGCTGCCCTGTGCTATCTGAGGAAAAGTTGTTCTGAGAGAGAAATTTGGCTCTTACATGTCAATCTTTGTGTCTCTTACCCTTTCCAGCCCACTGTGTTTCCCAGATAAATCCATATCATATTTGAGAATGGTGAATTCACACAGCAATGCCGCGCGTCTTGATCAATCCCCAGTGAAGACGGATCATTATTACAGTCTCTTTTTTTCTTACTCAATGTAGAAACCTCGACATATTTGTCTGGATACAGCACATGATATTTTAACTTATACAAGAAAAAGGTCACCCAATTTCCTTCAGTACTGTGGCCCTTATGGACGACCATGTAGTCATGGCAACAGAGTTTCCATTGTCATGTGATTGCCCATAGGCGCATAGGCAAGGAGAATGTGGAGCAAATTCATCCTCAACACTAAATGGTGAAGGGGTGGTGGGGTGTATGTGGGTTTTCTAACCCCCTCTTTGAAGTCATGATACTTTTAATTTAAAGTATTAAAATGATTAGTAATATGACATCTTAAAGTATCTGATATGAACAAGTAGACAACTTTAATTTGGTTTTAAAGGAGCCTTTGCGATCCTTATTTACACTCTCTCGGTCCATACAGGAGTACAGGAAATGTGCTTTTCAGTATTTTTATCCTTTTATTGCCTATGATTAGAGCCAGAGCCTTAACATCTCATAAACAGCCTCAAGCAGCTGACAGTTACCATGGCAACCATCTGACAGGATGTGATATGTCACCTGCAATCAAAGATGATAAATGTGGGAGACACTGTGAAGGTAAGTGTTGCATGACAGGAGAGAAGTGATGTAAACTGGTAAAAATAAGAGTCTGGATATGATGGACATTGCATGCTGTTTTTCCCCTGCTTCACACTTAATATGTGTGTATTGTGTGTATTTTTATCATTTAACATTGACTCTATGAAGTTCGATTTGCTCGTCTCTGCCTCTTTCCATGTTTTAATACAGTTTAAAGGAGCAGCAGATGGGAGAAACTGTTGAATTCAAATTTTACAATCACTTTGGCTCTCCTCAGAACAAGAACACTCACAAGTGTGATGGCAAGATTGAGATTATTTTGACAGAGAAGTTTGAAAACTAGGCTTTCTTTTCATTTATTTTCCAAGTACAGCAATCATACTGGCTGATTAAACATAAAATAGACTATCAGCTCAAGGACATTCTTGGCTGTTGGCTGAAAAATTGCATTATTGTTGGTATAATTGGGTAGGACAACCATTCACAATACTGATAGACAAATGATTCTTGATTTATTCAGAACACAGAGTGATTCAGTTCTGATATTGTGGAAAGAAATCTTCCTTGTCATTCCATGACATTGTAATAATGGTTAAAAAAAAAAGGTAAAATTAGCTGTAAGGAGAGGTTAAATTTGCCAAAGCAGCTTAATGAAAAGAAGAAAAAGATAGATTTGGAGGTGAAGAGGCTGCCGAAAAAGGGAACAGAGGAGGAGAAAGTGACACAGCATAATTAGAAGTGCCGCCACCGGCAACACTGAGCAGCCAGTCAGACTAATAAAACCCTGCCATGAGGGGCACAGTCTTCTTCTGCAGATAAATGAATACTTTTATTCCAGGCTGGAGACCCCACTGCTTTTCCATGCCAGCATGAGCCTCTGTTATCAGAGTCTATGACCTGTTATTATGTTGCAAGTGTTGACTCAGAATTGATAGGATTGAAACTGGCTGTAGGGGAATAACATGAGGATTGCTGTATTTCAGGTTGGTCTATAATCCCATTAAGCCTCACTGTCCTCCACTATTACACCCATTTGGCTCTATATGTCACAGCTTGTTAGGCACAGGACAAAGTGTAAAGAGAGGGTGGGAAAATATACAGCAGACAAATGTGGCAGAGGGGAAAGTGTTTAGAGTATACAGGGTAGGAACAGGGCAAAAAACATATATTTTAGGCTAACACTTTGCTGTAAAAGTACACAAAGCTTCCAGATGTTTGTTAACCTAAAAGAAACATATTACAGAGCGCTATGCTGCTAAAATCAATTAAAACAGCTCCAACATTAAATATTCTGCTGATGAGGCTTAAACCTAATTCTCCAGGGGAGAACATTAAAGAGACTCTATCATTGTTTTAAATAAGAGCTCCTGCAATTGATTGGTTTTAATAAGCAAGGGTTTTGCATTATTAATTTTAATTAAATTTCTTTGCAGTGTCTAATTAAGAGGGAGCAAATGCTGAGTTATTACAATGAGGTATAGCCAAGGAGATGTCATACTCAGGAGCAAAAAACAACTAAACTTAGTATAAACACACGTGGAGACAAACACAAACAGCTGGTGAACACAGAGCAATGATTCACTGCCAAACTGACCTTACAAGTTGGTGGAGACCAAAACAGAGTCAACAGAAAACACCTGTCATCATATCATAGATTGTATATACTATGGACAACTTGGTTCCGTCTTCCACCAGAATACGGATTTAAAGCCGAAAAGCTCTCGGTATTTCCATAATTTTTCTTCCTGAAACTAACATTGCGCAGAAGCATTGTACACATTCGGCGGGAGAGTCGCTGTGATGACGCTTGACTCAAACAGCTACGCAATGTGCGTACGCCCATAGGCTGTATCAAGTGTCAATCATTGAAAACATGAACCCCCTAATAACTTTTAAAAATAGAGCTGCACAGAAAAAAGAAGACTTGAGCACAAACCAGTCTCACAGTAACTACATGTCAACATTGCAAGTGGGGGAAGAAAAAATTATATTCGGTGTAATATAAGAGGGTGCTGTTCTCGGGGTGGCTATATACAGTCTATGGTGGAGACCAAAACAGAGCCAACAGAAAACACCTGTCAGTTCATATGCACTCCTGAAATGTTCCTGACATCAAAAACATGCTGTGAGGACCACAGTGTAATATTAACAACATGACGGTTAATGATGGAACAGAGACCATGCAGGATGAGGACCGTCTTTGTATTTATATCTATGAGACATTTAAAGCGGTGTATGTACGCACATCTCTGTGGAAAATGTGGTTTTTATTCATCGCACACTTATGTGTCACTCTTCCAGGTTCCTACTTCTTGCATGTTATGAACGTCATCACTCTTGCTTGCATGCTTTGAGTGAATTTTCCTGAATATTTCCTGCTTTTCTTTCACATCAACTCACCCCGACTTTACAGGAATAATTCACTCAGGGGTCATTCTGTAGCTCCTGAAGTTTTTAGGAGTTTGTTCATGTGTGATCCCTGGGATAACATTGGGCTAATTGGTTGAAACATAACTCAACTGAAATATAAAATAACATTAATGCAATTTTTGATCCACAGTAAATGTCTGATCAAGCAGCCAATCACAGACACAGCCATGTAACTACCTCAGCAAGCTGCCTCTGATTTTTTTAACACATAAAGATGTGTGATATTCAGTACTAGCCTTAGAAAGTGTCTCCAAAGCCTTTCAACAAGATCATACCAGAAGCAGAGCTCTCACTATAAATCAGAGTGCTAGACCAATCTTACGACAATGTGCTGACTCATAAGAAGATAAGAGGTGGAGATCTGATCTACTGCACTTAAGCTGTTTACAGCTACTGTGCATCAATCGCTGTTTTGCTCAGAGGGAATAATAGAGAGCTAAGGTTGATGTTGAGATGTTATGAAGCTGCAGGGCATGTCTGTTTCTTCTCTGCATCGCATCCCCTGCCACTTTTTTCCCTCGGTGAGGCAGCAGGGCAGGTTCAGCTGTCAAAGAGGGATGCACGGAGGGCTAAGAGGCTTGTTTGTCTAATGTCACCCTGACAGTACACAAATTTTGCTGCCAAGCTTTAAAAAAAAAAGTAACATCCAAAAACAATACCAACGCCAAAATACCAACGCCCAAAGTGAGACTGTGCTGAAAAGAAGGTCCACCCTCTGTCTGCAAGAACATCCGCAGAAAAGCTTCAATGACACAAAAACCTCTATTAAGAGCGACAAAATGATACTGCTCTATTTTACAGCACTTTGAGTAAAAGGCTTTTGTTTTGAAGACAATCAGGCAAAGAAAAAGGGAGGAACAAAAGGAAAACAATGCTTCCATGAATCTGAAACTTTAAAGACTTTCTCTTTGCCCCTTCCCCACATGAATACGTTCTCTTTCCCTTACAGCTAATTACCCTTTGTCTGTAGATGTGTATCATTATGTGTGTGTGTGAATGTGCCTCCTGATTCATTTCTCATTCACCGACCAGACCATGCAGACTGATTTATAAGGAAAAGGCCATCAGGTCAACTGAAAGCCAATTAGATACAGGACACACACACATAAACACAGCACATAAACAGCATACCAATGAGAAAGAAAGCCCCAAACCAATAATGCCACTGTCTCGTAGCTTCTCTCACCCTCGTGTGTGTCCGGGAGCCTTCAAATTATGCGCAGTTTGTTCCTGATACAGCTCTCCTATGCACAAGAGCACCTGCTCTCATAAACACACTCACACACACATACTATGTACAGGCCGTGTATAATTGATGAGGACAGCAGTGGGTGGGGAACCATGACAGGGACCAGAGAGCCATCGCACCTAAACTGGCATTCGGCCGACCTTTTACACCTACACTGGCAAGTGTGTGTGCATGCATATGTGCAAGTACGTGGGTGCGTGTGTGGGTGTGTTTACGATGCCCGGGCGGCAGGTGGCAGGGAGGAATGTGCGAGGGGTGCAAAAAGGCCAAGGCTGACGGCAGATTAGATGAAAAGTGTATTCTTCAGAGAGGCTTTGAATGAAAAAACAATGACGAAAGAGTTGAAAATAAGACAGAGGGAGAGAGCGAGAGAGGGAGCGAGCGCTCCAGTGGGATGCTTTTTGATGATGATAGCTGAGCAGCCAGGCGTTATGATAAAACTGGATGAAAAAACAACAACACAATGACTCAATGTGAGTTAGACAAACATGGAAATCTTCATTCAGCTAAGTGTCATTTAACACTATCAGTTAACAGTCCCCTGTGGCATTGTGTCGTGTTATTGATACACCATCTCCATACACATGTCACCTCATGGCTGAAGAATACACAGACTTCATTCCAGCTGCTGCTGCTTCATTTTTTGCCCTTGGCATCATCCTCTCCTGACAAACATGTTTGTCTGCTCAGACTAAAGGTCCATGTGTGCAAATCTTACCCCGGGCTACGAACGGCTTTTTACTGACGGGCGTAGCTGTAATGTATGCACATGTGGCATTTCCCCATACATTAGGAGGAGAATGTCACACAAGCTGTGCGCCCTGGGGAGCCTGGCGGGGTGCCGTATATGAGACTTGTTGGATTTGCATACATGTGTGTATGTGTGTTTGTCAGTCACACGGCGCACACATGTTAGGGCGCTCATGCGAGGGTGCACATGTGCACGTACAACAGGCTTCCTCATTTCCTCTTAAAATGATTAGGAGGTGAAGAGGAGCAGCAGGAAGGGGGTGGCTCTGATGTGTAAGCCTCCCGCTGCAGAGGTGTGATGTGAAGGAGGGGGATGTCACGCAGAGTCGGCTTATGTCACTGCTGCCCACACAAGAACACTCACATTTACTCCGTCAGCTTGTACCAACATAACCACCTGCACTATTTAGAGTAAGATTTAACTACAAGTTTTTTTTATTTTTATTATTTTTATTAATGGTATAATTAACATTTATGCTGTATTGTGTTTAGAAGATCAACTACAATTAGCATTATGCAGACCTTTGGAGATTTCCAAGGCATTTTTGCATTCCCTTAGAGGTTTGGATTAATTGCAATACAAGAGTGGGTGGTTTGTTACTCATACACTCTCTTTTTAAGTAACTTTGATTTAAAAAAAAAACTCAAAGAAAACCATCTATTGACTGAGCAGGAGGTTTGTTTTAATTCCTGCATCAAAGTGCCACCAAACTCATTTCGGAAGGTGAATAAAATCTCAGTTAATAGCTGAGAGCAATACAATTTTAATTTGCAAAGGAGGTACCACAGGTTAATTTTTTCACTACACTTTCTCAACCATCATCATGTAAACATAATAATGATTTTACTTGGGCTTTTACTGCATGTTGCCTCACTTTAAGAGACTCAAACACAAGGGTTGGTTCACCTCATAAAAAGAGCAAGGATAGACTTTAAAGGGAAAAGCTTTTGAAGTCAAATGCAGTCAAATATGCCATAACTATTTTGGTAACACTTTATTTGACACCTATCTCTATAACGCATTATAAATATATGTATAATGCGTCATAATCACATTATAGCACTGTATAACTATAGTTATAAACACTCATGCCTTATGATAACTAATGACTGTTTATAATGATAGTTATACAAGTTAATAAGCAAATTATAACACATCATAAATATATGTATAATGCATTATCTATGTGGGAATTGTCAGTGAGAATAACACATTATATTACCTGACATTGCAAGTCATGATAAAATGCTTTATAATGTGTTATGATTATTGCTATAAAGCATTATGATCATTTATGAGTATTTATAACTATAGTTATACAGTGCTATAACATGATTATAACACATTATACATGTATTTATAATGGGTCAAATAGCTAGGCGTCAAATAAAGTGTTACCATAATTTTTTTAATTGGGACATGTTTGCCAAGTTTACCGTAAATGAGTCTTGTGAGGATGACACAGATAAGTTAGTGGTGCAAGATCAAGATGCCAGATGTCCAACACAAAACACAACAACATGCAGACATGAATAACTTGCGAGCTGCCATTCAAGTTAATGACTTGAGCGTATGAATTGTATACTACTGTATAGCCTAGTAGTGCATATGGAATTGCAAACTTCTATGCAAATGGCAAACTGTGAGAGTGAGCCACGATCACGCACAAGACATGAGCTCATAACTCCAGAATAGAAAGGTCTGGATCAGTCAATCTTAATATCATACAGAGTCCAGTTTATTGATAACACCGAGTGGATCCTTGTAAAGGCTGATATTGCAGAGTGCATTGAATATGAGATTTGATTTTTAATGAAATCTACTATGAATGACAAGGTTGTAGATAACAGTGCTTTATTTTGGACCCAATCTATATTTTAATACTTCTCTTTCTTTCTTTCTTTCTTCTTTTATTGTCAGCTTATATTCTAAATCTTTTTTACATCACAACAAGTTAAAATATATAAGCACAGTGTAGAAGCTTTTCCAGAAATGGACTTCTCTGTTTCTCCTTGGATCCAACACACTCAGCCGTTGTCAAATTGTAACATAGAATCACTGGTATCCACAGGAAAACAACAGACAACTGAGTATGATCAGCTAGCCAGGGGGTTAGTATGTGCTGAGCACAGGACCACCATGTACTAAAACAATAAAGCTACAGTATGTATCCAAGAAAGGCGCTTATTTTGGGGCCATAATATTATGGGGCCGGTATATGACTTAGAACTTTCTGAGATACCATTATGTATGAGACTTAATGTTTTCTGTACATTAGGGAGGAGTCTTTACCTTGAGGGACCCAGAATGACACCATTTTTCTCTTAAAGCTCATGTGAGGAACTTTCAACTAATGTGAATTTTGGTTCCCCCCTGTGGACAAAATAGCCTTTGCTCATCTTGTCCATTTTACACTTTAAAAGTGTCTTCTGACAAAAAGAAAATCTCACCATTCTGCCTTCAGACGGTCAAATGTATTATTTATTGTGTATTTTAGTTGTGGAAATTGTAAAAACAGAGCTGTTTCCTCAGCTGCTCAGCTGAGACCTACCCTCTGGCACTGGTTACAGGCATTAAAAAGAAAAAGAAATCATTAATTATGTTGAAGATTGTTTGCTTTGCATTTCATAAAAAGGCATAAATGTAAATCTTGGTTGATTTCATAAACATTATATTCCCACAGGAGCTTAGACGTGACCAGACTGAGACACGTCATCAGTTTAAAGTAGCTAGATTCACATATACACCTAAACACATTTGAGCTCCTAAAATGCATCATAATAGCAGAGAGGGCAGCTCTGCTAGAACATTTTAGTGCAGCAGTACTTGAAGTAATTTTTCTTTTACTAAACCTTGGTGTTTATGAGATGATCCAGTTTTGAGATCTGTTCGTGCAGCTTATGGTTCAGCTGAATGTAGAAAATTCATATAATGGCACGGCACAGCTTACAGTCCTGCCAACAAAACCTTTATCTCCTGCTAATAGGCTCCATCGCTGAAGGCAATTATACATTGTCTGACACAGTTTCACTGACCCTTTTTCAGATATCAAGAACTGCAGTATTTTAATTTTCTTTTGCATGATTTAATAGACGATCACTATGAAATCTCCTCAACACTGGTTTATCTCATTAATAAGACCTTGAAAGTGTCATAGAGGGAAGTGAATCTGTCAGAGGACGTTTGTTAAACACCTTCTACACTCTCCTTCATTCACTTTTCTCCCCAGACAGTCTGTTAACTTTGAATGAACAAAGCAGTACAGAGAGCACTTATTGTTCATTGTAAGTTTTGATATATTTGAGCTCCAGGAAGTAAAATAGTTTTGGTTGGTGATTTAATCATAGCTCCTCGAGCCTACTCTGCAGATGGATTAATTCAAAGAAAGTACAAAGCAGCTATGTTTGAAATCTTGACAGATAGTTAGTTAGCACAAAGAACACCCGGTCTTAATCCACCAGCTGAATAACCATAAAAATGAAAAATGAGGCGTTACACAACAAGCCTGTGGTGTTTGAGTTTTATTCGTGATAGTATGTCAATTCAAAATTAAATCAGGGATAATGATTCGAGTCAAAACACACAACGTTTTTTGGCAGTTTATGAACCAAGCTGAAAATACTGCAGGTACTGCCAAGTTAATGCCAGTCCAGAGAAATTAGATTGAACACTAAATAAGTCAAAAATGGAAACGATTACGAGTAGATTAACAAAATTAATACATTTTCTATACATCCAATATTTACTGAAGGAAGACAGAATTCATTATGCTGCAAAATATGTCTACAGGCTTGCAAACCAGAGTGGGTGGATTTTAATGGTGCATAAATATTCATCATTATGTATATGTCTATATATTTAGTGAGCAATACTGAAGCAAAAATAGCAACAGTAAGACTAGTAAGGCTAAGTTAAAGCTGTCCTTTCAATCACACAAGACAAATTAGGAGGACCAAGTGGTTTTGATTAACTGTAAACATAACACAGGATTAATGAGTTGTTTTTTATCATGTCAAACTTTACGACTGGGTCAATTAAGAGAAATTTAGAGATTTAGAGACTGGTCTGTGCTGTCAAAGATTCAGGCAAGGTGCATGGTGGGCCACTGATAGTGTTGGCATTGTGGGAAACTATAAGCAGTTTTTTACTTATTCTGTGTCATTTCAAACTGAAACTGACACAGATGCCTATTTATGTCCTCCAAAAGCAAACAAGGCCATGAATAGCAAGTCTGAAAATTTCACAGTGGTAATTTCTAATGCTTGGAGACTCTGTGAGGGGGTTGGTGTCAGACCAAACGATTGACAGCAAGGTTGAAAAACACCTTTTTAGACTTTGTACCCAACATTTACTCACAGTGAGTGATAAATGTCACTATTTGAAGACTACAGGATGAGGCTTTTGTTCTATACTGTGACATATACAGGCTGGTAGGTAAGAGGCATCACTTTGCACATAGGGGTGCCAATGTCAACATAAACCAAGGGATGCTCATGTAAGCTTGAACTGAGGTCTAAGATGTCTCATTACAGTGACTGAAACAATGACATGACTTTACAAACAGCCGAACTATATGAGTAATACATCCATACAACCATGGTAGTGGCTGCCAAACACATGTACTGAACATTTTTTTCCTGATATAATGAATTGATATGGAATGATAATAATTTGTCCTTTTCACAAATTTTTTAATGAAATAATTTGAGTTTGACAGCAGAACAATAATTGAATCTTGGCGTTGAACAAAGCCTCTTTAGAAATCATCTTCAGTGTTGACAGTCGTAATGCCGCCCACTTGGTTCATCTTTCATCCTAGTGAAAGACCTCTGGGCTTTATATTCGTTAATTACAGTAAGCTGACAGACATCCAAAAAAAAACAAAGATACTCATGCGCCGTCTTCTTTCTCTGCCTGGTTATTAATACAAAATCTGGATAACAAAGGACAGAAATGTATTATTGGCTGTGAAAGCAAGAGAAAGCAGAAAAAAAAACTGGCCTGAGCTCAGACAAGCAACCAGATTTTGAAGGATTATTATGATAACAAAGGAAAAACACACACAGCTCCTGTTCATTTTTTACCTCGTCTCTTATTTCTCTCCCCTCACCCCCCCTCAGGTGATCATCTCTCACTACATTAACATTTCCCTGATTGTCTGTGGACTTCTTCGGCTCTCCGGGTAGCTGTCTATTTCTCTGCATGCCTCTCAGCATCACCATTAACCTGCTGGCTCACAGACCGCCAGGGAGTCTGTCCATCAAAGTATCCAGGAGGCAAGAATTCCTCGGCACTTCCAATGATCATCTCATTACAGGTGCTTGAGAGAGAAAAACAGATCTTGAAATAGGAAGCCTGGGCTGCAAGACATTATTGGTTGAAACAGAGAGAAAACCTCACATGCTCATTATGGGCTTGTTGGGGTGGATGAAAGAATGGTTTGGGGGCAGCTTTGACTGCTAAACAACCAATCGTGTCTTGATTTTTAGAGGTGTACTCCTTTCAAACACCAATGTAATCCAATTCCCATAAAAAACGGCCACAAAGCTAATTAAATTTAATGCATTATCTGTGGCATTCTTATCTTTCTAAAGCCAATTTAGATTGTAATACATCAGTGAATGGGGAGGACATGGTAAACAAAAACGGTGCTATTTAAAAGACATGCCGGCTCATTTGCATAATCAGAATTTAGCGACAGTGTTCCTCAGATGAGAAACAAAACAGAGGCACAATCAGGACTCTGCAGAGCGAGACAGTGAACCCAATTACTGAGAATTGGGAAAGCCTTCCTGACTGCAGGCAGTCACACACACACTACCAAATGCTCACAAAAACACACATAGAGACACAAACATTGGAGAAACAACACACACAATACCAGGCAGACTCATAATACTCAGAATCCATTACTGCATTCTGTGTTAAAGAAAGAAAAAACCATCAGAAATTCCTGCTCTTTCACTTCTGCTCTTTACTCTAATTCAGTTTTAATATAAAAAGATGGATGACACAGCTCCTCAAAAGTTGCAGAATAGGCTTCCCATTTGTACATAATGTATAAAAGAAAAGAAGCCATAATTTACATCAGCTGCAAGATACCAGATAAAATCCTTTGACAAAACCTGTGCAACCAAAGAACCAAGCGACAACAAAGTAAATTGGAATGAAACAATCAATTATGAGGATGGGGGGAGTCTTGTTGTCATTACTGTGATTTTAACAACAACAAGCAGGACTTTGTTTCCATCTGCTTATATGGTTTGGCTTTAAATTTTAATGGCAAAAACTTGACACATAAGGAGTTGTACCAAACATCGCATGAGCCTCTTTTCCTCAAAGGCTGCAGTCAATTCACAGACAAGAGGGGCGAGCAGGGTGGCTTTTCAGTCTAGAATCTGACCTCTCTAAAATGCTGCATAGTGAGTCCCATTTCTACACTAGCTGCGTTTACATGGGCACTGATAATCGGAATAAATGCCTGATCGGAATAAAAATGTATCATGTAAACATGTCGTTTGGAAGATTCTGATCCAATTTGGCTCAATCGGAAAGAAATTGTATTCCGATCAAGAGGGGTGGTTTATGCCGATTGTTATTCCGAAACACGTCCATGTAAACAATTGTAGCAATCAAGACAACCCTGGATGTGAAACCCACACATTCCTTACAGGAAAGTTTCCTTATCTGGTCCCAGGAAACAGGATATAAATCTTTCCAGACGTGTTTGCACTTTCAGGTTAAATAAGTGACCCAACCGGAGGTTGACTAAACCTCTGACTCTTCAGGATTGGTCAGTTCGGCGAACAGAGACAGAGTTTTTATTACCTTTCAAACTGACTCCATTTGCTGACCATCTAAATAAACATTAACCTTAACCCAGATCTCCCATTTGAGATTAAGCGTCTTAAAGTGTGTGAACATACGGACCCCAGGATAAGGGGGGACACTGACCTCCAGACCTCGGTCGTAAAACCCTGCTCGACCATACACTGATAAAGACTGCATTCCTTTGGTGAAAGAATACAAATGACTGATCATGACATCTTATGCATTCAGCAATGTACTAATCTGTCTAATCATGAAATTTGTGTTAAAATGAGATGTTTCCCGTTTTTCTATGTGCTTCGGAAGCCAAGTTATCTTATCTGACAGAATAAATCCTTATTCTTTAGTTCTTTAGACCAACAGCTTTTCAGACTGTTTCATGAACTTTTAAGAGTTAAATTTATTGACTATGAATCCCAAGTTTACTCTAAGTAACAGAAATAGTTTAGAAATGTTTGGTTTATATTTTAGTTATTTATTTAGTATCTTAACCATTAGGTGGTTATAATGTCACTGAATAATCTGAATGTGAGTATTTAGAATCCATTATTAATCATGATGACGTTCATTCACATGTGTTTACTCTTTTGTTGTTCACAGTTTCTATGTGTTACTATCTGTTTCATTTCAGAGTAATTTAGCATGTTCAATGTGATACTTAAAACATAATGAGAATGTTTGATGTGATCCTACACTTCATTCATATGTGTTTAGTATCAAATTATTTATCATGAAACCAAGCATTCAATGATATTAATCATAGTGAGTGAGTATCAGATCTGACTCTTTTACCAGCCAAAAGAATAAGTTAGATCAAATAATCAGAGACCCGATGACCCCTCCTCTTTCTCCTCAGACACTCCCAGTGTGAGAAGATAAAACCAGTGGAGTGGGGTTGCTCGCTCTCTTATCTCTTATTCCTCTTATCTCTCTTATGCTTCTGCTCTTCTGCTGACTCTCTTGTCCCCGGCTCTTATGCCCCTTCTCTTCTGTCCACACCCTTCTGTGGTGCGTTTCTTTGTTTTCTCTTAGAACTTTTTCTTAGTCTTCTAAGTTTTACGCCACGTGTTGATTCACGTTGATTTTTCTTTAACATCGTCTTAGTTCAAGTTTTGAAACTTCAACTTCTTGTGCACATAGCAATTCAAGATTAAGCCTTTGATTGATTTTCTTTAATTTCGCGAAGCCATTTTTGAAAGTTTTCTCTGCTCTTCGAGCCTCGTCTTTCTGAGTTTTCTGCGTGATTTCAAAGTCACCTCCGAACGCAATCCAACAGGCCCAGGTCATCCTCTGTGCCAGAGTTTTTGAGTGAGACTAAAGAAGTACCCAAACGAGCATCCACAGGATCCACAGGCGCTGGTTTTTGCTTCGGGCCTGAGTGCTGCAACTCCGGGCTCATCCTTCGGCTGACTTCAGTCGTCTTCTGAGCTGAACCGCTCGAACCGCCAGTAGCCCGGACCTTCGGAACCTGCTCCATCTTCTCCAAGGACCAGTCTCACTTAAGTATGCAAACCTCCAGAGCTCTAAAGAGGGCTGGTGCTGTCTCCTGCGTTCATAACTCAGATATCCACTTATTCTGGTAATCTTAGATTCCTCCAAATCCACATCCGAGTTTATCTCGACACCAAAGTTAGGGTAGGTTAATATGTTAGCGCATATTCACTCACTATCATTAACTTTAGTGCTCTTAGCCTGACTCAGAATCTTTATTTATTCACCTATTATTATCTATCTTCATTATCTTATCATCATTTATTGCATGTGTGTTGTACCATCATTTATCCTGTAATAAACAGATCATTATTTTTCTAAGTTCTGGTCTGTTAGTGTTCTTCCAGAAGTGGAGTCCCTGAAATTAGAATTTCGACTTAAGATATGAGACTGATTAATTGAGACTGATTAATTAAGACTGATTAATTAAGACTGATTAATTAAAACTGACTTGATGTTTGATTTCTGAATTAAACTTTTGTTTTCTTTATTTTCCCACCATTAAGGGTGGGTGGTGCCCCTTTCAACGAGTGCATAAATGTCATAATTTGAGATTATTAATCTTCAGACATTTATTATAAATTCCAATCGCCAAGTATTATTTTGGTGCGGCCTTGTGAGGCTCATTTCAAATCGCTACATATATTTTGGTGCGACCGTATGAGGCTCATTTCAAATCACTACATATATTTTGGTGCCCCGTGTGAGGGGTTTCAAACAAAACTTCTGGATACTAACAGACAACCTAAAACTTAGCCTTCCAAATTGATGAGAGAAACTTATTCCCAGGCTATTTTAGACTTAATCACAATCAATGCTATGCTTGCTGAAGTTGCTTGACTAAGTTCTGATGTTTTCCTGATCTATGCATAAAACCTTTATGCTCTGTGTTTCACACACTTTTGTACTACATGCCTGTAGTCTGTGTTTGAGCTGGACAGCGTGAAATGTTGTTCTGAGTAGCAGTGAAACTGCTTCTTCTGCTCTGTCTAGACTGTCCAATATTTAAGTGCACGATTGTTGCGTCGCCGTACGCTTGTATTTAAGGCCTTTGGCTGAACCCAGTGTTCGCGATGCTCCGAGCTGTGGTTTCAAGCCCCTGAAGTCTCTATAGTCTGCTACGAGGTTCTAATAACTATATGGGATTCAGATTTCCTCCTTTCCCCTGACAGATTAGCTACCTGTCACAGGAAACCACTGTAACAGTGGGAGGTTGTTGTTTGAGTGAATTCAGACAAAATTTGTGTTCACAAATCGCCGCATTTGTGATTTTTAAGTTTGCAGTTGAATCTGCTGTTGAGGGATTTGTCACTTTGATTCTTGTCTCTATAGTCTGCTATGAAGTTCTAGTAACTATATGGGATTTAGATTTCCTCCTTTCCCCTGACAGATAAGCTATCTGTCACAGGAAACCACTGTAACAGTGGGAGGTTGTTGTTTGAATGAATTCAGACAAAATCCGTGATCACGAATCGCCGCGTTTGTGATTTTAAAGTCTGCAGTTGAATCTGCTGTTTAAGGATTTGTCACTTTGATTGTTGTTCCTGTAAATGATTTTATTGAACCAATCGGCCTGAGCAGATGGTGGAAAGTTCTATGTTTGAGGGTGCAGACGCAGCCTGCTGTGAAATGTTAACCCTTTGTTGTCAGTGGAGAGACTGACCATTTGGCCTTAAGCAGATAAGGCCCTTCGAGGAGGCAGAGCCTAAAGGCCCCTTCCTTCATACTTCCCAACTCCTCACAGCCAAAAGAGGCTAGTTGGATGACTGTTTCCTCTTCTCTTCTTCTTCTCCACTTGTGTTGAGCTTGTGCAGTTCTCCCAACTCCATACTGCCCCACATGGTTGCTTTTGGTATTGAGCTAACACTGCTATTATCTGCCTGCAGTATCAGCCAGCTGTACTGCCTCCCTGTAGTCAGTGTGTAACACTCTACAGACATAACTCAAGTGATTGACTTGGTTGATGAAGTTTGATGTGCTTATTCTAAATCACTGATCATTGATTTTGATGTATTGATGAAGTAACTCCTTGAATCAATCACCTGATCTGTTGTTACTTATCACACCAGTGAGCAGTTTTACTGTTCCCTATAATACATGAATGTATTAACCCTACTCATAAGATTAATTAATTAACGAACAAATTAATTAATATTTCAAATTTCTTTTAACATTCCAGATAGATTTGGTATTCGAACCTTTGGATTTATTGCAATTTGTGAATTAACTTCAGAGTTAATTCCTTAATTTGACAATTTCATCGATTTTGCCAATTCATCCAACTGCACCAGGCAGTTTATTTAAGCTTTGCTGATCTCTGCAACACGGAGACAAACTGAACCCTTTATTCAATGGTTCTGTATCTGATGTTAAATTTAATTTAACATTATTTCACCTTTTGTTTTCAATTTTCATTGAAATGAATTTAACTATGTTATTTTTCTCTCCATTAGAGATCTACTCAGATAGGCTCTTTCTCTTTATCAAGCACTGATAAATTAAGTCGATTAACCCACTTAATTTGATATTTTGCTTCTTCCTTTTATTTTAAGTCAACTCAAACTCATCAACCAACCAGCTGCACCTCTTTACCAAAACCAAACATGCCTAACACAAAAGAGTCCAGCCAGGGAGACCCCCTGAGGGACATACCCACAGTGTTGGCAAACTTGACTAGTCAGCTGATACCTCAGTACATGACTAAGATTCAAAAGGCCAAACCCTCCAATCCGGAGGATGAAATGGCTGACTTACTGGAAACAGCCTTAACCACGACACTTCGTGACAAAGAGCTCACTAGATGCATGTCTGTCATGATGTCTTCTCAGCTTGAGTATAAAGACTACTTGCTGGAATGCGCTTTAGCAAAGATAAAGGCGCAAAAAGATGAAAACAGCGCTCTGAAAAAGACGCTAGAGGAGACTAAGAAGTCTTTAAGTGTTTTAGAAAAACACAGTGCCAGATGTGAAGCGTCAAAGCTTCCCTCACTGATAAGTCATGAAGAAAATCTTGATCTCAAAGACAAGATTGAAAGACTTAATGAAAACCTTTACAAAAAGGAGAAAGAACTTGATGACACGAATAAGCATCTTGCTAAGACCACAGAGGATCTGATACAGTCAGAATCCCTACTAGAGCAAGCAACAGAAGATGTAAAAGCTTTGGAAGCACTGGTCAAAGTGCGTGCTGAAGCTCTTGAAGTTAAGGAGAAGCAAACTTCTACCTTACAGCACCAGCTCCAGATAGCTCAAAGACAGTTAATTCTTTATCAAGAACGGCAAGAAAAGACAGATAAAGAACTTGAAGATGCCCAAAGAGAGTTACGATGCTCCCTCCAGTCAGGTCGAGCCCAAAGAGAACGCATGAAGCAAACTTTTCTCGAAGAAATGATATATGATCAGCCTCCTGAGAGAGCGCCATCACTTCCTTCCAAACCAACTCTTAAGTATCTCTCTCAGCATCATGACAGGACCCTGCTTGACCCTGAGAGGTCATCCTTAAGCCAAAAGTCCTACTCTCCTCCTCATGGTGGTTTCTTGCCATTTCCCTCAGACAGGGATCTTGACAAAATTGCTCGTAACATAGCACGCTTTGAACCTGAGCACCAAGGTGCTATTGACACCTGCACCTACTTGAAAGACATTGACTTTTACCTGAGGAAATTTCCAGGTGCAACCGTTGATGACAAAATCTACCTTATTAAGGCGACGTCAAGTCGAGAGGTTAGCAGTTTCCTTGAACGACAGCCTTATCATGTCAGAAATAATTATGACTTGCTCTGCCAAGCATTAATTGAAGAGTTTTCTGATCATTTGACCCAGACAGGCCTTTCTGCTGCTCTGTCTATTAAACAAGGGAGATCAGAATCTCCCCAACATTATTACAACCGCTTACGCGAAGCTTACTTTGGTTTCCGAAATGAACCAGAAATGGAGGAGGACTTGAACTTCAAAACGCTGTTCGTCCAGAACCTCCACCCTACCACCAGTCATCACCTTGGCGTCTTAGCTTGTCCAAACACTTTGACTAGCCGACAGCTTCGTGAACTTGCTGTAAAAGGTTTTGCCAAACAACGACAAACTTTGGCTAAGAAAGCAGAGCCTGTTACTCTGTTGGCTATGGAGATAAAATCACTGCCCATGGAGCTGAACGAAGCTTCAGATTGTGTATTTTCAGGCTCCGATAAGCCTCCAAATGAGTGGTTAACCAGGCCTCCAAAACCTTTTCGACCTCAACACACTCACAAAGGTCAAAGTTACACACCAAGGCCCAGGTCTGACACAGACCAATGCCCGGTAAACTTTGAGACCAACTGTTGTTATTCAGACTCCCGTCACGGTGGGTTTTATCCCAGACAAAGGAAAAACCACCAACACCACCAAAGGGGGGTGAATGACTGGCAGAATCAGAGTAAATCACACTCTCAGAAACGACGATCTTATTATCCACCTCAATCGGTTTCATCCACTTTGAAGGTGAATAAACATGACTACTCAGCTAACCACTGAGATTAACACTGTGGAGTCATGAAGGTGTGAGTCCTGCGAAAGCAGAAGTCACCCAGCCAAAGCTAAATGACTCCAATAAGATATCCAAATGCTGTGGTGATACATTGATGACTGCAATCCCAGTTGCTGCTTTCTTTGTTAGCATTTGTCTCTCCTCTGTCAATATAGTCAGCTTGTCAGCTGTCAAATATCCCATGAACAGATTAAAACCTGAAATTTCTGTCATTAAGACTCAGATTGACAAATTTCAGACTTAATAGCAGATAATTAGTCAAACCGATAAGAGCATCATCCCCAAGTTTAACAGACAAAGTTTAAGAGAAACTCTGTGCAGTAAACTTTTGATGTTTGTGATTCAGGTTGACTATGCTCATACACAGATGGTTAATATGTCTATAGCAGACATTTCTTTTCCACCTAAGTCTTAACCATTTTTGAAACTGAAATTGAACTTTCAGACTTCTCCAGCAAGCATGAAAAACAGCTATAGCTTTAGATCCAGTTAGCATTCAGACTAAAGAGTGCTTTTCTAAGTCTCATTAATATTGAAAATTAGGAGATTTTCTTTCACATTAGTCTACCAATAGTTAACTGAGAAGAGTCTAACAACTAGACGATTTTATTTGATAGCTTAATGCATGCTTAATTTTATCTCAAAGCAGTACTAGTGATTCACATAGTGATGACGAGACGCATCAGTCCTATTTGCATACACCTGCTGCTGCTGCTGCTGCTTCATGGTTGTCTACTCGTCGTCCCGATGCTCCATGGACAGGACCACCGTGACGAAGGGGGGACTGTAGCAATCAAGACAACCCTGGATGTGAAACCCACACATTCCTTACAGGAAAGTTTCCTTATCTGGTCCCAGGAAACAGGATATAAATCTTTCCAGACGTGTTTGCACTTTCAGGTTAAATAAGTGACCCAACCGGAGGTTGACTAAACCTCTGACTCTTCAGGATTGGTCAGTTCGGCGAACAGAGACAGAGTTTTTATTACCTTTCAAACTGACTCCATTTGCTGACCATCTAAATAAACATTAACCTTAACCCAGATCTCCCATTTGAGATTAAGCGTCTTAAAGTGTGTGAACATACGGACCCCAGGATAAGGGGGGACACTGACCTCCAGACCTCGGTCGTAAAACCCTGCTCGACCATACACTGATAAAGACTGCATTCCTTTGGTGAAAGAATACAAATGACTGATCATGACATCTTATGCATTCAGCAATGTACTAATCTGTCTAATCATGAAATTTGTGTTAAAATGAGATGTTTCCCGTTTTTCTATGTGCTTCGGAAGCCAAGTTATCTTATCTGACAGAATAAATCCTTATTCTTTAGTTCTTTAGACCAACAGCTTTTCAGACTGTTTCATGAACTTTTAAGAGTTAAATTTATTGACTATGAATCCCAAGTTTACTCTAAGTAACAGAAATAGTTTAGAAATGTTTGGTTTATATTTTAGTTATTTATTTAGTATCTTAACCATTAGGTGGTTATAATGTCACTGAATAATCTGAATGTGAGTATTTAGAATCCATTATTAATCATGATGACGTTCATTCACATGTGTTTACTCTTTTGTTGTTCACAGTTTCTATGTGTTACTATCTGTTTCATTTCAGAGTAATTTAGCATGTTCAATGTGATACTTAAAACATAATGAGAATGTTTGATGTGATCCTACACTTCATTCATATGTGTTTAGTATCAAATTATTTATCATGAAACCAAGCATTCAATGATATTAATCATAGTGAGTGAGTATCAGATCTGACTCTTTTACCAGCCAAAAGAATAAGTTAGATCAAATAATCAGAGACCCGATGACCCCTCCTCTTTCTCCTCAGACACTCCCAGTGTGAGAAGATAAAACCAGTGGAGTGGGGTTGCTCGCTCTCTTATCTCTTATTCCTCTTATCTCTCTTATGCTTCTGCTCTTCTGCTGACTCTCTTGTCCCCGGCTCTTATGCCCCTTCTCTTCTGTCCACACCCTTCTGTGGTGCGTTTCTTTGTTTTCTCTTAGAACTTTTTCTTAGTCTTCTAAGTTTTACGCCACGTGTTGATTCACGTTGATTTTTCTTTAACATCGTCTTAGTTCAAGTTTTGAAACTTCAACTTCTTGTGCACATAGCAATTCAAGATTAAGCCTTTGATTGATTTTCTTTAATTTCGCGAAGCCATTTTTGAAAGTTTTCTCTGCTCTTCGAGCCTCGTCTTTCTGAGTTTTCTGCGTGATTTCAAAGTCACCTCCGAACGCAATCCAACAGGCCCAGGTCATCCTCTGTGCCAGAGTTTTTGAGTGAGACTAAAGAAGTACCCAAACGAGCATCCACAGGATCCACAGGCGCTGGTTTTTGCTTCGGGCCTGAGTGCTGCAACTCCGGGCTCATCCTTCGGCTGACTTCAGTCGTCTTCTGAGCTGAACCGCTCGAACCGCCAGTAGCCCGGACCTTCGGAACCTGCTCCATCTTCTCCAAGGACCAGTCTCACTTAAGTATGCAAACCTCCAGAGCTCTAAAGAGGGCTGGTGCTGTCTCCTGCGTTCATAACTCAGATATCCACTTATTCTGGTAATCTTAGATTCCTCCAAATCCACATCCGAGTTTATCTCGACACCAAAGTTAGGGTAGGTTAATATGTTAGCGCATATTCACTCACTATCATTAACTTTAGTGCTCTTAGCCTGACTCAGAATCTTTATTTATTCACCTATTATTATCTATCTTCATTATCTTATCATCATTTATTGCATGTGTGTTGTACCATCATTTATCCTGTAATAAACAGATCATTATTTTTCTAAGTTCCTGTCTGTTAGTGTTCTTCCAGAAGTGGAGTCCCTGAAATTAGAATTTCGACTTAAGATATGAGACTGATTAATTGAGACTGATTAATTAAGACTGATTAATTAAGACTGATTAATTAAAACTGACTTGATGTTTGATTTCTGAATTAAACTTTTGTTTTCTTTATTTTCCCACCATTAAGGGTGGGTGGTGCCCCTTTCAACGAGTGCATAAATGTCATAATTTGAGATTATTAATCTTCAGACATTTATTATAAATTCCAATCGCCAAGTATTATTTTGGTGCGGCCTTGTGAGGCTCATTTCAAATCGCTACATATATTTTGGTGCGACCGTATGAGGCTCATTTCAAATCACTACACAATTATTCTGATCGTGACTCTCTAACCTGACTCGATCTTCACTCTTTAACCTTTGGCTTATTTATTGAGGCCAGTACAGGAGGTTTCATTAGTAACACTCTAGCATAATACACAACCGCAGGTGCCGTATCTGCTCCTCCGGTAACATAGTAAGGCATACATACAGCGTAACAACATCACATCTGCACGCACAGTGCAACCTTTGACATGATAGTAAAATAAGTCTGCAAGGGCGACATAGAGTGACAACATTTAACAGGGGGAAAACTCCTGAACTGGATGGAGTGAGCCACTATAGTTTGTTGGTTTGTTGACATCACAGGCATCAATACAACTCTTCTTCTGTGGTTGTTTTAGCAAAATCAGACAACTCTGCGCATGTCCAAATGCTTCTAATCTGAATAAAACTTGGTGCACATGTATGCACATCATGATCGGATTATTCAATTTTGAACCCATATATACAGTGGATTCAGATTATCCGATCCCTCAAAATTTTAGTCGGATCAAGAAATTTGGCCCATTTGAACGTGGCTACTGTTCCTGTAAGTGTTAACCATATGTTCCTCAACCTGATTTGACTGGGTAAAAAATGCCTACTCTTAAAAGGTGCTTTATTTATGCAGCTGAGTTTCTTCATCCAGCTGAACATCCTTGGTAAGGGAACACTGCCGAATTGCTTTCCTGATTACTTATCCCCTTTTTTCAGTGATGCAACATGGTAAAGAGGGAACAGCAAGAGACAATATGACACACACAAGCAATAGAGTCATTGAACTTTCCAAAAACATGAGGGTCTGCCTCACATTGGCAGAAGAACTAGCTTTATGGTAAATGGGTTTTGGGTGGCAGAAAGGAAGGGATTTTAACTTTGCTGCTCCACCAGCCAGATCTCCACTGCTACAGCTCTGGCTCCTGTCACATCACTAACACAAATGTCAGCTTTTACAAGAGGGCTTTTGTTTAACAGAAGAAGGAGGTGGAGACTTGCTGTCGGTCTTTATCTACAGTTAGTGTGAAGTACTGAGGGTCTGAACCAGACAAATATTTACCATTCAATTTTAATGCAGAAAACACCAAATGCAGCACCTCAGGAGTAACATCTGCTGAATTAAAAAGATTAACTTGACAGCATCCCTCCAGCAAATATCTTCAACAAACCAATCACTTCTCTGTGACTCAGTCAGTCAGACTGAGAGGCAGGATACAACTCCCACTGGGGTGTAGCTAGGTTTCATTTCCATGGAAACTGGCTCGATATATATGTGATTGACAAGTGGTAATAGCTGAAAGAAAAGTGAAGGCTGGGACACCATCCCCCTCTGGATCTTGTTATCAGTTCATTCTTCTTGTCCCCTCCCCTGCCTCTTTTCTGCCATCTCTCCTCTCCACTTTTATTTTGGTGATTAACTTTTCCCCGCATTGATTTTCCAGCTGAGAGGGGACAGAAGGCGAGGTGCTATTAAGCACTGCTCACATTTTGTCACCACGATGAGCGCACTTCTTTCCCAACCCACATTCTCTCGAATATAGCAGTGACCCCTGGCAGCGAGTCACCCACCAGGTCCAGGAGACAACCCCCCTGAAGGAGGAGAAATTAATCTGAAGAGCGTGTTGCATAAGTGAGTACAGTGCCTGCCATTTCAGTAAAATTATGTCGATTGCACTCTATTACGATGATTGTTAGAATTTAGAGTAAGAACCTCGTTGAAGAAAAAGATATTCTAACTCCAGGGAGATACTTAAATAAAAGAGGTGATTTTCTTCTTTTTGCAATCAGCTGAAGGTGCTGCTGAAATTACAGGACGAGGAGTTATAACAAGCCAAGAATCTCCCCTCATCAGCTTCCTTTGGTGATGTTTGATTCACCACCCACAGAAAGTGAGCTCAAGGCCGTCCCTTTACACAGGAATCTGAGGTGATAACGGAGGACCTTTACTTTGTGTGTCTGTGACATAAGTGATGAAAATGCATTATGGAACCAGAGAGGTTCTGGTGTTTGTTCGAGGGGCTAGAATTGCACAGTATGATAGGATCTGGTACACCATAGATGACAATAGTGTAGTATCCTGATACAGCAATACTGATATGTAAAAACACACATAGATATACATATATATATAAAGTGCAGGGTTCATGAATTCATGTGCTGCATTTTGCTTTGTTAGCAAGATCAAGGAAAAAAAGAGGGACAAGTATGTGCAAATCCAGGTGCACAGCTTAATATCCCTGTGTACAGATTTACAGTCTACACACTTATTGATGGTGCTATGAGTCTGTGGGAATGAATCTGTATTGTCTACGTTGGTTTGAAAACTGTGTGCATAGATTGGATTTGTAAATGCTCACAATCTTAAATTTGCTCGTACAGCTTACAGATCCATTCCCACAGATTTGTCATCTGAAAGTACAAACTAAGAACCCGTCCCCACTGGTTATGAAACAGTACACACTAATCTTAAACTGTGCGCACATTTCTGCATGTAATTTTTTTTGTCTTGACCTGGCACCTAGGGGCTCCATAGATTTCCCTAAGATGAAATAATATGTTAAATTCAGCAAATTGTAAGTCAGTATGAGTGACTGTTGTGATTTGGTGCTATATAAATAAAAATTGATTAATGAATTTATTAATTGGTGAAATAAACTCAAAGAACGATAGCGCAAATTCAGACTTTGTGTAAATACAGTCACATTTCTTGGAAAAAAAAGAAAAAATGAACCTAGATTTTGGTGCTTGATAGGCTACTCACTTGCGTAAGTGGACCCCATGTTAAAACTTAAAAGCATAACAAACTTGTGTGAGTCTACCTTGGACAGCTACAGCACTATTACCTGCAATCTCAGTAAATACAAAAGGTTTTTTTGTTTGTTTGTTTGTTTTGTTTTGTTTTTAGGGCAGCTTCTATTCCTTTGTAGTCTTGAGTAAAACTGCAGCCATTTGAGCTCTGGTGAAAGTCTCCAGCATCATTTTAGCTTAAAACATTCAGGAATTAATTTCTCAGCTATCAGCAAAATAAGCAGTAATTATCACATATAACTGTTGAGCACAGGAAGTCAGTCGGCTGATCGTAAAACTCTCTGTGGACGAGAGTCACAGAGAGTTTTACAATCATTAGCTTAGCGTAGCCGGGCTAAGCTAATGCTAGGTACTAAATAAAAATGGTCCAAGACCTGAGGAGCTAGCATGTTATCACTGTTAGATTGTTGTATCAAACTGGAAGTAGGACCACAGACTGACCACACTACCAACGCACCTTCCAACTGAAAATCAGAATATCATATCAAACCATCATGCCAAATTATGTTGTTATTAGTCAGGGTCAGCATGCCTTTATTTGTCCCGTCTCCTCTTTTGTTCTGTACAGGCGATTTTTATTTCGGCCTCCAAATAACAGAGCGTTGTGTTTATAGAACTGTGAGAATTTTTTATTCTGACAGCATATTTTCTGTGGCACCCCAAGGCCCAATGAACCAAATCCAAATCCTGGCAATCACATTAATCCAGCAAACAAGTTGTGCCTGCCGGTCACCACTGGCCTTTCATTCCTCCGTGTTTGCCAAAGATCTTTATAAGTTTAGAAATGTTACGGAGGGAATACTTTATGAAAAATGAAATTCAGTTTGAGTTTTCGCAATATTTGTTCCTCTATATCTTATACCGTATGACATCAGTACAGAATGTAAATAGTGATGACTGGATGTTTGAAATCTCTGTACATGGACTCACAGTGGGTGTATCTGTATTGTGAAGAGTATGCTTTTATTCATATGAAATTTAAATGTTATCTTTGTTCAAACGAACTTTGTTATTATCAAAGACACCTCTCAGGTCAATACACAAGCTTTTTGCCCTTTTGCCCTTTACTCTATTGATTTTCTTCTTCCCTAGTGTAAAAAGTAAAGCCAGTAAGACTACTCTTAGTGGTTTAACAGCTTCAGTTATGATACCTTCACCGTGCAGGTCACAGTAGTCCATCATTACTCTCCTGTTATTACCCTCCCATTAACCTCTGTGAGGTTTTGGCTTTCTCAGGAGAATATCTCTGTATGCACAATTATTGGGCAACTATGAGTGCGCAGAATTAGTATGCAACTAAATGAAAAAGCAAAAAAAATTCCCCTCTCTCTGAGAATAATAAACAAAAAACTCAAACTGACAAGTAACAATTTCTTTAAAAAGACAGTGACCGCCACTCTTCTTTTTAGTAATAGTCATGAATTTTTTCAGTTTCTTGGTCTGTTGACAAACAACTTTTGGTGCAGCAGCAACCACAGCCTCCCAGACACCGTTTAGACAAGTCTTATTCCTTTCATCTCTATGGCCTTTACTTGTTAGCTACACAGTAGAGTATTTCAATACACGTGATGGAGCATTGTCCTGCATAAATAGCACAGCCTTCTTGAAAGACGTAGACTTTTTCCTGTACCATTACTTGAAGAAAGTGTCCTCTTAAAACTGACAGTGGGTTTGGAAGTTGATTTTGAGTCCATCTGAAAAAGATGCAACTGGCAGATCTTAAATAACACTGGTCCTTATCAGTGCCCCACCTCCACCTTGCTGGCATCTGAGTCACGGTGGAGCTCAGTGACGGTCACTGATCCAGCCAATACCTTCATTTTTCTTGGGTATATAAACTCAAATAATGTGCAGTAACATGTCCAATTCTTTTTTGTTCACTGTGTAGAACCGTTTAGTTTTTGTTGTTGCTCCTTATATTTCTCTCTTGCAATTTCCTCACCATGGGATGAATTAAGGTTTATCTTCTCTTATCACTACAGTTATTCAAGTTTTAAGAATATTATCTACGTACCTTAGACCAACACATCAAGCTGTCCTCTAATATATCCAAATCTGTGGTTCTTGCTGTTTACTTTTATGTATTTATTCACTTTTTCTAATAAGTGGAAGGGGTGGGACATGACTTTGCTTTATTTTCACATAATAGGAATATAGACAGAGATATGTTATCCATCTTTATCAGTCTGTATGTTGACATGCTAAAAAAACAACAACAATGTATTGCCAGGAGTTTGACTGAAATCACATAAAACTAAACCCTTCAAAGTCGGAGAAACATACCTAGATAATGTGGTTGAGATTCAATTTTCTTTGTATGTGACTCAGTCGGACTGAGACCAGCCTTAGCATTCAATGCATGCATCAGTGTTCACACACGAGGTTCTGAGCTGCATCCATTATAAAGCCAATGATCATGTACGAAAAAAAAAAAGTAGGTTTGGAGTCCTCTGTGCATAGGAGAGAGGTAAATGTGGAGGTAGGCACACGATGATAGGATGTAGAGATTAATTACCTTTAACCAGCAGGACATTTAGAGGGCAACTGACTGAGATTGACACAATCTGCAATGACACACAAATTATTGACTGACGGGCAGAATAAATTGAAAAATGATCCAAACCCCAAACCAAGTGATGCAGAAACATTGTACTGATGGATGGGTGACAAACATTTTCCAAAATAATGGATGCTCAATAGCTTTCTGAATAAAGGCTTCCCGTGACCTCTATCAAGGACACAAGAAAACAAATTGTCAGCTTGGGAACAGAAGATGATTTAAGCCGTCTGGTAGACCTCACTATCCCAGGATTAATGAATCGTAAAGCTGCATAAGTCTTTCTGATTGACATTTCCGTCAGTTCTCTGTTGACAAGATCTGATGGATTATTCCTGTCTTGCAAAGCCACTGGAATGAATGTGTAATTAGAATAATCAATTCTCCACATCGTCCCCCCTCTTGAAATCAATAAAGCCAAATGAAGATGAGAGCTCATGCCAGGTATAGAACAATAATGACTGATTCAGAAGCATGACAATGATGATTTTATTAGTACTCCTGCTATACAATCAATCAAGCAGAGACTAGAGAGCTTTGACTGAATTCTTGAAAAGCCTCTCAAAGTCTGCTTGCAAGCTTTGTTTGCGGTTTTATTCATTGTTACAGAGGATCACAAGAGCAGCAATTCATATAGAAATCAAATAACAATATACTTCACGCTGACAACAACAACAGACGTGGAATACAAATAAACCCTTGTACAAGTAGCTTGAAGGACGTGCTATAGAGGAGGCTGCTCAGTCATTGTGTCTTACAATTGTTTTGGAAGCATGAGAGCAAAGGAAACAAGAGCACCTATTTTATAAAACATCTACTCCATGTAAACCATCCACACACATGCACACCCACACACACTGACAGATACACAAGGACACAGTTTTCCTCTTCCTTATCTTTGCTCTTCTATGCCTGTCTGCTTTCCTAGTGAAGCTTGGTAAATATCCAGCATATGCCCACTCACAATATCAGCACATTTTATTTACTCAAAAATTTTACAGCAACTTTTTTGAGTATCAGTGGCGTCTGGTCCACAGTGAGCACTAGATAGCTGCCCCACCCTTATCTACAAGAACAAAGACAGGGCACTTCACAGCATACGTAAAAATGATCATACTGTTCCAAATATAAGACAACTCTGATTATAAGGTCTACTGATCAGCGATACAGACTCTTAATGGTCAACAGGCCAAAAAACATCTGTCTTCATTTTAGCACGGTCACATAACCACAGAAATGACAATATTTAGCTAGAAAATTAATGAGGGATTAGATCCAGACAGTCTCTGAAGCCCTTGGGTGTCACGCAGAGTTGGTTCTCTGAAAGTTGCCGGTCTCACAAATCAAGTAGATTTTACAGTAAGCTGCTACTTTTTACCACTCTATTTTCAGAGCTGATATTGGGAAGAAAAAAAAAAAAACAGTAACATGCTGTATACAACAGCGTAAACCCCAATAAAAAACAAATCCTATTAATTACTAAATTCCACATATAAAACAATACACCCTTTTTTTCCTCACATTCTGGTTAAAACCACAGTTTGAAATATGGCATGAAGGTGATTTGGCAAGACTGAAGGGTTTTTGAAGCCCAAGTTTCCTTAAAAGCATCCTTCAGTTTGTCTGACCTGGTGATTTATGATGAGGCTTAGGCTGGAAAGAGACAGCTGGTCAACCAATTACAGTAATATGATGGTTAGCAAACCCACTTTGGTGGTAGCTTTGGCACTGTAGGTGCTTTTTTCCAACTACACCAGATGCTTTATATCCAGGGAGTAAAAGGAATAAGCTGTAATGAAAATGTAGATTCAAATTCATCCATCACTGGTTTGCAGCACAATTGTTTGTCCTTAAGTACCTCACTGTACAAACATTGTTGGAGATCAACAGGGACTTACATTTGCACTTGAGTTGGTAGAAATTTTGGAAAACAGCCTCTAATTGGTCGATAGTCTCAACACAAGGCACTGAAAGGTGGCTGAGTGGACAGCTAATAGGTTTCCAAATTGATTTACAATCTGTCGATAAATCTCCAGAATGAGGCTGTCCTGTTCTTTAAGACACAGTGAACCATAGCCTCTAATAGTTTGTAGGAATCAATGGTTTGAATATCTGTCTTTTTTTATTATTATGTTTTGTGAATACAAACAAACTCAAATACACAAATGCACAGGAACTCACACATTTGCACATCCTATAACTTTCTGCTTTGGGTTTATATTTTTGACTCAGTATAAATATATTAATAGTATATTTCAGTGTATTTCATTGATACTGTCAATTAAAACATTACTTGTGCATTTAAAGTGGGCCTCTTGAAAAAGAAACAGCTTCACAGGCACAATTTTGTTCAATTCAATTCAATTCAACTTTATTTATATGGCACTTTTCATACAGAAGTAAATGCAATTCAAAGTGCCTCACAGAGGCTAAAAACAACAATAAAGACAAAAACCCAACCCTTCCACCCACCCACACACCCATGGGCCCACACGCACACAGAGACACACACCCACCCTCACATACACACACACACACACAACCGCACACAGTGTGAGAATTTAAGATAAAATTTTAAAGAGACATGGCCTGACACTGAGACATGAACATTTGCAGTAAAAGAAGTCTAAAATGGCAATTAGTAAAAAGCCTGGTTAAAAAAGTGAGTCTCGAGCCTCTTCTTAAAAATATCAACAGTCTCTGTTGTTTTGTTTTGTTTTGTTTTGTTTTGTTAGGGGAACCTTACTTTATACCCATGTCCATCGTTGTCTATCATTCATCACAGTTCATTTCCTGCACTAATTTCATTGCTCAGATCTTGGGAGTTAACAGCATTGACTGCAGGAAACGTAAACAGATAGACGATTAGGCAGGTTAATGACAGTTCTGAGAAAAGTAAAAGCAAAAACGCAGACAAATTTGTCCCTGAATGTCCCTTCAATCCTGCAAAACTAAGCCGTGAATGAATAAAAGAGTCCAAATGAAACCACAGAGTCGTTTTAAAGAAGTTAACTGAATGAAATACTGGATAAAACTTTTATGTATTTCCTAATAGACTCATTCAGTTTGTAAAACTTGTTCTGTTTAAAGTAAGTATGCCATAAATGAGTCACAGACAGAAATGTGAGTGTGTGAAAATGATAGATCTGAACATCAGAGCGAGAGAAAAAGCCGAGGGAAAAGCATGAAGTACCCCCTGGAATGGCAAAATTACTAAATGATAATAATTCATCGTACAAAAAAGGTCACATTTAATCAGCACAACAGTTTAATTAACAAGAAGCTAATTGAGGCACAAGACCTGCCAAGTGAAATAGTAGTCTGTCTCCAATAATAACCTGCTGCTCTGAGTCAGTAAAAGCTCTTGTCATAACTGAAAGTTTTGAGTATGCTCCTACTTTAGAAAAGGCAAGTGCTCTAAAATTAGACACCAAATCACCCTCCACTCAAAGTACAATAGGCCAGCAACACATTATACAGAAAATCGCATTTTAAATCAGAAATATACTCGCGGCAGCCTCGAGGTGTAATGAGAATTTATCCGTGAGAAGTCTGGAGGCCTTTCAATCAAATTTTCTCTACAGACGCCACTCTCGAGTAACATTCAGCTGCCACCAAATCGACAAAGCAGCTCAATAAAGTCCCTTATTCAGCCAGTCTTACACACACTTATCTGTGACCATAAAAGCCCTCATACTTTTAATATATAAAATAAACAAAAAAATCTATGAAGCACTCTCTTTTTAAGAGTTTCAATGCTTTTAGCACAGTCGCACAGACCTTAAAAACTAAAAGCCTCGACTAACCAATAAAAAACTCATGGGAGTCTCTGTTTGAGGCATTTTGGTTTGTTAAAGAAGAGAAATAGCCTTGAAGTTTTTCTTGTATTCAAGTATCTATAATTCTGATACAAATCGAACTGGATTGAACCCTAAAAGAGGAAGGTTGACAAGTTTCATTTCAGTTAAAGACATGTTTCAGCACCTCACACTGTGACCACCTGTATTTTACGTGTGTGCATAAAATATGAGCAGTAGCCAAATGAAGATGTCACAGAGAAGGGAGAGAGCCAAATTCTTGAAGGACATGACAAACTGGAAAGTCTGTGCAGAAGAATAATAGCAGAAGAGCCTTTTTCTTTTTTTTTCTTCTTTGCTATTTCAGAAAATGTTGCGCTAACCATTGTTAGAGCTCTGAGGGAGGTAGCACACCGATAAGAGTCCATCTTGCACTTCAAAGTTTCCCACTGTGCCTCAGAATAACAGGTAGCAGCACATACAGTACTTAAACACATAGATTCTCCTTGACGTGAAGGACGATTACTGGTGATGCCTCAATAATTGGCACATCCTAAACCTGTTTCATCTCTTCACTCAAAAGCACAAATTAGCTCTGCAGGGAGGATTCCTCTGTGGTCGCTCTATCTCTATTTCTGTCTCTTTGTTCACCTTGATGTATGGAGCTACGTGCAAATACACACACAAACTGCTGAGTGAAGGACAAATGACTACAAACCCTGAGTGGAGTTAAACAACTTAACTCCACGTGACAATACAACCTGGAATAAGTGTTTTTACTCTGCTGTAGGGACGTGTCCTCACTTTTGGTGGTCAAGAGTATCGCTGATGACCCACAGAATGGTATATAGTGTAAGTGCAGACTCACACATAAATCACACAAGGTGGGGGGGACAACAGTTCCCTACCATAGACTGTATATACTATGGACAACTTGGTTCTGCCTCCCGTCTGTATACAGATTTGAAGCCGAAAAGCTCTCGGTATTTCCACGTTTTTTCTCCACTTCTTGAAACCAACATTGCGCAGTAGCGTTGTACGCATTCGGCAGTATAGTCGCCAAGAGTCGCTGTGATGACACTCGGCTCAAACAGCGTATCCCTCGGGTGAGCTACCCAATCTTTGTACACCCATAGGCCGTATCAAGTGTCAATCACAGAAAACATGAACCCCCTAATAACTTTTAAAAAAGGAGCTGTACAGAAAAAAGAGGACCTGAGCACAAACCAGTCTGACAGTAACTCAGTGGTTCTCAAGTCTAATCCTCGAGGCCCACTGTCCTGCATGTTTTGTATGTTCCCCTGCTCCAACACACCTGATTCAAATGATCAGCTCGTTATCAAGCTCTGTAATGGCTTAATAACGAGCTGATCATTTGAATCAGGTGTGTTGGAGCAGGGAAACATACAAAACATGCAGGACAGTGGGCCTCGAGGACTGGACTTGAGAACCACTGCAGTAACTACATGTCAACATCGCAACCGGGGGAGAAAAATTTATAGTCTGTGTAATAAATTTCTAAAGTTTGTCCACAGCTCCATAGGGATTGCTGGAGGAGGCGGGATTTATGACCTATACTGCAGCCTGTCACCAGAGGGTGCTGTTCTCACGGCGGCTTCACCTAGCGAGGGCAGCCTATGTTCGCTACTACCCTCCCTGTAATAACTGTTGCTATCCACGCTAGGATAGGATTTCGGGTTGGTTGCCAATCAGATGTCAAGAAAGGATCCACACCACTCATGACCACAACTCTAGTCACACACCCCTGCTCTGCTCTGATCTCCCCGAAGCCAACTAGACAAAGCAAGTCTTATTTTGAAATCTTTCTTTTCTTCTAAACCAAGAAAAACTGGGCCTCTCTGTGTTTTTCTCTCCTGTGTCCTCTAATACCAAGTGAAGCCCCATAAATGATTCACAGTGTGGACATCATTAGGAGGACAGTCTTGGCTTAGCCTTCCTCAAACAGCCCTCTTGTGCTCATTATGAACAAAAAGCTGGTGTTTGGAGACTCACACCGACCTGAATCAGAAGGATTTTTTTTTTTTTGCTCTGAGTTGGCGGCAAAGGGGAAAAAAAACAGCTGTCTTATCTCAGTTGAAAAGAGATGAAAAGCTCAGTTGTTGATTGAGAAATTTCAGTTTCTGAAAATAGTAGACGAATATGTCATCTCCTCTTTTATTCCTTCATTTTCATGTTCCCTATTTAACTGCAGAACATTCTTCCTTTTGACAACCTACGTATTGAGTTGATTTTTTTCTATAACTAACTTGAAAACAATCCATCAATCTTCACGCTGCTTTGCCTTCATCTCAACCAAGCAAACAGAGACCTCTCACGGCTAATCTGACATACACGGGAGGAGAAAATGATGGCCAAACATTTCACTGCTGGAAAATCATCACCCCTCTCCATCCTGCATCTCTGTGTCCACCCGTCTGCATCAATCATCACATTAGGCCTATAAATAAATACCTGAACTGTCACACAGGCAAATGGGGGCCGCCAACTTGGGAATTGGTGGCAGGGAAAGTGAAAGAAGGGAAGCAAGCCAAATGAATAACAATAAGCCCAATACGCATCGTTGCCAAGGTAGGAGAGACATGAAGGCTGAGCAGGTTAAGTCAGACAGTTTGACACACTGGCTGTGGCTCAGAAAGACAGTCAGGACCAGCAGGTGGAAAAATAGACAAAAAACATCTCAGAGGAGTCAGATATTTCTGTGCAGGTGGTTTAAAGTCTCAGGTGTGTGGACAAAGATGAAAGGTGGAGCAAGGAGTCCGAACATTTATCAGTGTCGGAGTGGAAAGAAGAGATAAAGAAAGAAGAAGCGCCGGAGGAAAGGAAGAATAACCAAGTTCAAATGATTTGACTGAAAATGAGAAAGTGTGCCGGCAGGTGTTACACTGTTTGTTGAGTCACTTCAATACAAAATGTGCCACCAAGTACAGTTTCTAAATTCAGAGTCTTTGAAAAGAATCAAGCTTTTAAGATATTTTCATCCCTCTCCTGCAAGCTGGAGGACTTTGCTTGCTGATGCTTGACAGTCAAGAAAGATACAACTGGACCAAACCAGTGTTATTAAATAAAGGAGCGTGGTCTTTCAGAAAACATACATATGCTGAAAAAGAGCAAATCTGCAAGCTTCTGGAGCAAGCTTCAAACAGTTTTAAAAGCTATCAGCGGAAACCAAGCAGGAACAAAACTTGATACGTGGCGAAGTCATTCTCATCCTAGAACCAGCTCCAACATTCACAGGTTATTCCCAAACGTCAGGGATACAAGACAATACAATAACTTTATTTAACCCCAAGGAAAATTAATTTGTCTGGAATATCATGAAAATTTTCCTCTGGAAGGACAGTTAACAAACTGTAAATCCAGTCAGGTGAGAGGATACAGTGACATGGTATTATTACAAGTGCCTCAGGATGTTGAGTCTGTATCCTAGCAACAGTATCATAGAGAATACACATATGCAGGTATTGTTATGATATGACTGAACTCCCTTGGTACATAATATGGCAGAAGAACAACTGCTAACAGTTCAATACCTGGACAACACAATATATCAACAGCAACTGCTCTTAAATCTTCCTCTGCTGACAGCAAATATGTTGTGATAAATTAACTTTAATTCCAGATTATGGTTTTTTAAATTTTATGAATGTAGTAATTCATATCCTTTATTACATTTTTTGTGTGTGTGTGTTATTTTGAACATAGCTTATTCGGCTGTAGTGTAAGGCATGAGTCATACTGGAGCTAATTTGATCTTTCAGTAGTAGTCATTATTACACCAAAACAGCAGGATCATCATCACACACCCTGAATGTCATGCATCATCCTAATAGGTTTCTCTTTGCCTCTAGCAGATGCATTACTTACAGCTTCTGTACAATTACATTTCTGTACAGCTTTTCACAAGGGTTTTTGTGGGCCTAAACTGTCTACAATAAAAGGATATTTTCCACAGTAATCATTGGACAACTTATTAAAGGTATATTTCTCAGTTTAACATTCTTTGCACACAAAGTGTGAACCAAGCCTTAGCTTCAACAGACTTCTGTAACAGCTGCTTGTCAGCTATAAACTCAATGGACTTGAAAATGAGATGAATATGTCTCCGACTAGAACAGTAATGAAATACAGATTGATCTACTGCGCAATACACAATATCAGTGCAGCACTGAAATATAAAGTTTATGAAAACATTCATTTTATGTGACTTTTTTCAACAAGATAATCTTTTCTATATTCAATATTCATTACGTGTGAAAAACCATATTTCAGGCCTTATAACAATGTTGATGATAATAACAGTTATCTCTTGGAAATCAGAAATCAAGCATCTTAAATTAAATATACTTCCAAAGATTGGTTAAAAAAAGAATTTAAAATGCAGAAATGTCCAACTTCTGGAAAGTATGACCACTAATTCACTGATTACTTATTTGGAGCTACTATACCATGATGACTGCATGAATATTTAGAGTGGAGGTGATCTACATTTACCAGTGCTAAGGTGTTATTGGAGCCCAAGTTACTTTAAAAACAGCCTTCAGTTTTTCCGTTTTATTAGATCTGGTTATTTACTCGAAAGATCAGGTCAGGCAATGATGTTGGTCAATCAATCACAGTAGTATTATGGTAAGCACACCATTTAGTGGTAGTTTTGGTACTGTGGGCAGGTGCATAGTCCGAGAAATATTTACATTATGTGTATTGAAACTATAGTTCAATGTATATGTTTTTTATGCATTCTAAACTAAAACTTTTACCAAAATATTCAACTTGCAATTATTTAACTTGCACCTTTCTTTGCACCTTTACCTATGCAAAATACATCTTTTACCATCTTTTGACTTTCTTGAATGCCCATGTGCTACTCGCTTAATTTGCGCAAATCTAGACAAGTGAATGAATTGTATTTACTCGCTTCATTCATGTGTCAATGGTAATTTCAACGGTAATCCCTGTCAATCCAAGATCAAGTGATAGAGAAAGGTTTTTTACAATTTACCAGGTAATCCGACCTCCTCACTCACTTGCCTCCAGATATCATATAATTCAGGGCACCCACACATCGACACGATCAGCTTGTCCTCCATTTTAGACACCAGTGAACAACCGTCCAATTTTCGCACATCACCTGACAACCTTCGGCCTGATTATTAATCACAACGCGAATATCTGCTCAAGTTGAGACATTTTCAGCTCCCACCCAATTCGCGTCATTCGCACCGCCAGAGTAGTAGGAGCGCCCAATCGTGTCTTTGCACTGACATAACATGTAATTCATTCGCGCGAATGATTTTACTCACGCTTGATGTGTGGAGACAGTAAAAGGTATTATTTTGATTTTAATTTAAAAAAATAAATTAACGAGGTAACACACAAGGTCACACCTATTATGTTTTTGTTTCCCTGCAGACATGAACACATGCATATACATGGGCTCAGATGATCTTAATGCATGTATAATCAGTAACCGGTGGGATGGTATAAGGAGGCTTTAATTGACTTCCTTAATTGACTGACAGCCGGCACCAATCAAGCCGCAGAGATCTAAGAGAGTGAGGAACAGGGAACATCTCGAGGGTGATGGTTTATTTGCAGCCTCTGCTTCTCACATGTTGACACACACACGCACAGGGAAGAATGTAAATGCAGCCAGAGCAAAGAGAGTACTGATAATTACATACATTAGAGGAGTCTAAAACAGAGCCTTGAGTAGATGTAATAAACAGGTGCGCGCACTGATTGGCATTGCAATAACAAGAGGAGCAGGAGTAAATGTGTGCAGGGAGATTGGAGCTGTTAGATAAATGCTAGGAGGGTTATTGTATCCACATAAGTTCCAGTGTACATTTGACATTTTTATGCATGATATACCTATATGTTAACAGTCCCATTTCTCAGGCAACAAGGTCATACACAGTTCAGGCATTCACAGCTCTATCTTTGAATGTCATCTTGAATGTTATCCCCATTACTCATCTTTAAGGCGTTTAAAACAAAGGGTACAGCTGTCTATGTGTAGGCATATGTGTCGCTGTTTACTGCTCCATAGCGTTTGAGCTGCGCTAAAATTTAAGCCAATACACAGAGAGCTCCAGTGGTTAAGGAAGCAACACTGATTTAGTGTTGCACTCATGACTCATGACTGACAGTAAAAAGGAAGGGATAAAAGTAAATGCAGAAGAACCAGAGATTTATGTCGTGTAGCCTCTTTTCAAAGTCTGGCGCAAACGTTACCCAAAATGCAATTCCACCACCCACACTTCTGTTGGGGATTTGAGTACTGTGGGAAAAAAAAGCACTCATTCATGAAGCCGTGACTTAGATCGGCCGTTCAAATAAAGGGCTTTGAGTTTTAAGAATTTTAAAAGCCAAAAGTTTGATAAATGTGAATATCATGACCTAAGACTGTCATTTTGAATCTTGGGTAGATCCAAATAGAGAAATGATGTGTTAATGAGCTGTTTGTGAGCATTCGTGTGGTTTACTACCTGTTTTTTTTTTTTAAAAAGACATGTACCTGACATAACCAGGTTTTTTTAATTCTTGATATTTAATTTTATATCACTCTGAGAGCAACAGTGGCCTATTTCAGGTTTTAGTGGAGTGTAAAACAGAAACAACAACATCTTAACCCTGGCAAAGCAGATACGGAGTTTCCAAAGGTTGGCTTGAGGACTTCTGAGGACATCCTCCTTTTAACCATTAGCATCCTCATCCTCATCAATAACACCGGCACTCCTGAGGCTTTCGTCAAGCAGGCAACTTAAATAATAGATACCTTGTGTTCCCTCCTCTCTGTGTGTTTTCCTTTAACAGCTTGCTCTGATTCAAACAGACAGCAAGATGAATGTTCACCACAAGTCTCATGAGATGACTTCTCGAGAGGATCTACAGGAGGGGTTCCTGCCTGTCTCTCCTGTGCATTATCTTAGGAGTAAAAACCAATGTGCTTGTTAAAAGGGAAAGCAATGCTAAAGATGCAGAAGAGAGACTGAGTAGAAAAGGGCAGAAGTGAGAGGATGACATGCAACAGGAATGAGCAGGTGCCTACCTGAGGTAACGCAGGGGTTCTATGGTTTCAGCCTCTGCCTCGGCTGAGCTGTGGTTCATCTTGTCCATCTGTTGTCACCCAGCAGGACTCGGCAAATACGAGAAAGGATGAGCTGTGCAGCCTGAAAGAACACACTTCCGTTGCTTGTGTGTGACTCTAAATCAATAAGCGCACTGTCTACCTCTGAGCCTGGGAGTAGAGTGAGAATCTAAATGGGCTTCCTCCCTCTTCTGTATCTCTCTCTCTCTCTCTCTCTCTCTCTCTCTATCCGTGGCTCTTGATTGGTTCAGATAGTGGAAGGTAATTACTTGCTGCTACACACACTCTGAATCTTGCCGCTGTATCTCTGCCTCTCTTCTCTCTCCGTCTCTCCCACTGTGGACTCTAATAAAACCATCTGGCTCCGTGGATCAGCTGCAGCTCACCGGGAACGACAGCCAATTAAGAATCAGCAAGCATGGTGCTCGCTGGATGATTGGCCGGGGCTGCTGCGATCAGAGCAGCTCAGTCATCCAGGGTGCTTCTCTGACACCCCCAACCTCTTAAAAATTCACACGCATTTATTTACGGTCCTTGGTGGCAAAGGATCTCATAACAAAGAGTCGAGAAGAAGCATCACAATGAAGACATACTGACAGCTGCTTGATTCATAAACACTGACAAATCTTTGATACGATGAAGACCACAGCTGAGATAGTTGCATAGCAGTACATGAGTGATGCTACAGATCTTAGATGTAATGTTTAAGAGGAGGGTGTTATGAAGAGAACCACAGCGACCTGAAAAAGATTCAAATGAATGTAGACTGATCATATGCATTTAGGGCAAGTATAAGGGGAGAAAAACACACTATCATGGAAATATTAACATATGCACACATACACAGAGGATATGTATAGAAGAGCCCAGGGGGAAACCTTCAGCTGCCAAATAATGCTCAGAAGTGGGTCGTGGTTAGAAACAATAATACACTTTCCTTTATTATCTCTATTGTTTTCTTTCATTCCTGTTTGTTTTGACAGCGAGGTTCCTGAACAGCTCATCTGATATAGCTGTGGTTTTGCATAACAATCTAATCATGCTATATTTTTCCAAATTAAACATGAAATATATGAAAGCGTCGGAATGGAAGGGTTGAATTGCTGTGAAGGGGAACGTAAGGGTGCTGAATGTTGGTGTATGCTGCCATCTAGTAATCAAAATAAACTATTGCAATTAAATACAGAACAGGGTGGTAAAGGTATTTTTATGGTTATTAGTTTAATGTTGTGTGAGTTATTTACCTTTACACATAAAGCTAATTATTCCTCTTCCATTTATTTGCATCATTTGCTAATTAATGCCAAAAGTTGCTCATTATTTGCTTCTTAGATTGTGGAAATGCTGTTTATACTGTATTTAAAGAGTGTTTGATTATTTCCCTCCACTGGACAGAGTTGTAGGTGTGCCTCACGTTTCATTAACTAAAGTCATTTGAATCATTATTTCTTAGTGAAAATGTTATTCACCCATGAGGTGTGTTGAGGAGAACCTACTCATTTAATATCAAACGCCTTTGCGGTGATATAGATTTGCTATTGAGTAGCTGCAGCTAACCACATTCAGCTCTATTAGTTGGAAACCCACAGCATTAATTTCCCTGGTGTTGCAGCTCAATCCCACAGTTAGTTAAATTATCGCATTTGGTGTTAAAGCAATTACTCTGTCTTATTTTCCCACTTTGAAGAGATTATGAGAGAAAAGGGCTGGGCGATAAACTGAAAATTTTTCCGATACCGAAATTTATGTCAATAACCAACGTCATTTTACCTATATCGGAATATTCGGTGTCAAAAAAAAAAAAAAAGTAAATGTTGGTTTTGGATGTGTGTAGTTAGACTATGGTCTCATGTCCCTTTAAGACACTGTCCTATGTCAGAGACATGACTCCACCCCATCCAGTCTGCAACAAAGAAGGAAAGACAGGTGAGGAGATGGAGGATGGTTCAAAAGTTGTAGCAGATTGTGGAGTAATCGTCCATTTAACGTAATCGAGGTGAACTGCTCAATATATCGTGATATTGATTTGAGGCCATATCGCCCAGCCCTATTAGAGAAGGTGTTGTTAACTGGATAACCAGTCTGCAGGAGTTTAAAAAAAAAAAAGTTGTATGTCTAATTTTTCACACATGGCAAGAGAGACGGTACACAAATGCTTCCCTTTTGCCGTCCTATTTACTTACCTATTGAGTGCAATATAACATCTTGATAGCACGAATAAGATAAATCACTGTTGCAGGACTTCAGGGGCTCTGAACAATCTACTCAAGGATGTTTCAATGAAATCTGTTCTGTCATAACATGAGGGCAGTTGAAATGCTGCCATATGTGTTGCCTATATTATATAATGAGGCATGTTTATTAAAAATCAAGGTCAAAGTTGTAAATTTATGAAAAGTTGTATTTTTAAAAAAATAATGGTGGAATATTAAGCAAATAAAGTTGTGGATTTGTGAGATTTTAAAAAGCTATAATTCTAAACTATACTAACCTGTTATTTTGAGCACATGAACCGGTAAGAGGAATATGGAGCATCTTATTCGGGTTTATTTATATATTATTTATATATAATCATTTTGATTCAAGTGGAATGTAATGCTAATGCTCCAGGTTTCTGCCTGGTATAGAGGAAAAAAAAAGAGCCTGCTATGGATGGAGTTTCTCTTGTCTGTGAGATGTAACACAGAGGTTTAAATCTAGATCCTTTCCTTTCCGTCAGGGGAAAAACCTCAAAGAAGCTAGAAAAAGATAAAGACTGCTGTCTTCACAGGCATTGCTCTGCTAACACCTCGAATAAAAAGACAAATCAGCCATGAGAGGGGTTAAAATTAGTTTTATTATTATTTGATAGAGCAGAAAAAAAATCCAAAATAAAACAAATATTTCACATACATTGTTTTCTTTTCCTTATGGGCTACACTGCATTAAGCAGAGCTTCGACCCCAAACAAACGGAATGGTGATAATGTTGTCGAACAGTAGCAGCAGCAGGCAGTAGTCAGGACAGCACAGGGCTACACTTAGCAGGGCACTAGATGACGGGCTCATTCCAGATTGCTTATTTTGCATCCGTAAGACGCGGGCGGCTACCATCTGCCTGTCAGGAATGTACAGACAACCTGTTTGATTTCTGATGCTATGTGACGTATGATTACTTGATATTCAGCACTTATTAATAAACCTTGTATTTCTGTCAGAAATGGACACTTACTAATACTCTAATGTACGGTGATGATGCTGCAGCACAGAAGAATCACTTTTACTGGTACCCAGTTCAAGGCAGCAGTGTGCCACCTACCAAAACTGAATCTGACATAAATGAGTGAAGCTAAAGAGTGCAGCAAACAGAACCCAACAGGGCGACACGATCCCAGGTGTGTACATGACATAATGATAAAGTGATCACCACTGCTGTTTTCATGTGAAAGCAGAGATGGACACATTGTAGGAGATCAGCCTCTGTTGCCAGTTCTGTTTCTGTTTTGAGTAACGTCTTGCATTCAGAATTATGAAACACATTTTTTATTTCTATTTTCCCGCTAATTAAAACATGAAAATGTAAAAAGTTCTGAAATTTCCCTATTGACCACAAATCTCAAATGTCCCCTCTGGGATAAATAAAGTTCTTGTCTCATCTTATCTTAGATATATTTGATGATCCGTTTTTGCAGTGAGAATTAAAGAAACTGGACCACCTCAGTTACTGAAATGAAAGAAAACAGCAGATGGATGATAGATTTACCTCAATAACCAAAGGACTTTTCCAGGTTGGACTTACTAGCTTATGCTGTGCTGCTGCAACCTGATCAAAAATGCACTAGAGCTCACGTGAAAGGCATAGTTCGCTCAATTCGAGGACCTGACATAAATCATACACACCTTAATGTTAAAGACTAAGAAGTTCATGTCATTTGTTGCTATAGGGGTTTTTGCATAACTACATTCTGAAAGCTGTCCAGCTCTCTCAGACCAATTGTAAGGTGAGTGGGAGCCACTGGACACACAAGAGAAAACAAATCTTTTTAAGTGGAAAATTCATCAAACTCAGGGCATAAGCATATATCTTTACTAACATGACCCTATAAATAAACCCAGAGACAGTTTGTCTATAGAAGAAAAATATGCACCACAACCTATGACTAAAAGCAAAAACAATGTCAAAAATATGACATTCCTTACACCCCCTCAGTTTCGCATGAATTCATGTTAAATTCCAGAGAGGGTTCAAATAAACTAGAAACCTTCTAGCAGAAGGGATTCCATTTGGGCTCCACTAGTTCTTTGGAAGGTTTTTTTTTTGTTTTGTTTTTTACAATATTCAATAAGAATAGTCCTCAAAACATATGCTCCATGTTTTTACATTAATCAGTGAAACCTTTATCTTAGTTCTTCCACTTCATCTTAGAAAAAACAAAGTATTTAAAAGTAGGCCACAACATGGAACCCAGCAGATGTAAAACCACCTCAACAGTAACATTAGCCTGAATATTCAGACCTGGACAACAGGCCTCTTCCAAAGTATCAGGGAGCACAATATTCCAAACACAGTATATGACTTAAAGAAGAAAAGACAAAATCCTAACATTCAGCCATACAAAATAATCCAACACACATCAACTTCTCTGCTATACACACTGTGGGTTAGAGAGAAGAGGCAGTCTGTGTGCAGATAGAGATCATTTTTTTTTTTTTTTTTTTTTGCAGTCCTTTTTCGTGTTTTATTCATTTTTGCAAAGCTGAAGCAGTTTTTTTTTGTTTGTTTGTTTTTTTCGTGGATGGTCCTTGAAGCTCAACCACAATCCCTGTGATGAGGTCTTCGGTGAAGTTCGGTTCTGCCACCACATGGGCCCAGAGTCTGACTGGCTCAGACCAGAAGGGGGGTAGGACGTAAGGCGACTATCTGACTGATTGAATGACTACTATTCTTTCCCTACCTAATCCAGAGGCCGGGGAGCTCGGAGAGGTTTCCTTGTGCTGCCAGGTGTCAAGTTCAACCAACACACAGGAGATGCAGAGGCAACATTGCTGGAGAGGTTTGTGAAACTGTACTCGCCTATGTAAAACCCTGACCCCCCACAAAAAGGTACCCAAAATCTAATTGACATACCCCTCTTATCCCAAGAGCCCAAGCGACGCCGCTCAACTCCAATAAGGGATAAAGGAATCAAGTAAAGACGATGGAGGCAGAGATATCTGAGGAAGAAGAGAGGGGACGCCTGGATCCAACGCAAAACTAGGCTGATTCTTCCCCGCGCAATTTTGGCCAGAGAGAGCGTCCATGGAAAGAATTAGAGTGATAATAAGAATGGCTGTTATTGATATTAGGAAAGGTAATGGTTATGATGTCAGTGGGGAGTGAAATTGCATTATTTCCATGTGTTGGCTGCTTGGGAGATTGAACGTGAAGGAATCATGTCCAGCAGATACTCTCGCTGACGCTCCACAGAAGAGGCGGTCTTGTGAGCTGACAAGCTGGGGTTCACGTAGGCCATAGTCACACCTGAGAGGAAAAACACACATCAGGGGTCAATGGATTTAAGACTGAGCTGATTCTCATAAATACTAGAGCAAATTATAACAGCGTAGAATTTTGAGGGCAAAGATCATGGAGGAAAAATGCTTTAGAGGATCATGAAAATATCTGGGATTTTTTTAAACACAAAAGTCCAACATAATGAGTAATAAATAGTGTCTCTAAAATGAAGAGGCTAGTTTCAGAAAATGAAAAAAAAGATGAAGTGATGACAGCAGGAGAAAGGATTTTACTTTGAGAGAGAGATGAGCCCAAAGAGGAGCAGAAAAATAAGAAGATGGGAGTGAGGCGCATTCTCCACCTAACCTCATCTCAACGTTTATCTACCTGTGCTGCCCGCGTTCTGCTTCCTCCAGGCAGTCATGTTGCCCTGGTTACTGCTGCTGGCGCTGACCTTTGCCCCCTGCTGCAGCAGACGTGCTGCAGCATGCTTACCTGGCCTGCTCCCCAGCGCCGCTGCTGTCACTGCTCTCTGCAGCTGAGAGGAAGAAGTGTAAGAGTGGGCCGGACCATGAGAGGTCACTGCAGATTGGATGCCATGAGACAGCTGATTCTGCACATAAACAACACGTGAAGGGAAGATATGCTGAGTGTTGTTGCAGGCGTTAGCCAACACACAGATATGACATTTGGGTGCAAATGCCGAAAAATTTTATATTGACGACACGATTTTGTTCAACGATTCAGAAAATCAGCCGCCATGCTTACCTGCTTTATGGTGGAGTGGTGAGCAGACACAGATCTATGCTGCATGGCGGCTCCAACCTGCTTGTACTGCTGGGACACCAGTATCTCACTCTTAGACAGTGAGGGAGAGGAAGAGGTTTTAATGATAGATGAAGAGGAGGCCGCCTGCTGGAGGATACGCTGCTCGATCTCCTGCTCCTGTTGGAGTGCCTTCACAAAGGCTGCCTTCAGCCGGTTAGTGTGCTCAGCTTTCAGGGCCTTCTTCTGGTTCGATGACATGCATTGGTCACAGAGGATGGTCCCAGCCTTCTCTTTTCTCCAGCGGGAGGTGAAGTCCGTCTTACACTGGGCACAGGTGTATGGCTCTTTGGGAATGGAGCTGGCCATGGCAGCAGCTGGACCCAGATTACCTGGATGAAAAAACAATAATAGTTATTGGGATGTTATCATATCTGTTTTACTATCCAACATGCCATTGCCTCTAAGTTTCCAAAAGTAGCTACACAAGGGTAAAGGTCTACCTACCCCTGCCATGCATCTCCAGAAGCTTCTGCACCACTTCCTCCAACCCCAACAAGTAGATGAATTCATTATTGGCAGCAGAGGGCAGGAAGTTGAACTCAGGGGCAGGAGGTTTAGGTGGAGGGATCTCCAACAGCGTTTTCTCCAACTGCTTCCGCAGAGCAAGCTTAGCAGCTGCCTGCCGGCTGGCAGGGGAATCATTAACACTTGAGTTGGGTGACACTGAAGAGCTTTTTAGGCTGGTTGGAGAAGCCTTGACAAAAACACAAGCGGAAACACTTCAGCAACTGCTTAAGAGAAAATTATTCTTCGGGTAATAAAAGAAAAAAAAGGCGTCATGAAAAAGAGCATTTCATAAGCTTCATTTATTCTTATCGCATGTTTCTACTGTGTCCTAGTTACCTGAGGGATGTTGACCATGACATTACTGTTGGCCACATTAGCCACCCGGATAAGTCCCTGCTGAATGATCCTCTGGCCCTGGACCTGGACATTGGGCACAGAAGCCCTGGGGGCTAACAGCAGTGGAGGGGGCCCTGATCCACTGTGCTGCTGCTGTTGCTGGCGCAGACTGGCTATCTGCTGAGGAGTCATTGCGATAGGCTGTAGCACGCAAGGACAGCCATCAAAGAAGAGGAGAGGACAAAGAAGATACATCAACAAAGATCTCTTCAGAAGTACACCTCTTCAAAAGTGAGCTAAAATGAGGCCTTGGATCATTTTGTGAAGTGTCTCAGCCCCCAACACTAACCTGGGCCCCTCTGACCAGGGGTGGCATAACAATCTGAGAGTTGTGTTTGGACGGTACATGTTGACCACCTCGCACCAAGGGGGGAGGAATCACCGTGCCTGAGCTTCGACCTGGTACCTGAAAACGAGTCAATGATGCAAACAAAGCTTTGTAACACTGCACATCATAGATCTTAGTTATGATTGTGATATATGTGAAAGATTTGGAACTAAACCACACAACTAAACTTCTGTGGCTTCTAATCAAGATCTGGATCAAAAAACAAAAAGTTTTAGTAGATGGCTTTGACAAAATGTAATATTACTAAAGCCTACGTTTAAGGCTCCCCATGAGAAAGGAGGCTTTGGTGATAATGAGTTTGTTCAAGTTTTTTACATCACAGTAAAATCACAGTGAAAGATAAGCCTAAATCGGGTAAGTAATTGAGGTTAAGTCTTAAAAAGATGAAATTATATGTTGGATCTGCAACCTGCAATAAAGTATTAATGGGGGAATAGCTCAGGTCCCTCAGTTTTCAATAACACTGTAAAAATAAGCAACTCTATTACATGTGAAAGGCATTCAACTAAGAGATTTTATTGTTAAAATCAAGTCAGGGCTCTTGAAGTCAAGTGAAGACCTGCTGCGGGGTCTTTCTCACTACTGTTACATGCCACTTTTAAAAATAAATCCAGTTAGACAGACAGGCCCTGCTTTGCCAAAATAAAGAAGTCAAACTGTAAAACTTATTAATGTGTTTTTCAAAAAGTTAATTATGTGTGATAGTGATCTTAATCTCAATCAAATTAATCATGATTATGATTTCTGACGTTACCAAGCAGCCCTAGTTAATACCTGGAGGGGTCCTTTGCTTGATGTGATGCTACCTCTGACTAGAGGAGGGGGAGTGGCCACTGAGTTGGTCGACTGGAAAAGAACAGGGATCAGGATCAGTTTCTTAAGTTTGATCTACTTTATGGCATCAACAAGCACTAAAACTTTAAGTTCCTGATGTTGACTGGATGCATTTAAGAATAACTCAACCCTTTTGACAGTGCCACACAGTTTCAAAACTTGAATAATTAAAATAGCATTTTGTCATTTGGGGTTTTACCTTCTGCACAGTGCTCTCCTTCTGGATCTGACTCTGTCGAAGCTTCTTGAGCAGCACCAGCTTGGCTTCTTGAAGTCTCAGTTCCTCTTTCAGCTGTTTGATGATGCGCTCCCTCTCCTCGGGTGAACTTTTCTGTAGACACCATGGCAGATTTAAACAAGAGTTAGCTGACATACAGGTGTAATTTTTAAGCATGGGTAAATAAATAAAAGTTTGTTTTGTGACAGGGTTCCTACACAGTTGGAATTTCCACACTTTTCTATACCCTACTTTTTAGAATTATTTTTGGAAATACCTACTTATTTTAGCACTGTGGTGATAGTCTGGAATCATAAATATTTTCCCATAATTTATTTTTCATTTTCCATACTTTTATGACCTGGGAATTGACCAAATTTATTTCCATACTTTCCACACTTGCGTAGGAACCCTGTTGTTAACAACAAAAGTGAGAATTCATCCTCCTGACTGAGCCAGTGGACGGATAAAGGGCAGCAAAGACTCGTTTTCTCACCATGAGTTTATCAGTGTCAGTCTTGGTGAAGCAGTGGCCATTCATGAGAGGACTGGATGGCTCATTGTCTGATAACACGATGACATCATCGGGTGATGGCGGCTGCTGCTCTTTCTTGATGTCACTGAGAGGAGAAAAGAAACATGGACACAAATATGTTAAAAAAATATATGTTTTACCATTGAAACAAGACAAAGCACCTTCATTTCGTTTAAGTTTAAAGCAGTGGTTATCAATCCAGTCCTCGAGCCAACACACCTGATTCAAATGATCAGCTCGTTATTAAGCCATTACAGAGCTTGATAACGAGCTGATCATTTGAATCAGGTGTGTTGGAGCAGGGAAACATCCAAGACATGCAGGACAATGGGGGCTCGAGGACTGGACTTGAGAACTACTGGTCTAAAGTGACACAATAAGGGCCACCAGCTACAACAAGCTTGTATTTTTATCAGACATCCAGTAGATGGCAGCACATAGTTGTGATTTCAGAGACCTTGTTGGAGCACAAATGAGCTCTGGGACACACAAGAAGACAGGAACCAAGAGATCAATAATGGAGTAATGGCGGCAGGGGAAGATCGCAGTAAACCATTATATCTAGAGAGAGGTAACATCAACGATTAGCCCTCCTGCTCTCTTCTAGCCTACAGACACGGCAACCTTTCTCAAACAACATGCAAACAAAGGTCCAATTAACTGAATTTGTGTGTTTTTTTTATAAGACTAAAAGCTCAAAGCCCCTGATAGAATGTTAAGTGGCTTTTCCTGAGGACTTAGGAGAACAAAGGCGACTAGTGGCAAGCTGCATGTGCATCAATCTGGAGGGGGAGGAGATAAGAAGCAGAGGGTGGTTATAATTTGACTGTGCGTGGACGACTGGAGGAATAAATCTATCACAGTGGGGATCCTGAGGATTGGCATGTTTGCAAAACAAAAAGTCGGAGTAGTAAGCAGAAGTGTGAGAGGATGAGGTGCTTTTGGGACTGTGGTGTATGGTAGTATGTGAGAGGAAGAGGTTTGGGTCATAATGTGGAGTAATGCATGTACGCTTACAGTTATGTTATATAATTCTTCAGGCGCTGTCAAATGCTCAAGGGATTCAAGCTCAGGCCCAGTTTACCACCCAGACAGGGCCTCACCCCTCCCCTCCACCTCCGTGGCAAGGCCTATGGCCTAGCCTGAACAGTACAGCCTGGGCCTCAGCTCTCCCCTCCCTCCCAGCTGCCGACACCAGAGTCACAAGCTGAGCAGAGCGGAGGTCCGCTGGAGACACTGAAGAGGGTGACAGTGAGGGGGAGGGGAATGCATGGCCAGGAGCCAACCTATTGTGTACACTCTCTCTCGCTCACTCAGTCAATCACTCAGTCAATACTTCACACACCCATCCCCCACCTTACTTCGTTGTTCATCTTTTATACTCCTGCATACTCACTGACGCACTTCTTCACACTTTTTCATCCCTTTGTACCGCCTGTCTTCAGGCACGTTTCTCTGCGAGCCCTCTCAGTCCTCGCAGCGGCTGTCTCACAGCTCCCCTCAACAGACGCCGCGCGCTCAGTTCAACAAGGTCAACTATACGACAATAAGCGTGCTGTTCATCCAAACCATCATGAGATGAGGATTTCGGCAGACTCAGCAACCTCAACACCAACTGCACCCAACATTGACAGTCATAATCTTGCTTTAACCAGCTGCTGCAAACACAGTACCGGCTTTGTAAATACACAATCGTGGCGCTTCCTGAAAAGTACTTCCCATGTTTCGCTGGAATCTAAAACGATGTCTAACACTGTGCCCTCACAGCCTACTGCTATTCTGGGAGGGATTACTCTCCTGTCCCAGCTGAAGTCTGAACCAGCAGCACTTTTCCCTCCTCAGCTGTTTACAACACAGACATACATACATACACCCCGATATGATCCACTAAAACACCATGTACAGACACAGAGAACTCAAAGGCCTCATATCCCCTCTCACTAACTCTAACTTACTGCTCATCTGTCACCTTGATTGACTGGGACTAGAGCTTGTGATGGTTTCTACCGTGTCTCTATTGAGAACTGCTTACACAAGCATCACAACACACAACAGCAGCAGCTTGGTTATGTAAGGTCCAATGTTTCTGCATGCCTCGGCTCCTGCGATCACAGGCTCCACACTGACCCTTCTATAGGATTGCTGAATCGGTCATTATTAGGAGCGGAGGGATTGTCTGTTCTGAATGCAACACTTCTACTAAAGCGCCGTTTTTAGCTCTGTAATGCGCTCTCCGTCTAATAAATAGATGAGCGGTACAATAGGACGCAGATGCATGTAAATGATGAGGTGTTTTTTTTAATGAATTCATGCAAACTACCTCAAGAGTAAACAAAGGTAACTTGATAGTTTGACCAAGTTACCTAACGCAGACTTACGCTGCTGTTTGCAAGAAAAACTTAATCAACATGCAGAGCTTGAACAAACACAGCGGGTGGTGAGGTTGGAACAGGGGCCAAAGGTGACACTCATGATATAGCACAATCAGAGCCAACACACACGCACACACACACACACACACCTCTCTGTCCCACTTCTGCTGCCATCACATCACTCTCTGTATTTATTGCTCTACCAAACACGTCACATGACATCAGGCATTTCTCTGTGTGGTCATGTGACACACCCACCAACCCCTCCTGGCCCCTCCTTCCTCCAACTGCTCCTTCCAATGTGGAAACCATGGCAACGGCCAGTTGGAACCAGTTTGTGACACATAGCCTTCATTTTGTGTGAAGTGTGAGGCAGAGTTCAGGTGCTGCTGTGGGAGAAAATGGAGCCCGGGCCTCAGGAGCCTCAAACTTTTTTTCAAAATGGGGGCAGGCTGCCGACAACCACACAGTGACTTCCTGTATGACTCCTGTCAGACCACTTGTGAATGCAAACTTAGAGACGGGCCTGAAACTACAGACAGACTCGTCTTCGTGCACCGCCACGCGCTCTTTGCAGAAATGATATCCAGACCTTCAAAAACATTTATCACTCTGGAGAATTTTTTCAAACTAACTTACAAAGTGCAGAAAAATCCAGAGCTGGAGTTGTCAAGTTATTTAAAGCACCACTTGCAAGTAACGCCCTCCCTGCAAAAAACTATGGTTCAGCGTCAGTTTAGCATAATCAACTAGACAACAGTGGGGAACGGTTCTTTGCATTTTGTGCTTTCACCGATATTAACTGGAGTATAAGGAGATTAGAGTGCATCTAGTCCAGCTGGAAGGACTTACAAAGAGTTGATTGTGAACGAAGTTGGCTGACTATGCTCTTCTGAGGCTCAGCATACAGGAATAAACCTAAGGTACAGTGTTCATGGTATCCCTTTCATTGTTGCTCAGAATAATGACTTTGAACTGAACAACATGTTCTTTATAAACACCCTCAGAGGATCATCAGTATCATTCCACTACTTCGACACTCATTAAGCAGTTTATACTCTTTGATCTTGTGTCAATTACGTACCTTTTTGATGTGCTCATGTCAACAGGCTCGTCTCCAGTCTGCACCTCCACCTTGATGGTGGCCTTCACTTCCCCAGATTTGAGGATGCTGGCTGCTACCTTTGCCGCCTGCTCGCTCTTCAGCTTGACTCCACCAGCTCCAGGTGCTACTAAAGCCAAGGGAGCTCCGGCGGGATCACCTTTCTCCAGCTTGACCCGTTTACTGTCCATGTCTCCTGGGGACCCCACCACAGTTGCATGGTCCCTCTCTAGAGCACGCTTCTGGCTGCGCGTTTGACGCACTGCCTCCTCGGACATGGCTGCTCTCACCCTAGGGAGATAAAGACATATGAAAAGTTTTATAAATGTGCAGAAGGAAGTAAACAAAACCTATATGGTTTATAAGGTCAGTATAGACTGGTACAAAAGGTACCGACATGTCGAGTTGTCTTTGTTTTTGATGTTATTTTACTGATCTGTTTATCTGTCTGAAACATGTTAGCCAAGAAACTGGTACAACTGGCTGAAGAGGGTACAACACCTACTGTTGTGGAGGTGGGCACACTTGGTTTTGTCAGCATATCAATTTGTGGCCAGTATGTCTATACTGGGACAAAAACAGAAATCCAACTAAAGTGCCTAATCGAGCTAAAACAGGGGCTAGACTGCATGTAAACACACTGAATGAGAACCATGTACAGCGCTGCACAATGAAAGCAGAAACAGTCTGAATTCGTTTAAAATGTTCACAGAAGAAGAAGGAAGAATCACGGCCAAGTAAAAGCCTGGGTGACTAGAAACTAGAGTGACTAGAGACTAGACAGAGTTTACCTATTTAAAACTGTAGCAGCACACGGGAGGAGATGCCTTTTAAGTTGATATAATAAAGGTAATGACACTCAATTTTTATGTAATCCTTATCCTAGCATTGTAAATATCCATGTTTTACCACATTTTCTGACTACATTACACCAGGACTATGTGGAAAATTCTGCTGTGGAGGAACTGTGGAATATTAAGTTGAAGTAGAGAAACAATAGTGTGTGTGTGTGTGTGTGTGTGTGTGTGTGTGTGTGTGTGTGTGTGTGTGGGGGGGGGGTATGAATTTATCTGAGCTAAGCACATACCTAACAGCAAATAATCAATTCCCTTTTTTTTTGCATATTTTATGAACATTTTCACCCTGTGTACATCAGCCAGCATATAACACAAACATAAACACATAAAGCAGTACACTACCAGACTCCCACCCAAAATCCCTCCTCCATACACCAAAACTTCCTTTAAAAGTCCTGCATGTTTTGGATGTTTTCCTGTTCCAGCACACCTGATTCAAATGATCAGCTCGTTATCAAGCTCTGTAATGGCTTAATAACGAGCTGATCATTTGAATCAGGTGTGGTGGAGCAGAGAAAACATCCAAAACGTGTAGGACAGTGGGCCTTGAGCGCTGGACTTGAGAACCACTGCTTTAAAAAAATGCACAATGGTATTATCAATCTCAAATTTGAACAACCGCAGCTTTTTTTAGATACAATTCCAGCTAACTTCAAATTTCCATCTGCTGAAAAAAGAAAAAAACCCTCAGATGTAACTTCTAGCCTACAACAAAATGCCGACCACAACCTTACTGAGAATTCTGTGGGGGGAAAAACAAACAAACAAACAAACCGAAAAAAACACAATACTAAGCATTCAAGAGTTTTAGCAGGTATTGCAGTGCAGAGCGTGAACTATGGATCGGGCAAACTCCTCTGAATCATAAGTCTTTAACTATTGTGATTCCATGCATACAAACAAGAGGGGGAGTGGACTTAAACAAATGACCTTTCAGATTTCTTTGTGATTGATGATTTGGGCTGAATTAACTATGAACAGCCGCCATCTTGTCTGAGACAGAAAAAGTGACTCAAGATCCTCCCAATCCAGCGTGACATCACTGCAGCTCTCTCCATGACCCCATCCCGAGATTCCATGAGAGACAAAAAAAATGTTCCCCTGCAAACCGGTTCAGACTGGTTTGCAATTGGGAAAAGGCACAGGTTTAACCCCTGGAGAGACAGAGTGGCACAACAGGGAGGGAAAGACAGTGAGGCCACAAACAAAGTCAAAGGAGGAAATGATATGGAAGAAGTGGTTTGATTCATGTCACAGCCCTTTTGTTAATCTTAACAAGGTTGTTTGATTAAAAAAACAACTTTCTCTGGAGTAGACTCAAAAGTACAAAAAGGAACCGAATCAAAGCAAGGACAGAATCGAAAAGTAAGGTGGGAAAATGAAACTGCTATTCAGCATTTTCCACAAATCTGTTTACTTCAAGGCTGCAGTTTTTTTGTTTTTTTTTAACAATTCATACCAGTGAATTCTAGCAAGTTCCATTATAACTGTAAATAAAATGCAGGTGTCCTTACTCTCTTTGTGTGATGTAGACCCAAAGATGTAACAAAACATCTAAAACCCACGGGCCTGCGTTTGCAATTCAATTGTGAGGAACCAAAAAAGCACCCTGCCCTGGTACACAACAAGGACAGATGTGCCCTGCTGTACCATCCCTGGACACAAAGGCTATCTATCTTCTCGAGATGACAGCCTCCGGGTGGGTGGGTATGAATGTGTGCATGCCTGTATGCATCGCACGGTGATTTAGAAAGCATACTGAACTGTTAAGATAGTAGGAACAGTGACTGCACAATGCTCTGGCTGTGACTGTGTGATGGTGAACCCTGTCAGCTACAAAATGACTGTAACTCTTGGGACGGTGCAGCCGCAGCATCAGATGATCTGCACATCACTAGATACGGACGTGGTTGCTAGTTTCACATCTTAAGACACGTGGTGTCTGTGGTCCCGCAGGAGACTGACGGCATCATGAATCTAATGTTTCATACTCTGGATGCACTGCTGCTTAGCAACAAGAGGGCATAACCATGTAAAGTTGTTGTCCACGCATATGCTGAGAGTATTTTCTATGCAATCAAGACTGACTAATAGGGATGTGCGTACAAGATCTCATTGTTGCAGCACTCTCCATTTCACTCAGGCCTCAGTGAAGGAGCACCACTCACTGGAGCCCATTATGTATTCAGTCTCTATATGAGCCCATGAGCCTGTTGTGTGATAGAAGGTTAAAGGACATACAATGAGCTTGTGAGGAGGCGAACAACGACTGAAGGCTGGGACTCTGGAGAAAGCAGGTCACCTATATGGAAACCTATCGAAGCCCTGCTATTAGGGCTGAAACATTAATTGCATTTGTGATAATACTGTGTTATGCTAAAATGAGATTTTCTTATCGCAAAGGCAGTAATTTGACAGGTGCATCAAACGCCACAAAGCCATGTAGGATAGCTGCATGGCTAAAATGCCAGTGACCAGTGCTTTAACTTAGGACTGGGCGATTGTATGATCGTGATAAATTTCAGTTCGATCGCGGTGATCAGCTGTGAGCATATTTACTCATCAAACATAACGGAAATGTGTGTCACAACAGCCAATCAGAGTCGAGCTTTTTCTGCTCACTTCTGTAAGTTACCGGAGAAGTAAACAAAATGACCGAACGTGGAGCTAAACGCGAAGCTAAGGGCAGCAAAATAGATGTCAGCTGTGACTTTGAGTCATTCTCCGAAGATGTTCTTGTTGAGAAGTTATTCAACGTCGGTTGTGTGGCAGTCGTTTGGGTTTCTCCAAAGTGACGTCGCGCAATTAAGCCGATGTGGAAGGTATGTGAGCGAATTTGCTTTATTTATTTTGTTTGTTCATAAAATGTTGAACTAACTAAACTAGTCGCTTTAGTTTTTAGTACAGATGCTTTAAAACAGGCAGTGAAAAAATCGTGATAATCATCGAGATCGGATGATATGACAAAATATATTGTGATCATTTTTTTTGCCAAATCGCCCAGGCCTACTTTAACTTCAAGTGCGCAAAGCTGACAGGGATCTTTGACCCAACTCTTCTACCATCACTCTTCATGAGTTCATAGTGAAACATATGATGCTCGTTCATATAGTGTGCATATAGTCATAATGGATATGCGGTACAGAAATCAGCTATGTTGCTATACCTGAGCAATATAAAAACGCAGACAGAGTTGCAGTTGAGCTGAAACAGTGTCGTTTTTTTGCAACAATAACTGATCTGCGGTCAAGCCGTACAGCGGAGCCATATGAGTCTTATGGTTTATTAACTTGACGAAGACTTGAATCTCATAGCTCGCTGCCTTCAAACATCCTACTACCCGCACACAGATGACCACATGGGGGGAAATATAGCAGCCGGCCTGAGAGAGGCGCTTGCAACAGAAAAAAAACATGTCTGAATAATGACAGACAACCAATGAACATGGTGATGGCAGCACAGCTGAATGAAGGGACCAGACTCCAGTGTTTTGGGCACCAATTACATCTTGGCAACGGTATGTTAATTAGTCTAGTGACATATATGTGGGCATGTGCATGTGTGTGAGCAGAGAGAGATAGTGAGTGTTTCTGTGTGAGTATGTAAAAATTGAGGGGAGGGAGAGAATGTGAGTGTGTGTTTATTCCAAAAGTTGATAACCTTGTATCACATAAGTCAAATTGTATAAATGACACTGTTCTCATATTATTTTGTATTACAGGACATGCAGTCAAAGATGACAGAGTGTCAAGAGCGATAAAGCTGTGCAGGAAGGTGGTGGGGCACTTCTCCCACAGTCGGGAGAAAAAGGCAGAAATAACTGAAGCACAGAGGGTGCTCAAACTTTCTCATCTGTGAACGCCCAACAAGATGGGATGATAAGAAATGATGATTGCCAGAAAGAACAACTCATGTACAATAGATCTGATATCATGAAAATAATATGGACTGATTTATTCTTTATGTTTTTCCCATTTGTTATTTCTATATCCTTCAAAAACCAGATAACAAGATCAGCTGATGTGGATCACTTTAAACTCTGCAGTAGAGGAGTCAGTCCAGTGTGCAGAGAGGCTCAGCAGTGACATGGGACAAATGTCAGAGCTCCTTATGTCTGTAATACAACCAACAGCAGTCAAATCGTGTTTTAAATCACTGCTTATAGAGAGAGAGCCTTTCTAATGTTGTATGTCAAGATTTTTGTTTGATTTTTGCATCAAATTTTGGTTTTGTATCAAACTGGTAGTATTCTACTACTACTGCCTTGTGAAATAATCATACTGCACATATTGCACTGGTCTGTTGGATTGTTTTTGTTCTCTAGTTAGACACCATTTCCACAATGCTACTATTTTAGCCACAAGATAGTTTAAAGGGATATTCCGGCGTAAAACACACCGTAACACCGAGTTAGACGCCCGTCGAGAGATGAATGTTGCCGACCGCCTGCTTCTCTAGTTATACCAACTTTAGTAACATCTGCATAAAAGCAATACACAGCGGTCTCAGGTTCCACACGCTCAACCAAAAAGCCACTCTATAGCCACAATTAATGCTCAGAACAGCACCTAACTTCATCAACAGTACATATAGGGTCCCAGCCACAACACTAGCCACCAAACATTTTTTTTTAACTTTGCCTGATTTCTTTAGCAAAGAGACGAAACACAACTCACCTACTCTCCTCTGGCAGCCGCTTGTTAGTACAAAGACCTCAGACGAGTCTATTACAGACTACAGCGGATGACGCAGCTCAAGGAAGAACATTTATGATCATTACTTTATCATTTCCATGAAGTAATAATCATCATTTTGCACTGCAGATGAGTTAGTTCTTCTGCCTTAGCGTCTCGGTCTGATTGCATTTCCATGAAATAATGATCATAAATGTTCCTCCTCAATCTCCGTCCCCCTGCTGCAGTTGGTGATGGACTCGTCTGAAGTCTCTGTACAAACAAGCGGCCGCTGGACAACAGTAGGTGAGTTGCGTTTGGTCTCTTTGCTAAAGAAGTAAGGCTAAGTTAAAAAGATGTTTGGTGGCTGGTACTATAGCTTGGACCCTATATGTACTGTTGATGAAGTTAGGTGCTATTCTGAGCATTATGTGTGGCTACAGAGTGGCTTGTTGGTGTGGGTGTGCGAGTGGCTCCTGAGACTGTTGTGTATTGCTATGGTGCGGTTGTTACTAAAGTTGGTATAACTAGAGAAGCAAGTGGTCGGCAACTTTCATCTCTCGACGGGGTGTCTAACTTACGATGTGTTTGACCCTAAATTAATTTTACGTCAGAATATCACTTTAAGGGTTGTTACAGGATTGCTGCTAAACTGACAGGCTGTTCTGTATAAAACAATAACATTGGCTTCAGAAAAGCAGTTGTTATTGCTAAAAATTTGACAATGCAAATGTCTGTTCCTCATGCTCGGTGGCAGCTAAGGTAAATGATCTGCTCAAAATGCCCATCATTGATCAATAAATAAAACCTCCACACTGCAGAATACAGGTTAGATAGAAGAACAGCAGGGCTGTACACAGCACACAGAATCATGTTTTTACACAACACTCTTTACTTGAGCCTACGTCAACCAGTTGGGTTGGAAAAAGGCCTGTAAAAGGATTGCGAATCAATCAGCGCTGGTGGTCTTCTTGGCAGCTTTCATGCTCCCTCAGGTCCATCCATCTAGTGCGTAAAACCTAATGAGACTGACACTACCCCTAAACTAAGTCTGAGTTGTCCATCAGAATGTCCAGAGGGAGAAACATGGCTGAAGCGGGTACCCTGAACCCTTTCTGCCATGGATTAAGGCTGCATCTTGCCTATTACTGCGTGATATGCTTGATCAGAACTGCCCTCCAGCATCCATTCTCCATAGTATCAAAAGCAGAGTTGTGTGGTATCTAAAAGCATGTGACAATGTCATATGATGATGTACGGGAGTTTGTAGTTGCCCTGAACTGGCTAGGGTGACAACACTACTGCTCAAAGTTTAGTAACAGTTTCATCCCCTGATTTTTTAAAACTTTGCCTTTAACTGCTTACTGGGGGGAAAGCATCTGCTGACAGCAGGATATGTACAGATTAGGGTTAGGGTGGGAATCACTAGTGACCCCATGATACAATATTATCACAATACTTGGGCCGCGATACAATATCATCATGGTACTTGGGCTACGATACGATATTATCACGATACTTGGGCCACTATACAATACTATCACGATACTTGGGCCACGATACGACATTATCACGATACTTGGGCCACGATTCAATATTATCACGATACTTAGGCCACGATATGATCTAATTGTGATTTTTAACAATTTGCAATACAAGGTGTACTGCAATGCAATATATTGCAATATATACAATTTTTTCAAGTGTTTAGCTGATTTAGCATTTGTCTTTCTTTTCTGCTGTATTTTATTTTCATGTAGCACATCTTGTAAACTTACTTTCTCCTGCTCTATGCCCACAGTTGGTTTTATTTTTCCATTATCATAGATTTGGCTTCATATGAACAATTAATTGGAAAAATCGATATTTGGTAAAAGAGATGATACGATATATCACTAGACAAAATATCACGATGCTATGCTGTATCGATTTTTCTCCCACCCCCAGTGCAGAAGTCACCTGCTCAAACATGAAGTTGCTTGTGCGGGTAGATGCACTTTTTTAAAACTATTACAGACATAAATGTATATAGAACATGGGGAAAAAAAACAAAAAAACATCAAACATCATTTTAATTTAGGGTTTAACCGATTGCTCACAACTGGTCCAAGCATTTTAAAACCAAAACACAACATGATGAAAATGAACAGTTTTCCTACTAATAAGACTGAGGCTGTATGATGGTACTATTCTGATCCTACTCTTAGGTTACATAACACAGACAGTGTAAGAAATCTGTGTAAAACCTGAATTATTAAAATGAAAAGCAGAGTATGTGTGTGGTTACAGATATAGACTTATTTTCATGATAGTTCTGATTGTCTTCTACTAATATGAGCTCTTACAAAGGCAAAAGTCCAATTTGACATGTCAGGTTGGCTACAAAAATTAGTTGTAGTATAAACTCTCATGGCCCCTTCATCTTCATTTATTTCTTTTTCTCTTTATCTATCAGAAGCAGGCGAATATCCCATAAATTCACGACCTTTAATGTCTCTGATGATCATTTCTCTAGTTACCTGGCTGATCGTTACACTGGTTGACTGGAGCAGCAACACTAGCAGAGCAATACAGGTTACGACAGCCAACGGTACACGAAATAAACACACTTAGTGCCCTGAAATAGACACTTGGTGCAGCTTAATGTGTGTGCTGCTCACATGCGACATGTTACGCCTCCTGTCCTCCTTAGTAAAAGACACTAGCAAACATCACTCCTGACCACCTGAGTCTGTCTCTGCTACATGCACTGTCAGTAACCTAAAACAAAAGGTTCATAGTGATGACACAGAGTTACACCATTTTGGTGACCTGCAAGTTTAAAGGCTTTGGAGAAAATATTTAAGGCTTAGGCCCAAGTAGCCACACCCTGCTCCATTAATAGTTCACAATGTCTTGATCTGATCTGAATTTTGTCATGGGGCAGGAGGACTGGCATTTAAAACCAATCACCTCACCAGAACCATTTGCATCAGCTGTCGCTAAGCAAAATTTGAGGCACGATGCGAGCTCAAGTAACTCGGTGTGAACAAATGTTCTTGATTTCTTACAGCTTACTGTATAAAAAGATTAGAAATGGGACAACGATGCAGAACTCCGGCCACTACCTAAAGTTTCTGGCACCGATCGGTAACTTTCCAGGAACACATAGTTCAAAACGGCAAAAACATCAACCAAACGCGGAACAGTCTGTAATTTTAGCATAATAGGTCAACAGTCACTTCCTATGTATGCCATATGATCGTTGCACAAGGCAGTAGCTATATAGTTTATTTAATACTACCAATTTGATATGACGTCTAGAAACTAAACATCTTTATCTTAAGTCTCCATGTGAATCAGAAACTGGAGCTCACTACCTACTGCAGCAACGACAATCACACAGGCTGCCTTAATGCTGAATTCAATACTGTGACTTTCCCACCAATTCACACTCAGTTTCAATAGTTTTTTTTTCCTCCTGTGATCAGTTTTGCTCTGTGGACTCAAACAGCAGTTACCTGTGTTCACTCATGTTTGTGTGGCCTTTACAGTGAAGAGCAGGAGGGGCTGAACTAGCAGAAAGTGAACTTGCTCACATTGTCCCATGAGAAAAAAATATACATGTTAAGCCTCTTGTGGGTTCACAGAAGATCTAAACAAAATAGACCCTTTGTCATGAGCAGAAAGTAGAGGATCATGGGAGAGGAGACGGCACATTGTTTGATTATTTTTCTACATATTTTGACCTGTCGTAAATCTAACAGCCCACTGAAATTAACATACCTCAACTGGTGCTGATTTTGGGACCTTGCATCATTCTGTTTTTTATACAAACGTTTTTATCATCATTGAAAATGTTATTAAAAATTAATCTGAGCAGGTTTACAGCCGTATCTGTGCATGCAGCGCTTGAGACGATGAGGTTCTTTCAATTCCTCAGAGGGAAAATAAAAAAAAAAACGTTTTCTACTGTAAACTGTTCAATCAAAATAACACAGTCAGTACTTAACCTTATTTGCAAAGATTGACAGTGTCGAGCTTTTTAATGGCAAAAGTTAAATTAAACTCTCAAGGCCTCACAGGTTGCATGTCAATAGTACTATGCATTTTGTGTCAAACCAAATTAAAATGTCACTTAACTATTTGAAGTTTCAGAAACCGCCCATGAGCCAAATGTACAGGTGTTACTAATCATGTCAGCAGGCTACCCCTGAAGTCTGGGGAGGACTAGTGTAAAACTCCCCATAGGCCTGTCACCAAGATGTAAGTGATGTCTCAAGCTTGGCATATTGTGACTGTTCAGATGTTTCACCCTAGCAGGGGACACACGTTTCACACATACAGGATCTATATATCAATGAGAGCAACAGAACAGCACACTTAAAACATGTAAAAACTGTTCAGTGAAGATCACTGGACGTGATGTAAGAATCAAATTACCTCACAACAACTTCACATTACATTAAAATGTAAGAGACTTTTTGTATACACTTCTGCAATTTCTTATACTTAAAATGCATCATCCTTCCTCACATAAAAAAACAATAAAATACTGCATTTTTTGTTGAGTAAGACCTTTAAAGCTGTTTCCTATCTGTAGATTGTGGTTTCAGACCACATTAGTGCAGCAGTGCATCACTTATTTTAATCTAAAACTGAGGTAAGCACATTTTTTGTATTTGTTTGATTCCCAGATCAAAACATTAGGGGAAAAAAAACAATTTATATTGTAAATACGGACTTAGACACTTTTTTTTAAAATATAACATAATGGAAATCTAAACATGCAAATACAATTGCAATTAATCTGGGTTCATCCCTGCAACTCTGTGATAAACCACAACTGAGAACTGATTGTTAGTGGGCCCTTGTAATATGTGCATTTATTCTAAACCAGCAGCTTTATAGCTACCATGAATACTTGTGAGAATGAAATACCTGCAAACATCAAATGATACCACCCACTTGGTTTGCCCCTTGATGGCAAAGATCAGAAATTGAGTGAAAAACGTCTGAAGCCATTTGGAACAAGGAACTTTGTTTAAAAAATATATTATATATCACTTGATGTTTTCTGCATCTGATCATGACACCTTCAACCAGCTAGTGCTTGACAGTTTTTAGGTTATTTTACAGCTTAACCTTGGACCATGAGTTCTATTGATGACTTTCAAAACGTTTATTTTCTTCTGCATTTGTCACTCTGAAAAGATTAGCCAATCCACTTTCTATTAATGCCTAATACCGAGCAATTTTGTAGACACTATTGCTATGTTATGTTGTCTAAAATGAATGCGGATGAAATGATCAAACCACAGGAAGACGACAAGCATTCTGAAACAGAATTAAGGTTACCTCGAAGGAGCTGGAAAATGACATGAAGCTAAGAAAGGGAGGAAGGCTGTCAGTGATTGGTGATCTGTGTCTGCTACTCTCAGGAGACTATGGAGGAGGAGGAGGAGGAGTGGATGCGTGTCCCTCTCCTTAATAAGGCCTGAGGGCAGAGCGGATCTTAGACGGGGAAAGAAAAACAGGGGATGAGGGATTCAGACGCATATGAGATAGGACATTTTGACTACGCACCCTAATAAACAAATGTGTACCTAAAAAGGTGCACATGAAAGGCGCATTTCTCTGTGTAGGCTGTATTAGCCAACGTCAGTATCCATGCCCATAAAGTAAACAGCACAGACACAGTCTCTCATGTCTTTCTTTGTGCGAGTGTGGACAAGACAATGCACTTGAAAGAAAATGGAAATCTTGTGACCTGGACTGACACTACAGGTCTGATTCTCGGTCCGTCTCCTTTTGTGTCCAGCAGCAGTTCATTGAGAGCAGATCAATGGCAAAGGCTCATACCCTCAGGTAGCGTGCTAGCCTCTCATCTCCAGCTCTGTAATGATCTCCCCACTGGGACCGGACTCAGCCAGCAAACACATTAACAGCCATTTTAAAAAAAACGGAGACTATTCGGCTGTGTCCTTAGGGTTCACAGGAAGTGGAAACAACAATTATACTGACCAATACAAGCAATACAAGAAAGAATCATCATTGCCCGATAAAAGACAACTGCTTCTCTCCTGTGGCTCCTGTTTTATTAAGTTATTACTTTAAGACACCAGATTTATTACCAGGCAATGATTCTCTCAAATATGGAGTGATAAGTGACCTCTGACGACCATGAAGGGTTTCTCCTTCTGTCACTTCCTCCATACAAAATTATGTCCTTCAATTATAAAACTATTACAGGCTATCAAAGAGTAGGGTTCCTCTTCTGAAAAGATTAGACTACCTATACTAATTTGTGCTCACCAGGCTAAGAGTGGGGGCAGGGACCCAGCTGAGGAGGTGCCATGGTTGGGGGGGAGGGAGAAGGGTGCAGAGCGCATGTGGTTAGCTGAGCCATAATCTAACTGTACCCAAGTGAAAAATACTCTTCCTTGTCTTCTCTCTCTCTCTTGCTCACTCTTCCTCCGTCCCTCAACCCCTCCCTGCCTCAACACCCCCCCCTCCCTCTTCCTCCTTCTCCTCAGTTGTTCTGCTGTAGGCTCGGCCAGCCCAGTGTGTGTTTGTGTGTGTGTGTGTGTGCCCCTGCTGGTTGTGTCCCGAACGCCAAGGGTTAAGCCCCTGCCATTTTAACGCCACTGACAGATCAGACCATTAGGGTGTTACCTAACAAAATGGAAGCCTTTAACCCTGAATCTGCCAGACTGCCTCTGCGTGAGTGTGTGTGTTCATATGTGTGTGTGTGTGTGTGAGCAAGCGAGTGAGTGAGAGCCGGAGCCACAGAGTGTACGTATGTGTGCGCATGTCTCCACCTGGATTCTCCCTCGGCAACGTGACAACGACAACAGCAGTGAGTCGAAAAGTGCAAGTCAGACTTTTGTCCATTAACACATCAGAATGCGAAAACATGTATAGCCATTAAAACAAGTCAGACCGCGGCTGGATCACACTTACACAGATGCAAGATGATGTACTCTTCAAGTGTAGAAAGCACAGTCTGATCACAGCCAACACATCTTCCGAGTACCGTCAAGTTTGTGAAGACCATCTTTTCATTCATTTACACCATTAAAATCAAAAGTTACATCTACAAGTGATGACGCGTCTTCATATCTCAAGTAGAAGTTTCATAAAGGGTCAAATCACTGTGTACATTTTCAACCACAAGGGTTTAAAATCCGTAATGAAAAGGGAAAGCTAAATGTTTTTAAAAAACCCACACAAGAATAATCTCCAATTTCAGCCAAATTGCTTCCAAATGGTTCTTCCATAATCCCGTAAAACCAGAAGCCCGTACCCTCACATGCAGAACGGAGGGCCAGGACACACGCAGACTGGGCTATCAGATTACATTTCGCAGAAATGGATGGCAGCAGGAAGTGACCAGAGTGCGAGAAAGAAAAGGAGACTTATGGAGTGTAAAAGAAACGCGGCAAACCAGACAAGAGGCGCTGAGAACATCGTCAGAGCACATAGCAGGAGTGTGAAACAGAGTTGAAGTAGGTCAGTGGTCTCGTGTCTTTGAGAGAAAGCTGACATCAATATTTTTGGACGAGTCCTTAAAATGTCAGAAAAGACTCGAGTTGGGGGTGAAAACCAGATTCCAGACCTGACCTTATGATTCCATGCCAGCAGTTCTGTACACCATGTCTCCTATCTTGACAGCATGACATAACCAATCACCACGGTTAATGTCCTGAGGAATCTCTCATTATAAGTTTAAGACTAGCTGTAACCTGCTCAACTTGTTTAGGTGACTTTTGGAAAGTATTCGGGGACAAGAACGAAACATCCATGAGGTGTTGATTTTTTACAGGCTACCTGTTGAGAAGAATAAGTGTCCAAAGATGATTTCCACTGTTGTTACCAGTCTGTGTGATGTAGGGTTCCCCCAATACCAGAATTTTGAACTTCCGTACAGTATTAGTAAAAATAAACAAGCTTCAATGTCTATTTAATATCTTCATCACAGCAACAATAGATGATGAACTCCTGGCCAGCCCAAATGATTATTTATCATCTGTTTCAAATTGATCTCAGGGCTGGTTCAGAAAAAGTCACTGGAGGAATAAACAAACATCTGACCCACTGTCAACAAAAGTTATTTTTCTGCTGTGACCTGCTATTCAAAATGCAGATGAGGTATAACAACAGTGTGCTCTCTGAGTTATTGTGTAGTGCTGTGAAGTAGGGCTGGGCGATATGGTCTCAAATCAATATCACAATATATTGAGCAGTTCACCTCGATAACGATAACTGGTCGATAACTACTCCAGAAGCTGCTCACCACCTCCCACATTGAATTCATCTACTTCAGCTGCTACAACTTTTGAACCGTCTCCCATCTCCTCACCTGTCTTTCCCTCTTTGTTACAGACTGGATGGGGGGAGTCGCATCTCTGACGTAGGACAGCATCTTAAAGTGACATGAGACCATAGCCTACCTACACACTACACATACATCCAAAACCATCTTTTATTTTTTTGACACTATATTGATTTGGGCAAAATGACGTTGGTTATTGTCATAAATTTCGGAATCAGTAAATTTTCGGTTTATCGCCCAGCCCTACTGTGAAGCTTTCACAATCTTGGATGACTGGACAACTTACAGGGACCAGGTGACAATGTTGAGCATCCTCTTTGCTCTTTATCTGCCTGGTATAGAGTTATTTGTGGTTACAATTTGATGGCAAATGTCACTTTTTCTGTGTCATTATTCCTTTTTGGTGACAGTTTGAAGAAATGTTATCCTACACCTGGTGGAGTAAAGAAAAAAAAAATCACAAACGACATTTGAACTCTAAAGATCAAGGATCACAATAGAATTTATGGGAAGGTAAGTTTTTATCAGCCGCATCTGATATCACTGGACATTGAACCTCTACCAATCTGTATAAGTTGGACTGTATTCTTGTTTTACAAAATCAAAGAGTTGTTATGCCCTGTAAAAAGGCCACTGTTCGTTTATTGAATTGTTCATCACATGCAATATGCTACTTGAAGTCTTGTTAATGTTCAAGTGTATAATTTGGTGCAAATAAAAGAAGACTGTCATGACAGCTGTGTTGTAAAGTGGTTATGTATAAACTGGTGAAATTTAAAATTATTCTGGAGCCTATAGGTAAAACTGACACTGAACTAGACCTTACCAAATGCTTAGTGCTAATGTCATTTGTTTACTGTACTTCACCCCCAAAAACAAAAAAGTCAATGAAGATAAATGTAGTTGGTTGCGACTTCCAGACAAACTTCTTCAACAAATTCAGCCTTACAATGTCTCTCTCTTCACAAAATTTTAACGTAGAACTATTGTGCATAATATAAGGTATGCTCTACTCTGGCTCTGACTTTATGTGTTTTTTATTCATTTAAGACGGTTTCCTCACCTGATCCAGAAAAGTTTCAGCACAGAAACGGCAAAGGTGATTGGTTCTGCATCAGTGCTAGAACTTTATTCAAATTGTTAAGTAGTGAACCATTTGTTGTTTCTCATTTTTGAATCATTATAACTTATATTTTTAAACACTTACACGTTATTAGATCATAATGTGGACACATAAAGATGCTGTATATCAATACTGTCCTCCTCACTATAGTTACAGATAAGCGAATGTTTAAGAATTAGATGAGTTGTGGAAGACGTTAATGGAAGTTGTGTCATTTACAACGGGATCCACTGTATTAAAGTCACTACCAAAGAAGAAACTACAAATTTTCTTTATAGGAACTTTTCCAAGTTTAAAGTCCAAACCCCTTTTTTTTACTGCTGTATCGTCAAACCAGAGTACAGTCCTGGTCTCTGTAGTTCTTATTCATAGTTTATTACTTCCTAACACCCTTCATGCCACCCATATGAAACTAAACTTCAACTCTGGAGTCATGGATATTAAAACTATGATCAGATTTTTTCCTGCTAAAGCTTCAAAACATCATGCTGGTAATGGACTCATGCAACAGATATGGGACAGTGGGGATGACAGTGAGCTTCAGGAATGATAATCAGGTCATTTTTTTCCTATGTAGAGTGACGTAGTACAAGACAATCAATGCAGTGTGTGGAGCACCTCACAGCACTGTGGCACAAAGACTACCATGTCAGAAGCATTAATGCTCATCCCACAGAGGACACTCAAAATTCAACCCCATTTCTCATCCTATCCTCAGCGACCTCCCAGTCTACTGCTGTGGAGTTCAATTTCTAATATGGTAAACTTCTTTGAGTAAAACAGATGCTAACACTGGTGAAAACTGGTGAAACCTTGAAAATGTCCTTTTTTATTGAGTTAATGCCATGTCTAAAACTACACAGGTGAAATACACCCACACATGATGTGAGTGAAACAGCCATGAGCCAGGGAGTAAGGCAGGCCAGTCTGTCCCCCATGTTGGACACGAGCACCGATGCTGCATCCAAGGTGCTGGTCGGCCTGTTTGTTGCACTCGGAGTTCAAGAGTTGCTGTGTCAGCAATGGCCCCACTGAGAAAACAATTGTTATTTGCAGAGCCGTAACCTGTGAATGTGCTGAAAGTTTTCTAGATCAAAGCCCCCCCTCAGGTGTTATTGCTCATGAGGACTGTCACTTGTGCACTGACATGTGAAGTGGAGCTTCACAGGGGCATGATTTGCATAGACATTATCCACCCTAACATGGAGTTGTTGTTTTTTTTCTCCTCCATGTTGTGCTGAGTACTAGTAACAGCTCTAAAAATACAAGGATGAGTATGGGTGCAGAAATCAATGCAACAATTGAGCATAACTCCTGACACTACTATACGGTTGTAAAAGTGACGCAAGGAAGCATCAAGCTCTTGGAAAACCAACATTGTGCTTCAATGTTGTGTTGAACCAATACAATACATCCAGATAGCTTGTTGAGTTTTGTCATATTTCAGGCAGTTTCTACACGGACCTCATCCATTTATTTACTGAAAAAAATCTCAAATACAGGATGCACTTGTGTGAAAAAAGACTGCTCAGGTATTTCCACTACACGCCAAAATAAAAGCCGTCATGTCTTTTGAATAATAATCTTTTTTTTCCAAACGTTTTAAATGTAAGTTATATTGTATGAATGGATCTATACAAACATAAAGTGGAATTGTACTCATGAAAGGTGACGCTGCTCTGCGAATAACTTAATTCTGAAAAAAAAACAACAACACTTGAGTCTCAACTTCCTGTCCAGCTCGACTGCGGCTCGCAGGCAGAGCCCTCCCCCACAGTTTCCAAAAATCCTGGAGGAAGCCCTGCTGTGTGTGTTTGTGGGGGTTCCTTGAAGGAAAAAAAAGTGTGAACTGTTCCTGCATGAAGACCGACCCTTAGGTCCCACAGGAAGCATGCGTGCCGTGTCTCATCAACACCACATTTGAAGCGTAGTACAACAAAGTGCAGACCACAGCAGCTGGACTCACGAGATCACGAAAGCCCACCGTACAACTCCACAAGATTTTGTAGGATTATCAAGATTTTATGATAACACCATATAAAGAGAGAACAACATTGACAGGTTGCAGTGTCTCCCTGTGTGCTTCTACTTTTGCTGAGTACGCCAAGAAATTATGTTTTTTTTTTTTGTTGTTTTTGTTTTCTCCTCAAGGATAAAAAGATTTAAAGTTCATAAATATGTTCTACTTGTGCTACTACACACAGACAAAGTTAACAGTTAGAGTCATGTTGGAGCTTCTTCTGTTCAACTAAACACGTGTTGGTCTATTGAAAATAGACCCTGCGTGTATCTTTAGTGGAGTGGAGTGGCTAGACATTTATGGAACTGAGCTGAGATGCACTGCGGCGCTCGCTCTGGAAACATGAGTGTTTTCTTGAATGAGCCAGAATCAGCTTTGGAGTGTGTGGTTCCTGTGGAACCTGGAATGTAGAGGTGTAGCTTCTTCTAGCACCATCTATTATCCCAACCCTGTCAGTCAATAATACAGTAGTTGTGCACAGCCAAACGCATTGATAGTTGCAAGGTACGAACCACCTGCACACCACTGATTCAGACTTGTACCTCCTTTCTAATCCAACTGCAATAAGTTTATTCACTTTTTATGTACTTCTTTTAAAATCCTTGACTATGACCAATGAAAGAGAAAAGCAGTATAAAAGACTGGTCTGCCTCGCTTTGTAAACAGTAACTTTTCTTGATTGAAGCTGTTTGCCCCGTCCTCTGGATAAAATACTGCAACAAAATAAAACACCTCTCTCTGCACTTTGGTTGCACAGGATGAGTTGCCCTTTTCTGATTCCACAAAAGACATAAAAGGTGCGTATTATTCCGTAAATTCATTTGCCTTTTTTAAATGACTCATTGCTTTTTTCCAATCTTCTCTGAACCGGAGCGAATTTGTCATTTCTTCTTACGCTCTTGAAAATAACGCCTTCAAACTCATCCAGGCGAGCCTTTACAACAACAAATACTAGGTCTAAATATTCACAGAAAGGTAGATCCATAGCAGGCCACATAAAACATCTAGTCAGCAGGTGACCATTTACTGAAGAAGAACTACAAGTCTTCTTAAATGATGCATGTCCAGTCTGACCCTGGAGGCAGTATTACACAGGTTAACACCAACAGCAGTAGTACAGAAGTACTAACACCAAAACTACCTCTAAGTGGGAATAGTACTGCATATGGGTATCACACTAAGTGAGGCTTAACCCCTAGTCTTTGTAGTTCTCCCGAACTGCTGCTTAATCTTGAGGTTGGCGTCATTAAACAAAATGACCAACATGTCATTTTTTTTCTTTTATGTGCACTTTTTCCTCTAATTGTCAGGTTGGTCGCACTGTAAACACACGCGCTTGAGTCAATATGAAGTCCAACAGGGTAAACGAGAATCAGCCAGTTAAACATCGGAGGATTCCTCTCTTCCAGCTCCTAGACTTGCCTGGGGCCTTTGGGTGGGACTCTGTGGACAATATGACTACTCCTGTCCTCTGGCATCTGATGCAATAAACAAGGAAACTGAGTGAGCAGCAGACTGCTCCCAAAACAAGAACAAAAACACGGAGCAGATCCTGCAGTTACCGTGTATATCTATTAAGCTGAGGCCCCCGCTGTCTTAAATCACATCTCTGATGACTAACTGAATGAACGACACACCCTGCCGTACCTGAATGATCTCCTCAAACCTCAAATACCAGCCCATGTTCTCAGGAACACAGAGCGCTGGTCTTCATTTGGAGTTAAAAATAAGTCTTTCTCTGGTAGAACGTCCCTGATGACAACAGGAAGTCCTAAACTCAGACAGTCTGAAGCTCACATGTGATCTCTTTCAAGTTTCAAGACAATTTCAGGGCATTCAGAGCGTCAAATTTTCCACACTTGTCTTTGAAACATCCCTCTCTCAGACGACTCTAAACGCACAGTTTGGTTAAGGTGAAAGAAGGCGCCCGAGTACAGCAGAGGGAGCAGAAGGAGTCTTTGTACGGTGACTGTTTCTGGGTTGATATCATGACATTATTTGTAACCAATGTAATAGCAGACACATTATTAGACAAACGAGGCATGGAGTTGAGAGTAGGGAGTAGTGAAAATCTGCTCAACGTGTACAAAACCGACCACCAACTTGCCTGCTCACTATGAATGTTTCAGACGATTACCTCCTTGGTTCACATACCCGCTCATCCCTGGTTTTATACAGACACAACAGGACAGAAGAGCGGTTTTTGGCAGCAACTTTTCGACTGCACTGGACTGATTTGGATACAGCGCTGACGCCACATTGTTGTAATGCAGTTAAAAATGACAAATTCACCGAATGTGTTCTCAGAAATGGTGACAAAAACACCTTCGGGCTGACAAGAGCCTGAGGCGGTGCGGAAATCTGGCTGAGGCAGCGTCATAGGTTGATATGCAAGAAAGAGCCCTATAATATACATTTTATAGTTCATATACGTTCTTTCAGATCTTTGATTTGAGAAACAGCTCTCGTGGCATGAAGGACCTTTCTGATCTCAGGAGACAGCTATCACTTATATGAGAAATGGTTTTACACTCCACTACTGCAAGTGCATGAGGATCTACCTCTTTTTTCTTCCTGTTTCCTCCAGTCTTCTCTTTCCCCCTGAGGTTTCTCCATGTTGGACCCTTGGCCTCACTTCTACCCCTGGATGGTGGTGCCAAACGCTAGACGACTGGATGTGGATGCTTGTCTTTCAGGAGATCCAGTCTCTTTTTTCATGTCTCTTTCCCACTCTCCCCTTGTGCGTGTATTGTCCGTGTCTCTTTCTCATTTCCTTTCTCCTGTTTGAGTTGATGTTTGTTTCTGTGGTCTGTACTTTTCCAGGTCTCAATCATACAGAGGAAGGAAGTGTGACCTTTACTAGCTTGTGTCCTCAGGGGTCCAGATCCTTTAATTCATTTCAAATCTCTTTAACTTTGTCAAACTGATTGCCTGTACTGATATTTTAAGCTGGTTTTATTGTGCAGGACATCATCTATTGCATTAATAAATGTCCTATGTCAGGGATCTTTTATGTGTTTCATCTATTATTTTTATCATTCAAATCTTTGAGGGTATTTTGTCCTTACTCAAATAGGGGAGGTCAATATAGGGTCTGACTACAAAGTCCTACAAGGTCAATTTAAGATACTAGGCTATGACTTTAACAACATCAATGTCAGTCTGTCAAGCATCCAATCACTTTCAAGCCTTTAGGAAACTGAGTGAATAAGAAATGTAAAATAACATAGTATTTTCGCTCTGTGATGCAAGCGGACTATTTCAGAGTGAACTTCTTTGAATAAACTCGACTGACTCTCCCTCACAGCATCCTTCCTCACCATCTCATTTGATAGACAAGTGCTTTCAGCTGCCTGAGCCTCAGAATCCCACCGATGACGTCCACTATGAGATAATCATTATCTTTAAAATGCATACATACGGATCCTTCATCTCTCATGCACATCCACACTATCTAGCTGTATGACTTTGTAGAGTTCTTAGGTTGAACGGCACTTCCTTTTAACTTCTCAAAATGACAGGGCTCACGCTCAGCCAGACGCTGTGTGTGCTAAGTTTAAGTGTGCCTTACAGTGAGCAACACTGATACTGTTATTACGACACCATGAGAGATTTAGATGGATGAAAACAATAAGAGAAGAGTCATAACATACTGCAGGGAGCTATCAGAAGTTTAAGGTATCAGTGCTGGTTGTATCAGCTTATCATTACAATAGGTAAGAAGCAAAACCTGAAGTGGGGAATGTTGGATTAGCCTGTTTTTGTATTGACCAGATGTGATCTAACCAACATTTATACATTGTAAGGCCCGACCGATTTATCGGCGAGCCAATTAAATTTGCCAATTTTTGCATGTTTAAGACTAATCGGCCAAAAATTGCAGATTTTCGCCGATATGTTCAGAAATAATATGCGAAGAATAAGATTTGGTTTCACTTTGAAAATGTTCCGCAATTTGAAAAGTTCCCCGACTTATCCTGTAGATGGCCCATCGACCTCATGACAATCTTCATCCACTAACTACCTCACAGCACAGCAGAGTGACGAATCTGAAGCAGGCAGCTCAGGGACGCACGGAGGAGAGTGGTCCGCCTTATTGTGAAATACACAATAAGTCAACAAGTTTCAGTTCAACCCACTTCACGATGTTCCCCGCTGTGCTGGTCTCGGTCACACCGAGTTAACGGTGAAGCACCATGTAATATGCAAGTCAAGGTTAGCGTTAGCCACCTGCTATTAGCCTTGCTATACTGTTAGCCGTGTCAGTAACGGTAGAATAAACAAAACAACAGTACAGATTACGTGATCGAGCTACTTCTCTTACCGAGGCAGCTGCATGTCTCCAGATGTGAGTTAAGACGCGGAGGCACAGAATATCACCCAATAAAATGTTTAGTCAACGCCCCTTTTTCTCCACGACAAAGACGTTGACGAGACTAGACGAAAACGTTACTGGTGGACGACGAACAGAGTAGAAAAATTCATGAGCGTTTCAGTCAAACACTCAACATATATTCTGCAGTGTTGTTTTTGTTGACGATGACGAAATATATTCGTCATCGTCAACAAAACAACACTGTTGAAAATGCTTTTCTTGTCTGAGTTTAATCTGTCAGTCTTGCTGTCAACATGAAGAGCAGTAGCCTACAGTATATAGTATACTGTAGTTTAAAGTATACTGTAGATATCTACAATATATACATATTTTTTATAAAAAAAATTTCCCCACTAATAATCCGTATTGGCATCGTCCCCAAAAAATCCATATCGGTCGGGCCCTAAAAAATAACAACCAAGCATGACTTATGATTACATGTACAAATACTTGAATGTGGCCCTGTATGAACCCAACTCAATGTAAAGATTGAGCAGCACAACTTGTACCTTAGCGCACGTGCAAAAGGAGTCGGGATTACAGTTCCTTTGAAGAAGGGTGATATTGAACACTAAACTACAGCAAAAAAAGTAGAACAAACCCTGATGAAACCAAAAGGTGTGAACGTAGTGGGAGATGATAAATAAAGATTTAACAAAAAAAAGTTGATGCAGCAGAATAAGAGTGGATCTTAAGTAATGCTTGTCTGGTTACATCACTCTCAGGAGAATTTTTCATAAGAGGCACCCCTCCTCGGGCAAATCGAAGGCCCATCATAAAATGCAAAGCGACATGTGTCCCCCGTCACTAGCCAAGGGTGCCAACTGTCTGCTTGTTCTGAAAAGGAGGACACTTGCTCAAGAGAGGAAGGGATGTACCAAGTGCTGCTTAGTTTAAAAAAAAAAAAAAACACCTCAAAGACAGGTGGATGCTAAAATGATTTTAGGTATCCACTAGAAACAAAATGACCCATGATTCACAGCGTCTAGAAATTCATTGGACCTGTGCCCCAACAGAGTTGCTGCTACAAGTCTTAATAATTCAGACATACCTCACAAATAATTGATCTCATAATTAACATCAAATCATTGAGATCAGAGGAAGCCTTTTAATGCTCGGCACGATCAGAAAAATTAACAGCATAGTGGTAATGGTGCTTTAAGACTTAGGGGGAACAAGGTCTTTTTACCCACATATACCACGCAAAATTTGACCTAAGGTGCAAATCGTGATATTTTATTACAAAGCCAACGTGGTTCCGAACAGTCTGGTGTTGAGTGATCGCAACTAGCCCGTCGTGGACAGGGAGACACACACCCAGACGGAGGCACCACCGTCCACCATTACGCCTCCATAAAAAGGCTTTTCACGGTTGAGCTAATCTGACAAAGTTCTGAGATCAATGGCTCACGGAGCAATAATCAGACCCATCCACGACCACAAACAACAGCCGGCTCACTCTTTACCGGTATAAATGCTCCTCATGATGTTCCTAAACTTTAGAGAGACAACTTTAACCAATAAAAAAAGCTACCTTTTTCCCCTCAACTAACCCATCAACAACAACAAGCTATCTCATGCTAACGTTAACTTGGCTTGCCAACAACAACCTGTCCATCTGCCCGGCTACAAAACCAGAGGCTAACTAACGCGAGCTAACACACAATAATGACCATGACCATTAATAAAGGGAAAAGTTAAAGAAGTGACCGCTGGAGTGTACACTCCTTTAACTCTGAGCACAGAGGTTGTGGTTCTGTTTCTTGGATGTGTGTGTGCGTCCAAATAGCGATACACGACAGACAATGAAATCGACCCCGTATCAGTGAGCTGCTGGTGTTAAAAGGCTAGCTAGCAGCGATGTTAGCCCGCTAAAGCAGCTACCTCCCTGGACACTCGTCAGCTCAGACAGACACTCTGAATATTCACCAATAATCACACTTTTATTGCAAACTAAACTCTCAATATGTCCCCAACTTTAGCATCCTCTTTTGAGTTTCGAAAAAACAAAAACTAACATTATATCCTACTATGGTGCATCTTTATACAAGTTTGCCGGAGAAGTTTGTTTTAATATTGCTCCACTTTTTGAGGCGGATTTGTTCTTGGCAACCCGCACTCAATAGATGTGTGCGTGTGTGTGTGTGGCAGAGCGACACACAAACTGTTACCTTTCACGTTAGCTGAGATGAAGCTATGCTAGCTAGCTTAACTTACGTTAGCCGTGCTAACGCCGAAAGAGAAACTTCCCACCGTCGTCATAATTTAATTGAAGATTGAATATTGAACGCCTTTGTAATATCGTCATGAAATAAAGAACTTACGGAGTCTAGGAGGAGCCTGGCTGAGTTCCTCCGCAGTCTTCAGATGTTTGCTGATGGTATTTAACTGGCTTCGGTGTAAAAATCCCGGGGATCCCCTCTCTTCTGTCCGCTGCCACTCCGGTTGCCAGATAATGTAATGAGCCACCACAGGCGGCGTCATGCTGCGTTCATACACACCTCGGAAATGTTAAGTTTCCAACAGACGAGATAAAAGGACGTTGCTGCGTTTGGGACTTCAACCCTACATTGAGGGTATAAAAACAAACCAACTCTTAAAGGAGAACCCAAAATGCATTTATCCACTTTGACCCTGCAAAAAAAGTATTACCTCAGATTATAACTTAATATGAAAGCAAATTAATCCAACTAGATTCAATTTTGGTACAGAATTTTCCAGTTTTTGTTCACACCATTGACCATGCAGTTCATGGTTCACACATGCAATGTCTAATATATGAATATTGAGCAATTAACACAATGATAATCGTCTTTATATCTACGCGGATTGCCGTTTTTAGATTGCTGACTCTACCACAAACAAAACATTTACATGGAAATCCAAAAATAAGTAAGTGAATGGCCCTTTAATTGTTACCTACAGGGTTTTAAACACGCCTTACTATCGTGTTTGATGTGTGTAAAAAGATTTTTTGAATGAGGCATTCATATTATGTATTTGCATATTGCTATTGTATGCTGTCCACCATAAGTTCCCCTCTTGGTGTTAATAACAAACAATCAATTAATCAATCACTCTTTATTTATATAGCACTTTTCATACACAACATGTAGCATAAAGTGCTTTACACAGAAGAAGGAATAAAAGAAACAAAGAATACCTAAATCTACCCCAACCCAATATTAAAAGAATACTCAAATCTACCCCAGCCCAACCCCTCATTCCAACAGAAACAGTATTAAAATGCATAAACTTAAAAGAGCTTGATTTTGTGGAAACAGGAATGTGTGCGCTGAGGAAATGTAATTTTAAAACTCAAGATAAGGAAACACTGGAGGTTTAGGTTAAAATCTTAAAACAAAGAAATTTGGAATAAAATTTAAGAAATAATAAATAAAATGAAATAAAAACAACAGTGAAAGATACTAAAATAAGAGCACCAAAATAGCTCAGTAAAAAACCTGTGATTAAAACTAGAATAGATAAATGCCAAAACACTTAAAGTTAATATTTTGTTGAAAGCAAGACTAAAGAGGTATGTTTTCAGTTTAGTTTTAAAATCATCAAGATTAATACTTTTGATATACATCTGTCATCGTCTATGGTCAGTTGTAGCCTGGCTGGGCCATCCTGTTGCGTGAATCACTTGCCGGCAAAGTGATTCACGCAACAGGATGGCCCAGACAGGCTAGGTCAGTTGTGTATACAAGATGTCTCTGTCACTTTTCTTAAATGACATCTTTGTTTTTTTTTCCTGGATCCTTATGGTTGGATCCTTTCTGGTCAAATAAATAAAAGTAAGTGGACTTTATCTGTGTTGTTTCTTAATGCTTCAAACTGGACTTTGTTTTTGCCTATCCTAATGAGAATCAGAATACTGTATTCATCACTAGAGAGGGACATTCTGTCAAAGTATAGAGGGTATCATTCATTGGGTAATATTTTATACAACACAGGCTGTTACCTTTATAAAATGAATAGATTAAATTATACTGTACATTTTTTTTCTCATTGTGTCAGCTTGTGCTTGATATTTAGTCGAGTAGGTAAGATGGTGGTTTCAGAGTACACACACAAGTGGATCTGGCTTCTGCCGTTTTGTTTTGTTATGACTAACCATGGAGATCCCTCTCCATAGGTGCTCCAGAAAAGATGGAGACCAGTTCTAACACAGCCAGTTCCAGTTCTAACCTTTTGTTTAGTCTGGTATAGGATCCCCTGCCATCTTGCAGAGTGCTTCTTTCCGTTTATGTGGTGCACTTGTCTATATCCGGTACTTCAGGTTCTGAAGTAAATACAGAGACAGCCAGAAATGCATCATGAGACACATCTATACTAAACAAAGTAGTAACCATGTGATATAATTGTACAACATACTACTTGATGTTAGTATGGAAATTCTTTGGTTCATGTGTTCCTCAGGCTAATTCCAAACCTGTTTAGCCTGCCATGTGAATGCCTACCTCTGAATATCAGTCTATCAGTGAAGTGGGACAGTCTAGTTAAGGCTGAAAACAGGGATCTAAGGGTGCAGAAGACTAAGAAACCGTTGGCTTCAACAAGGAGGATGTTTCAATATTTAAACAGCCTTTTGGACCTGCGACACTTGATTCATTTTTTTTACATCCCCACATGTACCCATTTCACAAACCCACATTATTGGGATTAGTAAATGCAGCAAAAAGTCATTAAGTCTGGAAATGCTACACATACGTCCATATAGTACTCACAAAGCCTGAGCAGTGTTGACCACAAAAGATACATTAAAAAAACTAAATGCAGACTGTTTTACAAAGATCTCAAAGTTTGTTAATTGCATTTCTAAGGGGTGCAACTTAAAATGTTGATAGTCAAACTGGGGTAACCTTACTCATGGTACAGGTCCGATATAAGAGGATTAAAAAAAGATACACTCGTGATGAGAAGGGCCAGTTTAGATGCATTAACAACAGACTGATATAAGGTGTGAAACTAATCTGCAGACAACAATAGATCTAGTTGACAAGCAGCTTGTTAGATGGACACAAAATAGGGTCAATGCCAGTGTTATCCATCCGATGATATATATGAGATCTCCACTGCCTGTTTACCTATTGGAACTTTCTACTTTGTTTCCCAAGTGAATCAGGAATCAAAAGATGTAACTATAAAGAACTGAACTATAATGAACTAAACAATACTCACACTCTGTAAGATACTTAAGTTGATCCATTGGTTAATCACAGAGACAATCCAAATTTTTAAGTATTTTGGTGGTGCACATTGGACACAAAGATGTGAGTATAATGATGGTTTTGGAGCATATCCCCCTATAGTAAATTTAGCTTTTGTATTGAAATCAAACTTTGTGTCCATTTGGTTTCAAAGGTCAACCGCACAAACTTCTGCATGTAAAAAAAAAGGTAACTCTAGCACCACCCTGAGGCAGCTTTGAAAACAAAGTCCACCCCAACTAAAAAAGAAACTTGCTTACTCTGCAGTTAATAACTTACTTCTCTGCGTCATACAGCCATCGATTTTACAGTTTCCCCTCATACTGAGTAGGTCATCAGAGGTATGAGCGTCCCAGTTTTCCACCTCGACTTGACATTGTTACAAAGCAATCATGTGCTCAAGGCCCAGAGGCGATTCAAAACAACCTAATTTCTTGGAATGAAGTTTAAAAATCAGTGTATCAAACAAATAAACTTTTGATCAGATTTTTTATTGAAAAATTATTGAAAACAACATAAGCATTAAAAACATAGGCATTGGATAGAATAGGCTATGGCTAGTACTCAAGCTTAAACTGTGTCTGCACAGAGTGCCTTAAATACTGAGCATTGAGATTCCTACGTAGGATAGCTAAAAATACATATCACACTTTACTAAATTGACTTTATAAAATGTCACTGTACAATAAAGGTTTGACGAGTGGCAAATCTATACAAACATACCGAAAGAAACCCTTTAGTAGAACTATCAAGACAAATTAAAATATATCAAAATAAAACAAGAGGACTTTTGAATATCTGAGGATTAGCATTAGCTCATCGATCTGTAAAAACTTAATACATCAGAATTCATAAAGGATGGGACTTCAAAAAGTTAATGTTATTGTGTTGTTTTATCAGGTACGTGGCAGCTCCTCGCCACAAAATGGTATAAAATGTCACCATTTAACTTAACTGAGGCATGTTCTGGTCCATAGTGGAACTGCACAAGTCGATTGCGCATATCCCAATACAGTGCACGCCATCTATTTGCATCATGAAACATTTCCACTGACTTTTGTGAGAAAATATATTACAAGAAGTCCCAATTCTTTCTAGCATGGGTTTTGTGCAAAATGTATATACCAAGAATGTATTGTTAGGAACCCAGGTCTGAAATTAATGTACAGGGAGTCCACATCAGTAACTTCCATGCATGAAAAAACAGGATGTTAACAAAAGGCAAGGTGTAAAATATTTACCAGCAGTTACAAAAATATTAACATGAATAAATTAATTTTCTACATGCCCCCAAACGAACCCCTTTGTTTTTCCAAGAAATGGAAAAAGAAACACAGAGAAGGGCTGTCTCTCTCTTGCAGGCAAGCCCTTCAGCTCATTGCTTAATGTCTTTCTCTACTCGAATCATGAGTCCAACTCTTTTAGCATCTGTTCCATTAGAGAGCATGAAATACATGAACAGTAGTTGTCGTTGTTTTAATAATTAAGAAATGTTGTAGCGAACAATCAGGGGGCAATGTGGACAAGCTAATAAAGTGAAGGTCTGAACTCAGTGACCTGTCAAAATCCATTCAAATCTCAGCTGGTCTTATAGCAAGTTTGTTTTTTTAGCGTCAGTCATTACATAGGTGTTCTCTCATAGAAGGCTTGCAAGGCTGGTGGTTGGGCCATTCTGGGCTTGGATCTGAACTGGGGGAGGGCCATCTGTCCACTGAAAATCAGATAGAAAACAGCATAAATGTCAGCTCTACAAAATATTGACACATCCCATCAAATCAGTGTAATAAGGCTTACCCTACATGGTGCTAAAATGAAAAGTAAATAAAACGATAAATTCAAAGTAAACTTTGGGAAGCAGGGTGATTGCTTTGACATACACTGATGAGGTTATGTTCAGGGAGGCTGCATGCAGCGATGTGGTCCTGCAGCAACTGCTGGGAGAAGTTCTGATGCATCTGGGCTGCTTCATGAGCGTCCATGGTGTTCCCGAGGGCCTTGTTCAGGTCTGCAGACACAACATTCAACCACTTAAGTTATTACACAGACACAGAGTCCGGGAAAAATAAATTATATTTGGCTATGAAATGGGTGCGTACCTTTTAGCAAGGCTGAAGACCAGAGCTGAACAGACATGTCAGGGATCTTACTTGCAAGCTGCATGGCAGGTACCACCATGTTGTTGCTTTCCTAAAAACAAAATAAGACAATAGTTTCATTTATTACCAGAGTAATCCTTCAAAGGAGCCTTGGATCATGTGTTGATTTTCTCATGTGTTAAACACGAGTTATTCCTCTGGCACCACAATCTACCTCCACACATTGATTTACTTCTTCACAGTCATGAACTTGTATCGGATAATTCAACCATTGCTTCAAATTACTAGCTGAATTCAGGCTTAGATTCTGTCCAGCTTATAAATCAGTTTTTTTTCGGTGTTCTTATTCGATGCAAAATATTTGTCAAAGTAATTGGGATGGTTGGATATAGTTATGTATCCAATATGAGCAAATATGGTACACTTGGTGTGTACCGAGTCTTACTCTGTGGTTTCCCAGTACATAGAAGATGTGGCCCAAAAGAACCAGGGAGCAGGCAGTTAGTCTGTTGAGATCCTCGGCATTTGACATCTTCAGGGTTTCCCTCAGGAAGCGTCTGTAACAAAACAAAGCAAGTATATGTTGGTGGAAGCACAGGATGAATCTGTAGGTTTGTTCAAATGTTTTTTTTTATTTGTTTAATTTTTGTTCTTTTTTTAAGATCCGTCATACTTCGCTTCATTGTAGCGTCCTTGGAAGAAGGACAGGAGTCCCCTGATGTAGAAGGCTGCAGCACGGAGGCAATGGGAGCTGAATGGAAAACAAAGACAAAGGTAGTTGTTTAAACTAAAACATTCAATTCAACACAGTGAGTCGTTTCAAATTTACAAATACATTTATATTTGAAAAAAAGAATCTACTGCCTCTTACCTTACTGGGAAGTTATGATCTGGGTTTATTCTCTCCAAGAGGCTATAGAGCTGAAAAAGTCATGACACAGAAAATGCAATTAGTCTTTTTTTGTGAAGTGAGAAAAACGTTTTTCCATTTTAATATCTCTGTGAATTATTAAAATTAAATAAAATACATATCCTCCTATCATAAGTGGAATCAACTGCCTGTATTTCAGGATGTGAAATAGGAAGGACACTTAATCCTTCTAATGTGTCAACACCACCTAGTGGACAAACTGCTTAATAACACTGTTTCCAAACAACAGAAGAGGAACACATTTGAAAAAGCCATTATCCGTAACCCCTGGGTCAGCCTGTACTCAAAACAACAACAACACAGCTATGATGAGCCATTTGTGATGCTGAAGATTTAATTTAGTTTTACACAGCAGTGAACCACAAATACTCATACTGCATTCACTAAATACTTCACTCCATCATACTGTTATATTAAAAAGACTTTGACTCTTATTACTAAACTGACATCTTGGTGTCGGTTTCCTTCCCTTATGTAGACACTGGCCAAGTTGGTTACGATGTATGTCCAAAGCTCCTGGTGTGTGGTGAGCTACAAGACAACAATACAGGCATGTTTGAGACGAAAATAGACAGCAGCTGAGTTAAAGGGAAAAGAGATAAAAAGCTGAGTTATAAAAGCGTCTGACAGACAGTGAAGTCGCCATGAACTCACCCGCAAGGCTGTTGTAAACTGTGCCTCTGCATTGTCCATACAGTTAACTGAGATACAGTATAGACCCTGTGGTGTGGAGAAAGCGAGAAATGAGTTATACAAAAACACTAAATGTGAATTTTTTTTTTCACGCAAACATTTACGTGATAATATGTGCTGTTTATATCTCTACTTTAGTGCTTCTACATTTTACAAATGTTTCACATACATAAATCCATAACATCGATATGTACCTGTGTTTGCCTTCAACACAACACACTCATGGCAAAACTAAGTATTTATTATGAATTGCTCATTTTCCCAATATTTTTCAATGCACTGATTTTGTATATGCAAAGAGGAATAAAAAATTCTTGCCAATGCTAACATCCCTCTCTTATTTAGTGTTGGGGTTAAACTGTCAACTCTTGGTTTAAAGAAAAACCTTTTACAAAAAATCTTGTAAGATTTAAGTATTTCCAAAAAAGTAGTATTAAATCACAAAAATACACCTTATTATCAGCTTGGAATAATAAGTAACTCCAAACCACTAGTTTGAACTTTATGGCTGTGTCCAAAATGAATCACTCAATCCCAAACCCCCATATGGGGTTTCACTATATAGTTGACTATGTAGTGAATTCAATTACCGGAGGTTTCAGACACTACATGGCAAGATGCAATGCATAACAGGATGGTCACTTTTGCAATGCTTTATGAAAATTTTTGAGTCGCCTATATGGGGCACTGGAATTGATCACTCAGGTTTCGGATACCCCTCAAAATGGCGCTAACCCCCATATAGTCACCCATATAGGGGTTAGGGATCCATTTCAGACACAGCCTAAAACACTAAAAGTGTGAAACTGTCCTTCATCGTACTTCTTTAAAGCTGACAAAACCATTGAACACTTTGAGTAAAATTTGTGACAACGTTCTCAGACTTTAGCTGATTAGGTCTTGGTTTTGGTCACTGTTGGAGACACACACAGTGATGCACACCGATGTTAAAAGGGAGTTGGGGCTGAAGTACTCACTAATAGAGTGTGAAGCTGAGCAGCGTGGTTGGTGAATAGCCTGGGGGACTGTTGGCACAGCTGACACACCTGAGAGATCTGAAAGGACAGAACAGAGTCAGTGTTCACTTCCATGAGCTTAATGAAGTATGCAAATCATGCTTGTGGCAAAATGTGACTCCAGCAGCTTCAATACTTTGATGAACTTCTTTTTCACATAATACAGTAGATGAACATGGATACAGGAAGAATAGACACCTCTTGTAATGCTGTGGCCTTGTGGCCAGTGACGAGTCTACACATGATGATGTGCTCCAGTAAAATGACTTGAAAGGTGGAGAGGATGGGGCTGCAGTCCAACACTGAAACACCAAAATTAAAGTTAGTATTTACAAAAACAAATGTTGCAGGTTTTCCACTTCATAAAGTTAGTCACAGCCGAGAGCACGAGCACGAGTAACTCACTTTTAAGTTTCTCTAGCTGCATCAGAGCCTTGTCAGTGTACTTCTGGGCTTTCTCCAAATAACCCGCCTGCATGGAGTGCATGACTGTGACCTGTGAAATGACAAGGCAGAGTACTCCTTAAAAAATCTGAACAGTCTTTTGATCGGCACATTAGAAATATAAACACCTTCCTGAGCGCCACGGTAACTGAATCCCTGCGTCAAGGGCACTTGTGTCAAGTTTTTAGAGGGTACAATAGCAGCACTGTAACGTGAATGTCATCTAATTTTAGCGGGCAGGTCGTTGGCAAAAATAAAGGATAAAAACAGAAAAATATACACACATAATACTTATAATATTCAAAGGCAGTTAGCATACAAGGTAATCTAAGATATCATTTCTCAGAACCACGTGCATCAGACAATAAAAAAAGATCTTTTTTCTCCAGGCCTGACCCTGAAAGACTCACACATTACAGTGTGTTTAACGCTATTTAACCCAATGTTAAATTATGCTAAATACTTAAAACCAATGAAGGTGTGAATACAGAATACAGAAATAAATGTGCAACCACTGTTTCACCTTCTGTTCATTTAATATGAAGTTTTTATGACAATTAAAATTACTAGTTTGATTTTGTGTGCTTACTATAGAGGTAACTTTTGTTTTACTTAGTCATAAATCCTTGTTATTTTTTTGTTTGTTTGTTTTTTTGGGATACACTTTTGTGTCACATCCCAACAGGCAGCCAAGTCAACAGAGTGAAGTGATTAACAGATTCACCAAATGAGAACAAAGCCCCTGAGCTGTGAACCACAATAGCATTAAAGTTGGTTATAGTCCTAATTACAAAGACAAACAGCGATAAAGCGCTGATTAAAACCAGAGCAAATTTAATTAGCAAGTGGTTTGCTGTAGTTGTTCATTATAATTTTATGTGTGTTAATAAACACGAACAGTTAACATTACTCACAGCTTTCAGTTTAAAACAGGTTGAGCTCAACTTCAACACAAACATCAGCACAATAGTTGGTCCTTTTATCCTCTGGTTTGGGGATTTGAGCGTTTAGTGGGCTTTATGGTCATACGCTGCGTCTCATGTCTCGGCTGTAGCGCAGCCACTCAACACTAGCTCGGTCTAAGACCATAATGCTGTGATGCAATAGCAGATCTTAACTTGTAGCTTGATTTGGTTTGGCATCATTCTGATTGAAAAAATTTGGAGATTAAGTTGTGTGTAGGCTGTGTCTGGCTAAACTGGCATTTAACAGTCATCGAACCAACAAGGAGGACTGGAGGCCGGTGGTGCTAGCTCTGCTTACATTCGCCACTTTTGGCTCACCAATTTCATTTTGTTTGCCCTGCAGACCCTATGATCTCGTGTTGAGCCTTATTTAATGAATTCTCAGTTCTGAGTGTTTTTCACTTTACTTTAGTTGGTTAAACAGAATTAAAACTTTCATTTAAACAACTTGAAAGTTTGTGGCCTCTGAACATCCTTTATGGAAACTATGCATCGACAGGGGGAAGGTGCTGGATTGCTTTTGATGTTTAAGTAGCATTTCGTCCTTTAAAACTTCGCGTGCCAATGCACCGCCACAGACAACTACTAAATCTCCTCATTCGCAGCAAATAGGCCTGCTGACATTTTGATACGTTCTTTGTCGTCTAATAATAACCCACATTACATTTCTGTCTGCTACAGATCTAAAGCAAAGGAGAGAGAGCAATGTGACTCAGCAATCCAGTTTTGGGACTGGATGTTGCTCTGATAAACCTCTGTAGAAGAACTCAAAAATAGGGGATGTTGGAATGTTATTTTTGAGGTTTTACTGCTTTACTTTTCACGTGATACTGAAGTGTTAACAAAACCCCCAGTGCTACAAATCTAACCAATGATACCCCTCGTGTTTTCTTATTTTGGATAGCTTTCAGGGATTTCAGTGAGAGAAGGAAAAAAAGAAGTGGCATTACCAAATAGACGAGGACACACATGTGCTCCTTGGGCAGCCAGTGGAAGAGGTCAGCTGGGTTGCTGGGCAGAATCTCATCATCGTGGAGTGTAGAAATGGTCTGTATGCACTGCTGCAGCTGTTTCAGACATGGTTTCACACTCTTCACCTGGGGACACGTGGAAATGACAATACAGCTCAGCTCCAGGCTGCTTAACACAACTGAACACTGGAAAATATTTAGCAATACTGTATGAAATTAGTGTATGCAAACCGGCTAATTAAAAGCTCCCATGACTGAAGAGATGCAGTGTTTTTAAACGTAAGCAGAATATTACTCCAAAGTTGTTTTCCTACCTGCCCTGCATCCAAGTAGTGTGTGACCTGCAGGACCAGGAAGAACACCCTCAGTGACTCCTTCTGGATGGGGTTTCCCTGCCAGTTTTCCACAATGGTTCCACATAGTGTTAACAGAGGGTGCACCTCTCCAAGTTTCCTCTCCATTAGCAGCAACTAGAAGATTAAATAAAACAGTCAACAAATGATGGAATTGGAATTTTCTAGTTTCATAAATATGAACTTTATCATCTGTACTGTTGTTGTCTGTGGGTGTTTGCTGTTTTTGTTAGTCAAATACACAAAAGTAGAGCTAAAATGATCATTTCATGGATATCAAATATGGCTTCAGCCTTACAGTGAAGAAATTACTCACCATTCCTTTACTGAGAAGAAACAATGCCCTATGAAGAAATAAAAAAGAAAACTTTAATCCAGTTCTCAAAAATCTGTCATCAGCTTAAAAGTTTTGTTCTTCAGTTGAATTCAAAAACATTTTTAAAAAGCCTTTTTCTCTATGATTAAGATCGACAACTGATGCTGATGTCAGACTACATCATTTCAGTGGGATCACAGCTTGATCTAGCAGTGCTCCTCATCGCCAATAATCATTTTAAGTCTTTTAAAGTTATTTTTATTATTATTTCATTACAAAGGACAGCAGGAAGTGTATAATAAGGAGGTGGCGGGATAATTGCAGCAAATGGTCATGGTCGGGGCTTGAACCACTTACCACTGCCACAAGGGCTTTAGCCTTTGTAGGCCAACAAACTCTCCCATTCACACCTGGGCATCTTACACCCCTTGACATAAATTACAGCATGTCTGATTTTTTCAGTCTGACTCATACGATAAATTCTATCATGTCAGTGAAGTTGACCAATGAGAGCACGGGGAACTTTACAAATGCAAAAGTCACAAGCACTACTAAACCAATTTGTTGAGCAAAAGAGGTGTGATACAGCTGTTACGGCAAAATGACACGTATAGATGGAGAAACAGTTCATTGAGCTCAAACAACTTCCCCGTCTCTATGATGTAATGTCAAGGGGCAATGAGAACTGACTGAAAAAAAGAGAAATGCTGAGAAGCAGCAGCTCTTTCAACAGTCCAGTGAGTAATTGCCCTGAGCATTTCCAAGGTGTGATCTAGCCTCTCTTCCTATCAGTGTTATCATGTCCATTGTGATGTTGTGTGATTGCCTAATCGGCAGTGTCCTTCGTAACAGAAAAAGGGATCATGTAGCCTGACCTCATCTTAAGGGGGATTTATTATGAATCTTTGTTTTTTTTATAATCTGCAGAAGAAAATTGGGAATGTTAGCAACAAAAAATTGCTGCCTAGAGTTAAACTGTCAATTTGTTGTTATTGAGTTCAGGATAGTCCATAAAATGCCAAATCCGCTCCACAATAATTATCACATTTGATTGATAATGTATTTGTTTCAGTTGGAGGAATTAGATGATAAACACTGAAAGCAGTTTGAAAGAAAAAAACAAGTCAATGTGGGATTAAGTAACAATTACCTGGTATATTCTGACCCAACCACTCGGGCATACTCTGCTCCAACACCCAGCAGGTCACATGCTGACACCAAATCTTTCTCCAGAGTATGAAGTTGCTGTAAGTGACAAAAAAAATGCTACCATCAGTTAAGACTCTCATTATTGACATAAACCCTGACTTCCTTCAAAATAACGAAAAACTTAAATCAACAAAAAATACACACAACAGTCTTTATGACCAACCATGAGACTTGCACTCAAAAATTTCTCTCATAGAGGTCATTACTGTGTACTCACCGCCAACTGGAACAACAGTCTGCAGTGCCAGTAGGGTGTTTGTTGTGATATCTGGATGGCCTTGCGCAGTAGGGGCTTTGCAGAGTCGACCAAATTCTGAAAACATGACATAAAAGGAGTATTACACAGCAATTTGTAGACTTCCTTACATATCAGACAACAATCACAGAACCATTAGCAGGTTGATTGTAAAGCTTTGCTACACATACAAGAGATTTGCCTTGTGAAAAGGAAAGGAGACAAAAGGAGAATAAAAGGGTGGAGAGTCATAACACAGCATGACCAAATGAGAACAATGTTAACTTAACAAATATGAGGGGGCAAAACACAGTGAACAATTTCAGTATAAAGCGCTCTTTTACATCAAAAACACCCACTTCAATATAAACAACTACTTCAAATGACAATTATAACCTGTTTAACTATGCCAAATGAAAAACTTAAATGTAAAAACTTTGTCGAAGTATAAATTTCAGCTCTAGTATTGGGTTGCAAGAAACTGCCCAGGTGTTTCTAATGTAAAAGCTGGTGGGTGTGTGTTCAAAAGGTGTAAAGAAAGGCTGTACAGATGTGCAGGAATGTGCAGGAATGTACAGATAACGGTGAGTGGAAAAAAAAATCAAATTAAAGCTTTAAAAAATATATACTCATACGAGATGTAATTTAATTATTGCGTTACATCGTCTTTATTAGACTCAGCAAATTACATGTTAACTTGGCCCCATAATCTAACCATGGTGGACTACTACAAATGTAACGAAAAATGTACTTACCTGTTGGCAGAAGAGTTCAGACAAAATGCTGGCAGCTTCGAATTTGACATCCTCAAACTGGGGGACTTGTTGGGATATAAACCACTGCAGGGAGATTGAAAAAAAGATGAGATGCAAATCTTATTGACGGCGATAGCTATCTCTGTAATTCAGTAACAACGTTATTTGGCCAGCGTTATAAACAATGTATAAACAGGGTCAACAACATGCTAAAAAGAAAGCAGGTATAACATTTGGACAAATACTTGTAACACAAAGCTATTGAAAGATTTCCGCCATTTAGTGTTTTCGTTACGTGCGGCCTACACAGTTCCCATTATTGATGCATCCCCGCTCTTTCCTACACTGAACATCCCTCACCGCTTTCTCCAGGTGGCTGCGGGCCAGCTCGCTGTTCTTGGTGTGGTGGTAGAGAACCGAGCCGAGCTGAAGATGTGTCCGAGCTTCAATCCTCTGCGGGGGTTTAAACTGAAACACTGCTTGTAGACAGTGCACACACAGACGGATTTTCGGCGGACTAGAGGTTCGGAAATGCTCCGCAAAGCCGAGAAGGGCGAGGTACCAGCGTTCCGGGGCCTCTACGTTTGACGCCATTTTGCCCGACAACAACAAGTTTTTCAGCGCTACAGCCAGACTCCCGGGTTGCCAGGTTTGGTCGTGTTGAGCAAATGACCGAAGCAATAAAGCACAAAGTAGGCCCAAATCTCTTACTTGATTTCCACTAGTTAAGCAAACAACAGCGTTTCGTTAGCTTTTGATATACGACTATGTTTGTCAAACTCTTGAATAAAGGAAGTTAGTTCATTATTAAACTGCGGTTTTGAGAAAAGCAGCCAAACTACAATAGAAAACACAAAGAAGTAAAATTGCCAAGGACTAAAGTTATAAAATTTATTTTATCATGTCACAAAATTCAAACCTGCAGTCTAATGTACCATTGACAATCCCACTTAATTTTGAATTTTTCACTTAATTTGATTGTTTTTTCTTTACGTCTGCATTGTTTTGTCTATGATGTACAGCAATTTGTTCCGCTGTGGTTTTTTTAAGTGATTTACAAACAAAGTTGAGTTGAGTTAATCTTTGACCTCTCTAAACACAGAACAAGCTTTTAGGAACAAAACGTCCAGTTATTTATTACATGCAAACTCTGAAGTACTCGTAGTATAATGTTTTATTGGTGAATGCATAATCAGTGCTGTCTCAATTTCACGTTCATCAATGAATAAACTCAACTGGTGTTATATTTTATTCCTTTTTAGTTGTTCTGTTTGTCATAATAAACGTTAAAGGAACTATGAACAGAAACAACGCATAGTGATTTTAGAAGAAACCTGGCAACCAAATCTTCTCAATTTTCTCGCGAGATTCTCTGAAAAAACGGAACTCGCGTGTGGGTGTTGTAGTCCAAAATACTGACATATCCTGCCCTAGTTTCTTTAAGACCTTGGAAAGCTCAAATAATCTTCTGCGCAGAACCAGGCAGTCGCAGAATTTCCTCGCGACCGACGACTATAAATAGCAAAACAGTGAGCTGCAGCTTGACACCTGTCTGTTTCGATCACATTCAGAAACGTAAACAACGACCGACTGAGTACGTGCAGACACAGACCTCCTCGCAGCAAGTTAAAAGATCGACTGGCCAGTCTCCAGCGAGCAAACGAGGAATGTGTGCAAGAATCTGGAGGACTAAGTGGTGGTTACTCGAAGATCTGCAAAAACTGGGTCCTTTTAAACACAATATAAGGTAAGAAAATATTCAATATAGATAGTGCATTGACCTACTTATCGATCTTTTGAGTGGCAATGATTTTATTTATTTATTTTAGGTGTGGTCAATAAGTTGTTAATTGCATAAATTAGTTGACATAACCACGAGCTAGATTAAGAATCGATTAACATCAGCGTTGCATTTGGTAATTTGCTGAAAAAGTCCTAATAGGTTGAATCGTTGTAACGCACTACACTGTTTACAAGCCAGGGTGTTTTTCTAGGACATGGGCATGCGTGCAGTCACGTATATTTTAAGGTAACCCAGCTGTGCGTCACGGCGGCCCTGTATTTGTTGTCTCTTTCATTGATTTCACTGATTTTTCTCCCCATTTTGCAGCGTGTTTTCCTGAATGAGTGACCGAATATTTGACAGCCTCCGTAATCTGTGAAGGGCACACATGGCCCACACTTTAAACGAGCATCAGAGCCGCCTGCCTGTGGCCCAGGCCACTGTGCTGGCTCTGCCCCCGTCAAGCCAAACACAAGTGAGTATTGTTTCTCCATTGACTCATTTGTGTGTTTCACGACTGTAGAAATGATCGAAAATTCCGCTTTTTCAGTGACAGTGGAGCAACACTTTTGACCTTGTTTACAATGACTTTAGCAAGAAATCAACCACAACAAAATCTGAGTGGATGGCATGTGGCATGTGAGCTTGTTTGAGTGTCTTCATTTTAAATGGACTTTTGATCAATTATTTGGTAATGTATAAAGAAGGTTGCTCTATGTGATTTTAAAGTGGTTTATGTATTAGCCTATAACAGGTTGAGCATGTGAGGGGCATGGTCAGCTCAGTGTTGTGTGGCTGTTGTTGTGACATACAGTAGTAGAGGCTTTGCAGGGTCGACCAAATTCTGTAAACATGATATAAAGGAGAATTATACAGCAATTTGTAGACTTCCTTCAATATCAGACAACAATCAGAGAACCATTGGCAGGTTGATTGCAAAGTTGGGCTACACATACAAGAGATTTGCCTTGTGAAAAGGAAAGGAGGCAAAAGGAGAATAAAAGGGTGGAGAGTCATACCACAGCATGACCAAATGAGAGCAATTTCAGTATAAAGCACTAAATCACAAACATCCACTTCAACATAAACAACTACTTTAAATGACAATTATAACCAGTGTGGCCATGTCAGATGAAAAAAAAATGTAAAAACTTTTTTTTTTTTTAAGTATAAGGTTGCTTTAAAAGCTCTGTATATGATTTTACAGTGGCCTATGTATAAGCCAATAACAGGTTGAGCATGTGAGGGGCATGGTCAGCCCGGTGTTGTGGGGCTGTTGTTGTGACATACAGTACAGCTTTCCTGGTACTAAACTTTCAGAGGACATGTTCTTCTGTTACATTGCTGTAAATAGCAGGGGACTGGTAGCTAATCTAAAGCTGGTCTAGGTTTACTACGTAATACAGTTGGTAGTATTAGAAAGGTGAATCATGGCAGGTGTTCCCTTTAGTGGGTTATCACAGACCTAAAAGCATGTGTTGGTACTGCCAACAGGAAAATACTACTTACTTTGTCTTTTCAAATAGAATATTTTCCTGTATTTGATTTCAATATCAGTTTAACAAATAAAAAGGAAACTTGTTCAACAAGTTTGGCTGCAGTTGTCAGGCTACTGTACTAGTGTGGCGTAATGGATACGATAAATCAAAATCTAATTGTTCATGATTAATAGAGAATCCAAAAGTGTGTCTTCACTGCTCTAGTTTAAGTATTGCAACATGTTTGTTATTCCTGCCAAGGGACCTGCTTATCAGTTGGTTGGATTGTTTATTGGGTTCAAATGTGCCTTTCAACTAAATGATAACTCATGTGCATGCGTGGAGGTTCACACACTGATACACAAACACACAAGCATGCACAACTCCTCTCCACTGAAACACCAGTTGGCGTTATCATGTGTTTTTTGTTGCAGCAGTTGAGTCTGGAAAAAAAGTCCTGCTGCAGTAAAACCTCAAAGAGATAAACATGGGAGTGGATGTGCTGATAAGCATGTGACTTTGTATATTCGATGTTTTTGAGGTCACATAATTAGAGTTAGATTATTAAATTGAGTATTTTCTTACCTTTTGAAACTTGATAGTTTGAGGTCAGTGTTATGGTGAGCTATCAGTTCATATCAGTACAATGAGACAGAGTGTCCTCTACAGTTATGTGCACGTGTCTATGTGTCCAAACAGGACTTGAGGCCAAGATTGTCAGCCCTGGACACCCTGCTGTGCGGGGCATTTGCTGGGGCTGTTGCCAAAACAGTCATTGCGCCCCTGGACAGAACCAAGATCATTTTTCAAGGCAAGGAAACCCCACAAACAAAAATACTTCTTCCCAAATATAGAATCTGAAAGCAGAAAATAGAGTCTTGTGTTATGTTACTGACTGATCCTGCTTTGACTATTACAATCCGCGGAAAATGCAGCCTCTGTTCTTGTGTTTGTAACAACATTTTCACTGAATGTTGTAACTGTTAAGTAATATTTAATCCTCTTAGTGGATGTTTAGCCTAAATGGGAGAGTGTTGATTAACACTGAGGTTCACTGTGTCTCTCTTGTTGTTCCACAGTGTCCTCAAAAAGATTCTCTGCGAAGGTGAGTTTAAGCTTTTATCTCACAGCTGAGTATTCACTGTATATTCCTGATTAACCCAATCCAGCATGTGTACACTGGAGACAATAATACTGTTAAAATAAGGAAAATATCAATTCTTAAAATAAACTAGTGACAGTTTTCATATTTGGTTTATTGTCTGACATGTACACTGCATCACAAAATAATGGTTAGAACATCTCGTGCAAAAAACCCTGAAGCCTTTGGAAAATAAGTAATTTAACTTTGAAATTATAATAGTTGTTTTTACACAACATACTGTATACTTCCTCCCACCCTCAGGAGGCCTTCAGGCTCATTTACCACTCCTACATGAAGGATGGGCTGCTCAGTCTGTGGAGAGGGAACTCAGCCACCATGGTGAGGGTGATGCCCTACGCTGCCATCCAGTTCTGCTCACATGAACAGTACAAAAGGCATCTGGGAGGCTACTTTGGCTACCAGGGAAAGTAAGTAGACTATTAGCTTAACAGTTATTATATAGTAGATTTAACTGGTCGTAGAAAACCCCGTATTTATATGTTTTTTCAACCATAGTTGTAGCATTTTTCCAGGACTGGAAATATGGAAATGTGGATTGTTTTGATCGTCTCTTACTCTATTCTAGTCTACAACACACACCCACAAAAAGATGAAAACCATATTTAACAGTTTACTATAAACTTTGATATGATAGTTAATGTCCCCAAGAGGTCGCCCTGAAACAATCTTGATCCCTTTTACATCAGATCTACCACCATCTTTAGGTCAACATTTTGTTTACATATCAATCTATTTTGATATTTAACTGTAAGACCGAAAGGCCTGGTCTCAACCCCTGTCATTATATTGACAATAGTTAAAAACTGCTCTGTTCTACCCATCATAACAGAGTTTATACTGAACATTGTAGATCAAAAATGCTGTCAACAGTGATGGGGGAAAGATGATGTTGATATTGGCCCCTGTGAAGGTTGATGCCAATATAATGCTGTGGATGTAAAAATGGCATTAATCAGCCTGACTGATTGGCCGAGCAATTAAACAGTCTATTTCTACACACTATCATGACACTGAAAATGCACAATCAAGTAAAACATCAACAACACTGCAAATATGCTGTTAACAATCACAATGGTGATTGACCACTCACAGATAAACGCATATCCCATCAAGTCCATGCCTACTTTGTTGACAGTGTTTTCAGATTTTATCATCTACTGCTCTAATTTTCAAACATTTATTTACATTGAGTAAGGAGCAGAACTCAGAGTCTTACAGCAGAGTCTGTAAAAATACAGACTCATGTAAAATGTACAATTTATCATTTAAAAGTCCTCAACAGAGCCCTCATACACATGATTAAGGGACAGCACTGAACAATCACACACTTAGCAAAAACAGGCCTCAAAGTCTGTTAATTTGTAAGTATGGAGATTGGGATTAAGCTAATACTTGCAAATTTGATGTCATTCCCATCAGCCACAGCTCGATTTGTATGTTTATCTAACACACTAAACTTTTATCATATAAAGTTTCAAAACATTATTCGTATTACACCAGTGTTGTTCAAATCACCACACTATCAAACACACCGACCCAAACTTCTGGATATCAACAAAAAAACAGCTGTCTGCTTAAGTTTGAATTTGTGGTTGTTTTTTTTTTGTCTTTTTCAGAGCTCTGCCTCCGGTCCCTCGCTTAATGGCCGGCTCTCTGGCTGGCACCACTGCTGTTATGCTTACCTACCCCCTGGACATGGTGCGAGCCAGGATGGCAGTCACAGCCAAAGAAATGTAAGCATTTACCTTTTATTTATTACTCTTTATAACACAGTACAGAATATTCAATGATTAATTTCCCTGTGTATATGTTTTCTGTACCTTTACTGTTACAATGCATGCAAGTCACTTACTATTATACAGTATTACCCCTGACTGCATGTGTTTTGATGCAGTCGAGTAAAAAATGGTGTACCTGGTGTTTTTCCTCTCAACAGGTACAGCAACATCATGCATGTGTTTGTGCGCATCTCCCAAGAAGAGGGTATGAGGACCCTCTACAGAGGTTTCAGCCCCACTATTCTGGGGGTCATCCCCTATGCAGGCATCACATTTTTCACATATGAGACCCTCAAGAAGCTTCACACAGGTACTGAATGTATTCCCGCTGTCTCTGATCTACTCTTCAATAAAATGATTTAATTCTTTTTATTTATTTGAAGCAATATATAGATGTGTAACCGCTCTTTCCACGTTTTTTTCTTTCACTTTAGAAAAAACAAAACGATCACAGCCATACCCGTACGAGCGACTGGCTTTTGGGGCCTGCGCCGGCCTGGTCGGACAATCCGCCTCGTACCCTCTGGATGTGGTGCGTCGGCGTATGCAGACAGCTGGAGTTACAGGGTCGTCTTACGTCACGATTTTGGGAACCATGCGTGAGATCATAACGAAGGAGGGATTTGTACATGGACTTTACAAAGGCCTGAGCATGAACTGGGTTAAAGGGCCCGTTGCTGTCGGGGTCAGCTTTACCACATTTGACATCACACAGGGCCTTCTTTTCAAACTCCACCAGATGAGATACTTCACCCACTGAATCAGGCAGGTGTGATAGAGGGAGGATGATACGCACACATGAGACTGTTGGAATGAGGAGATGTACTTTGTTAAGCGGCAATGATAAGTGTTATCACTCAGTCGAGGCAGGGTTGTCACCTGCTCCTGGTTGTGTAAAACATGGACTGGATGAGTGGACAGAAAGCCTGCGGTTCAAGAACGTTTCACAGTATCTCGTGCTTTTGTTTATGCACATTCAGAATTCGCTGTCACAGAGTCAGATGACAAAAACAGAGTCTTTAAATCATTGTTCACATATTCATGACTTTGTTCGAAACCATGGCCCCAACAGGGTGGGCTCGGTGATTAAAAGATGAACAATGGATGAAGACTGTTGATGATGCTTGCACTTTATTAGTCCTGCAATGTTCTTTTGACTTAATCTTTTGTCAAGAGAGAAAACTTGTTGCTTTTAACCTGGAGAGATTTTTATTTTTTGATAATCATTTTGCTTTTTCTCTTTTTGATTGTTTTAAGTAGCCTGGTTGTACCCCTAGATTTGGGGGTAAGGTTAGTTTTGAAAGTTTGATTTTATCTGGTTTTAAATGTCATTTTTAAGATGGTGCCAATGTTAACTGAGTTTAAGCCGATGGAGCGGATGATTGTAGGAAAAGGGGGGTGGGCATGTTCGGAGGGTTGCACAGCTCCACTGTCCATCGAGCACTGAGGTGGTGTGAAAATAATATGTCTAATAACTAAGGGGTTAATCAGATGTATGGGAAATAAATCTTTAAAAATAACTAAAAATATTGATTTATATTCATATCATTAAGGTTTCATTTTTTACAGTGCTCATTTTGCTGCGCAGATTCAATCAGTGCTTTGGGCTTTGACTCGACTGTGATGCGTTGTTTACTTTCAAAATCACAATATACCAAAGCACTTACATCAGTCATACGTTTCATGTGAAAAAGGAATCATTAAAATTTCATTTCTAGTGTGTATTTCAGTGTTTCCAAAGATTTCAGTTTACAGTTGTATCAAGCACACAATGCAATAAAGTGTCCATCCACCATCCTGAGCAGTGAGTGATTTTGTCCACTTGGGGGTGCTGTATGATAGGCAGAGCTCATCACATCACCAGTCACTCTGAGGACTGGTCCGAAACAAGACAGAAGGAATCAAAATTTAGATACTGTTTCTGAAGATTTAACATTTCTCATGAAAAAATATCACATCTATTGTTATCTTTTTTTTTTATAACAATAAAGTGGTCTGACCTTTGAGATAAAATCAATTTGCTTTGCACCCGTTTCATTTAAATACAGTGGGTATGTAGTTGAAGATAACTGTAATGATGTCAAATATACTCGTTTTTTTTTTTTTTTTCAATAACAAATTTTAGTTTTTTTTAAACAGGTAAAATAAATATGATATGTATTTTGATCTTAAAAAATGCAGTGGTCCTCATTGTATTCATACAATATAATGTGTTAAGTGTGTGTTTTGCACCTGTTCCGCATGGATACAGTGGAAAAATATCTAGAAATTATAAGAAATCGTCAAATCTGATTTATTGATAAATACACTCTTAAAAAATAAGAAGTAATTTTTTGTATGAAATAGATGAATAATATCTGACCTACATGTGTGGAGACCACCTACTACCTCTTCTGGTCAGTAGATGGCAGCATTGAGTGTCCTCTCTTCAGTGTGACCGTGATGGAGGTTAGTTAGGCTCTGACCACCTCATGGCCTGAACTTGACCTGCAATCTCCTTGCAGAGACACTTTTAAAGAGTCATTGTTGATTTTTTTAGTGTTTTCTGTTTTAAATTTAAAGCTTTTGGAAGGGTGAAAATTTTTTTGAGTCACTGAAAAATATAAATATATATATTTCAATACAATTTGTAAAAATGTACCTAAGGAAAAAAACTAGTTAATTGTAATGCACTTTTTTTCCTTTCATTAGGAGTTCTTTAGGTTGTTCTGATACCCGTATTAATGTGATTTTTTTTTAGTTAAAAGAAATTTATGAGTGCTTAAAAACAAATGCACAACCTTTGAATAATATTTTATTTTCATTTTGTTCATCTTAATCATACTAGAATAAAGTGATTTAAAAAGATGTCAAATTACACTTAACAATACCCAGATGTGTGTAAAAAAAAAAAAAAGCAATACACTTCCTGCAACACTTCACAATTTTAAACCAACAAATTATTTCTTTGTTTTTCTATCTTAAATAAGAAAGTAGCTGGACACATTATTCCACAAAAGGTTTTTATTTCATTTTACATTCAGTGAAAAAAAGCAATCTTTAGTTTTACCTGCTATAACATCATTTTTTTTAATATCCTAAAAAAAAAAAAAAATAGAATAAATGATGTTGCAAAAAAATGTTGCACATGAAAGTTATATCATTCTCTGTTTGTCTTTATTGATTTGGAGGATTAGCAGTGATTTAATCTGAACAGCAGATGAATGTGTGTTAACTCTGCCGCATAAGTGATTGCATCATTCACCATCTTAACTGTACCCTTTTCTTCGTCAGCTGTTAAGAGTCGTCTCCTCAACTTCATGTCCAGCAGCTGGATGGTGGACGCCTTGCTTCTTTACATCTGTCCAACCTCCATCCCTCTGTCTCTCAACCTTTCCCGCCTGTATGACCTTGACTGTGAATTATGGGATATCCTGCCACCCCAGAGTGTGCAGCCACCCAGCCTGGTACTGCAACGATCGAAACAATACCACTGGATGGATAACATGGTCGAAAGGGTGGGTGCCTGAGAGGTGCAAGAGGAGGAGGAGAAGGAGGAGGAGGGGTCGAAAGATGCTTCTTGAAGGCGCCGTTGCCATAGGTAACCTGGATGTGTGCCAGGAGAGGGGAGCTAACCATTTGCATGTATTCAAATCTCGCATGAATAATTCACTTTGAAGCCCCTGCTGGAGCACTGCAGACAATAGCTGTTCAGGCATACACACACACACACACACACACACAAATGCACCATAGATGGGCGAAAATGGGCGCAAATACAGCCTTCGAGCACACAAACCCTGCCTGAGAACCCAGTGTGAGAAAGGTGAGGAGGTTATACTGGGAGGCACACAGAAATAAAGCCTGAATGCAGTAAGCAGCGGCTACAGCTCTAATATCATCGGTTTTTCAGAGCCCTTTAACACACACTCTACATAGACACGGCCCCTTTACATTACGCACAATAAATTCAAAAGCAGGCATAGATGCTGTTTGACTTTGAGATTTTACTTTTAAGTCCCACCATGGGAGGCTTGGGGTGGAATGTATCGTAAACATATGCATATACACACATGCTCACACCCCTGTGGTTTCCTGCAAAACGCACACTGGCTAAGATCCAGTTGCTGCGACTTTGAAGGTCAACTCAGCATTCAGTCCTCAAACACCTGCTGGCTCGGAGTATCTTTCATAAATTCACAGCATTATAACACCTTGAGATGCATTCTATCCAACGTAAACTGTCCTGTAAACACTTCCCCGTAAACTAGCCTTAAAAAAAGCGAAGAAACGAGAGAAAGAATAGCTAATCACGCTGCTGAGACTGTAAAACTCACTGACAAACAGCTATAATCCCCTCATGCATGCATGCTTATATTTACAAGAGCTATAGGAGCGTCATCCTCTCCTAACACCACCCGCACCTTTCAAGCTCCCACTCCCCATAGCTCAGTCTTGTTAATTTTATAAGATCCAGCATATTGCCACTTATCGGCTGGCAGTGTTGTAAAAGCTCTGGGGTCAGTGCATTACTGAGCTGCTGGGCTCTACTCTTCCATTAGAGGGAGTGTTCAGGCAGCGTCGGCCTTCACTCAATCAAATACAGGCTGCAAACGGCTGCTCCAAGTGCAGATGAGAGGGCACAAGCACACACACTTTCACACATACACACACATATACTACATACAAATGGAGACTCCTTCACTCTGTGGTTGTGAAACTATCGTACGCATAAATCTGAGCACATAAATCCAAGCACGTATACACACACACACATGCTCAGTCAGTCAGTCTCAGAGTGTGTGCTTATCCTCCCCTTTTCGAGCCCCGAGGGGCTAACACGTTCATTTGCATGGAGTGTTTGCATGTAAAAAGAGTAAATGTATAGGTGTATGTGCTCTCATACAGCAGGCTGACGTTTTAACCACTTGGCATTTTGAGCAGATTCAAACACTAAATGAGCTGTAGCTTCTCTCCATCTGTGGATCGGGTGAAGAAGATGAGAGGTGAAGCTTTGAGTGATTTGAAATAAAACAAAGAGAGTGGGATGGATTAACTACACATGACTAAACAGACGTTTGAATAAAGTTTGTGTTTGTGTGGACGATGATTAGCAAAACTGTTTTGCAAAATCAATTTAAGGTCAATGTCAGGGTGTCAAGGGGTCAAGGCCATGGCCAAGTTAGGTTGATTGTAATAAGATGCATGCCTCTAACTGCAAGGATGCTAAAATTATGAAATTTGCTGACCTACATTTGGCTTTGCTTTCCTTTTCTTTAGAGTACATAATCTAAAATTTGCAGACATGTGGGTTTCATTCAAAACCGTCTTCTGAAATCTACAAATTTGAGTAGAACAGATACTTTACATGATTTTGTATCAGGAATAAAATGTCTAATGTCCAAAATGCAGCTTTCTAGAAAAAAAACCCAATAATGATAGGGTAGTTGTATAGCCCCTTGACTATTAAATTGGCGCTATAATTTCTTGTCTGGTTGCTATTTCATATATTTCTAATGGATTTGATTCAGTTTTATTCAATACTGAAATATACTTCATATATTTCCAGACAGAGCACATACAAAGAAAGAGGCTCCCAGTGAGTGTTTGCACATTTATAAACATGTATGGAATTCTCTTGCAGGAGTAAAGCTGTGAATGGGTGGGTTGTGGGTGGACATATGAAGAAGAAGCCCCCTGACAGACTTTGCATGAGAATGGCCGGGGTCCTGTGAACCTTCTGCTCCCTGTGTCCACATTCACTGGCATCGCTGCGGTTAGCATGACAAACTAGGCTTCAAGTTCTTGGACATTTTAAAAGCAGCCACCACCCCTTAACCCCCTCTCCCATTGTATCATCCTCCCCCATCCATGTTCTGGCACCAACATGAACCCCTTACCCTCAACTTGCTCCTCTGGGTGCACTATGGGGTGGGCCTGCAGACTTTATGAAGTGTCTAAGGGGGGTACCAAGTTCAGGGGAGGCCGGGAGAAGTTCACTGCACATGCTCACAGACACAGATACACATAAACATAAACTTGTGCATGAAGAAATACATATTTTTCATAGTATTACAAACGCATTGGTTTTCATAAGGACTTCTTTAACATCTTTACATTAAAAAAGAAATGAAAACAAACTTCCAAAGAGAATTTTAGTTTCACACAAAATGATACCTCCTCCAAAATATCGCAGAGAATTTTCCTCAAAAGGTTTTTTGCCTTTTTTACACCACGCCAACATGGTTTAGAGTCAGCCTCTTATTACCCGCACACGTGTGAACAGTCATTGGATCTGAAATTAGGACACTTACATAAGCATTTAATTTTGTATGTGTGCATGCACGAATGGCTCATCAGCAGACCACAACTGAACTCAGTGAACCCATGTACTTTGGATTCTGATGCATCAAAACAAAATAAAACACAACAACACATCACATGTTTGTGATCAAAACCTTTTGTAATAATAATAATAAAAAAGAAGTCCTAATCCCAACTGTGTGTCTGTTAGAGAAGCTTATCCGGGAAGACAGTCCTTGCATGTTTTATTGTTGCTTTGGGTGTTTGCTGGTTGTATAAAAGCAACAGTATTTGTAGGGCAACCATTTAACATTAACGTGTTCATGAATTCTAAGTGAGTCTTTATTACCACACTGTAAAATTAATACAAACAATTAACATTAGTCTGTTTTATGTTAATGTGCATTTTATATCATGGTAAATTAATGAGTATTTTTTAGAGCATGCTCTTGCAATGTTTGTGTGTTTATGGCTACTGTGGATCCTGCAGGCCGTGGACCCGCTTTTAATACAAATGTGCTTGTTCTCTTTTACGACGGCATTACCAATCTTTTTAATGAGCTCAATTTGGAAAACAAAACTGCACTGTATTCCGAGGAACCTTTTTCAGACAGGCCCAGACTAACATTTTAATGTGTATACACATGAAAGGATTTATTTACCCTCAGTATTAGTGAGTGCAAACAGGATGTGAAAATCAGGAAATAAAAACGTTAGAGAATAAACACTGATATATGAGACAATAATGGGTAATAAGAATGCAGTTTATGAACACTGGCATTTTGCTTATTGAAACCCTTTTTACATGTATATGCTATTCTTATTACATCATTCATTGTGCGTGAATGATACGTCTCCTTTTCTCATTCTGCACTATTAATTAGATCTCTCCTCTGGTGAGCAAGTTTAACCAATCAAAGTGTGTGTTAATGCATGTGTGTGTGTGAGGCCCACATTACTGAGCGGTGTTGTACATTAGATATTGCAGAAATACCATGATATATGTTTATGTAAAATAATAATGTGGTCTTTACAATAGCAGCTTTCTTTTTTTTTTTATTTAGCTGGTAACAATCCACACATTTATCTCATTACAGTAAATAAAATCAAAGTAAAAAAGAGAGTGTTGTGCATCTTTTATTTCCTTTGCTGTAATTTGACACCATAACTTCTCAACAATACTTTACAAGCCATAAAAAAATACACACTCCCCCTCACCAGTTGTCCCATTTGTTTTTACTGCTGGAGAGCTTTGTGCTGCTCTGTCCTGCTGTTAAAGGCCTTTGTTTGTTAACAGACCAGGATGTTAGAGACTGTGCGTGCACAAACAAACAGCAGGGCAATTAAAAGACAATGAGTTGACCCCTGGGGGTTCGTTCGTCTTAACAATAGACTGCTTTTACAACAGAGAGTCGCACATCACTGTGGAGGGGAGGTAAGAAAAGTTTTGATAAACTTTCAGAGGGATGTATGTGGAACAAAAAAACAACAAAAAAAGCTGTGATATTTATATTGCTTAGATTTAAATTTAAAAAAATGCAAAAAATTGTAAAAAAAAAAAAATCTTTCAAACCTTTAATCTTACCAAGTGTTTTTATCTTACTTGGAGCCAAAATATTTCATTAAACCAAGTACAAGTGACAAATACCTCACCAATTTTGAATTTCCTTTTTTTATTTTTAAGAAAAAATGAACAAATAAAATACATCTATATATTCAACTCCAAATAAGATGTATTTTCTTAAGTGTAATGACTTACCTGCATTAGATACTTTGACTTGAAATTCTACACAAACAAAGACTGAGATTGTTTGAGTATGAAAAATGACCAGGCTCACTTTATATCATGAGAGATAAGAGTTTTTTTTAGGAGGATATTATGCACAAATAATGTTAGATATAAATATGGATGAGTTGGTGTAAGAAAAATAAAAGGACACTGGCAATAATTTCTCTAATACAGAGGACATTTTTTTCATGTTTTTCTTCATGATCACAATCAGCAGAGAGCAGGCCTCGCTGTCAGAGTTGTACGCTGTATACAGAGTGTATGTGACATGATCCGTAACTCCATCTATAGGTGTTATGGTATCATTCCCACCATTAAAGAGGTTTTCCACCTTCCCAATGACCTCCGCCTCGCCTCACAGGACACAGAAAACGACCTGATGGCAATGTCTTTCACTGTACACAACAGTGTGCGAGCGTGTGTACATATGTGTGTGTGTGTGTTTGAGTGTGAGCGTCTGTGCATGGAGGGTGGGTCACTTGGTGTACGGACTCCCGTCTTCAGAAAACCTCCAGCCTGTAGGGTTTCAGCCTTCTCCCCGGTGAGAGTGGGGGAATCTAGCATGGCCAGTAAGCATGTATATCAGGCCATCTCACGGCTGGCTGGACGCTCCCTGGGTGGGCCACCATGGTCAATACTGCACTGGTGACTGGACACACAGAATGGGATAATCTCCTACTTTCTTTCAGGGCCATGGTGCACACACGCAAACACACACACACACACACACACACACACACACACATAGATCTCCTTTTATGCCGGCCTGGCCACAGAGGCTCGCCTGGCCCTGATTTCAGGTCAGGAACCAGTCAGGGGGAGGCCGAGAGAGCCAGGGAACCCGGAGCGAGAGAGGGGACAGTGTGAGGTGGGATGGGGGGGTAGTGAGGGGAGGGGAGCAAGGAGCCCATTTCAGCCAGAGCAGCGGAGCACACTGGGGGCACTGGGGCATCGCCTTCACTGGCTGTTGAGGGAAAACAAAAGGAGGTGTGATCCCCACAAAACATAGGTTCAGAGCGTATGAGTGTGTGTGTGTGTGTGTGTGTGTGTGTGCTTATGAATGTGTATCATTGTTCAGAGTTTCCTTCAGCTCCAGCAACTCGCTTCAACACCCCTGCTGCTCACACACAAAGGCACCTAATTGACACCACAGATTTAGGCCACTAGCTTTAACTGTTCCCCATCCAGCCCTTCGGCCACTGCTGGAATAGTCAGAGTAACCCAAGTATACAGGCACATATAGCTCAGTCATTGCACATCTTTCATGATTCTTATATATGAAGCATTAATGGCTGAAAATAATCTTTATTTTTCTAAGGGTCAACAAATCCCTCTAAGACCAAAACCAACAATATGTCAAGAGTCTCTCAAAATGTCATATTGCTTGCTCCGCTGGGTCTTCCTTAAACCGCTGAAATGGGGGACATAAATACACAGTTCAGTCTTTCAAAAATGTACAAAAAGTTGCGGGTACACCTGGGCGCTGTAATTTTAATCCAGTGTCACTCAGATGAGAGAAAATACAGTAAGTATGGATCCATTTTCAGGTGCACATGAATCCATGCTTGAATCTTTAATTTACAGAGCTTAGTGAGATTGACAGAAAGCGCTCATGTTTAAGTGCAAATATGCAAATTTGTTTTTTAAAAGCCATTCAAAGACAGAGAGCAATAAGTCTGAGGTAAGGTGCAACAAGCTGTGAATACACAAGAGATTTTTTTTTCAGCTTTAGTCGACCCATTGTTGTTGTTGTTGTTCGTCATTTCTTAGGAGTTGTTGATGAAAAATGAAAAATGTAGAACTTCACTGAAATTGTCCTTTCAGGTTCAGCTACAATCTCATGAACAAAAGAGGAAACTAAATGACACAGAAACAAAATAATGGAACAAAAGAGGGGGGAAAAAAAGCAAAGACAAATTTTCATTTTGTAGACAGTTCGACTTTATTGAAATTTATATCACATCAAGGCCAAACTCTTAGCATTCAGGAGATCTGTTTTAACATTTCATGATAAATTACCCAGTGAAAAAATGAGTACACCATATCCCAGAGAAAAGCAGAAACTAGGATGACATCCCCAAAACTTGTTAAACAATTTTCAAGTCAAATACTTGATCCTAAATTACTGAGTAAAAGGAAGGACCCCTTGGGGTGTCATCCAATCTCAGACCTGATATTGGTTTCAAACACAGTAATTCATATCCAATAAAAATAACTTTAGCGAATTTTGCTCAGAAGCTCCATTTTTATAATCCATGCAGCTTTTTAAATTGATTCAACCTCTAAACTTACCTCTTAAAGATGGCTCCAACTTACCTGTCCTCGTCCATAAAAGCCGCAGACTGGAAAACTGATAACTGTGTGTGTCTATTTAAACATGTCCATAGAAACTGGGCACAGACTGCATGTGTGCATTTTGACAGCAGGGTCCAATGGTGTTTCTTTTTCAATCTCTCTGGTGGAACTGCTGACTGGTCCCATCTGTGAAGACAAAAAAGGAAAAGAAAGAAAGGGATTTAAGACAGTAGACAGGAATGGCTCATGTCCTAAAACAATACATGTTTGACTATCTCAGAAATTCCCTGTCGTGACTCAAACACTTGAAAAGACAGGTGTACATTGAAAATCTGTTCATAAATCATATGCACTATTAAGCTGGGATGATGCTGTTTGCGTCATCACCTCCTCCAGACACACCAAACTGTCAGTTCTTGCTGCATGGAGGTTAGGCTGTGTTTTCCTGCATGGGTGTGTGCGTGTGTTGCGTTTGTTTGTGCGTCTATCAGCTGTCTGTATCTATGGTGTGTGTGACCCCTGAGCTTGCAGACAGTCATGGGTCAAAGGTCAAGGTAGAGGCTGTCTGGGCTTCCTGGCTGGAACCAACGCCTGCAGCACTAACACACAAGCACATACACACTCGCGCAGACACACAAGAGGGAGGGGGGGGGGAGGTTGCACCCCTACCAGACTAATATCACCTTTGGGATTAGGATCCAGACAGAAATACATTGACCCCAAAGACACGCACATCCGCACGCACAAATACACACGGAGAGTCTGTAGATCTGCTTGGTCATAAAACAGGACTGGATTGGCTTGCACGCAGAGATGCTGAGTCTGAGAAGGCCATGTAATTATGTTCCAGTGCTGAGTTAAAGAGGGGAGCAGAGGGGACAGGGGAGGTTGAGGCGTCGCCATGGTGAGCAGAAAAAGCAGCTAACACAGGGCTAGATTGCTAGCTAGCTTCATCAAAGTGTAAATGCTGCAAGGATGAAGAAGACAGGGGAACTATGATAAAAAAAATAACCTTAAATATCCCAAACAATGAACATTTTCAGCTTGTTAAAGGTATTAAATGAACATTTAATGTCTCAACCAGCACCCCATAAAACAGCAGTTTATTTTTTAAGCTAAATTTTGTTTCTCTCAGTCACATGTCAGACAGTTAAACACTGCAAATGGTTCAACTACTGCTGTGTCCGAAATGAATCACTCAATCCCTAACCCCTAACCCCCATACAGGGTTTCACTGACGATGTAGTGAGCTCAATCACTGGAGGTTTCAGACACTACATGGCGCACCGTTGTGACGTCACTGCTGAGACTGCTGCGTCTGAAGTTGCGGCTGTTTTTTTCACATCTTTTATGAATTTTATGATGTTGTATGGATGTATTTGTTTTTCCAGGATGTTCAGGAAATAAAAAAATATATAAAATAAAAAAATAATAAATTAGTAATTGATTCAAAAGGCCTTATATTTTCGTGCTGAATATTGCTTGCTGCGTCATATTGTGCACAAGACTATATGACGCAGCAAACAATCGTTCTTCGAAAACTGAATTTATGCTGAAAATGGCAAATAGAGCTCGGGTTCTGTCTCTTCTTGCTCTCGTCATCTCCATCTTTGAATTGCCGCTGGAGATGCAATGCATAATGGGATGCCCACCACCGGTGAGTGACCATCGGATGGTCACTACATTTTGCAATGCTCTATGTGGAAATTGGGAGTTGCCTATATTGGGCATTGGAATTGATCACTCAGGTTTGGGACACCCCTCAAAATGACGCTAATCCCCATATAGTCCATTCCGGACACAGCCTAAAAAACTGCAGGAATTAAGAGCTCGTAGCACCAATCTGGATAAAACAACACCAGAATACCAAACACTTGTTTAAGAAGAAAATCAGAAATCAAAGGGAAACAAGACTGCAGGATCTTAGCTCAGAGTGGAAACAGAAAAAAAAGGTCAAATTCAGAGGAGCTGCTGACGGGCTTCACTGCCAGGCCATCGGGAAAACTCCCCAAACAAGCCAGAGTGTTAAGCCCGCTAATCCCCTGTATTATTGCAACATCTGTGAGGTCTAGAGAGGCTCTGCCAGTGATTAGCAAGACAGATGTAAACAATATCCTGGCTGAAGAGGAGGAGAGAAAAGAGGAGAGTGCCTGGTATGGAGGGAGGATGGTGCTGGAAGGATATTCAAAGTAGAGGGAGAGAGAGGATGTGGAGAATATAAAAAAAAAAGTATCAGTCAAAGGGTCTGAGGGGAAAACAATGAAAAACAGAAACTCTTCAGAGAAAGTGATTCTAATTTATACAAATGACAACATTTAAAAAGGGAGGTTTATGAGCCGAGGATGTTTGAGGAAAATGAGTAGACGTTGAATCGAGTACAGTAGATGGGGGAGGTGGAAGGAGACAGAAGGTGACAGCATGAGGGGGAGAAGTAGCAGCAGATTGGGAGACGGCAGATCCAGGGCCAGGGGTGCCCCGACCGGCTGACGAGACACCAGGGAGACGTGCCTAATTTATGCAGAGTTAGGCTGAGCGGCTGAAGAGTGGAGGGTGTCTGGGACCCCTTTCAATAGGCCCATAGAATAAAGGGGAGCAGCTCTGGATGCTAGCAGTGTGGGAGCAAGAGGGCTATGGGGGAAGATAAAGGGGGGATGGGGGAGTCTGGAGACAACAAGAGGGGGTAGAGGCTGTTCGCCATGCTCAATGCAGGCGAGGCTGTCCGTCTGACGTCCCATTAAGGCTCGGGACAGGGCATGGGGAACGAGGCGATGAAGGGGAAGAGGGGAGGGAGGAGGAGAAGGACCTGAACTCCCCCTCTGCTAGGGATGCTCTCCCCCCCTACACTTCAGTGTTCTCCTCCAGTCTGGCTACCTATTAGATCCACATGGCCGTCTGTCTGCTTCTCTGCATACTAATTCCCCATTACAGCAACCTTGAACGTGAGCAAAGACCAGGGCCGGACTAAATCAGAGACAAGTAGCTGGGCTGATTGGCTGGCTGGTTGTATAAAGGGCTAAAAGAGCACTTCAGGTACCACGCAGGCGGATTTATCAGGCCGGAGTCATGTGTTAGGGTGCTAGGCTCAGACTGGCAGAACAGGTCATATAATGAGGGCAGTTTAGACTTTAGAAATGTATTTATTCATCTTTATTAGATCAGGTAGTATAAACTGATTTGGTCTACTGTTATGATAATTTTAAAACAAAAAAAAATGGTTGCAAGATTGCATCAAGAGTTAACACTGTATTGATAAACATCTATTCAATCCTGGAAAAATATATTTTTATATTTTCTTCTTGGGTTGGGAGGGGGAATAACTCAAACATATCAACTCTAACAGAGTAGTTTGTCTTTGAGGGGTCTATCACAAAGATCTGCAAGGTCCTCAAATACTTTACAGAGGACTCCAAATTTAATAGATGGTTCTCTCAAGATGGTAAGCTCTCCTCTCAAAATATCTGTACTGACAAGGAGTGTGTGGCGTTTAACATCAACTTATATGATAACTTCAGGTGACCATATCCTGACTTCCCAAAAAGAGGACGCGACTATGTGGGGGCGGAGTCACAGAGTCCCATGAAGTTAATTTTGAGAGTATTTCGGGTCGGATTGAGTGTTTTCTACGCGCTTCTAACTCAGTAAGTCCACGTGACACAAAATGGAAACTTACGTACAAAACCGCAGAGATTTGTACGTGGACAGCCCCCAAAAAAGAGGACATGTCCAGGTAAAAGAGGACGTATGGTCACCCTATGATAACTGTAAATAACTTTTGTTTTAATTGTGCAAAATGATTAAATTATGCGTGTTACTCATTTTGGACTTGGACAAACTCCTGAGCATGAGCACTCACACATCATAACAAGCTAAGCTAGCACAGCTACTTGCACGGTTAAATCTATAAATGGCTGAACAAACAGCACCAGAAGACAAAACACAAGCACAGTCAGCCTCACATTTACTATCTTTAGATTTAATTTGCTAGACATTGATCATCCTCACTTACATGGAGGTGGTTTAGCTTAAAAATGGACATGTCAGGAATCTATCGCTGCTACAGCCAGTTCCACAACTAACTAGTTTTACCATCTCAGCAAATTAACCCCTGCACAAAATGAGAATATAAAAAGCTTCAGGAGTCAGTTGACCTCTTCTGACCTGCTAAGGCAACAGCGAAATAAAAATAGACTCAGCAAACTTTGTGTTTTATTTCCTTTGGATTTTTTTAAAATGCGGTTTTGGTGCAATATTTGAGAAAGTAAATCCTGTAAGTCAATTTCAAATGGTGTACTTCTACTCGCACGGTTTGATTTCAGCGCACTCACACTGGCCATTTCAATGTTTCTGCTCTGTATTAACTTAAAGAAGTTAGTTTTAAGTGAATAAGTCAGATCTGTTTTTTTTATCATTTTCATTATATTTGAGATCATTACCAACTTCTAAATACTATTAATAATACTGAACAGTAGACCACTTCTACAAACACCTTTTGCGTGACTCAAAATAACGTTAAGTCCCTGAAAAATATCGAGATACAATTTTTGTCAATATCGCACACTACATATATCTAAATGAGTGTTCGAAACCTTGCATCCGTTCAATTTTTGACTGTGAGGAAACATACCGTTTGCTTTGTGTATGTGAATTCTGGCTGATAGCCAAGTGAATCAGTGTGTGCGTGTTGTTGGAGGACCCGGCAAGAAGCAGAACAGACAGGCGGGCTGGGTGATGGTTGAGTCTGGTGATGCAGGCAGACAGTTTAATGACAGTCCTCACCCCTGAACATACAAGCTAGTGAGCGGCCGGCATGCTCTTAGATGTACACACAGCGTATGACATGTGCACATATATGTGTGATGTATGGTGTGGCGTTTTTCTGAAAAAGACACCGGGCCCGATGAAAATGAAAGAGAAAGAAATCTCTCTGTGTATGACCCCGGAAAAAAATATCTGGAGGGGCTAGAAATGACTAACAGGAGCCTCTTTTGACCGTCGCTTTTCTCTGTTAAAAATAAACAAGAGTTTGGAGTTTTTCCTGTGGCACATTTACACCTTTCACCTCACATTTTATAACAAGATTTAAACGGATGATCAGCTCCAAACACTCCACAAACTGTCAGACACTGTAAGAAATCACACTTTGAGATAAATAAGTCTGTATGCCTGCTTCTTGTAACATTCTGGTAGGGACTGATGCAAAGTACGAGGTATTCAGAGGCTCAACAGAAGCCAAACTCTTTGTGTGAGTGTGTTTTTTTTTTTTTGTAATTCCTGCCTGGCCATGGCCTCGCATCTTATTCAGCAGGACTCGCACAGGTCTGGACTTGAATTTGGTGCCCAAACAAAGACATAGAGCCAGCTCATTAAAAAAACATGTCATTGGATCAGGTCTGGGCTGAATTGTGTGATTTTCCCTCCTACCATAAGTGGCCATGACTGAGCGTTGGGCTGAATCAGAGGCAGGATAGAGGCCTACCAATGGAGCGCCACGCTACATCCCTATGGGAACCACCCCTTCACAGAGGGGGGCACATTTAAAGCTTTGTGGCTCTGTTAACACAGCTTTTTAAAACGCCTCTTTATGGACTCAGCTAAGCAAACTGCAGCCCCTGGTTTTCTTGTGCCAGAAGGAGAAGGTGAAAAAAGCTGTGAGAGAGAAAGGAGACAGAGAGGGGCAACAGAAAAAGAGAGAAAAAGGGTTGAAGAGCGTTTTTTAATCATCCATGGGAAGTATAAACTTTAAAGCCATGACAGCTAGAGCCAAAGAAATTCAAATAAGGTATTGTTTTTAAATCTAGTTTATAAAGAAACTTGCCAAACTAAAGATAGCACGACCTTATCCAGAAGGCTCTGTAGATACAGCTGCTTTCGCGGCATCTGATCACCTGAGAGCTGAACTTTGTAGTGAGAAACAGCAGAACCAGGTCAGTGACAAACTGCAGCATCTAACAGTGTCCTCTGATACAGTCAGCACACACGTTTACCCAGAGGACTACAGACATCCTGCTGCTGGAACAATAGGTCTGTGCGGATCTGTGTGTGACAAACTTGTACTTTGGAAACCTGGGCCAGAGACCTAGTCAGTCTCTCAGGGCGCTCAGGATGACAGTAAAATGAATAACAATGAACTCGCAGAGAGTCAAGTTCAGAACATTAGAAATGAACCAGAGCTGAGGAGCACAGCGGTACACAAAGGAACAGTATTTCTGACTGTGCATGTGAGTGTGTGTGTGAGTGAGTGTGTGTGTGTGTGTGAATATGCATAATTGTGTCATCGTGCTCAGGGAACATCTCAATATGAGCAGGGCGCCAAGCACCAGAGAAGAGCACCCACTAAGATGAAAATGCACACACACACACACACACACCTCCTCTCCTCTCCGCTCTCTTGCTCCCCTCCCTTTTCCATCTCGCCGTGCACATGCAGCAAGGACCCCGTCCTCGCAATTCTATCGCTGTCTGCTGCGCGCCTGATGAAAAAACACAACGAGCATAGGGGGTGCACATGCCTAAAGGCGAGAAATCTCACGTTTGTAAATCACAGCCCCAATATAAACATAGGGTTTAATAGGGGTTTCTGAGGCGCGTTGGCAGGGGTCCACCTTGCTGTGCGCTTCACCAGCCACGTTGCAATTTTTTATTTATTTTTTTTGCCTTTTACGGAAATGTGACTGAACAGCCGCCACCTGCACCACCATCCAGCAGAGAGGGTGGTGCACACAGAGCTGAGAATGCATCTGAATACATTTACATAAAGATGGCGCCATGACTGAGGCTCTGCTGAGGATGCAGCATGCTTGTCATTGTCCCCAAAAATCTGATTGAAACGTTACGGGAGGGGGGATAAAACGGGTTCTGAAGAAACAGGGGAGCTTTTCTAAGAGTCTGCTGGGAGCATAGAGTTTCATGTCCTCTATTATGTTAATGGCATCAGCTGTGTGTATGAATGGATTGACACAATCAGGGGAGTAGTGTGAAGGATATATGTAGAGCAATGAAAGCTAAATAAACAGGAATTATTATTTTAGCCAGTAAGACCAATACTCAGTGTCTGATAGAGGATCAAATTGAGAAGTTTGGGACAATAGGTGGGCTTACAATCAGATTAAAATAAGGAAAATGGCCCAATTGGCGTAAATATCACACATATAAACACTTTGGTCAGAATAAAACAACATAAAATACTAGAATTGTAAACAGAAATACAGAAACATACACACCTATTCCCACTGAACTGTGGAGGCAGATATTTTGAATGTGCTCATTAACTTGAGACTGCACACTTAACACTTCCACGGTGCAAAACTGGTTAAAGAATGAGACAAGGGTCCTTTTAGGTATTTTATTTATTTACTTTAAATATAATTTATCAGCTTGAAAAAACAGAGATTAATATTGTCTCATCCACAAGGAACTTGGAACTGGAAGATTTATGTAAAACCACCTGATATGGACAAACAAGCTAGTTACTTTTCACCAACTGAGAGCTAGAATATGCAAAAATCCAAACAAAAGTTCATCCCTATTTTTAAATAAGTAACAATCCTGCTGAAAAAATAAAGTCTTACAAGGGTACATTGTGCAAAAAAGCAAAGATTTCTTGAATATAATTTATGTTAGAAATATAGTCAAGGGATAACTTCAGCGGAGGAATGTTCCAGAGTGATTTCTTTACTACCTCATGGAGCAGAAAATAAAAAAATAAAAATCCTGCAGGGATATTTGATAGTAGAGTGACTTTAAAATACTGCAGATATGAGACCCTATTTCATAACACACAGCACAGATATTTCAGCCGCAGATTTTATTAGGAGATAAACTGACCAGATTTTACTGTAACAAATTCAGAGGATAGGATTCTGGTAACCTTTTAATCAAATAGATGGGACGTAAGGGTGAACATGGCCTGAGGTACGGTGCAGCTTTTTGGAGGAAGCACTTTAATTTTAAAAAATACAAAACAAGGTAGGCAACAGAGAAAGAGGGAGAGAGGGAGAGGGAGAGAGAGAGAGAGGGTGCAGTGAAGCCCCGTGATAAACCTCTTGCAGATATAGTCAGCTAGCCAAACCATCCTGTCAGATCAGTGCCTGAGGAGAGGCAGAGGGGGAAAGAGAGGCGGCGGAGAAGGGGAAGAGAGCAAAACACGGGTGAAAAGGGTCAGCAGGGAGGAAGGCTAAACCCCAGAAGCAAGCAAAAGATTGTGTGCGCGGTGCATTTATATTTCAGCGTGTGTGTGTGTGTGTGTGTGTGTGTGTGTGTGAGAGTATATGTGTGTCAACCCCAGCTGGGCAGACATTTACTTGACATGCTGATAGGGATTTAAGCAGTGGGTGGGTGGTGTGTCTGACCAAGGTGAGTGAATGAGCAGAGAAGGGGAGCTGGTGGGGATCGGAGGATGGTAGGAGGCGGAGGAGGCAGGGAGGGGGAGAAGGAGGAGGTTGGGGGGGGGGGGTTGTACCAGAGGGTCTTACAAAACTGCCGTTACTAAGCTTGATTTCAGCGCGAGTTGAGATGATTAGGAGACGGAGGTAGAAATGAGGAGGAAAAACAGTGGTGTAAGGGAGGTGGGTTTTTATAGGAGAACCCTCCAGGCTATGGGAAAGAAGGGGGGACCAGTCTATTGAGGTGATGAGGGAAAGCGGGTCTTTCTTTCAGACGGTCTAATGAAGCATAAGTCCCCGATGAAGAATGGAGGCAGGCTACCGCAGGGTGGGTTAGCTTGTGTCTCTGCTCCTTTCCATTTTCCCCCTCTTCTCCTCTCCTTCCGTCCTCCTTTCCTCTTTTTTTTCTCCCTCCTTCTTCCCATCTCCTCTTCATGTGCTGCAGTCCCTCCTCTTAAAGGGCTTACACTGTTTATTTCTAACGTGCCGCAAGCTCAAGCACTCGCCTCTCACATGATTTGATGAAATGGCAATGATACAGTGACCGGCTGCATTTCACCAATAAAGAGGAGTGCTATTGACGGCTGCTTCATCCAAGAATGAGAGACACGGCAAAGCACGGGTTGAAATTAGCAAATTGCACGGACTGAGAAACAACACACCGTGTCCGGAAATTTGGTTTGAATTTGGGATTATTTATGCAGTCTAGCCGAAGCATTAAAAAGAGGTACATGCGATGAATGATACATTTCGGATTGTGGCGTGCACACCTACGATGAACCCCTACCCGACATGTTAAATTACAGGAGGCAGCAGACTGAGACAGACAAGAGGTGGGGAGGGGGGGCTGTCAAAGTGTCTGACTTGGTTTGACTGTGTTTGGCTGGGGGTTGTTTGACCAGGGGGTTGACGGGGCTGCAGGACTGATTTCTGGCTCGATTTGGCTCAGGGCCGGCTGGAGACCAGCCAGAGGCTGACTGAAGAAGTAAGGGGGGGGGGGTTCTCCCTTTGCTTCTCAACTAAAGTTGTCCCCAGAGCGAAGCAATAAGAAGCAGCTTATAACGTAAGCAAACATGGAGGCAGCTTACAGACAGTCATCTATAGCCAGGAATGGGCAGCACACATGAACCACACACACACACACACACACACACACACACACACACACACACACACACCCCTGACCTTGACCCCTGAGGTCCTTCCTAACCTGTTTCTGAATGGAAGTCGGTGCAGCTGGGGCGTCTAGTCTTGAACTAACCACAACCCCCCTCTACCTCACGGACCCCTCATTGCCTAATCATTTCGCCCGTTCCCACGCCTGATGACTGGGTGCTGTCTCTGCATCTGAATGGTGTGATTTAATATTTATGTGGCGCCCATAGTCCTGTCTGTCTGTTTTTAAGGCGACAACAATTGCAGGATTATCCGTCATTATCATGAATAACCTGATAAACATAATTCTGAATCTTTTATCTTGAATTCAAGAGGATTTTCTTTATCTTTGCACTATTTATGTTTCATGTTAACTTGAAACTGCAGCCTCTCTCTGTGGCTCACTCTTACACAGCTAGAGCACATACAGTACATACAACCCCATATAATGTATGTGTGAGTGTGTGTGCATGCTCATACACGTCATTCAGGGGGGTTCAAACCCCTCCACCTTCACATTTTCATTACAGCCAAATCTCAGGCCTGTGCTACAGCCGCGTGGCCTTTTGCTGGCTAGCAGGCAGTTTAATCACACATACAGCACTACTCCATTTTCATTTCCTTTTCATACAGCCTCCATTCCACTCTGGCTTCATAATTCTCCCCTCAGAGCTGTCTAACCCGCCTGAGTGTTTGCAGCCTGTTGAAATGACATAATCAGTGACTTGGATAAATGCCTGACTGTTTTTCCACGAGTCTATAATCAGACTTGGGGCTCAGTGTTGCACCTCTGAGGAAACAGCAGCAACACTTGACTCAGGAATTACTTCCTAAGGAGGGGAGTTTCACAGAAGGAATTTGGCTGAGTAGCAATGCAATGACTTTTTTTTTTTTTACTTTGATCAACAAAGTGCGGTTTGAAAAATAAAACAGTTGTAGAAGTATAAAAAGTGCTGTATGTGCAATCAGTTACACAATTTTTGATTTCACATCTTTCAATATGTCAGTTTGAGTCTTAATTTATTCATATAAAAGAGACTAAACATATTTCTTGATATGTATTTGTTCATTTTAGTAAATTGTTTAAAAATGTTTATCTTGTACGGTGGTTTTTAAATATTTGTCTTCATCTAATTCAACATTTCAAAATAAAAGGCCTCATAACAAACGCAGCTTTCTTACATCATAAAGGGAAGAAAAAAAATACAATTCTTTCTTTTGCCTGAAAATAGTTAATCTGACTGTTCTATAATGTCTTGCATGTTTAAGTTAAAAAATATAAAAGATAAAAAAATATATAATTTTGTCTTTTGAATATTAAGTTGTTTTGGCAAAGAGCTGATTACATTATTTGTTGGTTTCAAGAAACAAAGAAAGACGTGGGCTGGGATGAATTGAGCGATGGCTGTAAATGCTTTCAGCAACTATTACTTCAGTGGGTGGAACACATTCAATCAATACCTAAGCAAATAAAAGCAGTGGGCAGTCTGAATGAGGAAAGCTGCAGCGGACTGGACGACAATCACACTCACACAAATGAACAGTCCACATCCAAGCTTCTGCATTAACATTACGAGGAAATGCAACTCTAAATACAGATTTAATTATTGGATTAAACTGTTTGACTGTAACAGCTGAAGCCAAATCTAGATTTTGATCTTTTTTGGTATTTCTTGTGTAAAGTTTGTGCCAGGAGATCTTATATTTCACTGTTACCAAATAAATCTTCAAATCATGCAAGATTTTTTTTTTCTCATTCATATTTCAATGCTACTCTTTTACTGTAAATAACAGTATAGATGTACTTATAAAAACTCAAGCCAAAAAAGGCACATCATTTGTGTGTTTAGGATGAATATGAGTCATATTCATGGCACTATATGGAAGCATTAGACACTCCTACATGTGGTTTGTTGCTGCAGGTCTTTGTAGCAGCAGATACATCCTTTCAGCTCAAACCTCTCAGACACATACGTACACACCACTTTGCATTCATGCACATACAATAAGTCCATTCAAAGCAATGCCTGGTGACCATCCTGTGTGTTTTCTTTGCAGTGACGCACTGTCACATTACGCTTTAAGTGTGTTTTCTAAAGCTTTCTACACAGCGTGGCGTTGGTATTCGTGTCTAGTTTTTTGTATAAGCGTGTATGGACAAATAGATTAGCCTGCAAGTGTGCGTCTTTGCGGGGTTGTGTACATTACAGAGCATGCAACAGTTACAGCCTCCAGGTTACATACATCATCTAGTATTTTGTTCATGTTGTGCTTCATATAACATACGGTTCCCATTATTTACTATGCAAATGAGGAAACATCAGTTCCTCCCCCTTAATTCCACATCATCCATAATACTATACTATTTCTTCCTAACACCCACCTCCCTGCACTGCTCTTCAATCCCAGTTCCCATGACCGACCTTTTTATAGAACACACACTTGAAAATATATACATGTACAGATCAGGTTAAAATCTGTCTCTTTTAGTTCCTCTTCAACATTTAATTTTCATTTTTCCACAAATGAAGCAAGGTTTAATAAATGTTATTGCATAAACTAAAAAAGAAAAGAATGAATTCATTATTTCTATCTTATTCTAATGTTTGATATCTTTCCACATCTGCTTGTCTCCCTGACTGCTTTTCTCCCTCACAGACCTGTACATTAGCATGAAGCCTCTCCAGGCTAACTTCAGCTGCTCTTAAAGCTAACCTGCTTTCCACTTCAGCCTCATCAGTGTCACTCTGAGCTGATTAAACAGAGAAGCTTGATTAAATTGTCTGAGCCTGACAGAAAAGACAATAGCAGCCTTGAACAAACCTTTATAAGATGCAGTAATGCTAACACGTGATTTCAGATGCTAAACACAATCTGTTATTTGCTGCATCATAGGCAACTCCAGGTAATACCTTACATGAACCCACTTCTTATAACGCATCATAAGCACATTTATAAATAAATAAGCATTGATAACAGTGCTATAAGCACGAAACATAATGCCTTATAAAGGTATGGTTTATAATGCAAAAGAAAAAGATATAATTATAGAAACGTATTCTTGCCGTGCAGTATATTTGTCTGACGCTTTACATAATACTGCTGATAATTCTATTAAATTTGCTAGTTGGGGCAGTCACTTAACTTATCAACTGAGTATCAATCAGATATCTGAGAATTGAACATCATAGACGTTATCTTTTTTTAAATTTGTTTAGTTATATGAAAATGACTTCTTAGTAAGTTTATATCTGGGTAAAGTTGTAAAAATTGTGTGTTATTAAACCCAGAATTCAAAAGACGCTGTATTTTCTTAATGCATTACAATCTATATGTTTATGGGGCATGGTTATGAATGCTCACAGTCATTTATAAGGATTATCATAAGACCTTATAAATGTATTTCATATAAAGTGTTACCCATCTTTTTAGAAATACAATTTATTTGTGATGGACTCATCCTGAGGGAACGAGACTAACTCTGACTCTGTGCTCGTGTGTGTGTGTTTGTGTGTGTTTGTGTGTGTGTGTGTGTGTGTGTGTATGTGTGTGTGTTTGTGTGTGTCGTCCTCTAGCCTTCACAGTGAGCCTCAAGGCTACACTACAACACACCGGCAAACATATACTGTATAGCAGGTCTTTAGAGTGGGTGATGGCCTGTTTCCAGGACACAGACAATTCCCTAAATCGTTCTCTCCAATAATTAGCACTGACAGCTGAAAACAGCCCAGAATGCCACGGGAGTTCACAATGAAACGGACAATTGCACAAACACACAACTATGGAGCCCTGACGCACACATACAAACATAAACACACATGTCAATGCACAACAACAGCAACAGTGGATCCATCAGGACGGCTAACACCACATTAAGACCATAAAGCACCAATACATCTCCTGCTCCACGTACACGGCCCGGATCCTGCTGCTCCTGCACTGATACCCCTGATCCCCCCGCGCTTTGACAAGGCGTAATAAAGCCTGTATGAAGCGCCGCATTGTGTGGGGAGAACACAATGTTGCATGCTGAGTGCTGTGAGAAGGGCGTACACCCGTGGGTCCCACGGCGCAGCAGCGCACCAGGGCCTATAGCAGGGAGTGCTGAGCATGCTAATGAGGTCATTATGTTATGCTTCTCCCTCACGCCTGCTCTCTCTTTTTTTTTTTTTTTTTTACAGTGTGGGCTCAGCCTGTCAGAAGAGGCAGGGTACCCTGGTAATGCAGCCAACCACAGATGTCACATATGGCACAATGAGAAGACACATGAGCGTCTCCAAATGAGAGAAAGACGGGGTGACGCTCCATTTTTCAGCTAGCATCAAAAGCAAGAGCGCTGTATCGGTGATTTGCATAAGGTGAGCTCAGATGAAAGTATAGAGGAGGGCAACAACAGCGCTAATTGTTCCTGCTGTGTATTCAATCAGCTAACGCGCTGAATTGTAATTTTTTTTTCCTTTTTCCTTCGATGCTATTGCTATTATTTACAACCCAGGGGGAGGGGTTAAGTATCAAGCACATGCAAATGCAATTACAAGATATTTGCATAGCCGTTAACAATTAGAGGACAGATGGCAAACAGCGGGCATTAAAAAAGCGACCGAGCGCCATCTTGGCTGAGGGAGACAGCTGGCAGACAGGAATCGGCCATTTTGTAAGCATGGGTCGCTGCCAGGCTGAGGCGGAGAGAGGCGCCAGTCTCTCTCTGTGTGCCAGCAGATTGGCAGGCGAGGGGGAGTTGCGCTTTAATACCCTTTCCCTGGTACATGCAACAACAACGAACTCCTCCAACAGTCAGTGACAGTCTGATCACAGCACAGGGCTCCTGTTGAGAGCTGAGGAGATCAACGGCTGCATAACGCGTCTATGTTCACTTTAAAAACACACACGCGCCTCTGAGGAGAGATGCTATCATGTCATAACACTGTTATCAGAAGGGGAAATGTTCCTTGTTTCTGTTATTGTCTTTGGTTAGAACAATATGTTTCTCGTTATTTGGTTACGAGTGTTATTTAACCAGAGAAGAAGAAGAAGCTAAATGAAGATACTGTACTCACCAAAAGACGTGAATCCAACTGCAAATTTCCCCATTTGGAAAAAAGCGGAGCTGTCAGTCCTCTTCTTTTTTGTTTCCTTCTCAAAGATTCACCTCTACACTGATGCCAGGATGCTTTTTTTTCTCTATTCCTGAGGATCTTTCCAATACTGTTAGTTGCTGCCAGTTTTGTTAAAACATCTCTTTGTGTTGAGAAGGACTTTTTGTAAACGTGGAGGACAAAAAAAGTCGAATGAAAAACCTTGTAGCTTGAAAAAAGGGGAAGTGGGGGGGTTACAAAACACGTTCAACTACTGTCCTTTTCATCTCTCATTCAATTAGCAGCCATTCACTCATGCTGCCATGGGATCCCTGCTGCACGGCAGTAAGTGGACTTCAGGTGCTATTTCCACACACATGAGAGAGGTATGAAAGCCCAGGCCCGCCTCCCTCTCTTCCACCTTATAGATCAATACTGCGCTGCCATATCCTCTGATGGGAGCTGCTGTAGTGAGGGTAGGAAAATCTAAGGTGAAAAAGACAGGTTGTGTCTGATACAGCGGATGGGAGAAAAAGTTCAAATTGTCCTTTCATCCTGGCTCATGAGATCTTAGGAACATTGTGCGCTGGGTGCTAGGAAGTGGGACTGAGAAGAAACGCAGCGTCTCCAATGGATCCTTATTCAAAGAGTGAAGGTGGAATGAGTAATAAGAGGGAGGGGGCTGGAAGAAAAGAGACCTTCAACGTCCTGTCTCATTCCTCTTCTGTTTCTCTCCCTCCCTCACAGTCTCCGTGTCTCTCTGACAAACTTTTATCAAGCGGTGTTGGACGCAGAAAAACCCCTCCGGGTGAACCACACACAAAGACTCCCTCTCTCCGTCTCTTCCCTCTCCCTTTTTCTCTCGATTTTACACACATGTGCACCTCCTGACACACACACTGCGTGTGGGGTGGTTGCGGGGTTAGGGCCCTGGCCCTGCTGATGCTGGGACTGTTGGAGAAGGATAGAAAGAGAGATGGAGAGAGGAGCTGGGAGCGGTGGTGGTGGTTGGTCCCTGGGCTCCAAAGCCTGCAGGCAGTGCTGGGCAACCTCTGCTAGCCTCTCTCCTCTGTATTGATTTCTGCTGCTCCGCGCTGCTCCGCTCTGCCGCGGAGGCTCCTAGCCGGCAGGGATGAGCGCTCGGCTCACCCACCTCACCTGCCTCTCTCCTGGCTCGGCTGGCCTAGCCTGCCCACTCTGCCGCAGCTTTGGCTGGCCCCTGCTGGCTCCGCGGGACCCCTGAATGCAGCACCGGGGCCACAGGAGGAAGGCAGCCAGAGAGCCCATGGCGATCCACAGCTGTGTTCACCTGCTCCGGGTTCACCCGCTTCGAACCACCTCCTTGAACTGCTTCCATCCTTCTCTCCTTCCATCCTTCCACCCACTCTGTTTCTCTTTTTCCTCCTCCTCCACTGCCTTCTCCTCCTCCTCCTCCTTCTCCTCTTTTTCTTCTTCCTTCTGTACACAAACAAGCAGAGACAGAGATGGAAAAAAAAAAAAACAAGTTGATCTTAACTTCCAGCATTTTTACCCACTCTGAATGTCAATCCTGCGCTTTGATCAGGGAGAAGTCGGGGGTGAGGAATCTGGCATCCTCCCTCAGCCTGAATGTGAACCTGCTAACCTTGGAGAGCACAAACTGCAGGGTTTGGAGGCCCAAGAGTTAAGTGTGTCAGGCAGAGAGATGCTGGCTGCCAAAGGTACTCTCAGCTATTAGATTGTGATGTGCTGCAGATAGCAAAATATAGCGAGAGTGGGCCCATTATAAAAATCACCCCTGCGTCAATAGAATATATTAGAAATATTTACAGGCAAAGTTTCTCTTCAATAACCCTTCATTTTTACTCTCCCTGAGGCCTGCTGTGTTTATTTATTTGCCCCTAACAGATATAAATAGCAATATGAATTTTTTAACTGATGGGATATTTCAAACTACCATTCTCTGGTCGCGCCATAGTGAGAGTGAAGGAATGGAAATGTTTTGGCCGGACCGGTGGTGCTCTATAGAAACTTTGTCAAAGAAAACATCTCAGCTTTTGTATCATCCAGAATTATTCAAATGCGTTCAGCAGCCCTCTTCTTATGATAATAGCAGTTGGGGGGCACATTTCTTTGAGGATTCTTGGTCCTATTGTGTTCTTCAGCAGAGAAAGAGCCGTGGCCAAATTCAACCCCCACCACTAGCTCGCATTGGACTGCGCCAACCACACCATCTTTAAAAGAATATCCTCAGCAGCCACCACGGAGCTGTGACAGCCCTTCTGTCCACCCCTCTGTAAAAGAGACTCAACCCACAGGCCGACTGCCAAGGGAATAGAGAAGTAAAAAGTGTAGAGGTTTAGAGTCGGTGGGCCGGCAAGGCTTTAAGAGGAAGAGCTGTCTGTTAAGGAAGGGGGTACAAGAGTTGCATTGGGGGGGTTACACAGTTGGGACAAGGGAGGAAAGTTTGGGCGAGGGGGGCGAGTTAAGTTAGGGGGACATGGATGGGGACCGGGGGTGCGGTGCATGTCTCAGACACAATAATACTATTCATTGGGCTCAGACATGGGTGTTAACTCCCCTCTGACAGAGCACAATGGGGCTTGGCGGCATTCAGGCAGCCTCGGTGATATTGTTAGTTCAGGGCTGCCGCAGGACAGAGCGCCCTGCATTGTGCCCGTCCGGCACGATGGATGGATGGAGGTTTGAGAGGTGAAAGGCAAAGACAGAGAGAACAGTGCGTTTGTCTATCTGTCAGTGGCTGAGAGAGCGAGCGAACGGCAGAGGGACCGGGGGGCGGAGAAGATGGTGGTGCAGGGGGGGAGACTGTGCCCTATGGCATTGGACTTGTTTGTTTCAGGGTAAAAACATAAAACTGAGGCTAAAGAGAGGATGTGTAATAAATATTACTCAAGCAGCCGAGTGTGGGGCTAAAGAGGCATTAAAAGAGAGAGGGGGGCACAGATGGAGGAAGGAAGGAATGGTGGCTTTTTTATGGGAAAACACTGCAAGTTTGAGCTTAGATGTATTTTATTCATACGCCTCAAAAGGGGAGAGCAGAGACGAGTGGGAAAGAGGAATGACAGAAAATGAGGACTGTGGAGCTTGCTGCTGTTTGCGACTCGGCTGAGGTGACATCCAACTACCACAAGACCTACTTTTTCACACAAGAGGAGAGCAGAGAGGAGAAGATACAGTTTATGATTTGAAGGGAGGAAAAACTGAAAGATGTGAACCAGCACAGAAAGCACTGGGGCATGCTATGACTCAGACATAGGTACAAGTCAGGTTGCTATCTGGATACAAAGCAAATCCTATTGGAATTTAAAGACAACCAGACATGTCATTTTTTTTGCATGTGTCCATCTACTGATATGATGAAAATTAGTAGAAACATATGACGCTGCAATAATCCCAGTTTGTTGCATTTAACCATCTGCAGAAAGAGAGAGAAAGAGATATATGCTTCTGTATATATGCTTCTGTTTCTCAATGATTTTCATCTAGATTTTTTACACAACAATCCGCCCTGACTCGTCAATTCAATGGTCTTTTGAGCGTGTAAACTTGTTCAGGTTATTTGAACTTTTGACGCAAGTTGAACGTGAACATATTCAGAAGGAAATCAAGGTCGAATTCCAAGACTCATCCAAAGCCAAGATGAAAGACACCCGAGAGGATGCAGAGAACTGTGTAGCTTAAATGATTTGTAGAGAGCTCTGACAGCTAGACCACTTGTCCAGCAGAAAATGTTCATTTTTGAACAGGTCATGTAAAGAAATCAGGTCAGGAAATCATCAAATGTCCTTTTTAGCTTTACTCTAGGAACTGAATTAAATGTGCTTTGGTTTGAGATTGTTGCTCTGATGTTTTAGAAGAAGCAAATATGTATTAATCATTCCCTAAAAGTGAGCGTACATTCATGCATTAGTCAACCCATTGCAGTTTTTCAATAGTCGATGAAGGTAACAATTATGAGAGAGCAGGTCAACTGATGGCTGATATAAAATGCCAATATCACACTTCTCTTGTTTTTTATTTGACATTACCGATGAAAAACAAATTTACAGATATTAACTGAACATTTTATTAAATAATATCTGGCTCAGTAATATTTTGCCATAAAGGACTTTGGGAAAACTGAAATTGTAATTCTGCACATCATAACCAAATTTAAATTAAAACACAAATCAATGACTTTTTAAAAATTTGCAAATGGGTGATGAGAAATTTTCTATTTATATTAGAAAAAAATAGTAATGGTGATATCAGTGAGGAGGGATGTGAGGGCTGACCAATCAATCGATTAATCGGTATCTCTAGAGAAAGTATATGTGACGCCTACATAGTCACTCCAGATGTCACATATCATATTCGACTCTATGTTAGATATTTGTCTGAAGGCACTGCATTCATTTGAGGTCTGCAGTCACTGTGTGCCAACCGCTGTGCGCAATCATGCTCCTCTAGTTTCTGACCATAATTGCTCTGTGTTTCTTCTTTGCCTTCTTACTGTACTTGTTTATTGTGTTGTTGGTTAAACATGATTTTCACCATGAGGCTCTTTTTCCCTTTCTCTCTCTCATGTCTGTTTTTATTGGTACAGAGCACTTTATGATTGTTGTCTTTGAAAAGTGCTCTATAAATTAAATGTACTTGCTCACTATCTAAAGCCTGCAAAGATTTTCTTGAGGTAAACTGTAAAGAATGACGAAAAACCCTTTATTTGACGCCTATCTCTATAACGCATTATAAATATATTTATAATGCGTTATAATCAGCTTATAGCACTGTATAACTATAGTTATAAACACTCATAAATGATCAAAATGCTTTATAGCAAGAATCATAACGCACTATGATGCATTAACATGACTTACAAGGTCAGGTATTATAATGTGTTATAACTGTTAATAACAGTTGCATTGTATTATCTATGTGGGCATTGTCAGTGAGTTGTTAACAGTTATTACACATTATAATACCTGACCTTGAAGGTCATGATAAAATGCTTTATAATGTGTTATTATGATCCTTTATGAGTGTTTATAACTATAGTTATACATTGCTATAACATGATTATAATGCATTATATATATATTTATAATGCGTTATAGAGATAGGCATCACATAAAGTGTTACCAAAGGTATTTATGCATAGTTTAGAATAAAAGAGGGTTCCTGGCTTCATATGAATGTAACTAAAACACATGATGCACAACCCGCATTTACACAAACACACACTCACATGTGATATCACTGCTCTCCCTGCACCGAGCAACCTGCTTTCATGAACAGTACTTTGTTTGTTTCCCCTCTGGTAAACTCTGACCAACCGTTCCCATGGCAACCTTACCTACTCATTCCCTGTGTGAATGTGTGTGAGTGAGAGAAAGAGAATAAGAGAGAGAGAGAGAGACAGAAAGGGAGAGAGAGTGAGGTATGTGGGGTTGTGTGAAGGTTTAAAGGGGGGCTTCCTGATCTTTATAAAACAGACATGTACGTACGTGTGTTTATGAGTGCGTGTTCAAGGTTGATATATGAATCAAGTGACTCTGTTGTACTTGTGTACCTTAATCCTGAATGAACTATGGATGATACTGTGACGTTCACCTGCAGCTACAGTCACCTGGATTTACTCGCAGCTGTGTGGAGTCAAACTGCCTCCTCAGATAAGAAGAGAACTGGCCGTGTGATGCCGGGGTGTTTGGCAGGCAGGGGCAGGCCAGGGCGCGGCTCTCATCAGGGGGCTAATGCCCTCAAGGGGTGGCTGAGGTAGCGAGGGTACTGCCCTTTGTCCCTGGTGGGGGGATTACACTGGTCAGCCATCACAGACAATGTTCCCCCCTCCTGGGATGGGAGGACCAACCTGCTCTCTACCAATGATAGGGGCAGTCAACTGATCACTAACTTAATTAAGGATAGAAGAAGAAGAGGAGGGACAGGGCGAGGAAGAAGATGGAGAAATAAGTAGAGTGGGAAAAGAGGCGAGGGTGGGACTAAAGGGAAGAAAGTGAGAGGAGAAGAAATAAGAACAGGGAGCGCGGGGACACGCTGAAATAAGAAGAGGCATGGAGTTAAAAAAGAGAGCGATGCCAAGAAGTGGAGGGGTGAAGAGAAGGCTTCTCCAGCACAGGATTAGGGGAGGGAAGATGAAAGGATCAGGTCTAACAGAGGACAGGGAAAAGGCCAGGAGAGATGGCCAGACGAGGGAAGCCAGTGACTTAAACTCAGAGCAAGAAAATCAAGTAGAAGAGGGTTGAGAAAAAAGAGAAAAGACAGAGCTCAGGTGGGCATTGTCAGTGAGTTGTTTCTCGTTTATGCCACTGCACACACGCCAATTCAGATCTAAAGGGGAATGCAGAAGATAATTGTATTAGAGAGGACTTTAATAGAGGATATTTAGGGGACAGTTAGCGGGCCCAGGTAGCATAGCTCAGGCCCGCTGCAGACAGATATGGCTCTGCAATACTTAACAACAGGGATTTGGCAGCACTGTTGATTGAACATGCCAAATCCCATTTGTCGGAGGGCTGTGCGCGTTTGTATCGACACTCTGTAACCTTGTGGCTCCGTAAAAGGAGACCTCAAAGTGTGTGTGTGTGAGTGTGTGTGTGTGTGTTTTCCTGGCGGGCATGCAGGCAAGTAGGTGGGTGGCATGTTTCAGCTGGATGTAGGTGCAAAGTCCCCTCAATCTGCGCTCCTATCCATACCTTCATCCTTCCATCTCTACGTCGCTGTCCGCCTCAATTCCCTCTTTTCACAGAAAAAAAGGATGACAAGAAGGAGATAGAGAGGCTTTTTCAACACTTCTTTTCTTGCTTTTCCTCCCACCCACCCACCCCCCCTTCCTCCCTCTATCCGTTCCTACCATCCCCTATGGTGGAGCTGCCAGACAGGAGTGCTCAGCAGCTCTCCGAACGTTATTGATCCTGAGAGCAAGCCGGCCAGGGAGTTAGTGTCTCTCCCTCTCTCTCTCTCTCTCTCTATCTCTCCTCCCTCCATCACACCCTCATCCCCCACAGAAGCCCGCAACTTTTTCCTCCCTCCCTCCCTTCCCGCCTCTACTTCATTTATCAAGGTTAAAGAACTCTTATAAAAAAGGGAAGAGGGGGTCGCCGGGATGTTATCTGACTTCATGAAAGAAATCCCCTCAGGCCACTCCACTAGAGGAGGATGCTCTTTGCCAGGCCCAACTCTGCACACACACACACACAAATACATACATACACAAAAAACACGCAGTGGCACCAAGCAGCGGCCCACTCATAGGTAGTCAGAAATAGAAAGCAACATGTCCTGTTTGGTAAACAGCGAGAAGACAATCAGGAGTAGAAATGAAGAGGGTGGATGAACAAATGAGGGCAAAAGGGAGTTTGAAAATTAGTCACTGAGAGTTATCCGACAGACTCAAACATGTTGAAAGGCATATCTTACCAGAAACAAATGTTAAATTCTCTTTTTAATCTTTGACTAGTGCTTTACAAAGTTATCACAGGCGGTTGAGAATAATGTTTTCTCGATGTAAGAGGTCAAGCAGTTTCATCCATCCTCAAACCAGCTGCGTAGACAAAATCAGTTATATCAGAGGACAACAACCCTTGTAAATCTGAAACAATCGATTAGTCAATTAACAAATTGGTAGTCTGACAGAAAAATATGAGATGGATCCTGAAATTTTGAGAAGAGCAATTACTCATTATTTTTTATAGTGAAATGAATATTTTCTGGGATATGAATATTTCTCCATTTGCATAGTCTTCTTTCACATTCGCATAAAACTACAATCATTTTTTGACGTCATCCAAGCCTGCTCCATTTATGTTGATGAGTTTTTGACAGCTCTGTTGTTAAATTTCTGCAAGAAGTCATGGTGAGGATGTTTGAACACAGAACTTAAAGCAGGAAATTTTACCAAATAGGCAGAGTGTTCTCTACTTGAGGCCCCAGTTTTCAACGTTATGTTTTTATGCTCTTATGTCTATAATTGATGAAATATCCTGATCCATGTTTTAATGATCTTACAGTCACCATAACAGAAGACGTTTTCCCTCCTGCCATAATACCTTACACTCACAAACAGAATATATCAGTAGTAAAACATGTCCAACAGAGAAAATTCCCCACTTTAGATGCACATGTGAACAGCAAGTTCCTGAAATTATCAGGACTTTATTCTCCTGAAATTATACAGAAAAAATCAAGAGTTCATTTGTGAAAAGCGCTCATAGTATCAAACTTAATGCTACTTTTCCTCAAGCTCCACAACCATTGGTCAAACTTTCCAATCTATCCAAGAAAAAATGTTATAGTAACAGATTTAACACTTAAAATTCTTCAATGGATCCTTGATTTGAGACGGATATCCACAAAAGTTTATCCTTACAAGGCAAAAGTCTATTTAGATGCCATAAATAACTGAGTTACAGTCCCTGGCAAGGTTTTTAATCATTAGGCAGCAAACAAGAAAGCTATTTACCTGAAGGTAGTTACTTTACCTTGCTAACTAGCTTACTAAATAAGCTCCATGTGAAGGGTGATAAGTCCTGGTGTGACCATTACGATGTTCTTCATGTCCAAAGGCTTGACAAATATCTATAACACATAAATATGTCTTTTCTTTGAACAATTCCTGTCTCAGTTTCAATCAAGCACCAGGTTAGTACAGTATTTTTACAATACTGATGTGGCTGTTTGTGAGTAGTGTATTCGCCAAGGATGTTGCTGCGTTAACCAACAGAGAAACATCCCCAAACATCATTAATGGTAAGTTTTTATTTAGCGGTCCAGTTTGGTTTGGCTAGGCTTGGTTTTGGTTTGGTACAGTAAACCCCGATCTTGCTTGCATTTCCACAGTCAACAATACCTTTTAGTGCCTTTAAAAGGACGTGTGTTGGCTGTGTGAAGGCTTCAGAACAACTTTATTTTCATTTTGCATCCTTATAACAGATCAGATTATTCATTCTAATGGTGTGAGCATCCAGTCTCATGTCCATCACACACTCTAAAAATCTCGAGAATAGATTTTTTCCCTGGGTTATACACAAATCCTGACAAAAATAGACTTTTAGTTGAAAAGTGGGGATTTATCTCACGACTATAAAAATATAGCATGAACCAGAGCTGAATGTTTGACCATCATGTACACAACACTGCTGTTGTCACAGAAATGATGCTTAAATGATGACCAGGCTGCTTATTGGGAAAACAACTGGAGGCAAAAGATCAGGTAGTATTAGCAGGCCTGATAGCTGCTGATAAGATGATTGTAGTGACATGAAAACCTCCTTCTTCGTGTACTCAATGATACCGAGTTCTCTTATTTTCCTACGTTATTTTTCTAGAATTAAAAACTGTAAAAATTAGTGGAGATTTTGAGACTAACCTGCTTAAAAACAGAATAAAACACAAAAACCTTTTATTTTTTATGTTTAGTGATATTTCTGGGCTTCTTTCTCTGGTTTTTGTGTTTTTCTCTCAAGTTATAGTAGCTATAGTAGCCTCTCTTGCTAACACAGAACATGTTACAGTGCAGGTAATAAATAAATGAAAATGCCCTGTTACACCAATGCCATATTTAGTTACAGTTTTCAAATCAGTAAGTAATGTTTGCCTTGTCCTCTTTATACTGTCTTTTGTACTCTGTCGTTTCCACAACCGTCAAGGAAAAGAGTATTTATATTTATATATATTGTATACTGTATACTGTATTATAACATGTACATTGCATGTATGTGCTCCATACCATATTAACATGGTCGTGGGTTAAATAAATTCATTCATTCATTCATTCATTCAGTCAGTCATTCAGGTTTTGGTTGATCATCCTACTTCCCATGACATTGAAATGTGCACTGATCAAAAATATATTGCACTCTTACATTTGAGTTTATGGTCAAATTGAAGGTTCTCTATTTGGAGGTTTAAAAAACATTCACTCTCTCTTTCTATGGGTCAACTTTTGAATGTTTTTACCAGAGTTTTGTTTAAAATCTAATACTCAGAAGGTTAGCAAAATATCAAAGAGATCAAATATGTTTTTGCCAAAACTTAATAAGACTTAAGTAAAATGTTTAGGTATAAAAAAAGAGAGCTTTGTGGCGGTTACCTTGTTAGACTGTGTTACAATCCTATTCAGAACGAGACTATACATACATCTGGATAGTTGCATTGCACAAAGCCATAGGACCTGTAAATTCAGAGCCACATAATCTTCCCATGGAGGCAATACACCTTCTGCATTTCCAGCTTTTTCGAGACTGTAGCGGCTATTGTCCCTGTGTGTAAAAAGACTGGAAATGGCTGTACATGTGCAGTACATCCTGTCTTCCATTGTTACTGCTTTCACTCTCTCCTATAAAGGCCTGCCTGCACTCCAGGCTACAACTGCCAGGCAAATACACACAGCAGCACATTACAGAGCCATACCTTCCCCTCCCTTTGTGCTCGGTAATTGCCTCAATGCATCTTCTCGTCCAGCTAATTAAGTGAGTCTTTCCCCATTGTCTCCCAATGCTATCACCCCTTCACACTGCCATAGATAGAGAGAGAGAGAGTGGGAGAGTCAGAGGGAGGACTACTAAAGCAAAGGATGGAGAGAAGTGGAAGATACAAAAGCAGGAGGAGTCAAAATGGGGTGAATGACAGGCATGTGTCTGTGCAAATGTCTAACAGTGGTTGGAGGTTCTTGATGTCTAGGGTTATCAGTTAGCAGTAAACACTACAACAGTTTGGCTACCATCTTTATTATTTGTAAAGTTAACTCAGGATCAAGGCAGCCTCATCTAAAAATAAAAACACTAGGGGTGCTTTTAAGGCCAAAAAGGCCGTAAAATGGAGTTTGAGTGTTTTGGCAGATAACGGTGACAGACACAGACATGGATGATGTTCTCAGATGTTTTAATTGATCTGCTATATTATAACAGAGCTCAGTTTCTCTGCAGCACAAACATTTGTGTTGTACAGAGGTGTTGAACCTTAAAGTTCACAGTGGCCTTTGAGAGTGTGATTGTAGCAAGAGGTTTTAACAGTTATCTACTGAAAAGAAAGACATTTTTCTTTTGTGTTAATCTTTAATCCAAATTCGAATCTGAAATGTGCAAATTTAGGGCAAGATTCGTGACACACAAGTTATTTATGATGTCTCAAAACGGCCGATCATCACGGCTTTATTTTTACCCTGCAGAGGTGTTTGTTACGAGCGCACAAACACCAGAAACAGACTTTTCAGCAAAGAGGTAGAAAGTGTTTCGATGAAACGTGACATTTTAAAACAAACTTTATTCCTATTTGAATAGATTTCATTATTTTGTTTCTAATGCAGGATCATACATAAATATATAATTTGAGGGTTTTTAAGGTAGCTTTTTGGAATAACCGTATGAGAAAAGATGAAAAATTCAAAAACAGAGATGTTAATATTAAATACCCCAAGAGGAATCTCAAAGCTCGTTCAATGACATCTTGCTTCGGGGTGTTACTGATACTGTTTTATTCATTTTCATGCGGTTTACATCTTTATCATTTACCCCGTACACACACAATAATTAAAAAACAAGAACTTAGTGTTTCAGCTACAAATCTCCTCATTCCTAATTATCAAAAATAAATTTGAGGAGACATGATCAGACTTCACTTGAGAGACTGAGATGTTGCTCATCACTTCAACTTCACAAAGATGTGAATCTATCAAAGGAGACAATGACTTCTGCCGTGATGTGTAATATAACACCATAAATTACAATGTCTTTGTCAATATTATGAGCTTCACACTGTCATAACTTCTCTGCAGCTGTGCGGGATAATGGAGGAACATGGTTGAATCCATGGCAAACAAATGGAGAAAATAGCCACAGCTGCTTTTGTTTCCCCTTTTTTTCTTTTTCTCGGTGCTGTTCAGACTTTTTTGTGTGGCTAACCGAGGAGTTAGAATAGCTGACTTAATGGAGGACACAGACCAACAAACTCATCTAAATTCCACCTCTTTCTAGAGTTGCTAGGAGAGCGCCCATCCAGACCCCCACCTCTACAAATAGACACACATACACAGACAGACAAACACTCGGTCTATGCTCAAGTTCACTTGCTGACCTCTCAGGCCAGACATTCTCCTCCAAACTCCCAAACAGCCCCCCTTGCTAAAAAAAAAAACCCTCAAAACCCTTAACCCCTCCTTGAACCCCTTACCCCCCCTCTCTCTCCTACCCTGAACGCTTGGCCTTCCCACACTCAAGTTCCTGTCAAGGCCTTGACAGACAGACAGACCCACAAGTAGGGTGACATCATGATGCAAACAGAGGGAGGGAGAGAGAGAGAGAGAGGGAGACAGAGGAAGGGGGCTGCCTGCCTGTCTGCCCCCCAGCACCCACACAATGCAGCAGGGCATCTGGCACTAGGGTGGTGTTGGGGGACAGGGTGGGGGTCTGCGAGGACAAAGCGTTTACATCTCCCTCCCTGGAATATGATTAAAGTTTGTAAAAAGACATAAATGTGTGAGGAGAAGAAAAGAGCTGAGATGAGGAGGTGGGATGCCGGGTGGATGACAATGCTCTGGTGTTTACACTTAAGATACCGCCAGATGAGTTCAAGTTCATGAAAGGGATTCTGGGAAACTGGTGATTGTCTTGAAAACAGAATTTGTTAATGTCAATTCATTTTCAGCCTTATTTCTGTTTAATTGTGTCTCCTAAAATGTGACTTTTCAAAGTGGCAGATGACGCGGTGAGGTGTGTGTGTGTGTGTGTGTGTGTGTGTGTGTGTCTGTGTGTGAGTGTGTGTGTGTCTTGGCAGTCGCTTGCAGCTTTTACTTTGTAACATCCACTCTGAAACAACGGTGCCAACGGGATCGAAACCAGTGTTTTAAAACTCTTTCTCTCCTTCTCTACAGCAGCCCCCACCTTTGCCTCCGGTCTGAGAGGCCGTCTACTCGCCTGTGTGCATACAAGTGTGTGTCTGTCTGTGTGCATACATAAAATAAATGAGCTGTGCGTATGCATTGTGCGAGTCCACAGGCCCGGTGTATATATTAGAAATGTGACTTGACCCTGGCAGGCTGAAGCAGGGTTTGTGCCTCGTACTGGGCGTGGGAAAAAGGGGAGACCTCTTTTCACAGCTGCTCTGGCCGTTGCATTGAACCAATGGAGGCCCCCCAACAACTCCCACCCGCCACCACCCCCCCCCCCTTCCCCCAACCTGCCTCCACTGCTAATGCCCCCCCTCCCTCCCCTTCTGTCCTACCCCTTTCCCATTCAATGTGCAGCCTACTGCCTTTCAGCGGACCCCCCATCCCTCCCTCCTGCGTTCTGCTCGTCACCCTGCTGCACCCCAACCTAGCAGCCACCTCCAGCCTCCAATACAGCCACCTTGCCTTTCAGACCGGGTGCACCGAGATGCCAGAGGAAAAAAAACAACAGAGCTAACTTGCTAAATCCAACACAAGCTAGTTTGATAATCAAGATCTCACTTCTCTTCTTCCTCAAACTATTTTTGTTCTTCAAACCCAATTTTCTCTTTCTTATCCTCACACTCTCCGCCCCATTCCTCCACCGACCGAGCCTGTCTGCAGAAAGACTTTAATTTATGTTAACATACACCGCCACTCTCCACTCAGTGCCTCCCCTCCACACGTCCACAAACACACACATACATATTCCCCCCCTCCCTACATCCATCCAGTGTATTCATTTGAAGAGATTTATTTCCTATCAAGCGGCATAATGCAGAGGGTATAATTCAAATCAAGTTTTAAGAACAGCCAAGCAGCACACCAGTTTATGTATACAAATCTAGAAAGCCTAGTGGTGGGGGGAAAAAAATCCCAGCAAACAGCGGGGTATTAAAAGCAGATTGGCAACTTTAAGAAGCCACGGGTGGGCAGTGGGTGTTTGGTTTTTCCATTAAAGATAACCTATTACTGATAAACCCCGCAGTCGCTCTGTTTAAACACGTAACGCAGGCTTCATTTCCTTCAGATACTCTTACTAATCTGACAGTATAACCATGCAAAGGCAGGCACGCACGCACCCACCCACACGCAATTTTCGAGAGAAACTTTAAAAGGTCATAATGTGCAGAATAACTCCAACAGATTCTCAGGAGCAGAGTCCTATCGCTGCTGTCGAGCCATCCTGCTGATACACCAGGCGTGTTGGAGGAAATGTTGAGGAGCAGCGAGGGGGCAGTGACAGGAGGAGGGGAGGGAGGGAAGGAAGGGAGGGAGGGAGGAAGGTTGTAGCCGAGAACCTGAAAGGACTCCATCTCCCTTGGCCAACATGCCATGACGGTGTGGAGCAGAAAGTCTGAATTGGTTTCTCTGGGGTGGCGGAGCTGGAGAGGTGATGGCGAGATGAGCCCGAATGGGGATAGAAGGGAGGTGGGTTGGAGGGGCTGGGGGTGGGGGATGTTGGGGAGTAGATAGGGTGCACTAAGGTGTGTGTGCTGTTTGTGTGCTTGAGAGAGAAAATAGAGCAAGAGAGAGATATAAGGCTGGATCTGAGGTACTGTAAATGAGCGGATTACTGCTTACCCCTCTTCAAGTCTTTCCATATACATGAGAGTGCTCAGCTGTGGAGGCGACACCACTGTGTGTGAAATCACACATCCTCCAACCAGCACGTGCCATATGAACAAGCGCAGCACATGCACATATATTGTAAGGTGGGTCCTGTAAGGGTAACGCAAGTCTCGAATGCAGACCCATGCGTGCCTGCTCTTAATTGGTGTTATGAATAAGAAGAAGATATGAAGAGTGTCACTGCTGGATTGATGCATCTCTACGTCAAATTTAGCCTGTAGCTATGCCTCCACTTCTAAAGCCCACGTCCAGCCGTAGCTTGTTTGCATCGATTTATCTAGTTTGTGGATATGATATTGACTAAGTAGACGGGCAGCCCTTATCGAGTTGAAGCCAAGCGAAGGAGGTTTAAGAGGTGGTCGAGCGCTATGGAGGAGTATAGCCACAGGCTGTGAAATCTCCTCTGATCTTCCCTTGTCTGATTCTCAAACGCAACTCTTTCTCTGGGGGGGCAACGCTCATATAGAAGTAGGCCAGTGTCACTGAACGCTCATCTAACCCTGGAGGGAAATAAAAAAATCACTTCTTCTGTTTTCTCCCCAATGACGGAGCTCAATCTCTTCTCCCCTCCATCACGCCGTCTACTTTGTTCTCGGCGAGAGGTTCGACATGCACGAGCTGAGCGGCACTCTCAGGCTTGTTGGCCCACTATGGCAGCTGTTAGGATAGCGGAGGTAATCTTTAACCGTGTCACTCAACAGTGAGATGGGAGAGCTGAGGGGAAAGTGAGGGAGGCACCTAGTTTTAGTTTCGGCCTTCCATCATCCTCAACATTAGACAGCGGTACAAAATATTTTGTCTTCTGCATAGCCACGTCTCTTTGACAGCGAGAGCCACAAATCTCAAAAGGTAATACTTTATAAAATACATTTTTAACCTAATAAGGATTTGGTTGAATTCAGTCGTTATTTAAATTCTACTCAAAAAACAGGAACCAATATTTAGAGAGAACTAAAAGGCTTGAATGTCAATTTTTTAGCCTGTCTGAACCTTCAAATTCAGATCATTACTGAGTTGCATCTTGAACTTCACCAAAATTAAATCCTATGTGAGTAACTTTCATTTTCCGCCGATTCTTACCTACCTCTTTACCTCTTATGCTAATTTTTTTTCCTGGATATTTACACACAGTTTTATCTGACAAAACACCTCCATCCTCCCGTCTTTCAACTAAACATGAATTCTTGCCATTTAAAGGCTGTTTTTTCTGACCCGGTTGCAGTGATTACATCTATAAAAACTTCATAAACAAGACAGCCATGTTAGTCATCGTCTTGTTTGCTTGAATAGGTCATATAAAGGCATAATTACTCACATTAGAATGTTTCATGGCCGGATAAAAACTCCTCAGAGAGTTTTAAAATGACAAATAACAGAGAGGAACTATTTTCTCTGAGAGTGAGTGCTCGGATGGATGTACAAGGCCAGGACAGAGAGCACAAAGAGGACAGATGAGTAAGTAGTTTGGAGGGAGTTCAGAGGGAATTAAAGGAGTGAGGGACTTAGCCACCCTGGCAGTCTTTCCACATGAGCACACCTTACATACACACACACACACACACACACACACACACACACACACACACACACACACACACACACACACACACACACACACACACACATCCAGGCAAGCAGCCCCCCCATGTATCTTTAAAGCGATAAAACGCACGGACAAAGGAATTAGAATATAGATTACACAAGTAGGCACCCTGCGTGTTATCTGCCAAAACCAAAGAATTGAACAAATTGGATCAGATGTTATAAAGCAGGGGGTGAGCAAAGAGTCGGACTGAGTGAAGTAGAAATGTAAAGAATCAGAGGAATGTCGACTTTTATGTTAAAAGATAAAATATGAATATATAAGGATTTTTACTAGGCATGTTCAAGTGTAATTTTCTGAGAGGAGTGGGTTCATAGTTCAAGTTCAAGTGTGTTTACAAAATCAATGGCGCTCTATTGGAGAGGTGTATTGGGCAGCACACAGAGAAGGATTATTTTAAAGACTCACTTGTAACTTTAGAGGGATGAAGCTCTGACCCCGCCGCGTGACCTCGAATCCTCCGAGCAGGAGTCGCTGTATGTTGTCCTGCAGTCTCACACGCAGGCCTGTAGATCACATAGATTGTGCGTGCATTTCTCTGATACCGCACTTTCTATCTGGACTCCACAGTTTCCTGTGAAAACATAAAACATCAAGGTCAGAAAGAGGTCAATTCCAGAGCGTTTGGTTCATCTTTTTTTCTGCTTTTACACAGCGGATTCTGCAGCAACAATGAACAACTTTTTTCTCACACCAGAAATCTTAAAACCTAGGGAGAAAAAATACATCTAAAAAGACATCTAAAAAGACGTATCATTAACACCAACAATTAAAGATTAAAAATAAATTCAACTTTTGTAATATTTTTCTAAAGCAAAGCAGCATTGTGTCCACCATTTCTTATTATTAGGGCTTTAATTAAACTACATTTCCTGAGGCCTATCATACAAATACCATGACAAAAATAACAGTTAGTGGAGCCAGTTGGCCTGCTGGTTAAAGCAGGCTTCATATATAAAAGCTCACACTGGTTACTGTTTTGTCCCCTCACTCTCTGCTCCCAACATTTCCAGACTTTTTTCAGAGCCACTTCAAAACCTCTAAACAAAGAAAAGTAGTAAATCTCTAGTAAAAAAAAAAAAAAAAAAACAACAACTTTCATCTGCACAGTGAAAGCAATTATGATATATTCCCTTATAATAAACTGTACAATAATGAAGGGAGCATGTGTAATAATGGAAAAAAACAATGTTTCATATTGAGAGACTTGTGTGTGGAAAGTTTCCTGAATTTAATATTTGAACTTTCAGCGGCGAGTGCATGACAATACCAATCTCTTTAGCACACACACACATGCACACACACACACACACACACACACACATGCACACACACTTCCCCACTTCACAAGCGATTACACAAAATACTCAAAGATTACATCCGCAGAAACCTGATGTCCTCTGTGGGTTTAAAGCCTGCATGTCAGCCTTTCAATCCTTTTTTTTCCCTCTTTCTCTTGCATGGGTCAGAGGCGGTTGCTAGGCTACCAAAGCCAGAATTCATAAGTTCAGAGAAAAGGTTTATATAGGCCATTGCAATTCAAGGTAAAATGATAATAGAAAATTGATAACGCTGGAATACGGATTCTGATGATACGGGATCAAATGGAACCAGAATTTTTTAAAGATATGAATCAAAGTGTGATAATAGCTAGGACGATAAAAGCAATAACAGCCGTATAATCAAGTTCAAGTTGGTATGGAATTTTAAAGGCAGCTTTGGCATTTTTAGGAAAGTGTTTACACTTGCCTGGGAATTACACCTCCTTAAACATGAAATCAAACATAAATTACTTCCAAAAAAGTCCTCAAAATCAGAAACAAATGCAGAGAGAGGAATTAGAGAAACCTTTGCAAATAAAGACGACAGTTAGCCAGCGCCGTACCCAAGAAAAAAATCATCATCTGCTGCAAGAAACCTTTTTTTTTAATCTAAAATAATCATTATAATGTGACTCTTCACAGACTGGAAACGATGCACAAAGGATGCAGAAACACCATACTCATGCTGTACAAATGTCCTAAAACATAAGCACACACTCTCACACGTACTCAGACACACAGCTGTGCAATCTAGCAACCGAGTGTGACACAAGCTAGATAACATCTATAGAATGGTCACCCGGAATTGCAGCAGGACTGAGAACCTAAAACAATGGCTCTGCTGAGTACAGGACCTGTACTCGGAGGACAGGGATAATGCTTTGTTCCAACACTCCACCTCATGCAAGAACCAAAACAACGATAACATGAAAATGCTCAATGTGATGAATACAGTGCGAGACAGAAGGAGAGGTGATAGGAAGTAGAGGGATAGGAGGACCGACAAATCCACGCTTCAACAGGAAAGGCTACGGACAAGTTGGATAGAAATTCATGGCATTCGTGCATAAACACATCATTGCTTCTCTTCTTATCTTTCTGTCTTATTCTTTCGCCATTGTTTCCAACTTTTTTCTCCCTAATTGTGTTTAATCAGTGTGTTAATTCCTCTTTTGTTGAAACACACTGAAAAAACATCTGATCTTTTGACACAATTAAATTTCAAATAGATGTACAAACAAATCAATTACCATCAGAGACAATAGGAAGTCTAATGCAGCCTTATGGCAGGTGTTGGTAGACTAGACGTAGACTAGACTGGGCTCCATCTGGTGTAGAGGGCCTCCTCCTGATGGTGGAGAGGGCCCAGACAGACACATATTAATGTGGGAAAAGCGACGTCTAGCCTGCCTCTCAGTCACTCGCCAGACTGCATTTCAATCTCAAAGGGGCTCTCCCCATATCCTCCATTTATTACCCCTCAGCCATGCATTAATTTCTGCTGCAACCGGGCACAGGCAGGGAGGGTGGTTCTGCTCGCATGGCGTTTGCTGGGATTGAAGCACACAACGCCATTGTTCCATCAAATGGAAAAAACGCTGTATTATGAATGCGTTAGTGTTTCATTGCAAATGATCTCATAAAAGGACAGAAGGGGCGTGATTGTGCAGAAAAAAGGTGCAACGGATCCCGGGCTTTTATCAGGACACTTTCTCACCGCCTTATATAGTACAAGTTTAATTCAGCATAGTATATTACCTCAATGGCATATTACAATTTAGTGCTACCCGTCAAGATTGAAATTGAGACCTGAGTTTCCTGTCACTCTTGCAGTGTTCTCTTGATGAAAATGCTCATCTAAACCACGCTCTATAAAAATACCAAAATATATCTGCACAGCTCATAATAAGTGCCTCGATATATATCATAATAACTACATTAGCAGAAAAATGAGTTTTACACTCCAGTGTTACATGTCAATATAGGCATGTATTTACACATATAGACGCCTCTACCATAGGGCAGCAGGCTACATGTCAGCACACGCAGCCATACAGCAGCATGTTGCCGCAAAAGAAAGAGAAAACTGAGCTGTTTCCTCACTGAAACCACCCTGGCGTCTCTCCACCTGCCCTGCTCTGTGACGCAGTAAGCTGGGGCCTACAGCCTTTAACAGAAGCACCAGCCTGGCTCCGGCTCTGTGCTGCTACACACTCCCCACCCTGCAGAGCAGAGCCACCACACACAGCAGCTATACAGCTTTAGCGGCTAACACAGGACCGGCTTGTTTAAAATTCAACAGGCTATACACTCACAAGTACAACCTATCACTCAAACAGTCCTGGACTCAGATCGGGACTCCTCTCTGACTCGGATGGAGTGGAGAAGGACGGAGAACAACTGACGTGAAGTCCACACAGGACTGCAAAACCATCCTGAGGTCCAGCTCGGTTTCTGGATAACTGAGCAGCTGACCCTGTTCTCCCTGAAGCTTTAAAATCTCCTTTTGGCCTGTGACAGCACATCAGCAAATATTGGGGAAATATGGGCTTTGGATGGGCTCTTTTTGACAACTCTTTTGTGTTAAGGCACGATTTTTATCCTTTGAGGTGTAAGAATGACCTACATTCTTGAAAACCTGCATATCAAATGTAGATAAACTGACAAAAATACAGATCTGTACATGTTGTGTCCCTTTCCTCAGCAGTACTGCCTACGTTTTTCTGCCTGGAGCTTTAGCTAACAAGGACATTAGTCAAACTAAATCCAGGGACATGAGATGATCCTTTTGAAGAATGTCTCAATCACAAAATCATCCTCTCCTCCACTTTATAACCTCTGAAACAGTAAAGTAATGACCAATTCCTGATCTTTGCTGTTGCATCTGACAAACTAGATCTCAAAAATGTACTTTCTACTTTGATCACTTTTCATTTCATCCAGTAGCATCAGCTCTATGATGCTACTGGATGAAACAAAGCCTCCTCTGTCAAACTTTAAACAACAAGAATAAATAAAAAAAATGCTTTTCAAAGTCATTAATCGTAGCATTCTGCTGCAACATCTGCTTTAAGTGTGTTGTTATCCATACCAGCTACATAGAAAGGCCAACAGCAAGGAGATATGGGGGCTACTGGTGGAACACGTGACTCCTCCAAGTCGACCAATCAGGTGCTTCTCCAGCTACAAACCGTGTTCATCTCACCTCCTGGTTACCAGCATCCAACTAACTACACAATCAACGTAAAAATACCCAAAAAATGCAGTTGAACCACACTATCTTGAGAGGATCTTGTCCCATTAGGAAGAACACAGCAAGCAGTACAACCGAGTCACCCTTCTCCTCCTCATCCTCATCATCATCCTCACCATCACTCTATGAATGGAGCCTGTCTCCGGTTGCTAACTACTGTCACTCCAGGCATCCTCCGTGGAAAAAAAGGAGCGCAGTGAATCCGTGATTTCAGGGTGCCGTTCTCTCGTGCACCGGCAGACAGTACGTCCACAATAGCAGGAGGCGTTCCACGGTGCGATGTACGGTCACTGTCGCGGGCTCCCGGTCCTCCGTGCAGGCTGCACCGTTCATCCATCCCTCCGCTCCGGCAGCAGCCCCCAGTCGTCGGGTCCCGGTTCCGGCTCAGTCCGGCGTGACGACAGCAGGATTAGTTTATACATTCGGTTCTCTAGCTTTATGATATTACATAAACTCATACAGCTAGATAACCAAAGAGAAAAACTAACCCACGTCTCTTAAAGGGGCCGCCGTTGCTGCCGCTGCCGCCGCCGGAGCTGCTTGTGTTGTGGTCACATGGAGCCATTGCATTCCGCCAGCATACGCACGCCTCTCTCTCTCTCTCTCTCTCTCTCCCTCTCTCTCCCTCTCTCTCTCTCGCTCTCTCCCTATCTTTCTCCCTTCTCTGCTGCCTCTCTTCTCATTGATCCTCTTTTTTCTACATCTTGTATTTTAACTTTACATTATTATCTCTTCATAGTTGCAGCGCAGGTGCCCGATTTCGTTTGTGCTTTTACGCACAATCAAACGCCTTTACGCTGACTCTAGCATTACAACATGCCCTCATACTGCTTTGTAATAGCATACAACCGTATTTAATACAGTATAAATAAGTTGTCAGAATGAAATGAGCACAATATGACCCCCATCAGCATGCCAACACTATCATTAATAAGTCAAAGAAGGGTTAGATTTGGATAAAGTAGAGCTCAATCACACAATACCTACCGATGATTTTGGATTAACATAGCCTTTTTTAACACTGAAATCAATTTCTAGACTTGCTTTGATCAACCACAAGCCTTAGAGCATCTGCAGAGTGAAGTCACAGCAGCACAAGATAATGACACATCCACCTGTCATCAATGGACACGTGGAGCAGAGAAACTAGTATCCACGCTGCATCATAAAGCTGAAATTTACGTCCTAATAGGACAATTTTTAAGTCTAATTTGAGCCCTTATGTGATAACACCCCAGATTCAGAGCTTAGAGACGAAGTAACATCCACTGTCTCTCCCAGAGATCACAACCCAGGGCCCCTCACAAACAACCAGCTTATTGTTATTGTTTTAAATGCCAGCTCACATCGATCCATTTCAGACCATAGACCATAGTTTCCGTTTTGAGTGAATTAATCCATGAATTGTTTGAAAGCATGACAAACTACCAAAGGCCTGTATACAGCGTACAGTACAGAGGGGCTTCCAGCTAAATGTCAACAACATGATCTAGTGGAACAAGTCCAGCCTCACTGTGCGCTCTGGATTAGTTGGTGACATGTTGACAAGTTCAAACAGAACTAAGAAGCATTCGTGATCCTTTATCATCACCAAACGTGGTTACTATGTGTCAAAGCATGCGTCCTCTCAGATACTGGACCTTTAAATCTAATTTATGCTACAGGCAAAAAAGAAAAATAGACCGCCTAATCCTTTTTTCGAGATATCTAAAATGCAACACACGATCTACAAATGGTCTTCTGAAGCAAATTGAAACTGCACCTTATTCTAACTGAAATAAAATGATAATGAAAAGTTATAGAAGCTGTATTTCCTTTTAATTAGCCTTCTAAGAATAAACACAGTAGCCTATACTCACATGATACTTGAAACAGCAGCTGCCACAATGGATGAGTCGTTTTATGTGAGGATAAAAAAGGAACAACAACAAATTATTAAAAATCCACAAAGGTTAGTTGCAGCCCTCTTATTCTCCTGGCTTAGAGCCCTACTGCCCGGTTCCCTCCAGCCGTGATGCTCCAAATTTTCGACCACGTGGGATGCCGGCACACAGCGAAGACAAAGTCCATTTTACGCGCAGTACACCACCGGTGAATGTCTGTGTATCCGTAAAGGTACAATCAAGGAATAAAACGTCCATTGCAGGCTGTCATATACAGTGCAGCAGAGCCACAGTAAAGGGGGTGTGAGAGTATAAGGAGTAAGCGCCTCGGCTCTCAGAGGATCAGATGTGGTGTGCTGCAGGAGGCGGAGGGCCCGCCCGGGGGGCCTCGGGGTCAGACGCGCGATGTCCACAGAATTAGGCATGCTCATTGGCACACACATGGGTGAGCAACAGAAATATGGGGAGGACGTAACGGACACGCCAGGGAACACTAAGCTACAAAAATATATATTAAAAAACACACACAAGGAGGTCAATCGCAGAGGAACTAAGACTTTTACTTTCAAACTAAAACGATCTGATAGAATAAAAAAACAAAAGTGGTGTAAATTGTTTGAGATGTAGTTAAAGGGTGTTAAGATCTTTACAGAATCGACAGTGCGCAATCTCCATACTCCAGCAAAAAAAGTGCAAATATTATCACATTATATTCTGACGAGTTATTATACACGCAAATTCTCCTGAAATATATATCAAACGCCATACCTCACTGTATCCGCCAACTTTTACACTACAGCTATCAGTTAATTACAATTGGGCCCATATTAAGGTCCTCAGTGGAAGTACATGCGTGCACAGTCACCTGGCTGGATAGGCCTTGGACAGTACATCGCACTACCGGCTGTGTTTAAGGAATTGCTGACAAGAAAGCATCCGTCTTCCAGCCACACCCTGTCTGCGTAAATAAGGACACAAAGTTTTCTCTTAGAGAGAAACGCCGAGTAAGCAGTGAGTTCACCAGTAAGGGTGATCAAGGTAAACACCTGCAGCAGGAGCAGCAGCAGCACTGACTGCACTATCTGACGGTATAAGGGTTTGAGGCGTAACGAACTCTTTGTATCATAAAACTGAATTAGTCCATTTTTTTCTGTTCTAAGAATAGTTTCCATTATTATTCTGTGTCCTTGGTATGATGGGTATTATCTGGGGCAAGCCTGTAAACGCATTTGGATTTTATGGAAAAGCTAAAGCACAACTTTACACCCTTTTATAATTTTTACTACTAGCATTTGCTGCTCCATAAATAAAAGCCTGAGAGTGGGCTGATTCTCATCAACTTTGGCTTTATATGAGGAATAAAATCAGTAACGACAACGTGGATTTTCACTTTTTAGTCATGTGAATTACATAAAGCTCAATTTTGATTACTTGAATATAATAATAATAAAAATAATGATGGTTTGTGTATGTGTGTGTGTGTGTGTGTGTGTGTGTGTGTGTGTGTGTGTGTGTGTGTGTGTGTGTGTGTGTGTGTGTCTCTTTTAATTGAATCACCTCTTTCTCTCCTCTGTACTTTTGTAAATAAATAAAGGTTATTCAATCAGAAATATAGTTACACAAATATTACAGAAACTCCAGGTCTGTTGATGAGCTTCAGCTGATGCCCTTTACTATTGGAAGTAGGAACCCCTATTTCATCAGTTGTGAGGGTTCATGCCTGTTTGGGTGAGTCCACATTAGGAGACTGTATTTTAACACCCTCCCTTCATGTCAGAGTATAACTACTTCTAGTGAAGACTGACAATAAAAGTTATTTTAAAATCTCTCCTGTTGAAAATATTAATATTTATCTGGAGCTAAATTTTGTATCAAATATATTGAAGAAGTAGAAAATTTAATTGGTGCATTTTTTACTGTAGCCTATATTTCGTGTGTGTTGGTGTGTGTTGGCACACTCACACTCCTCTGACTGTACTCTGCATTAATGCTGATTGACTCTCAGCTCTTCCTTTCATCAGCCTCACGTGAATTTATTTGAACACGCCCCCTTACTGCGTCACGTCCTGTCTGACATACTGTAAAGAAAGGTGTGCAGAGAGACAGCAGCAGATCATCCCTCACACCTCTGTTCAGCTGTATTCTTTTATAAATGATTGTTATGTTATTAAATTGCACACTTTGTATGAAAAACATGCAGCCTCATAATTGTCTGGGAAAATTGAAGCAAAAATAAAGCTTAAATCTTTTTTTAAATGTGGTCTCCTGTTGGTTTGGGCCCGTCTCTATTTGCTTAACAAGCCGGGTGATGGTCGAGGAACGTTAACAAAATATATAGAATCAATCCATCTGTTTTGTTTCTGTCAAATTCAACCCTTAAGTAAATTTACAAGAAGACACTATGAAGATTTGCTTAACAAAACGGCGCCCTTAAATGACTTAAAACATTTGTAATAGTGTGTAAAATAAAGAGCGTCGATCAGCACCTCTGCTGTTCAGTCCAGACTCTGTCCTTGGTGCTGAAACCAATGAAATTTATTCACGACGCTGTTTGGGAATCAGAGCGTGGAAAGGGAAAATCACTTAAATAGTTTGAATTTATCCTGACAAATCCACGCTGTAGCTATATGGGAAGTATTGAGGATGTTTGAAAATGACTGAGCTGGGGAAATAATTAGGACTATATCGAGGAGTTCAAACCTCACAGCAGTGATCAGAAAAAGTGACACTGATACGACGATGATTTTGTAAATATAAAGAAAGCGAGAAAGAAAGTTTAGGCTGTGATTGGCGATGTATCCTGACGATTCACCTCCGTGAGTAAAAATAAGATTATCATAATTCTGATATAGTCTATTTAAAAAATACAAACATATAAACTAGAACCAGCGCCATTTAATATTTAGAAATATTGTTTTACTCTCTTGATTTTAACAACTTTTGATAGCCTCAAATTAAACCACAATGATCAGTTTTATTAACTTATCGCAAGTGTGTGTGAATCTGTCAAATCTCCTATTTGAATCTTGAAATAATATAACATAACACTGATGTGAATTGATTATTTTTTCCATGAGAAATGTTTGTTTTCATCAGAAACATTTAGAGGTAATAGACTAATGATCCAAGAGCTGCAACTCAGTTTAGATGGACAGGCCTACTACACCTGTTGCACTGTGTGTGATAAGAAAGGAAAGAAGAGGGGAAGGAAGAAGGCAAAGGAAGAGAAAGAAAGAAAGAAAGAAAGAAAGAAAGAAAGAAAGAAAGAAAGAAAGAAAGAAAGAAAGAAAGAAAAAGGGTCTATCAAAAATTTACGATATGCAGAATTTTTTTTTTTTTGCTTATCAATTAAATTCAAACGATTGGCCAACATTAAAATGACCATTTCACAATTGTGCATTTAGATGTTAGACTATGAAAAAAATTCCAATGTGTAATAATCTTCTCATGTCTA